ACGCTTCTCTGCTGCTCGTAGGTATCGTAGTCTACTCTCAGCTACCAGCAGTTTTGTTATTCTAACACCAGGCTTAGGTGACATACTGATGGTGTACGGGGCCGCAGCACTCACCACCAATGGTTGAAGCAAGTCTGTTCTCGTATGCAAACTTTCGCCCGCGACGCTGCATCCCACCATACCCGCCGTCTATCCCCAACAACCTTGCAAGCTTCCTGGAATGGCCTCGATTCACGTCCTCCGGAGTGGTGTGTTGATGTCTGTCCAACCGCGCTTGTTCTATGACGCCTCGCGGATGGTACTCAATCATGTAAGAACAACAAAACAATAGTACCATGATCCAGCACTAGAATGATACGTACTCCGGTGTTGTTCAGGGCAAACCTCCAGACTCCAGAGACCACCGAAGGACCCGAAAAGTATGTCTGCCACTTGGACCATAGGTACCGACGGAACCAAGACGGTAGGATGGCTTGGAGTTTGCACTTCTTATCATTCTGGGGTGTACGCCCCGGAATGATATCGGTTTCACCATGTGTCGTGGTACCTGCGTCCTTCAAGCCCAGCGAGCCGTCCGCTATCTCCCCACCTCGGAGGAGGGCTGCTGAATTTGGCGATTTCTAGAACCAAGACTATGGAATCGGGAATTTCTAGCAAACCTTTGCTCCGCTACACTTTATCTGGTTGAATTGCCCAGTGCGTCAAAAACAATCCTTTTCTGTTCTTCTCTGACCGCAAAACGGCTCCATTCCTTCAAGTCAACAGTAGGAGGCACGGGACAATGTTTTAGGCGACGGCCGATGTCCTCCAATCTTGAATTAGAAAGAGCCGCGACTTTCACTGTTGAATTCTCCGATTAATCTAAATTGCTGGATTTGTTGTCAAGTTTGTTGGGTCCCCAGTTTGTTGGTCTGATCAGTGGAAGGTCAACAATGATGGCGGGGCCGCAACTTGGTCGAGGGGCCCTTTCATTTCACAACCAGGAAATAACCCGTACGCCACTGGTGTACCGTAGTCTCTGGTGATACTGCTGGACACAAAGTAGTGCCTATCTGGAACTTTGTGCACCGTCACACCCAAGAGTCGCGACACTGGAGATTTATTTTCTGGTCCCGGGGATGCACTGGAACATTCCCGAATTGCGGCTTCCTACAGATACAACACCACGACATGATCTAAATATGCGAAATCCAGTCGAGTCTAGCAAGAAGAACCTCCACCACACTTAACATCTTGCTACTACTTGAGCAGTAAGACTAAGTCGTAGGTGTATTCCGTAGCCAATCTTCCTGCCCATGGAATACGTATCAATCCGGGAATAACATATACGGTTACCTGGCCACAAAATCCAGTCACTGCACGGCAAATCGTACTCTTCTCGAGCTCTTCTCTACACATACCCGTGCTTTCCTGTCTCAAACTCTCAGTTCTATCGCTTATTGTTGTTTTGGGTTGCTCCGTTCAAGGTTGCAGCACACGTCAAATCTCCGAAGGGAAAGTATATCTTCAAGTATCCGTTCTCTGGGTTGGACTGGTGACGTCCTCCTTTCCCCTCGGCGCTTCACGAAATTTGCTCTCTGGTGATCGAGGGGTGGTCAACCCGTTCTCTTGCCGGCTCAGCCCTACCGCAGTGATTTGGCGACAGCCACGCTACCGATACTTTGGCGCGAGAGATGTGAACCATGACTCCATGAGAGCTTCGTTTTTGAGACGGTGAAGAAGCCAAGCAAGGCCCCATACTCCGGATTTGGAGTTTGTAACGAAGCGTTTTAATATTTCCACCAGTGATGTTTGCGTTTCTCCTTTTCATCTCGTGGTATCCTGGTAGAAGATCACTACGAGTAAAATGACGCCTGCTCGCTAAGCGTTTACGCCCCGTACTTCGTACTTTCGCTCATGGCACGGTGGACGGTGGAGCAGCACCGATCATTACGATGCCGGGAGCCAGGGACCAGAATGTTTGAGGTTCCTGAACTTCTTACGTTGGTGGACGCCGTCCACGTATTACGGAGTCTCAGCCTGCCATCTTGGGATGATTCCAATGAAACCTCCTCTGGTTGTCGTCAGCGGCTCAAAAACATGGACGACATGGATAAAACACACCCAGACAGTCCCGGATATTCGTTTTCCAGTCTCGAAACAGAGCCCAAGTACACTCCGAGATGCGGGCATCGAGAGTTACCGGAGACACATTACGCATTGCGCATTATTACCACCCCCCATCGAAGGCTCAATTCTTATGTCGTGCGTTGCGGCATCCTTCGAATGGCTGCCCACCCGAGGTCACACCGCGGTAGGCCGGGCCGGAGCAGGAAGAGAAAGACTTTGTTACAGCCGATTTGCTCTCCAGTCAGGCCGAATGTTCGCTCGCATATTAGACTTGCTTTCTCTTCTCTACCCATCCCTTTTTCGATACTCATATTGAAGTAAACTTTAAAGGTTCAATGGTAGCTGGACTTTCTTGATGTTCGCGCTCCAATTCATCGCGAGGTACTGCGTACGATGTTGGCGCCGGGATGCGCAAGCCGCACAGACTGTGTGTCTGAACCCTACCCTTAAGACTGCCATATTAATTGGAAGGAAGACAGATCTACGGAGGGGAAGAATCCTAAACCAGACGACAGGTGGTGAAAACATGATATCTAAGATGAACAAGTTCCGGATGCCGACTGCTGCGGCGCTCTTTTGGGGAAGACAACGACCACAGGAACATCGCTGTACAGAGAGGAGTGATTCTCCCACCAGGAAAACCTTGCATTTGGCATACAAACAGTGGTCAAATCGAGAAACGTGTCCCAGACGCCCTAAGCATTTATCGCGTCGTCTTCGCTGGAGTCTACTGGCAGGTATCCCGGCTGTTCTGAAACCACAGACTGGTTGAACCTTACCCGGCCCCCGCCTCGCGTTAGAAGCAAAAACGCCTTCTAGCCCTTCTTTTACGGTTCTTGCGAATATTAGCGTTCCCCTCCAACGTTGTGCCTGGGTGACCCTTTTCTGATGGGACACTCCATGACGAGACAACCAAAATACACTCGAAGATGCCCAGCTACCTCAATCCGAAATGCACACGGCATTGCTCGCCTAGGTTCGATGAAAACTAACTGTGAATCGACGCTGCATAGGTCCAGAGATTTCTTCCCACGGGTTCCTCCCTGCGAGGTGATGGTTCTAACCGAGCCTATGTCTACCTCCGTACTTGTATGAGTGTTTGAATCGACGTCCCTCACTTCTCAGCCTGCCGGGAGGAGGATGCTCACAATCCGGCAGGCTGGTTATGGCGCACTGGGCATAGAAAGCTTTGATCGTCGACCTCAGACTGCCGTTATCTACGATGCTCCCGATAAATCCTTCTGATGCGCTGGTCTGCTCTGTCAGGGCCATCACGTTGTCAGGTTCTTGTTCACATCGAAGTGCGGCCCCGGTGTCTTCATCCAGGCGCCCGGTCTTATTGGCTTCTTAGCCAACCTCCCCCAGACCTGACAGCCGTTATGCGTTGACCCGCAGACGGTTAATCCCAGCAGCACCACAAGTGCCAATGGTTCGAACGAACAAGACCCAGCCTCGATCTTTCCGCAACCTCCCCTGCTGTTTGTTTGTGTCCCTCCATCAGGCTTAGTTTTTGAGGTTGATGCACCTCGCGAATTGCGTTGAGCCTTACTCCATTTCACGCTTGTTCCTGTTGGCTCGTTATTCCTGCTTCATTTGAGCATCGGATGATTGCGCCGGCATCAGGGCCCTTCCACACCCCAGTAGTCATACCTTCATCTTACCCAGCTGCTTGCATGGGGCTCCTCCGTAGGGTGCTATCCAGCATACGGCTGCAGCGTTGCTGCCATTTGCCAATCCCCACAAGGTCCACCGAAGAGTTCTACAGACACTAGTCATTGAGCCGGTCTCGTCTGTTATCATTCTTCTTCGAGTCTTGTGGCTAAGTCCATCTGTTACAACTATGCTCCATGGCATTTGTAGTGGCCTTCCTTCGTCCCTATTGCTCAAGTTCTCGTTAAACCTCCTCATATCTCTTTAAGTACATGCCATATCAAGCTTCTGGTCTGGAGTCTCATCACTGCATCCTAGCAACGACCGTGCTTCCCCTGTCCTAATCTTCCTCAGCATCGAAACTCTCCGTTCGTGGGAGAGCCTGCAATCTACGCCGGAACAATCTGCTTCAGTGGGCCTGGTGGACGTCGGCAAGAACTGGCAGAAAGGAACTCTTTTCTCGGGTCTAGCTACCTTGCTATGGTGATCAGAGTCCGAGCATCATTATCAATCCCTCCAATCTTGCGGTATATCATCCGACGTCTGTCGATCGAACGTGGAAAGTAGGATATCGGACTCCATTCATTTCTACGAACACTTGAATTTCCTAAAGCGGAAGTGGGACGTCATAAAACCATCAACCAATTTATCCCTTCATCTGAACGACACGAAAGAGCTTGCCACAGTGGTTTAAAGACAGAGCTATCCTTGACTCCGAGTTGGACAAACCCTATCATCGCCCCGCGTGATTCATAGACCAGGGCTTCCAGAGTGTCGCCTCTTTCGAGCAGCCGTACGCGTTCTGAAGCACGCCGAGAGCTCGAATAGTCCTTGTTTCTGCTCCACCACCAAAAATTTCCGAAGATCCAGCTACCTTATCTAACAAGCTCGGGAGCAGAAGCGACATTGGTCATTCTCTGCTTCGAAGAGATTTCTCGACTACTACCAGGACATCGCCGAAAGTATCTTTTTGCACCACATTCAAGTCTCGGTCCATCAACCCGCTCTTCGAACCGCAACTGCGTCGAACATCAAGGCTGTCTTCAATTCTCAGCTCATTGTAGCCTTATGATACTTCCTGGCCGTTGAAATACTATTATTGATTGCAGCCCATACTCTCGTTCATCTCAAGGCATCGTATCATCGCTTGATACATCTTACGACTGCACCAAAGGATCGAGTCCTACCAGACCACTGACACATTTAAACCCTCCTTCGAGAAAAGAAAACCAAAAATCCCAATGCTTGTCACACGGCAATGTGATACAGGAAGGAACACTTGGTCTTCTAGCAAGCTCGAGGCAATATACCGAAACGCCGCGTCTCCACGCATGTCGAACTTCGAGCCACTATCAACGCAGCCGGACTGGCGCGAGCAATACTCGGCATTTCCCCTCCCAGGAGAAAACGGCCTCCTTCAGCCTCCATTCGAGCAGCCCTCATCGTCAAATAGCACTGAAGCCAATGCGGCACAAGTAATTGCGAGACCTACACTCGAGCATAGACATAGTCTTGGCCCCATCCGACAGGAAGTTCCACCGGTTCCTATCATTGAGAGACCGGACTCGGCTCCTGGCGATAATGGTCAATCTGCAAACGAGGCTCGAAATGACTCGTTGGTTTCATCAGAGTCAACAGCGATCTCACTTGAATCAATAGGCTCAAACCCACTGAGTTCTGCTTCAAGCGCGCCTGTCCAACAGTCCACCGTTGCAAACAGTGAGGGAGGAGATGCGACAAGCGAAATAAAGGATGAAGAAGACGACGAGGACGACGATGATGAGATGCTAGAAGCAGAGGAAGGGGCTCCTCCGCAAACAGCTGCGGAGCGCAGAGCAGAGAGAAGAAAGATGAAGCGGTTTCGGTAAGACGAAATACGAGGTTTCAAATCCTCGATTCAGAGCTGACGCGTCTGCTAGATTGACTCACCAACAGACTCGATTCCTGATGAGTGAATTCGCCAAGCAAGCTCATCCAGATGCTGCACATCGTGAGCGTCTTTCGAGGGAGATTCCAGGCCTCAGTCCTCGCCAAGTTCAAGTGTGGTTTCAAAATAGGTAAGTGAAAGGACGGGAAGAGTCTAAAGATGCCCAAATGTCAGAACTAACGTGGAACAGACGTGCGAAAATCAAGCGACTTACAGCGGATGACAGAGAACGTATGATGAAGATGAGAGCTGTACCGGATGATTTTGATAATGTGCAAGCCTTACACTCTCCTTATGGCGCCGTGCACGGTATTGGAACCCCCATGCAATCGCCTGTCGATTTTGTACCAAATTACGCCGACCATATGATGCGGCCGTTGATGGTTGACACTATGCGAAGGCATGAACATGACGACCATCTTTCGCAAACTGGCCTGACTCCAACTTTCGGACATGTAGGGTTTGCGCAAGGAGGTCAGATGAATACGCCCAATGTGCTATCCCCTCTATCAATGGATTCCAGTGACCGATATTACTCAAATAGCCATCTTTCAAGCCCAATGAGCGCAGGCCCGAGAAGTTCGAACCCCTTCGACCGACAGAATAGTTACGGTGCTATGTCGCAGCACTCGAGGCAACCTATCCGACCTTTACAGCCTCTCCAGCTTCGGGAAACGATGTCGAGAACGCGATCTGAATCGATTCAATCTCCATTGAGATCCAGCATGTCTTGGAAAGGAGAGACTCTTGATTATAACAGTTATCAAACTGGGCACCCAAGTCCGCAGTTGTCTGGTCGACAGCAATCCGTGTATCAACATGATGGAATCGGCAATAACGCCGTCAATACGCATCAATATGATGCCAATGCATTTTCAAGTTCGTCCACATTTATCACATCCCTGATGGCAATCCTGCGTGCTAACCACCTTCACAGATTCTAACATGCAGAGCTCTCCACCGCATATGACGTTCTCTTCCCCTCACGGATCTTCGACATCGATGCCGTCGCGGCTGCGAGGTGCATCCTCCACATTTCCCCCAGGTTTAGACATCCGCACTCAATATCGCGGTCTTCCTTCTCATCTCAACTCACCACATAGCCCAGCAACTACGCGTGGAGGTTCATTTGCCAGCGCGTTCACTGGTGGCTATGCAAGCGCACCTCTTACCGCTCCTGTTGATTTTTCACTCCCAAGGACACCAGGCGATGGCGGTCACGGCAACCGAGATTTCAACATTCCTCAACTCAGTGCGCCTATGGCACCACCAAACGATTTCTCAAGTGCCTACAACAATTCAAGTTTAAGCCCCGCGCGCGCAGCGCAGGAAAATCGAGACTTTGGCTCCTCAAATCAGAATAATGGGGATTCAGGGGCTCAAACGCGAACAGGATCACAGGGACCTGGGTCCGAGCATCGGCAAAACCAACAACAACATCCACAACAACATAACCAACAGAGTAGAAGTCAAGATGACTCTTATCTACGTTCAGTAGACTACGAAACTGGACACAAGCGAAAACGTAGTTTCACGCTTCCTGGCGGGGCTTATGAAAGTCCTTGAGAACTCACTCCACGAAACAAGTGTGGGACATTCCTAGAAGATATTTGAAGATTACGATTGGGGATTTAATTGGATCGATGACTATATACGAAAGCATCTTTGGGCGTTGATGACCTACAAGAGCAAATGGTTTCACAAGAAATGAAGGGGAAAACTTTTCGATTCGAATACTCGGTTCATGGGGAAATGAATGGGTAGATTACTTTTAAATCTATACGCATTTTAGTATTGGAGAATTGGGGTATCTGGGCATGGGTGTTTTTTTCGGGATGGATTGGGAGGGTTGGTTATCTGGAATTATTGAGCTGGAAAAGTTGTTGTGGGAAAGTGAAGAGGAGGGTAGCTGTTGTGGGAGCTGCTACCAAGAAGATGGAGAATGCTCTAGAGGAGCCGAAAAGAGTTGAAGATGGCTGTCGATCTCTGAGATTTCGAACTACACAATCACATCTCCGCCTACCAATCCGCAGCTGCGCCTCTGGACGGCAGCACCCCGGGAACGAGGACAGGATTCCCAACTGCGTTTGGGAATAGGGAATGGTTGTTACCTTACACATGTATATTTTTGAAAACTTTTCACCCCCCTTTTCTGGCGGGTGCGATATCTGGTTGAGCTTGGACTCGGAGATGGGGATTGGGGGATTTGTAAATACAATTTTGGGGGTGATGAATGTGATGCTTGGTTGACAAGAGATGTTTTTGGATTGTGATGTTATGTGGAAGTGATGCGCGAGAGTGAACGGCGAAGTCTGTGATGGGAGAGGTGAGTGAGATGTCGGTTAACAATGAAAGGGGCGGGTTAGAGAAGGGTTGGATTAAAGGAACATGTGTTTGAAATATTGAGAATATACGTCGTGAGGGAGGCTTTGTAATGCAAGAGGTATCAGAGAGACATGCGTCTTGTGATCTGGATCTTACGAGGAAAGCACTTTGTTCTACCTCAACTGCTAAACCTCATCAATGCTGGTTTTTTCAGTCCCTGTCTAGCTAAACGCCATTTGTAATTCCATGCCTCACTTAACTACCAAATACAGGGCTTTTCCAATTGCCTTCTTAAACCAAGCCTGATTACTAATCATTCTTCCCAAACAAACCATTCTATCTGACTTAAATCCCCCCTACCTAATCTCTCACCCATCACCTACCAATCCTGATCTTCAGAACCTCTGAATCCCATCATCTACACTTTGCCACCACTCCTTTCCATCGTTAGTCCGTGGTTTGGACGGATTGGGTGTCCACCCACTCCTTCCTCCCCACTTTATCTCAAAATCAACATATCTCGTGGTATACCCACATCACACGTGTCTCTTAATGCGTGCAGCTATAGTTCATGATTAGTGAACCTGACCTCAAGACGACTACCCTACCCACCTCCTTGCCCTAGCACACCAAGAAACGACACCGCAGAAGAAACGTAGAACATTCTTCAAACAAACTCAGCCTCTCTCTCGCTGTCTTATTCCCTTCCGTTTCGTTTGAGATCATCAGTGTCATCTGATGCGATGCGATGAACCGTCGACTCGCTGATATTCATGCCATGAAATACGTCTTAAAATAGTATTATTCCGTCCACGTTTGTTGCATATCATGGCTTATCCTAGATTTATACGTTGTGCACATGGCATCCTAGAATTATGTATTAATGCAGACGACATGGGACTACCCTCTTGGATGGAGTCAAACTAGAAACGTCAAACGTACATATCCCCCCACCTAAGACATGTGCACGATACAGTACAAGTTATCTTGGCTTTACTGTACAACGAACAACCCCCTCTAGTTCCTCGGTCTTCTCGGTCGCTTATCTATCCGAATAAGAGAGGCTCGAGCAAACGGGATAGACGTGAAAAATGGAAGTGGATATGGAAGGCAAAGTGGAAGTGGATATTTACCTTGCCTGTTATTGTCGACCCGGTTCTTTTGACACGGGATCGTTTTTTGACACTGGACTGGGTTGTGGGGATTTTGTATGCAAGGGCGTTGAAACGTTGGCATTGGTTGTGGGTACGAGGTTTGGTGGCGTGCAAAGGTGGATAGAAGGGAAATGTGGTGGAATTGGTGGTGGAAGGTATATCCCTGCTCCTACGATCTGGATCGAGATGTTGTGCTAGGACCTTCCTTCGCTTAGGATGGGATGTGGATTCTACGGAAAAGGGGAAGAAGTCGGAGGTGTAAAGAGGTATGTGGAGGGAGTTTCGGAGGGTTAAATAGAGTGGTGGTGTGTTTGGGATGGTGGTGTTCGGGTATGAAAGGGGGGTTTTGCGGATTGTGTTGGGGTTGGAAGGGGGTTGTGTGAGGGTGATTTAGGGAATTGAGAGAGTGTGAGAGGAGAATTCGGACGAAGATACGAATTGGAATTAGTAAAAACTCGACTTGAAGTACTTGTCTAGCGCTGACTATCATGCCACGAAATTAGGGGCCTACACGAAATCCTAGTACCTCATACCAAACATCACTTTCCCAACTTTCCCCAAGCATCACGGGAATTTAATCTACAAAACCCTCCGATATCACACTTCCATCGACACTGTAAACGTCTTTAATATAGGTATCGAAGAACCAAGGAGTGGGCTGTCGTAAGGAATTACTAGATTTGGACTCGCTTAACACTTCCCGCGATTTGTGGTACGAGACGGGAAGATTTCTTAGTCAGATTAGAGGTTGTGATAGGTGAGGTGAGTACGAGATCTTGGGGCTGAAATGGGATCGGATGGTGTGAGGATAGTGCGGTGAGGTACGTGGATTGGGTGAAAGGGAGGAGGACTTGTGGGGAAAGTGTTGTTACGTGAAGTTGTGATAGGATGTGGTTGTTAAATACTAAATAGAAGACGGTTCTATCATGATTGCCAGAGCCCACGGATGTGATTAGTTAACCGTGGTCCTCGAGATTTTGTAGGGTCTAGTATGTAAAGAAGTTGAGGAGGGAACAATATGCAAACTTTCGGGTGCTAAATCTTGAGAAGCGCTTCTACTGTTTCCATTTGAAGTGATGATTGTAATAGTATGGCAGTATCAATAAAGAATTCTAATGTTCCCTGGGTTCGCTGTCATGTACAGAATCGCTGAGAATCTGACTGCTTCATGTAAAGCTCCAAGAAGATACGAGTTCAATGATCAGCAAACTCTTTCACATGATGAAAATCTGACTCCATTTAAAGATATGAATCCGTATCTTTAGAATCCCGCCTTCTCCCTGATTTCTGTAATTTATAACTTGCACTATCAGTGACTCGCACTGAGCATCTATACCTCACTTCAAGTAAACGACTCTATGGCAAGCGCTGAACAAAATCCCAACTACTTTTCAAACCACCCCAAGCACATCCTCAATCCTTGACCAACTCCCCATTAACCCTCAAATACGCACACCTCCACCCAACCCTCGCCCCCAACCCCCCCATCACCCCCTCACTCCCCCCATTACCCTCCCCAACATCAGCATGACACCACCCACTCCCCCTAACCCCCAGATCCGCAAACATCCCACCCTCAGCCCCTCTCAAAAGACCCCTAGCCACGACCTTCGCAAACCCCATCCCCCTATACGCGGGTTCGACGTATAACGTAGCAAGCGAGCCATCAACACCAATATACGCCCACGCCACCATCTCCTTCTCAGGGTCCAGAATACAGATGTTAGCCTGGCGTTTCAGCGTCTCCGGGTTCCGCGGGATGGAGCTCGTAGAGACGACTTTATGGATCTGTGACTCCGGGACACGGGAGGTGGTATATCCCTCCGGAAGACTTCCTCTTACCGCCGTGGGTTTGAGGGTGTGGATGGATAACACCCAGACGTTCCACCATGTTAGGTATTCCACTGCGTCGCCGTAAATCTGTTGGATGAGTTTGGCGATGGGTTCGTGGACGGCTGCGAAGCGGAGGATGGGACTGAAAGGCCAGCCGGGCGCTTCTGGGATGGCGGTTGTGAGAATGAAGGAGATGGCTGATTTGATCTGGGATTTTAGGGTGAGGGTTTGTGAGGATGTCAGGGTGGAGTGGGTTAAGAGGGAGGAGAAGAGCCAAATTTGGGATTCGGTGGTGCGGGAGCGGTCGGTGAAGAGGATTGTGAAGGGTTCTGAAGACGGTGATGCTGGGGAGTTGTCGTTGTTTTCCTGTGATGAGGGTTTGAGGGATGAGGGAAGTGATTCGGGAGGGAAAGAAGCGGCGAAGAGACAGTGTCTTGATGGTGTGTTTAACGGGGATTGGAGTCTGTTGTATATTGGATTGCTGAGTGGAAGATGCGGCGCTAGGAGTGCTGGAAAGAGTTGTAGGGCGTCCGATTGAGTGTACCGGTGGAATTGTATTGGTGGTTGAGTTGCCATCTTGAACGGGCGAATGAAGATTTCACAAGCGATTTCTATTTGATAGTAAGTTTTGAGTAGGTAAATGGTGGGTGGGAAGTGTTTACATGCAAAATTTCAATTTTGACTTTTGGAACCAGGGAATTCGAACTTTGATAATCTAAACGTTAGCCGGACTTGTAAGAGAGATATGGTTTCAATGTAATTTGAATCTACACTGTCAAAGTCAGAAGTAGTAAAATCATATATAGTCGAGGAACGTGACTCACGCCAGAGACCAACTTTAGAAATGAGTATGCAGTTGTAAAAGTGGGGGCTGTTAAACTTAAGTCCGGCACGACTGGCCTGACCCGAAGCGAGTACACTTTATTACAACGACACTTGGACGCGCCTGAACCCTCCTATAACGAATTCAATATTATTTCCTGGTATCTATAGTATTCATCCCCTTCATACAACAATGTACTCCGAACACCATGTCCCATATTTCCCCCGATTTCCTAACCACCTATTCCCAAGTATCCAAATCATCACTCCTCATCACTACTATCAACAATAAACCCAGCCCTAACCCTCTGCCTAACAGGCTTAACAATAGGAATATCATCCTCATCGTCATCATCATCAATAACCATAGCACTACTCTTTGCATTCCCAGAAATGGTGTCAAGAACCGAAAGTTCCTCATCCTGGTCATCGCTAACAACCTTCCGTTTCTTCCCTTTCAAATTCCGCGTATGAGGACTTGACATTGGCGTAACTGTCCCCTCTGCATCCGAGTCAAGAGGATCATTCTTCGCAGTCGCCGGAGAATCCGAGGTAGCATGATCGTCATCTTCACTGTCTGACTGAGATCTTACGCGTTTTCTCTGGCCTGATGAAGCTGGCGTGACTTCGTCATCATTGGAAGCATCAGAGAGAGCATTGGACTGCCTCTTCTTATTAGACTTCTCAGCAGGCGGCTTAGGCTTTCCAACACCTAGTAGAGACTTCATCGTGGCGATCTTCGCCGCCTGTCTCGCCGCTTCCTCGGCAAAGAAAGCAGCATCTCGCGCTTCATCATCCTCATCATCACTATCGTGTACGAGAAGATCACTCTTGACTTTTCGGTTCTTCTCCAACTCCTTCAAGCGACGTGCTTCTGCCCTAGCAGCCACCTGCTCATCTGTCAACCCTCCTTCTTCCCCGTCTTCACTTCCTTTCCGCCGAAGCTTACGCTTCTTCTTGAGCTCCTTTAAGGCGTCTGAGGGCTTCATGGCTGTAGGTCCACCCGGTTCGAACATAAGCTCTTCATCATCGTCGTCAATACCGTCATCGTCATCGAACACTGCTCTCTTTCTGGAGTTTGCAGCTGCCGACTGTCTTCTGAGAAAATCTGCTGCTTCTTGTCCATCTCCAAACTCTGGTGGTGAGTGTTCCGCTTGTTTGATGAGATCATGGGATTGCTTAAGTTGGTCGGCAGTAATATTTGATGGAATAATCCAAGACCCTTCAGGATCCAGATCTACTCCGACATTTGTAAATCCGACCAGAGTCATCAAGAGTCTCAGTTGACCATTTTTAAACATTGCTAGTTTGCGGGCGTCATTATCGGGTCTCACTACTTTTCAAAGTTAGCACAATATTTAGAAGCGAGGGAGAGGTATATCTTACGAATTGATGGTGGTTTGGGAGCCTCCACCTGCTCAGCCGGTGTCTCACTTGACTCTTCTGAGGGATTGGTTTTTACAGACGGTAAAGCGGCATTTAGCCCTTCCCAGCTTCTCCGCTCATCCTCGCCAGACTTGAGTTTTGACTTGATCCATTGCAAATGCTCGCCGTCACTCTTGTCCAGTAATGCACCCACCACGATGCCGACTTGCTCCTCCCACTCCATTCCAGGTTTGACTTCGAGTGCAGCCGCAGCACGAGGCGTTGTGGTTACCGTCTGCTTCTCGTAGCCATACTCGAGATAATGAGCTGTGCTATTGATCTTTGAGAAGAGCATCTCGACAACCAATTCTGGGCGTTCCTGCATCTTCTTGAAGCAACGTCTAAGTATCTGTTTAACGAATTCCTCCCATTCCTTGTAAGAGCTAGATTGAGGATCTAAGCCCTCTGGACCTTTGATCATCTTATTGAAAAGATGAATGATGTCGACCCGAAATAACATGACACCCATCTCCTGCTTAAAAGCTACCCGATAAAAGTACCGATGCGCCCGCTTCAATTGCGCCGGCTTAAGGTCATTATAGTACGAAGTAAACTTGACGAACGTATCGACACATCCTTGGACGACGAACCTCGCTGCAAACTTCTTGAAGTCAAACTTCCGTTCATGCAACATCTTCTGAGCCCTAGACTCATCTTCACCCTCTGACTCATCAATCACATCATCATCAGGGGCATCCTCTCCCGCTTCTCGAGCCGCTTTCTTCTTCTTTCTGACCCTTCTTCGAGACCTGACTTGCAAGTCCACGTTTTGTTTCGAGTACTGCTCCAGGATCCGCAAGTAGTTATGCGATAGTTCCGTAGTAGAATCCAGATAACCGAATCCTTGGTCTTTATAAGTGCGTGTTATGTTAGCAACCCTGTCGTGTGTCGTTTCTTCGTAGAAGATACGGTTGAGGATGTTTTCGGCAATTTCTTGGTCGTCTTCAAGAGGTGATTCGGACATTTCTTGAACCGTGAGAAGGATCTGGGTGAAGCATTTCATAGCAGCACTAAGGTCTGCCCACGATTTTTCTTCATATGTTTTGTCCATCGCTCTGTTCAACGTCACAAACATTTCCTGATTCAGGACGCTTGCGACAAGGGCGAAGCTGTCAACATCCTCGGGCTTCTGTTTCTTGTCGGATTTTTTGCATCTCCTTCGTGCTCGCTCAGCCTCTAGAAACCACGCCACTAAATAGAAAAATTGCCTAGGATGGCTATCCATAATTCTTTCTGCTTCTCTATCAATTGCCTTTCGGATATGGTTGAATAAGGGATTGAATCCAGCGTCAAGAAATTCTTCGACGAAAGTCCGTAGATGTTTGGTGGCTTGTACACTTAGACTGACAGGGTTATCAAAGTCCATGGGTCCTGTCTCTCCTTTGTGGGCTCTATGTGGAGGTTTAAACTTCTTCGTGCTATCCATTTTGGCCAGACCTCGGGTAGAATCAGTAACAGCAGCTTGTCCAGAAATTGTTGTCCTTTTCGAGTCCTCTCTCTGTATCCAAGCCATTGCTCCAAACCGATTGTGTCGCGTTGGTGCATGCATCTGATAACTCCGCAACATCGCAGCTTCTTTCTTCCGTAATCGTATCAACTCATCCGTCTTACTATTACTCACTTTCTCCTCATCCATGAACAATTTTTCAATATCCACACCTTTGATTAGATGGAATATCACATCCATCACTATAACATCTTGAGTATTGAAATCCTCTCCCATCGAGGAAGATAAGGTTAGTAGTAGCTGAAATATATCCTGGTAATCGAACGCATCAATTGTGGCTGACCTCGATATCTCCGCTTCGTCTCCTTCATATTGTACGTTTGGCGGTGGTGCAATCATAGCGATATTCCGAATAAAGTATAGTAAAAGCTTGATAATTCCTTCATCTCTGGTACTCCGATCCCCAGCATCCTGAGCCATAGAAGGTAAAGCGCATCGGACTGCGGTATGTAAAATCCTCGCACCATCAAAGTTCACAATCGATCGTTTGTACCCCAATTGCGCGATTTGCAAATACGGGATGTGCCTGTGGTGGTTTACAGTCATTTCCTTCTTGTCGTTCGATAAAGGCCAGGTGAGTGGGACCAGTAATTCTAAACATGCCAATGCGATTTTGGACTTCATGCGATTCTCGTCCTCGTTTTCGGGCCATGCTGCGAGGATTTGAAGTAAATCTCCTCCTACCAAATTCGATTCTGCCAGACATCTTGCTACGTCGAATCGATTTGCTTTCTCGTCGTATAGTTTCAACCATCTCTTCAAGTCTCGAAGACAGGCAAGTGCGTCGTCTCCTAGTATATACCGTCCTTCTTCATCGGCACCACTTCCTCCAAGCTAGAATATGTCAGCGAGCACAATCGATTGGATTCAAGATACGCACAGCAGTGACAAGACTCGACACATAAGCTCGAACTTCAGGATCAACCACATCCTTTTTCCCATTCGCAAACTCCATTTTGATGTTCTTACTGTTGATAGTTAGAATCCAAGAACCTCTTTACGCGAATGTGGTTGGATACGCGACGCGTACCCCTGCTGTTTTAGTGGCATCTCACAAGCCGCCCGCCAATTTCTTGAGCCGAGGTGGGAGCTTAGGTACTCCGAATGCGGGAATCTTTAACCTCAGTTCGTTGTTTTATTTCAATTCTTTACAAACATTGGAACTATATAAGATGTTTCCTTCGAGGTTAGCAAGACAGGCACTACGGTGCAATAGGTCATCAAGATGCTTCAGTACCACCCCAATTGTTGCGCAGGAAGTCAAGAGTCTCGGTGTTATAGGTGCGGGACAAATGGTATATTTCTCTCTCATCTCTATGAAGCCTGCTAACAACTTCAGGGTCTAGGAATAGCTCTTGTAGCAGCCCAAAAAGCCGGAGTACCAGTTACTCTGGTAGATACATCCCAAGAATCAATAGACAAAGGCCTTAAATTCGCAGGTCTGCTCCCTCTTCCTCCGCAATACCACACCACCTAACCGTCCCCAGACAAACTCCTAGCCAAAGACGTAACCAAACAACGCATAACCCAAGACGAATCCGATAAGATACGTTCCCTCCTAACTCCCACAACAACAATGGACGACCTCTCATCCGTCGACTTCGTAATCGAAGCCGTCCCCGAAATCCCGTCCTTGAAATTCCAAATCTTCTCCTCCCTCGCTCAAATCTGCCAATCGCATACCATCCTAGCAACCAATACATCTTCAATCTCAATAACGCGAATCGCGGCATCCACTACAAAAGACCCAACCGACACATCCGCCTCCTCTCGCGTCGTATCCACACACTTCATGAACCCCGTGCCCATCCAGAAAGGCGTCGAGATTATCACGGGATTGCAAACAAGCCAGGCTACAGTTGACACCGCGGTCGCATTCTGCAAAGCCATGGGAAAGATACCCTCGCAATCCGCTGATTCTCCGGGATTCTTAGCAAATCGCATCCTCATGCCGTACATCAACGAGGCGATAATATGTCTCGAAACTGGGGTCGGGGGTCGCGATGATATCGACGCAATTATGAAGAATGGCACGAATGTACCTATGGGCCCGCTACAATTGGCGGATTTCATCGGTATAGATACGTGTTTGGCGATTATGAAGGTGTTGTACGAGGAGACGGGAGATAGCAAGTATAGACCTAGTGTCCTATTACGGAAGATGGTGGATGCGGGCTGGCTGGGGAAGAAAAGTGGGAAGGGGTTTTATGATTATTAGATGATGCTAATTAATGATATCCTCATCTCACATTTGAATTTCAGGAGATTCGCTGGCTCAGCTTTTTGGGTCCTCACTTCATCTCCCAAAATATCCAGGAACATAATCCTTGCCAAAATACTAAACTATCAAATCATGTCTACGCATTAAGAAACTATGGGGGGTAGTTTCAACCAGTAAATACTGAAATCACATTCGATGTCGAGTATTCGAATCCAACCCTCAGAGATCCGACTTCATACTCAGAGACTACGCTTCTTATAAAGAAGGGAAACAAACAAATTTAACATGAATTTCCTTCTCAACTTCATTAAAAAAGGGAAGCTATGTTAGGTCCCACTGCTCATTGTGAAGCTAATCTACTTTTTACCTGGAATTGGAGTTCCCTTTGAACAACGTCTGTTTGAATGGTCATGGATTTTGGTGGTACGGGATGCTATTGGCCGGATCGAAGTGGGAGTTTTGTTATGTCAACTAGAGATGAGGGACCAAGTTTTGAGATGAGATGAGATTTTGGAATGTTATAGGCTAATTGTGTAAGCGAGCGCGGTGTGGTATTAGCTGCTAATAAGTTTAAATTTAATGTGTTTCAGATCAACGAGATGTGCAAACAAGATCCAAACACAGCCATGGAATTGCGCAATGAGACCATTCTCATCGCTTCAGCAGCAACCTCTTTATATAAAGCCACTAAATATATCCAGTCAACCCACCAACCATATTCAGCATCATCAACTAACACTTCTAGTTCAACTCAAAACCAGGTACACACCGTACAATTCCATCATTTTCACATCCCACAGACCCTTTACATCTCCATCTAGAAAACCATAAATCAACATCACCATCCCATCATCCTCTCATCTAAACCCCCAACTCCCTTAAATCTCGCCCACGCAAACACCAAAACCAAAAACCCATACTACATTCCCATTTCCATCACCCACCCCTAAATATATATCTCACAACAGCATATCATTCTCATCCCTAGCATCCGGTGAAGTTTTAGTTTTGTGATAGAGAGTTGTTTATCCTTGTTTCCGAGATCGTAGTCTTAGTGATGACTCCACTGAGAAAAGAAATAAACTTGACGTATTTATCACATCTTAAGACCTACCTACACCTACTTACCTAGAAGATTGAATAAGGAATCTACAAGCCTCCTATGTTAAATCACATACTGCAATTTGTTTGATTATTCGATATCCGTATCGTGCTACCACCTTCAACATCCAATACTTATAAGGATTATTATGTCACATAACACCGGCAGAGTAATTGAATCCTGGATTAGTTTATAAATTATCGAAGAGACATTGGGGGATTGAGTTCGAAAAGAAAGTTAATTTATCTTTTCACAAACTGCGGGTTTAGAGGAGTAGAAGCAAACCGGTATGAGAAGATGTTTACTGTAGTCATGTTTTTATAGGATTGTCTTTCATATTTGATTAGGTTTCGATTAGAGTGTTATAGGATAGTAAGGTTATAATGTCATAATCTATGTGAGGATCCATGGATGTTATTCTGTATTATATACGAGGCATTGTGAGACTGGGTTGATTATTCTAAGTTGACTATTGCTCAATGCTTTGTGTTTTATATTCTCGAGTTAAGAAAGAGGAAACGCGTTGTAATGCCTGATATTAAAGAGTTGTTGGTAAGAATAAGTGGTTTGGATCAGCTGCAGATGAAACATTCTACTATGCAGCAGTCGTTATAGGAAGCAGAGGCATAACATTAAAACAGAAACAAAAAGCAAGATACAAACCCAATTTATAAATTTCCAATAATGCCAGTCGAAGCATCGTATCTTGGAAAACCGACCCCACCACAGATCAGATCTCCCCACCCAAACCACCTCACCAACCAATTTAGCTCACCCATTCCCAGGTCGAGCAAGAGATCACCACGTGCCTCACCCACCGCTCCTCGCTAAATCCTTCACACGGATTGCTGGATTAAGGGATCATCGACCAGGAATGGACATTTCGCTGACCCTGATCGTCCGAAATCTGCAGGCCGCAGAAGCCCGAAAGGATTTCTGCTGGCGGAGGCGGCTGCAGGACCGAGGTTGACATTGAGAGTTTGGATCATGAATCATTCACAGTTTAGATGTTCTAAGGGAGGTCTGAGATGTGGTGACAACTGTGAAGTCGAAGAGTATTCTGGGGATTGGTTCGGTACTTGATGCCGAATGGTTTCTGCAGCCTTGATTGCAATCATTGCTCTATGGTACGTTTGCATAGCCGTGTGATTTATTTGAGTAGTCCCGGTGCTGTTGGTCAGTTTCCAGCTTTTAGATTTTATTGCGTAGATCTAGATGGGTTAGGAGAGTATTCATCCACTTGATAGATGCGTATTGAATCCATTTCACCTAGTCAGGCGAGCTACGCGGAAACAAAAGCACGAGTCCGACAATGTACAGGGATCAAGAGTTAACCTTATGCGTACAGTTTTGACGAGTGCGAGTGCGGGACTCGTCCAGGCTTTCGCGGGTCCCGGTGCCAGGCTGATGGTGTGTTTGGTGTGTTGTAGCGTGTACTTTGAATCGTAAATGTCCTCGTGTCGTGCCTGTGTAAGTGTGTCGAGCCGCCAATCACCATCTCATGTTCTGGTTGGATTCGAGTCAATGACGCTTGCTCTCGAAAAAGGTACATCTGCTCCGGGGACCGACTCGGCCCGGTCTCACGCTATCGCGCTGGCTGGGTCTTTTGCGGTCCAATGTCGACGTCCACCTAGCCCTATGCCACTGGGGCCGAGGTGGCTTGTCCGAAAGAGGAAAAGCCGTAGAATTCCACGATCTTCAGCCAACCTCATGTTGGATCGTGATCGTGGTTTTGGTGGTGTTGGTGTTTGTCTCGATGCACTTTCAAGTATCACGAGTTTGCTGCATTGCATGATTCATGTTGGGCCGCGGCAAGGGTCCAAGACTTTTGGCGGTGGGATGATTGATGCTGATGCTTGTTGGTATTGCGGTTCATCTGTATTGCTCGGTATCGAAGTCGACCGCATTTGGAATTGTCGTGGAACGCGTTCTATACATGGAACCGTAACGGTGTTTTGGTGGTTTGCACCGAGGACATCGACGATTGACAGGCCCATATTAAATTCAGATCTAAAGCGGCGGCGAGTCTCAATCAATGTTCAGTAATATTACCGCCTCCCACCGACAGCGTATCTCTAGTTACGGAGTACATGATGAAATTTAAGTTGTGCAGTGATTTGCACCGGGATTAGAAACATAACCAAACCCAATCTTAAAATACAGTAATAATAGACTTTGCAATCTACTGGGGTTATTGCATAGGGAAACCCGCGAGTCTCTCTCTACAACCCCACTAATACCCGCTGCTTTAGTCACCACCAGTAAATCAGGGTCGCAGCTCGTGGCGTCTATGAAGTGATGATGCCCTCTTCGACTTCAAGACGGTTACATTTTCCTAATTCACATTCTGCGCCCACTCCCATACGACTGCACACTCGATTTCTCTCCAGGGTGACCATAAATTATTTACGAAGACGATAGCAATCACACACCATTCGAATCGCCTGTACATTGCCCGTATATCACGCCTTATCGAAATCGAATCAACCTCCATTGCATTCCATCTGCCATCCATTACGCATGACTACCGGCTAAAAAATACCGCCAATCGAGACGAAATTCTTGCGAACAGCACGCCAACATCAGATTGCCTCTGCAACGAGACCAGTATTAACGCTAAACCATTCCAGAGTTCATATTAAAGACAGTCGCGCTGGCCACTTTTTATCTCGTCCAGCAGGCGTGAGCCATTCCCTCCATCAACCACTCCACCAAGACGCCGAAGACGTGGGATACAGTTTCTATGTCCTCCCTGCCACTACAAAACTCCTCTCCAGTCTCACTACAGTCTTCCATCCTCTCCAAAATTTCCAATCCGACGACGAAAGAATCCACCGCACCGCATGCGCCCCTCGACGCACATAGGGATGCGAGGCAGATTATACGCCTGGCGCAATGCCAGCAATGCTCATACCCCCTCAGAGAGCCGGTGACCTTACCGTGCGGGAATTCCATATGCAAGAAATGTATGCCCGAGTCACATCGGCGGACGAATATCTCCTATCCGGCGACACCCAGCAGGCTGTCAGGTTTTACATGTCCAGTGACATCGTGCAAGCAGGAACATGCGGATGGAGACTGTAGTGTGGATGTGGTTTTGAATAAGACGACCGAGGTTGTGCGGAATGAAATTGAAGCTTTTAGAAACTCGGCTCAGGCAGCTGCAGTCGTCCTACAATTAGAAGAGAAGGATCGATGGTCCATTGCCGGGGTAGCATCATTACGGGATCGGGAACCTCGGACTCGAGTATTGAACGGTGGACGGTTATGTGCGACCTATTCCATGGCGCAAATGGGAGAACTTGCGTACGACTCGGAAGTTGTGTTTACGTCACAGCTACCTGGGGAAGAGGTTGAAATTCTCGACAATCTGTTATTAGATCAAGTGAAAGAGTCCACCCGGTCTGAATTAGATTGTCAAGTCTGCTACGGATTATTTTTGGATCCATTGACGACGCCTTGCGGGCACACGTTTTGTCGAACATGTACCCACCGACTATTGGATCACTCGCGCCTATGTCCAATATGTCGAAGGACTATCAGCACCCCCCCAGCAAGTACCTCTACTCAAGCTCCTTCAAATATGTTGCTTGTCAAACTACTCATGGGTCTGTGTCCAGATGCACTGGAGGCACGTGCCGAAATGGTAAAGACAGAAAATCTAAACAGTATAGGTGAACTTGATACGCCACTATTTGTCTGTACATTATCTTTTCCTACAGCACCGACATTTCTGCACATCTTCGAACCACGCTACCGGTTAATGATACGGCGAGCAATGGAGACTGGAGATAGAAAATTTGGTATGATCTTACCAAATCCCAGGAGAGAACCACAAGGTGACCTCGGTCCTGTACCATTCTACGAATACGGTACTTTACTTCATATCATCACCATGCACGTCCTACCAGATGGCCGAAGTCTCATCGAAACAGTCGGAGTATCTAGATTTCGTATCCTCGAGCACGCCACTCTGGATGGTTACATGGTCGGCAAAGTCGAAAGAATCGAAGACATGAGCCTAGCGGCCGAAGAAACCCTCGAAGCAGCCGAAACTTCAATCTCATCAGCCCGTCCCCTCTCCTCTCAAGATCACTTCGGCGCCCCTCCAGACCACCCACGGACCTCCCCCCCACAGCTCGATCTCACCTCCCTCTCCACCCAACAACTAATGGAAATCGGCACCTCCTTCGTCGAAAAAATGCGCCGCCAATCCGCCCCCTGGCTACACACTCGCGTCTTCACCACCTACGGCGAGATGCCCACTGACCCGGCCACCTTCCCCTGGTGGTTCGCCAGCGTGCTGCCTATCGCCGAGAGCGAAAAGTACAGACTCCTGCAACTGCAGAGCGTTAGGGAACGGCTCAAGTACTGTGCGGGCTGGATCGCTCAATTAGAAGCCCAGAGATGGTATGCATATTTCTTATGCCCCTGTTCCTAATCATCTCCACTCTATCCTGTTGGGAGGGGGGCTAAGAAAGCGATGTGTCTGCTTAGAACGAGATTAATTCACGGGGATTGCTTTGAGTGGGATTCTTTTGCTGATTTTAATCTTCTTGCGCGCGTGTAGGTCTAGGGGCTCTAGTTGTACGGTCTTTTGACTAGCCGTTCTCAGTGCGTGTGTTTTGGTGGGGAGTGTGGCGGTTGTTTATCTGGGGCAGGTGAGGATGAGGAGGGAGGCTGCTGGGGGTTAGGGGGAGAGACACATATTGGGATTCTATTGTATACTCGTTTCAATGAGTCGGTTCTCGGAGGGAAATTGGGGATTCTTTTTAGAAAGAAAGAAAAGATTTTAGATGTTTGTTTTTTGGACATTTTTTATTTGGTCTTGCTTGCTTTACCTGCATTAGCGAATGCCTTTAGGCGTTGTGGGTGACGTTTCATCTTCATGTTTAGCTTTTGATAAAGGGAATGCGAATGGGATGTAGGGTTTTATCGATTTGTGAATATGGGGGGGGGCATGATTAGGTAGTTTTTCTTTTTGGCATGGGAATGTTATGAAGATTGAGGATTGTTTTACATTCTCCTGTTTTGCTTTTGGTGATAGGGAGATGCGTGTATGTGCTATGAGTGAAATTACTATATAAGAATATACTGGTGTTCCAAGGAACGAGATTAGATGCTGCTATCATGCGCAACTAAAACGCTCTTCTCGGCGACTTAGTTGTACTGACATCTTGCGTACTAGAGATAAATTATGGGTGATATGTTGGAAATCTTATCGACCCTTAGTGCCTCAAGACTCCCGCTTGACTTGGAGCATTAAGTCTGTGAACGGCTTGATTATACCTTTGCTTAAGAGAGCAGTAAACGGTTTCTCGTTATGTAAAAATGAGGGATATGGCTCGAAAATGGAGTAGCTAAACGATATGTTGAATCTCATGTAATTCTTTCTTTGATTGTATCTGGCCTTTGGGTAGGGCGAATCGGAGAGGTTGCTACACCTTTCTTATGTCCTAGACTGGGTACCTCGAATGGAGAGGTTAACTACAGAGCCTAATATCTGGACATTGACGTGTTTGGAAAGGAAGGACGTGTTGTGTTGATGTGATTACGTGAGTTGGAGTCAATTTATTCGTTAACGCAAGGACAGCTAAAAACCCTTTCTTTAATCAATGGCAGATCATGATTTGTACGCAGTATAAAAGTGTTCGGACTAGAAATACAACTCGACTTTTAGACCCGAGTCTCTTACGAGCTGCTAGAGGAGACGTATATCCTAAATAATCGGACTTTCTAAAAGCTTTTGATTATACACCAATCTATCTACTCCTCAACGTCTACTATACTCCCAAGATTCTACCTCATCTAGTCAACCTCGTCTGATGAAACAAAAAGTTGGAGAATAACACATATTGACAAAGTGCGCCTGATCAAGAAAACTCGACAGGAAAATTGCTGTATCAAGACTCACCCATTTGCTCATTTGATCAGAACATCCTGACATATCACTTACACCCGTCACCATCACCTCCCCGCTCCATCGCCTCTTCAATCCAGTTTTCCCCCAGGTTTCCCCCCTAAACACTCCAAACCCCGCCCCTTCTCATAACATAATAATTCAACCTCTAACACCTCTACATAAACTACAATCATCCATCAAATCCACCCTCCCACCCCCTCGTATTCCACTGAAAACTCATCACCAACCCTGTTTTCCACACCACGATTCCCCCATCCCAATCCGCAAAACCCCCATACTCTCGTATCCCAACAACGTTAATTTCACCTCCCCAGCTCTATTTATTTCTTGTAAGAAACACCATTTCTATTTACAAAAGAGCTACATTGACCACATACCAACTTCCCCCATCCATTCCTCGCCCAGATCATAATCAAAGCCGTTACATCATTTCCCCCATTTAAAATTTCCGCTCGATTTTTAATAATCTCTGCTGTATTTACGAACACCTCCTCTCTTCGATACATGACATCCCACACGTTTTAAAAATTTCACCCCATCACAGAATTTCATAATCCAGCACCCCTTCCCATCTACTCTTCCTCTAAGAAAACAGAAAAAAAAATATCCAGTTGGACACGAGTCTGGTCGAATTTCAGCAATATTCCCACTCACCCCCTCCCGACGCTTTCAAAATAATATAAACGCAGGCCAAACCCCCCGCCCCATCTCACACGACCAGAATTTACACATGTCACTCTGCTCAAGCACACCGCTCCGTAACTTCACTTCCAACCGCATAGACAGAAGTGTTGTAGCATACTTTCCACTGGGTATAAAACACAAGGAGCTATGCGGGGAGATATGTTTGGAAAGGTTAAGATTAGACAGGACCAATGGGAATAGTAAAGTAATCAAGTTCAGAATATTGTGAGGATACATATCATGCTCTTACAATTGATGACTCAACAACAACTATTCTGCCATCCACGTCTCTACCGACCTTCACCTGTTAGAACGCTTCTTCTACACGCACATTCTGGGTCGTCGCATACTGGGGATACCAATGCCATCCAAGTTGTGTAGAGCCCACTAACTTGCCATTGACCATGTGGCCATACAATTCCTGCAACTGTGCTAACAAAACGCGTCCTCCATGAAACTTTAGTGGAGATCACGGCCTCAGCATGGTGCCAAGTATTGACCGGACTCATGCCCAATACTTCGGGATTTCTTATTTCGAAATCAAAGCCCACATCTTTCAGCTTTCCAAGCTGCCGAAGTTGCTCCCATCTCACTCTCTTCCACCTGTGGAAATATGATTCCTCAACGTGTCGCCACCGAGCACGAAAGGGGTCCGCAGCATCATCAGGCGTGACCGGTTCCCAAGTTGTGCTATCGCATAACACAATAATATTCAATTTCCTCAAAGATTTCAAGCCCAAAATGTTGCGGAAGAACGTAGGTGAAAAGGGATTCGACTTTGCTGTTGCTACAACTTTGATCGACAATCGGGAGATCCGATCGACCTTCAGTGGGTGAATGACCTGAATGTAGGATTGGAAAGCATGGAGGCTGCTAAAGAGGAAAACGATGTTGTTGTAAAAGGAATAGATGTGGTCGAGATAAAATTGTTTTGAGACCAAGATGAAGGCGCCATAAACTGAGGTAATGCCATTTTCTGACCCGTCAACATCGTAATTAATGAAGTGGCGACCCGACTTTACAGGCTGTATACCGGGGCTGTAACGCCCCCTGAAGTAGTAGCAGTATATGATTTCGCGTATTTCATACGGAAGAGATAGTATAGTTCCTGGCTGAGGTTCTATACTATATGCCCATGCTAGTGACTTTCGCCTCGTCAGTCACCTCATTGATGGACATGAAAAGCTTTTTAATGGACTTACATGAATTCCAACCTTCGGTGCTTCCGTTCTTGTTACGATCTCGCCACTATCAAGTCGATCCGTGACCTGTGAATTGGTCAGGACATTCAAAGTTTTGTTTGCTGATGAGAGCGTTTACCTCAAAGGCATCAAATTTGGGAGCTGGTTTGTCCGATATTTTCACCTCTTTCTTTCTTCGTCGACTAGAAGATGATTTCCCTTTAGTGGGAGCCATGATGAGTTTGAGGTGACAGAGAAGTCCGATTTCCGCTGGTATCCAAGAGAACCAAATCGCACACTCGAATCCAGAAATTGAGGCACATGCGGTGGTCTCACACGTATTCCAAAAGATGTTGCGTGAGCCACCGAAGATATTCAGTAAGAATAAAACAAGAGATACCGATTGGAAAAACCGCAGACGTTCGCGTCTCTGCCGATGATCAATGTTGAGTAAAGGAATTCATGAAGTATAATGAAGAAGTGCGCCTCGAAAAAATCGAAAGTTATAAGATGATTCAAGAATACAGCTGAAAGAAAAGAGGGGGGGGAAGGAAAAAGTCTCGGGTCGAGGTCGTGTTGACCAAGCATTCACACTACTTCACGCGAGTGGAAGTTTGGAGGAAGGAGCGACTTGATGCATGTCGGTCATAACCTCAACGCTGAACGAGAAACCCTAAGTGTTTGAAAAACCGCAATGACGAGCCAGACAGCCTGTGCTTGTAACTCACCTAATCGTTTCCATCATAGCTCTACTAACCCGTTACTACCTTCGCTTTACCCACGCCGACCTAGTAAAATTTCTTTCCTTCCCCTCCCGTTACCAACCCGTAATCCAGAGAAGGAAAGACGAGTATGAAATGATAAAAGCAGGAAAGAAAGAAGATGACAATATATACGTATAGTTGCCATCCATTATCATTATTTACTACTCCGTGATCCCGGAGGGATATTTTGCCATATACCTTAACGCCACTGCTATGCTAAATCCCAATGCTCTGCCGAGCTAACATCCCACCCTTAATTAACGCCATCAAAAGCCACAGACACTTCTCACCCTTTCTCACCTACTCATTTAAATTCAGGTTTCAACACCCATTTTGCCCTCATCATCCGTCCAGGCCCCTCCTCAAGCACAGCAATCTCCCTAAGCATATGCTTAAACTCCGTAGACTGCTGAGGCGTCTTACACATGTTGTTAAAATGATTAACTAACATCGCAGTTGGGACTTTCCCACCATGCGTACGGATGAATGTTTGGATCAACTTCATAAAGTCCTTGCCTCTTGGTGCTCGCTCGGTGGCGCCTGGCGTTCCCGATCGAGAACTACTTGCACTTGCATTGTTTGAGATTCCCTGTCTGTTTGCCAGACCAGACAAAATCCCGTTTGATCCAGGACCTGCCCCTCTACGGAGATTGGCCGGTCTACCAGCGGAACCAAATTCGCCAGTCCAAGTGACAGTGCCAGGAGCGACAGAACGTGCAGTCTCACCGGCTCTACGAAGTTGTTGAGCTGCTTCCGCGGCAATCTTCTTTGCTTCTCGCTCCAACATGCCGCGATCAGCAGATATCTTCTTCTTCCCGTTGATGATCTGGTCATGCTCAAGAGCGCTGTGAACACCGGAATTTGCAAAGATGCCTTCCATGAGTCGAGATTCACTGTCGGCGGGCTTGTCTTCGTCTGGATCACCCCTAAAGGCCTCGAGACTTGAAACGCCGTCGAATCTTAGAATCTCGTCATCTCCATGTGCTTCTTTCTTGACAGCTACCGGCGGGTTTGCATTATTGGCTGCATCTGCGGTAACATTATCAGAAGTCTGGTTAAACTGAACCTCAGTCCCTTTGAACATCTCGCCGGTCTCAGTTGTGCCGTCTTCTGTGCTACCAAGACTGAACAAGTCGTATAAGTCTTTCATTTGAAATGTCTGCCGCTGCTTTGGATCTTTTAATATCTTATTCGTCAAAAACTGTTTGAAAATTTGTCGATGATAAATCTTTTCCTCGATTGTACCAGCTGTCATCAGGCGAAATATGGTGACCTCCTTTTTCTGTCCCAGCCGCCAAGCACGCTCGCGAGCTTGTACATCCGTGGAAGGATTCCAGTCAGGATCGAAAATGATAACACGGTTGGCTCCAGTGAGATTGACTCCAAGACCTCCTACTTTCGTAGTAAGTAAGAATATATGCATATCCGGATCATTGTTGAAGCGATCCACAAGTGTTTGCCGATCCTTGACATTGGTGCCACCATCCATTCGCAGATAGTTGAAACCATCCAGGCTTTTAATAAATTCCTCGATGATGTTCAACATCTGAACTCCTTGGCTGAAAAGCAAAGTTTTGTGTCCCATATTTTTCCACATCTGTACGAGAGCCTTCACAACTTGCATCTTGCCTGATTTGTTTGGGTTTCCCCATTTGTAACCAGGCTTTCCTCTCAACCGGGGATCAAGCAGATCGGGGTGATTGCAGATTTTGCGCAAAATATCGATTCCGTATAGAGATTTCCGGGAGTGGTTCAAAATGGAAGTCATTTCGTCTGACGACAAGAACATTTCATAGGCTTCTCGCTGTGGTTTCGTGAGCTTGCAGAACAAGACCTGCTCACTCTTCTTTGGAAGATCTGCTGCTACGTCGACTTTCAATCTTTGCAAAAGGTATGGACTGATAGTAGCCTTCAAGGTTTCGGCACATTTAGTAGCTGTCAAGACTTGAAGATTAGTTGCATTGGCATATCCTCCAAGTCGAATGGGTACCTCAAAGGCTTGTCGGAAATTTACAAGTGTGCCTAGACGCATTGGGAAGACAAAGTCGAAAAGAGACCAGAGCTCGACGAGGTTATTCTGCATTGGCGTACCCGAAAGGATGACTCGATTCGGGGTTCTCAGCTCCTTGCAATGTATTGTGATGCCGGTATTAGGATTTCTAATCTTGTGTCCTTCGTCAAGAACAGCATAATCCCATTCTACAGGAATTAAGACATCCGCATAAGTTTGGAGACCCGCGTAAGTGGTTACAAGGACGTGGCCGTGCTCAACCACCCTGTCCACGATCTTCTGAGCAGATCTTGATGATTTTGAGGGCTTCTTGGTGGTATGACCGGTATACATTTCATCAATCTCCTCGTATTTTTCTTCTCGACCAACGTTAAGCATGCCACTACCGGAACTGTGCAGGATAGAAACTCGAAGAGGTGGCCACCAGCGATGGAATTCGTTAACCCATTGCCTCAGAACTGTGGCAGGCGCAACAACAATAATAGGCTTTGTTAATTTCTTGCTGTAGTGTAGGCCAGCCAAGAACGAGATGATCTGAATGGTCTTGCCCAATCCCATTTCGTCACCAACTATTCCCCCGACAGACTGCGAGTACAATTCTCCTAGCCATTGAACACCAGTCTTTTGATAGTCAAATAGAGCTGGGTATATGTCTCCGGGGAGTTTTATATCATTATCAAATTGGTGATCGGGGGCATCTGGACATGGCCTGAACCATTCCTCTTCATCAGCTTGTTCGGCGACCACCTCCTCCTCGCTACCTTGGTTTTGCTGTAATTTACGACGACGAGCAGCACTTCTCTTTTCAACCCAGGCTTTAAGTCTTTCTTGATACATGCTCTCATTACCGTCATCAATACCAGTAAGATCAACTTTCTCATCTACCGGCTGCGCTTTGCTCGGAGCTTTCCTTTTTGCAGTCCTAGATGTCATTAGATTTCCATCATCGTCATCCTCCTCAATGAAATCGTCCATATCCTCATCTGAGCCACCAGGTGTAAAATCATCTGCGCTGTCCTCTCCTGGTGAAGATTTTCGGGCTCGTGGCGTAGAGGTACTTGATGACACTAGCTTTCTCTTCTTTCGAGGACGTAGAGAGAATTCGCTGTCAGGAGTTGTAGTTCCGCTGATTGGAGCGTCTGCGAATCCAGGCAGACGTAAGTTCTGGTGCGACCTAGGCTCCGCATCTCCAGCTGCCGGTTGCTTTACCTCCTCTCCCTCAACTGCCTCTTCTTCCGCATCTAGTAAGACCTCCCGAAGGTCGCCATTTGCCTCTCGAGACTCTCTCACAGGCATGCGCGAAAATGGTGTAATTTTACCGGTACGGATGAGAAAATCTCTCTGGCTCTCGTTGGGCAGCCGCTTATTACCGCTGGCAGCGTCGGCTGGCTGGTCTTTGGTTTCATCGAACTGATGTCGTTCCTCCACGCGCGCTTGTATGTCCGAAATGTCTTTTTTGGACGCCGCTATTTCACTATCGAGTCTGCGAATCTCCTCTTCGCACCGTCCGCGCATCAACGGATTATTTGCCAATGTATTCAGCCGTCGCTCTTGCGTCCTCTTCTGCCCTTCAAGCTTGACAATATTGGTTTCGACCTTTTCTATTCGTTTCTGATCCCTCTCATCTTCTTGCTCAATCATCACAATGTTGGCTTGGTGAGTGATATCCCTCTCTAGATCCTCTTGGTCCCGCACATTCTCTGTCAAGTCTTTCAACAAGCTAGCTTCGTCCTCCGCGGAATGGCCCATCGTGGGAAGTAGTCCAGTGGGAGCGTCATCATCTGAGACCGCATTGTCAGCGACAACAGCAGCAGCTTCTGCAATGGTATCTGTATTTTCTCTCTTGAGCTTGACGTGATTCGCAGAAGAGGATCCAGCCTTGGGTTCGGTTGTCCCAGGCGCTTCGGAGGAGTCCATCGTAGGCGCCTCTATATTCGCCGGCGGAGGATCGTGAAGAGAAGTCGACGATGCGTCGAGCCGCAAGAGTGTTTATAGGCGACAGGACCTGCATCTGCAAACCGAATGTGAGTGGCAAACAGTACTCTCTTGAAGTTGTAAATGAGGAATATGAATCTCGAGTAAGGTGAAGTATCTACGGTCGGCACATACTTCTGTAGTCGACGGCAGAAGTGAAGGCAGTCGTATAGTTGCAGTGACCATGTCGAGACAAAAAGAAATCGTAGCCTTGAACTGCGTCATACTCAGGTCGCGTTGCGCCCCTCCAGTCCGAGGATCACATTTTAAAGCAGCACCAGATGTTTACTTAGTTTTCCATAACTCATAGACAGTATTGATTAAGCAGTAGGAGTAAACTGGTCTTAGATATGTCCATATTTGATATTTGCTTGATCTTTGAAGAAGGCAACTATTATAAATTAGCAGGATCCTGGAAATTTGTAGTTGCAAAGTTGATAGCCATATTGGCTGCTGCTTTTGTCAAATGCAAGCACTGATGCGAAGTCACATGAATTCGTGAAGGCATCAAGTTGAAGATGCATTATTGTTATTGTACTATAGAAATATTGACTAATTTTAAAGATTGATTAACCTGTCAAGCATTAAGCAGAGACTTTGTATGCGACATGATTAGAGAGACTTCCCCATTAGATAGTCTATAATGGTCTGTCCACTGACACGACGATATAAAGGAGATCAGGAATCGCGATTGTGAAAAGACCTATAGGGTTACCCAGCACCTCAACTGCCGGAAGTCATGTCAAGTTTTCATATACTCTCGGAATACAACGAATTAGTCTAGTCGCGAGAATCACCTGTGTTCTTGACGCTCAAGAATCATCAGACACCGGCAAGTCATAAGCTGTGGACTTTGGTGGCTACAATAGAAACCTCCTGGAAAAGGATTGGTCAACCATCAGCAAGTCTGCTTAAGTCTAACAAATTTCCAGAAAGGGACAACAGGAGGAACAGATCCCGTTGGCCATGCATAAGCAATACCTACGTATCTGTTTCCGAAAATCTACAGTGGCAGCTAAGCGAGCGCCGATCGAAGAATGGAAGCGGAGATATGAAGAACTGTAGAGAAAGAGCGGGTTCCTCAGTTGATTATACAATATACAGATTGTGGATTCAATTTCAAGAAAACTCGGCAACCAGCTGCGCTTGAGCTCGATTGATAAGTACTTTTACATTGGAGAGTGACAGAGTGTAGGTTGAACCATAAGGGTGTTGATAGTTGAGCAAAAAAATAACTGGCAACAGACAAGACTCCGCTCACTCAACGGAGAAGATATATCCAGAGCGTTGCAAACGGCAGCTCGTAAGATAGATGCTGCGTGCGTTGTTGGCAAGCTGAAACTTATATTTGTATCGCGTTTCATGGTGGCTTGCATATTGGCATTGTGCAGGGTCTCAAAACAGAATACAACGTTAGTTTGAAAAAGGGGGGGGTAACTTGAGAGGGGCTGGCAATAGTACGACCAAGTTTCATGCTACGCAAACAACAGCATTGTTATCATGGCTTGGCTTATAAACGCAACAAAGCTATTGAGTAGTTTTCGCTCTTGTCTCGTTGGATTCGTGAAATCCTGATAGGTACCTATTGCGCATGTTCGTTGTCCGGTCGCCTCGACATATAAACCCTACGGCGGTCGGCAGCGCTTCCACTCCACGCGCTAAACCCGTCAACCTCCAACGAGTACCGTGCCATTCACTCCAAAATACAGCTCTCCCGATTCCCATCCTCGAACCCTCATCAGCCATAATCCCCTCGATATGAATCGTTGACGGCCACGATCTTCTCGTTAGGCTCTTTCTGCCTCCCTTGAGAGGCTTCAAACTCGACTGCGACGCGTTTCCATCTGACTGGAGGTTCGTGGCTCGACAGGCTCGATCCGCGGTTCTGACACCAGTCTCCTTTGCTTTCGACGTCCGCCCGGCCAGCCAACGTCGTGCGATAGCAGCGACACCACTCGCTTTTTCCGAGTCGCCATGGACCAGTGGCAGCAGTTTTCCGAGTCAGGGGGGTCGTCGAGGAGATACAATGGGAACCCCCCACCAAGCCAGCAACAGCCGCCCATGTCGCGAGATTACAATGGAAATGCCCAAGCTTACAATGGTAACGGGAGCACCCAGGCCCAAGCCCAACCACAACCCCCCGCCGGATTCACCTACGAGCAATATCAAGGAGCGCTGAATGCGCATCCTCAATCTCTGACAGCTTCACCCGCAGCAACTCCTCAGATGCGAGACGGCAACGGCGACGTAGCGATGCAGGACGCTGGAGACCCGTATAGTGGCATGAAATATCCCATGCGGCCTCATCACCAGCAGCATCTGTCTGGTAGTCGAGCGCCTAGCCACCATTCTACTCATGAGCCATCTGCTGCCGCTCAACGTTATTCTCCCATGGAGACTTTATCACCAAGTTCTCCATATGCGCCGCAACAAGGTCAATATGCCGCGCAAGGAAACCGACAATCTCCTACCCGACCTGGTACCTTTTCATCGCCCACATCGTACTACACAAGCAGACAGCAGGCACAACAATTACCTCCAATCACCCCTTACAACTCCTCTAACAACGAGAGCTACCCTTCATCGGCGACTGCGCAACTCAATGCAGTCTTTGGGAACGACCCCAAATCGCCTCGTCGACCGATCTCGCAATCTGTTGGTCCTCCAGGTCGAGGACCCGTTCCCGAGTTCACAAAGATCCGCGCCATGACTGATTTGCAGCCAAAAGTCAATGCCCAGCCAGCTTTCAGAAGAGCGAATCCTGAGGGAGGCTTTATCAGCGTCAGTGATGTGCTACCTGCACCTGAGATTCGTGCTAATTTTTGATAGCCCCTACAAGCGCTAACGAGCCATCTCCCGTCTACTTATCGAATCTGCAATCCTAGTTTCAAATACGAATCTTCTCGGAATCCCCGCCGAGTCCTTACCAAGCCTAGCAAAGGAACCAAAAACGATGGTTTTGATAACGAGGACAGCGATTACATATTATATGTGAACGATATCCTGGGATCGGAAGAGACAGGTCATAAGTACGTTTGAGCTTGAATTCCTCGAATGTATAGCTGGTGCAATCCTCTAACGGGTTAACAGGAATCGTTATCTTATTTTAGACGTCCTCGGCCAAGGTACCTTTGGACAAGTTGTCAAATGCCAGAATTTGAAAACACAGGAAGTTGTGGCCGTCAAAGTGGTGAAGAATAGAACAGCATACTTCAATCAGAGCATGATGGAAGTTTCTGTACTGGATTTGGTGAGGAAATTACTTTTCCAATTCTTTCCCTATTCTAATTTTATTCCAGTTGAACACAAAACTTGATAAGAATGACGATCATCATCTTCTCCGGTTGAAGGACACTTTTATTCATCGCCAGCATCTTTGTTTGGTATTTGAACTACTGAGTGTCAATTTGTACGAACTTATCAAGCAGAACCAGTTTAGAGGGTTAAGTACCACCCTGGTGAGAGTGTTTGCGCAGCAACTATTGAACGGGCTCTCTTTGTTGAATAAGGCCCGGCTCATTCACTGCGATCTGAAACCAGAAAACATCCTTCTAAAGAATTTGGAAAGCCCAATCATCAAGATCATCGATTTCGGGTCGGCATGCGACGAACGTCAGACAGTGTATACGTATATCCAGTCCAGATTCTACAGATCGCCAGAGGTTTTGTTAGGACTACCATACTCTTCTGCCATCGATATGTGGTCCTTGGGATGTATCGTTGTTGAGCTCTTCTTGGGTCTTCCCCTTTTCCCTGGCTCCTCAGAATACAATCAAGTATCTAGGATAGTGGAGATGCTTGGCAACCCACCCAACTGGATGCTTGAAATGGGAAAACAATCTGGGGAGTTCTTCGAGAAAAGGCACGATGTCGATGATTATGGAAGACGAACATACCACCTCAAAAGCATGGAGCAATACTCTCGTGAGCACGGGACAAAGGAACAGCCAAGCAAGAAATACTTCCAAGCTACCACACTGCCAGAAATTATTCGCTCTTATGCGATGCCACGGAAGAACATGAAGCAAAGTGAAATCGACAGAGGTAAGTCCCTCAATCGAGGCTTAAGTACGGAATCACGAGCTGACACTGCGTAGAAATGAATAACAGAGTAGCATTCATTGATTTTGTTCGAGGTCTACTCAACATCAATCCGCTTGAACGGTGGTCTCCACAACAGGCGAAACTCCATCCCTTCATCACACAACAGAAGTACACTGGACCCTTTGTGCCGCCCATGAACTTGAAGTCTAGTTCCGTGAATAGGTCACCGGCTCCAGGAACACAGCAACAGCAGCAGGCTGAGGCCCTTAGTAAACAACGGGCGCAGGCGGCAGCTCAAACAATCTCAGCGCAAGCTCATTCAGCGGCTGCAGCCCAGACACAATATCCCACTGGCGCTCCCATGGGACAGTATCCTCAAACAGCTCCTCCACAGCAACAACAAGGACCACCAATATATAACAACATGTACTCACCAAATCCAAACCACCAAGGTGCCCCTCCACCATATCCATCTCAACAAGGTGGGCCATACAATCAGATGAATATGATGCCACAACCACCTGCGCCAATGTCAGGTCAGTATGTGACTGGACCACCGCAGCAGCAAAGTTTGTACCAGCAAGCCAACATCCGAGCAGCTGGACGTCAACGAGCTACTACGATGGAGGTTCAACAAGGCGGGATACCTGTTACTATTCAAAGAGTAGCTAGTCACCTTGATCCGAATGCTCCAATCCGCCTGCAACCAAGTCCTGCTTACTATCCACCACCGCCAGATGGAGCTCCTGATGGGAATCCTGGAAGCGCACGCAGGAGAGGCAGTAGAGCTGCCGCCCAAGGTGGGCAGCAGCAGCAAGGTGCTAGAAGCAACCGTGATTTCATCCGGAACTTGGAGGACCGAACGCTGGAGGAAGGATTCATGGGACAAGCTCAATGGCATTGAACTCAGCTTACAACTTATGTGCCTGCAAAACGCAGGCACTACCATTGACGTCATTTTTTTTTCTTGTTAACAACCTAAGCTTTCAACCCTGTTATTGCTCGCGCGTATTGGTTACTTGCTGGTAACTTTTGATGCAATATAGCTTGGGTGCAGAATGATGTTGTCGTCAACACGTTGATAGCAGTTATGATCTTACAAATACCCCCTGGAAAGTAGGAAAAACATAAAGGAGAAGTTTGCAGACATGCAAGCCTTGTTGGTTGCAAGATGCATAGGAAAGGTCAACGAAATTATTATCTTCCCGAAAGACATTGCCTTTTTCCCAATGTTCTTTTAATGGCTAGGTCTTCGGCAAGGTATAGCGGGGAAAGAACAATTGGGACGACACGGTGGATTAAGCGATTCGTGAAAACTACTTTATGTGGTGTATCAAGGCAGATGGAACGGGCTAGTCTCTTGTCTTGACGGGCTGCGAGAGGGGACTGGTTCTTTTGAGTGGGGAATTCATTCTATGTAATTTATTGAATCATTGCATGGACATTATTGGAGCGTTTTGAGCATATCATTGACGAGTTTTCTCTTTTGGAATATCGTATTGGTTTGCAGTATCGCAATTGTGCTGTGAAAATGGAGTGGCTTGATTTTTCACCGTCATGGTTTACTCATCGGACCTGGTGGACGTAGGTGACTTATGATTAGGTATGGGATCTTCAAGAGGACGTAGATCATCACAAACTTCGACGACGAAGGAATCTATGATGAATTATCATCAATAACAATGTAAAATATGCACTAGTAACTCGGTCTGGACGTCCTTCTCTCGCCTATCACAATCACAGATGGAATAAGCTATATGTGTCTCATCTAACATAGTTGCTTACATCCAACAATACTTTCCTCATTCAAGATGATTCGCTACGACAAATACACCCGCACGCCCTTGAATGTTCCGATATCATGAGACCCCTACACTGCAAAATTGCTGGTTGATGTTGTAAAGACAAGTTTGATCAGGGAAAGCTGGTGTTGAGATATAGTGTTTAGTACACTTCTGCTATATCGTTTCCGAAATGTGTTAGAACATGGTGCGGTTTGAGTGGCAAGATATTTGACTCTTGGTGTTTAATGGTATGGTGAGATGGTTTAGAAGTATTTCTCGTCTCTACAGGATTGGTTTTTGAATTATATTTATCTGTGCGTTTTAAAATCGGAGTTTTGTAAGAGTGGTACTAGTTATTTAATGATGTAAATTTTGCTTAACGAGATGACATATTATTTGTTTATAAAAAATTCATGTACGCGAACGAGATGTTTATATGTGTTTATTTAGTTAATCTAGCTTTGATGGGCTAGGGAAAATAGACCTAGCTTCATGATTGCATTACAGTCAAGAGGGGTTTTTTATTCTCCGGAGTCTGGGAATTTTATATTCGTGGATTTCATTTACATAGTAGACTTTCAAGAGAAACTTTCGACGAATCCCTCGGACAAAGAATAACGCTTTCGTGCACATACCTTTCATTTATCCAAATCACAGGTATAACAATAATCAAAACCCAAATAGTTCATCTCCATCATTCCATCCCAGCCTACCCAAGAAATTTACTCTCACTCTTTACTCTAGGCGAGGTTTGGGTTATAGCGGTTTGCTTCAGGTGTTGATATTTGTTCGAGTTTTGGGGGGACCAGGGGGTTCAAGTTGGAGATAATCGTGGATTCGTGGTCATAACCTTATTTGACTTCAGTGGTGGGAGTTGAGGATGATCGAGGGGAGAATGTGTTTGTTGATTTCTTCTACACGTGCTATTAAAGGAATCTGATCACATATGCGGGTTTTCATGAATTGAGGAAGCAACAGATCTATATTACTGAACCGCATCGACTTTTGAGCTTAAACACAAGTGCTTTACATAGATAAGCGGCTTATTGGTATGACTATCTGCTGAGACATAAGGGATCCTGGGTTTAAAGCTGGTTGGCTTTTTGAGGATTAGGATTTTACTGTACGAGCAGGGTGTTAAAGCCTAAGTGAAATGTTGATCTAAATAGTTGTGCGCTAGGAGGTGGCTAAGGTGGTTTGAAGTGTATGGTATTTTTTGCTACCGTTGCTGAAGTTGTATATATCAGGCTGAGAGTTTAAATATAAGGTGTATCACAAGACGAATGAGCGACAGAGTCTAGTGTATATAATGTGACGCATGTAGTAGTATTTTAGGTCAGAGAAATCTGATAGTGAAATTGAACGGTTAGCTCTAATCTCAGAAGCGTGACGTTGTAAATTAAGATAGGGTTAGAAAGTTAAAAGTATTAGTATGGTGAGGGATAGTTGTTAGATTTTCGGAATACTAGAGTTAATTATTATAGCTCCTCTAAGCCTAGTTTTCAATCTATTGTTACTTCATGAATAGGGTAAACATCTAGTTCTCTGCATCCGCCCACTTCTTTAAAAATTTGCAAGAATAGTAACCGGGATGTGTTTATATCTACCGTGTGTTGGAAACTTAGCTTTGCATAGCAAAGTTAGAATGTGAGATGGTTGTGGTAGTCCTCATTTCCAATAGTGAAAGTATTAGTAAAAAAAAATCGGGTTTAAGTAGAAATGTTTTTGGAAGAAATCAATATGGAGTAGTAATAGTCGGCATAGAAATTTGTAGAGCTCCTTTGCCTTTGACTACTGACATAGCTCAACGCGACTTGGAAGCTTCCAACTCGTGAAGTGCCATTTGATTTCGAAACACGTTTCAAAATCTAGGATCCTTCCTACCTGCATAAGGCGGTCTGGATTCTTGTTGCATCGTGGGATTTTCTGTACAGTATGCAGCGTACGACGATCACATGCATGTCATGAGGATGCCGGATACCCTCCCATGCCCCGGTAGTAGAAGCTTGGACGTTTTTGGAGATGAGATGGATATATATTATTATATGTTATATGTTATATTTAAAATGATTGAAGCGGGAGTATAAGATTAGATGTAAAGGAGTTGCGGGAAGGAGGTTTGGGTTTACGGATATCTGCAGAAAGAGTCTTGTCGTCACGATGCAGGTCGGATGTATGGAGTACTGTTCTAGAAGGAAACGCCGTGACACTGCAGGTGATGACTGCAGATTGGATGGAGGGGAGTCGTTCGTTCTGAATATGGTGTCTGTCAGAGTGAGTCAGAGTTGTATGGGCACGGGATGGTGGTGAGTTGGAATGGGTTGCGAGACTGTGAGTAGTGAGGAGAGGTGGAAATAGGGGTCGGATTTAAAGGGGGTGGTTCGCTTGCGAGTTCAGTTCTCGTGGCGACGGATAAGCTATGATTCTGGGAGCAACCCTGATCTCGAGCTTTGGTGCAACGGCTTCGGGCTTGGTCGCCGAGATAGATATCTTTGGATACAAGTCTTCTGGTGCACCAGAGGCACTCTACCAGTCAGCAACCCGATCCTTCGTTGTTAGATGTGCTTGTCCATATTCTCAAACCTCACCACCACGAAGGAGCGATAGAGTATTCAGCCCCTCTTGTCTTTCGATAACGGCTGCAAGGCGGTCCTTCGAGTCTGGAAAACGTGGTAGGGCGTTGCAATGGAGGGATTGGATAGCGCCTGTGCCACTGATGCGGAGAGATACTGCGATGACCACAGCTGGGTTTGACCAGAAAGGGAAGTATCAGCCTGACTCACTTGCGCAGCATCGTGACAGTCATTGTGTTGGCACTGGCATCACCGAGTCGGGCGTTGATATTTTGGGTGGAATGAGGCAATGTTCTAGGCCAACCTCAAGGGTTGAATAATGGTTCTGATAGTTCGTGTTTGCTTTTGCAAAAACAAACATTTGGCGATGATTGAAGAGTGGAACGGACCGGACATTTCAGATGAAAAAGTTAAAAGAAACACGGCCCATCCTCGAGCAGAACAGGAGCAACTTACTGTATTGTTGAGCGTGTTTGATATGATATGGCTGTTGGTCCTTGCTCTTCGTGGCAACCGGAATCCGGGATGATCTGATCGTGTTTTATTTTTACGATATCATATGCGCCAGTCGTTGCGTTTGGTACAGATCGTTTGTGGTACAAACCGCCAGATATGTGTGTCTTGAGGCGAAGATGATGGCCCCTTTTCAGCCACGATATGTGGGATATGTTTCGATTCTGGGCTGTGCTGGCGCAACATTGAGGTGTGGGAGGCATGCTTGGTACGATGGTAGTGGTGGTGGTGGTGAGAAGGGGTGTGGAAGATGTAGAGAACACCTATGAGAATGTGAGTGAAAGCTTTAGCCAGAAAAAGAAAGAAAATATTTTCAAATCAAGTCGATACTTCTCAATTTAGCAAGTAAACATATTCTGTCATAATTCCTAGACTATGTAGCTACGCACGTATTGCAGGTCAAACAGAATTCGTGGACAATGTACTTGTCGGTGCACGTATTTCATGATGACCCTTCTTGGCCTTGGATGCTTTGACAATTATCTCCGTCGAGGTCTTTTTGGATGTCGCACAGCAAGAAAAGAAGAACAAAGAAGATAATTAGAACACTTACAATCGATTCTTCATCGATTCACCTTTATACAAAAAATAAAAATATAAGTTTCCAGATAAATGTTTGTTCGCTACATTTCCTAGCCCTCTGGCAAGCCAATCACCGTCAGCCAATCGCAAAAAAGTGGACCCTAATTAGGGCGCAAGTAGTCCGGGACCAAAGGCATGTATCCCAAATTTCTCGACGGCTCTTTTTCTTCCTCCTCATCCTTTCTGACCATCTCAGAACAAACCCGCAAGATCCCCCACGAATACTAATCCGGCGACCATCTTCTATTTTGTAGAAGATCTCGCGGCAGGAATAGTCTCCTTCGATACTTTTATACAGTAATCGGCATAATCACCATCGCGCATCCGTTTCGACGTCTCGCTGCGACCTCCACTCCTTGAAATTCACCCAGGAAAAAAAAAGGGCGCCTGTTTCCCAGGCAGTCTCCTCACACAACCTGAGAGATCCGATTCACTTCGACCATCTCAACAAATCTCCACTCTTCGCACTGCATCGCATTCTTCTTTAATAGATTCGATCAAATTTGAGATTTGGTTGCCTTCTGCGAAGGTTTTCCCCGTCCAAAGACAATCACGATACGTCATACAAACTCAACTTCGTCCAACAAACCACGAGAGGTCATCTTCGAAAAACTTCCCCATATGACTTCAGTCTCTCAACAATCTTCAATCCCAAGCCAGGCCTCCAACACCTCCAACGCTTCGCAGCCCACCCTGTCGTACGCATCCACCGCGAAAAAGGCAGTCGCGTCGCCACCGATCGCGACGGGCTCCTCGACCCCATCACCCGCCGTGGCTATCGGAGGGTCTGCGCCGGTGCAGCAACATGGAAAGTCTTCGTCGATTTCGCCTGTGAATGGCAGAACGTCAATTCCTCCAGCTGTTCCGGCGGTTGCACCTGCTATTGCCCATAGCAGTTCTGCAATCAACGGAGGCGCGACTGATCACAGCCGCAAGTCTTCGGTTACCATCAGCGCAACTGGTCCATCTGGATATGTCGCGAACGGCGGCCCTGTAGGTGGTTCAAAGGGTGGAATACAATTCGGGTCGATTACAGATTCTCCAGCGGCCTCGCATAGCACTCCACAGATCGCCCAAAGTTCATCGGCACCAATCGCGATCCCAAATCCCCGAGTAACATCCCCTGCTCAATCACCTTCACCAATTCCTCAACCTTCAGCCAGCGGTGGGAAACCACCTTCTGGTTTGACCGGCCCAAACGCGGCTCCTACTTTTGGTAGCTTTAACGGTGGCGATGGCGAGGTAAGTTTTGCTCCTTCGGCTAATATAGTTTCTCTTCGTTTGCTAATGTTTTGTGTTTCGCAGCGTCACATGCGACAAGCATCCGGAACCCAGGGTCCCGCGCAAGGCAACACACAAAGCGGCCATCAGCGCCGCGAGTCCCAGTCGAACCACGACATGAATAACCAAAATACGGGCGCGAATCCTCGCGGCGGATATGGAGGCGGTCGAGGTCGAGGCAGCTTCAACGGCAACAATTCTCAGTATCCACAACAGATGGGATATCCTCCTGCCAACGGCAACAACGGATACAACCGCAACCCAGGGCAGAGTCGTGGTGGGATGGGCAACCCCATGGCTGCTCCTTTCCAAAATCCAGGAAGACCATTCCCCAACTCTCCACATCAAGCTGCTCGCAGCCCAGCATTGACTCCATCGCTGCCAGGCACACCAAACATGAACCCGACGATGCCCAGCATGGGCCCTCAGCAGTATGGCGGTTACGGATACCAGCACATGCCTCCTCAACAAGTACATCCCCACAATTCACATTACAGTCATGAGCAAAATTCTCACAATTCTCAATACAACAATTACAAGAGAGGTAGCGGCAAAGGCAGCAACAAGAAGCGATTACCCGAAAAGCACTCGTATCACAATCCTAATCACAGTCGACGAGGAGATTCACGAGAGCTTTTCGGCCATCAAATCATGCCTGATTATCGATATCCTGCCGAACGCCGTTATGTTCAACATGACTCGGGAAACCTGCAGTCACCACCTTTGAGTTATTCAGGTGTTGGTCCTGATATGCCAAAGCAGCAAGTCAATGGACCACCGCCTGAAGCTCCACCGGTCGATTTACGACGCTCGTCCGATGACAGAACTACTTCCCCCATCTTTCCCCCTCTTCCCTCCCTTCTCTTTCCTGAACTACCAAAGCTCGATCCAAAGATCAATGACTTTTCTCCAGCAAGTGGCAATTTCGAGGAATATCTAACAGTGAGACAGCAGAGTTACGGTTATCCACCCCAACAACAATACGATCCGCGAGCGATGCAGATGGCAAACCAGTACATGTACCCTCAAATGGGTTACATGGGTGGACCACCTCCACAGTCCCCACAACCGGGCTACCAACAGCCACACCAGTCGTATATTCCAGGACAGTACGCACCGCAACCGATGTCCCGAAACTCGTCGCAAATGTCTTCCGACCCAAGACCTGCCTCGAGCATGGGCCAACCTCAAACCCCATCAATGGTGCCGTCTATCTCGCACCAGCAAGCTCCTCAATCCAAGGTACCCTCGGCGCAGTCACCAGCATTTACAAGAACTGTTCGGAAGAGCGCGGCTATTGCCATCAAGCGACCCGATACAGGCGATGTTATTGATGTAGACTCAATCAAGGTGCCAGCTTCTCCAGCCCCAAGCAACCGTGCTAGAACACCACCAGTGATCGCTTCCACCCCAACTCCACCACCAAAGTCTGCAACTCCACAGCACAACCGCACCGATAGTAGCGCCCCTGCAAAGACATCTGAGCAGATCAAGGCTGAGATTGCTGAGAAGGTAAGAAAGGCTGCTGCCAGCGACAAGGCTGAAACCGAGAAAGCTGCTGCTGAGACCAAGGCAAAGGAAGAGCAAGCTGCTAAGCTTGCTGAGGAGAAGAAAGTCGCAGAGGAGAAGGCTAAGGCGGAAGCAGAAGCTAAGGCGGCACAGGAGGCTAAGGATAAAGAAGAAGCCGACAAGAAAGCTGCTGAAGCCAAGGCCAAGCAAGATGAAGAAGATGAGCTCGAACGACAGATTGCTGAGATGGAAGCTGCTGAGGCCGAACGAGAGAAGAAGGAAGCTGAAATGAACGAGAAGCGTGCCGCCGAAAAGGCTGCTGCTGCCAAGAAGGCCGAGGAGGAGAGGAAGAAGAACGCTGAAGAGGAAGATCGTAAGCTCAAAGAGCAGGAGCGCGAAATGGAGCGCATTGAAGATGAGCGTGAAGCAAAGAGGGCTGCGGCCGAAGCAAAGGGTGCCGACAAGGGGGACATAAAGAGCCAAATCAAGAACGCCATGAAGGGCGAGACTGAGAAAGACGCTCCTACAACTCCAGCTACATTGGCATCTTCATTGTCGAACCTTACTTTGGGCACCGAAAGTGGAACTTCCACACCAGCTTCCAACGAGTCGATGGGCCCACCCCCACCAAAAGCTGGCCCAGCAAGCAAGAAGGTACCTGCAGCTCTCAACCTTGCTCCTCTTAACACCAAGCCTGTCGAGGCTCCTCAACCAAGTGCTGCTCTTCAATCTTTGAAATCTGCTCGTTTCCTTACTGCGATCAACCCCGCGTTGTATCCTTCCAGCATCAACTCACCAAACCCTGCGCTCAACTCTGCTGTTGCCGCCAAGGGAAAGAGCTTCAAGTACGACAGTGCTTTCTTGATGCAATTCCAAAAGGTCTTCACCGAGAAACCATCTATGGAATTCGAGTCCCAGATCAAGGCTCTTATTGGTGATGGTGACGCAGGTTCCGCTAGATCAGCCTCGACCCGAGGCGGTGGTGGGATGGGCCCCCGATCAAGCTCTACTCGTGGCAACGCACCGGGTGCTTTTGCTATGGGTTCATTTGGTCAACCTGGTGGTAAGACTCTTCCACCAGGAACAACATCAGCAGAGCGATTTGCTATGACCAATGGCTCAATGCCACGACCAGCTGTCAACCCAATGGCTTCATTCAACCGCCCTGGTGGTGCTTTCCCAGGTGGTAACGCCATGACTCGCAACCCATCCAGCTCCGGTATGGGCTACAACATGCCCAGCTCCCCTCGACAACAGAGCCGATCTCAACGAGGTGGAAGCAAGCGTGACAGCCACCAAGGTGGTGGTAATCCTAAATCCGAGGCTCAAGCTGCAAAGACTATGCCACTTACCGCTGGTATGGACTTGAAGCCCATCAAGGTCTCTGCAACCGGATGGAAGCCTCGCAGTCTTGCTCAAACATCAGCTACTGGCGCTGCTGGACCAACCCCAGGTGCTGCTGGCGGCAACGGCCATATGGAACCTGACATGGTTCAACGTAAGGTCAAGGCTGCATTGAACAAGATGACTCCAGAGAAATTCGACAAGATTGCCGATCAAATTCTCGCCATCGCCGCTCAGTCCAAGGATGAAGATGATGGACGTACTCTTAGACAAGTTATCCAGCTTACCTTCGAGAAAGCTACGGATGAAGCTCATTGGGCTTCTATGTATGCCAAGTTCTGCAAGCGCATGTTGGAAACTATGAGCCCTGATATCAAGGACGCAAACATTACCGACAAGAATGGCAATATCGTATCCGGAGGTAACCTTTTCAGAAAGTATCTTCTCAACAGATGTCAAGAGGAGTTCGAACGTGGATGGAAGCTTGACTTACCAGATAAGCCTGATGGAGAGCCTGGAGACGAGAAATCTGCCGAAGCTACCATGCTTTCTGATGAGTACTACATTGCCGCTGCTGCTAAGCGACGTGGTCTCGGTCTTGTTCAGTTCATTGGTGAGCTGTACAAACTTAGCATGCTTACGGAGCGTATCATGCACCAATGTGTGCAGAAACTTGTCGACTACACTGGCATTCCTGATGAGGCTGAAATTGAATCATTGACCAAACTATTGAAGACAATTGGTCACAACTTGGACAGCACCGAGAAGGGTAAGCCAATGATGGATATCTACTTCCAGCGCATCCAAGGTATGGTCGACACACCAGATCTTCCAAGTCGTCTGCGATTCATGTTGATGGACATCATCGATCTCCGAAAGAAGAACTGGACTTCCAAGGAGCAAAACAAGGGCCCTAAGACTCTTGATGAAGTCAGGGTTGAGGTATGTTCACTTCCTACTGCCACGCAATATAATTTACTAACTTCTTATAGGCTGAAGCTGCTGCTGCTGCAAAAGCGGCTGAGAATGCTCGTGGTCCTCGCGGAGGTGGCGGTGGTGGTGGCGGCGGTGGTCGCATGCAGATGGGACGCGGTGACTCGAGGAATTTCTCCAACCAGTACGGGAATCAACCACCAGTTGACTACCAAAAGAACACCGTTGGTATGGATGATCTCCGTCGTCTAACCAACAAGGGTGGAGCGAACAGAAACGCCAGCGCCAACATGTCGTTTGGCCCAACATCCATGTTCTCCTCGAGAAGCAACAGTGGTCGAAAGATGCCAGGAGGTGCATTTAACAGAACCGGGGAAGATTCCGGCGCTTCTTCGAGAACAGGCACACCACCTCAACAAAAGGAAAAGGAGTCTGCTACTTCAGCAAATGCATTCAGGTATGTTGCACCAGCATGATCCTACATTACCATTCTAACAATTACATAGTCTTCTTGCAGGATTAGGTTCTGGCGAACCAGAAAACCCAGCGTCTCCACCTTCGACTTCCGTTTCTCCTGCACTGTCCAAGGCAACTCCTGCACCAGCTGAGAAGCCCGAAGACAAGAAGGATAACGAATGAAGAGTATGATCAACATAATATCCCCAAAAGTTGTTCTGGAGCTACCCTAATCTTTGTGTATACACCGACTGGTTAAACTTGCATTTTGCGGAACGGCCTTTTCTAATTGTGTCTTAAAAGTTCTCTTATTCTGTCTTATATGATACCTCAGCCCGACATAGACTACATCGTGCGCCATCAGATCTCTTCTTTCGTCCTGGGCATACTGGAGGGAGGGTGTGCGGGAAGACAGGTTGCTTGTTCGCATATTTCCTTTGGGCTGGCAGGATTTGACACTATACCGCCGGATATCGACCGTCGACGTCAACGACCCAAAAGCTTTTTGTGTTAATACTTTCCTTTCTCTGTTACTGTGTTGTCGTTGTCTTTTTTTTTGCGAGAAATCTGTTGCTATCACTCGCATGCTGGGGCAAGGTTTCGAAAAATCTGCGTTGCATCTTTTGCGTCTTTGGACCCGGTTCTTCGATCTCTTTTTAGACACTATTTCGCCATGACGAATAGTCAAAATCTGTGGGGTCGTTTTTTGAGGTTTCCTCTCATGTCTTATCGAATGCATGCGTCTCTTTCCTTTTCTAGCGGTGGCCTGGCTGGCTTGGTTTTGTAATTTGTTGGGGTGGATGGAATAATGGTTATGTGCCTGCAGTTTGGGGAACAGGGGATAGCCAAGGCGTCGAATGGGTGTTAATCCGTCTGATATGAAAGGAAGGCTGGTCGCCAACAGTCTCTTCTTTTCGTAGATGGGAGATGCATCACTGGGAGCTCGACGCGCATGGGGAGGAATTGGGATGAAAAGACACATTGTACAAATATTAGATTCGCTTCCGATCATGCCAGCCAGCTTCGTTATTAGTATAAAATCAAATCTTCAAGAAATCTTGGTGTTTTCGTGATGTGAGACTGTGATGCCATCCGCCTTTGTACGATCCTCAAGTATCTATCAAAATATTTTGCTTCTCTATAAGTAAACTATCCTTCTAAGCCCCACAGACCCATCCATTGACCACGCTCCAACATAATACACAGTCATTTCCCCTGTTGCATATTCCTGCCCATATAATCCACATGTACCATAACCATAAGCATCTCCGACAATCTCATCGACTCTAGATTTACAGCTTCCCATTCTCTAACGACACGGGGGTGTGGAAAAGGTAGGGATATCTTAGATATCGCTGTACTCATGTTTTAGTTCTCCTATAACAGCAGACTATGTCGTTGAGATGTGAGGCTGGCTGTTGGAAGGGTGAGATCTTGTGGTTAGTCTGTTAATCTATTAGTAGGTTCTCTGATATGTTTGTTGGTTCTAGGTATGAAATTAGAAGATCGATTATGTCTATTGTAGACAGTTACTAGGCAAACCGGTGTAGATTGTAAAGGCGCTAATGATAGGCAAGACCGAGAGTGGGTGGTTACTGTGCGCAGGAGATGACTGAACATCACAGCTCAATCAGGCACTCCAAAGCGGTTTGAACCACTCATGGCACCATAATCAAATAAATAGAACTCAATTACTTTTTCTCTTATTTATTTTTAAATCCTATTGGTACATCTGTAGCATTATTTACAACTTTCCATTGTGCGCGCTGTTTTCTGCATTTTTCCAATGGAGAAGACTAGACCTCGTCCCAAATATGGTATCTCCTCTTCCTTCATGTCCAAGACCAAGAATCCAAACACAACATGTGCATATGGTCGCAATATCGCCTGAATGGGTATACCGGCGGCGTGGATTATATAACTCCCGAACTAGACCCCGTTTGAATATTCAAAGGAATTTTTTGAGACATCTCAAAATCTTCAAGATCTGATAGTGCTTCATCTACGGTAGCCCCGACCTTCATTTCCACGACCTCTTTCGCGGCTGCCACCTCCGCGACCTCTGTTTCCAACCATATCGTCACTGTAAAGGCCACCACGAGGCCGAGAATCGCTGTATCGGTCGCCGTTTCTATCATCGGTGTCCATGCGGTCGCTGCCCTGAAAGCCATATGAGCCGTCCATCACGTCCTCACGGTCATCGCGCCTGCGTTCTGCTGGGGCATCCTTCGTAGGGTATCGCTGTGGTGCACTATAAACTGATCGATTGTCCTCTGAGCGATTATTACGCGCGTCTGCTCGCGGCCCTTGTGGGGTTACTGGCGTCGATCGTGCGGCTTTGCTTGCTGGGGCGCCAACTTTATGGTAAACGCTAAGAATATTACCGTCGGCCTGGAAACCTGTTAGTAAATGCAGCAAAAGAGAGTTGAGAGTAATACGCTTTGATTGTGGAGCGTTTCTACTACGTTATCGGCCCCTTCCTTGGTCTCAAATTCTATCTCCGCGATAACTTTTGGCCGCTCAGCAATAAGTGTGCAAGCTAACACCACTCCTCCAATGGGGACCATTGCGCTCTCTATATCTTCAACTGTGGTGCCAGGAGCCAGATTCTTAGCAACGACAATATATGGCCCAGCAACGCCTCGAATTGAGATCCCCGGTTTCGATGACCCGATAATATTGAATTGGCTGTTGAGAGCAGGCGATGACGCCGAGCCGTGAAGCGCTGTATGTAATCGATCTGAACGAATTCCGCGCGGAGCTTTCGGTGCACGGGGGGCGCTTGCGCCTTGAGGATTGTTCAGGCTGTGAAGATCGTGGGTCCATTCAGCATCGACGTTGCCGGCTGGTCTGTCAACTCGTCCTGTTGCGACTTGCTTTTGCGGTCGTGGGCCGAATGTAGCCATGGCAGGCTTCTACATCTTGTTAGGAGTTGCTTCTGGGTAATGGAGTCCCGGCAATACCTTTTGAACGCCGACTCTGCTGGCCATAGATGGGACACCGCCGCCTCTTCGATTGCTTATTCCACCGCCAGGCGCGCTCGACCTCCGACCTTTATTGAATACCTCGGCCACGAGGGCTTCATTCTTGCGACGCTGGCGATCTAGCAGCCATTAGTATGAGTCTAGAACAGGTTGCACCATTGTATCGCATACCTTTGGTAAGCATCGCGTTCAAGTCAACAGCATCTTTTCCCTTCTTCGTTGGAGCCATTGCGCTGTTTGTTAGTTTACAAAACGTTAGTAGAAGAACAGTTGTGGTATCAAGTGTGCCCTAAAATAGAACAAACAAAGATTCCTGGATCAAGGCTGAAAGAGTGGTGTTGTGAGAATAAATTGGCTGCGCTCGTTGAAGTTGGCGACGATGTGCCAAAAAAGCAAACGTGAGGGACAAGTCTGAAGGTGCGAGACGCGCGAGGGCAACCGCGTCCGTGCACGATCCCCCTTTTCTTTACCGAAAGAGAAGGGACGACTTACCGAACTGATGACTTTCCAAAATGTAATTTTTGGTATGAGCTGTTTTACACACTGGAAATACTTTTCGAAATAATTTTGTTTCGCTCCTATTACACAACAATTTTGGGTATAGGTAAGTTAATCACTGCTAAAACACCAAACTATCATCTGCCAAACAGTCCTCGTAAACAGAACCACTTGAACACTTCTCATACCTGCGTTCTAAGTATTTCTAATCATCTAGTTCTTGGGCTAACAAAGAAATAGACAGTATAAACTTGATCATCATGGCCACCACAGTAGCAGCATGTATCGACCTCGGAAATAGTCCTCAAACACCCAAATCCAAAAGGACTTTCACTTTCCATACTCCAACTACCAGATCTCCTAATACAAAAGAAAATGCGATATCCCCAAGACGAACAAAGCTCTTTAACACATTAAAGTCATTATCAGGCCGACGAAGTGTTCGAGGCGAATCCGAGACAAATAGTCCAAAGTCCATCAGCAAACGGAAGTCGGCATGGGACTTGTTCGGTCGACTGTCACAAAAAGGGTCAAGTAGCGATGACCAGTCGGTATCTACCGACACAACAAAGGAGCGAAGCGTGTCTCCCTTCAAAAAACCCTTAATGGAAGTGGTTTTGCCAAGTAAGTCTGCTTTGATTCATAAGTGACCAAGATCTGACACAATCCAGGCACCAATAGGCCAACTGTAATGAAGAGACGAAAAAGTCTAGGGGACGTCATTGGCACAATCAAGAAGAAAGCTGTTACAAGATACAATACCATATCTTATCAGGGAGGACGTCACCCCGAATCGATGACAGTGTGGGACGAGACATTGTCACCTCCATGTAGGTTCCCTGCTAAAACAGACGACCATTGTGAGCTATTGAGCGCCCAACCTCTCTATCACACATTACGAAACAGTACACCTGCGCTTTCCTTACATCTTCCAGGTGCAACATTCGAAGATATGGACCCTGCAGCTGTAGTAGCTCGGATGGTAGATGGTCCGAAGCCCAGTCCATTTTATCAGACAACGTGCTAAAATTAGACAGACTTCAAGACGGAGCAAACACGACAGCTAGTTTCTACCTCCACAGATTCTGAGTCTGCGCAAACCGCATGTAAGTAAAACTTGCGCAACATGGGAACCGAAACTGATCCTCTCAGGGACTGGTAGCGACACGGTGACTTTGACGGAGGCTTGTGAAGTAATATCCAAGGATACGCTTACTCAAGAGCAACGGGGCAATCCTCAGACACCGGAGAGTTATTTGTGCGCTCTGATTGACTCGTATCGTGGCCAGTCCGAAGCTGGTCTCTCGGATCAGCAAGATCTCTCACCATGCCCGTCTCCTGAGAAATATCAGGCTGTTCAGGGAATAGACTTTCTTGAAGATGATTGTTCGGTACACAAAACATCTGCTGAGAAGTGAGTTTTCTTGTATCCCGTTACTCACATCCGACTCTAACCGGAAAGTAGCCGACCAGCCACAGAATGTGTTCCATATTATCCACTGGATATAGGCCTAACCTTGTCATTTGAACCCTCAGATAACTCTTTGCATCGAGATCAAAGACTGGTGGTCTCAGTTCGAGAGGTCTATTCCGACTCAGAATACTCGGAAGACTTTGATCCAAATTTTTGCGAAGGCACAGCGGAGAGGAATGATAGAGACGAGAAGCCGATCTCAACTACAAAGACTGCGAACAACCACCTAACCGAAAGAATAAGGATGACTCTCGGGAAAATGACGAAAAACTATCATGCATATGGGAGCGATGCCTCTGGGTTTGACCAAAATGATAGAGAAGCGTGGAGTGCAATTGTCCTTGGAGACCAGATCTTAAACAATGTAAGCAAAGCCCTTGACGAACTACAGTACAAAGATGTAAAATGACAATTATAAGGGAACACCGCCGAAAAAGACAAGAAGGATCTCTTCAGTCGAAGATGGATTTGAAAGACACCCGTCCACGAATAGGATTCTGGAAGAGTCTGTCAAGCTTCGATCGCCATCTGAACGGTTCGAGTTCATTCGTTCATCTCTGCGGTCCACCTCACCCCATGAAACTCATTGTAAGCCTGTCGTGCCCCTTCCGAGCACGAGATCCAGGAAGAGCGAGTCATCGCTTGAAGACGAAATCCAGTTCATGAAGCTCGGTAGCCTAAAGCGACTAGGAATGAAGGCTCGAGTGCCACTCAAACCGGATCAGTATACCATAGGTCCATACCACCTCGATTTTCCGCAAGTAGGAAGTTTTCCAGCCGAGAGGTATACTTTTGAGTATAAATCTGAAGTAATTTCAAAGTGGTATGACCAAAGTCTCAGTGGCAGGTATGCCAGATTCTGCATTTATGACCCAAAAACGAAAACATACACGGGGCAACCGCGCTGGGCTGCCGCGCCAGATCTGAGAGATCTGAGAAGAAGCGGGCAAGAAGCTTTATGGCTTCCCAAAACCCGCACAGATAGCGAAGACCGGCATCATGCACTGACAAATAAGAGTTTGTGGGAAGCTAGCGAAGCGGAGGAACTCATGAGGCTAAGCATGATAATACCTAGAATGCAGCACAACTTAGAAGGGGCCATGCCTCTGAAGAATACCGCTTCCGCACGAAAATATTTGGAGGCTTCGCATGGGTTAAGTCACGTATACTTTTCATCCCAGTCAAATGGAAGCCCCTGGCCCAATTCAGTTGTCGAAGCTGGCCAGAATAGCTCTTGCGACATGGAAACGTCTTTTCTTGCTTCGAACACGACTGGGGCAATCATGGATGCAACCCTCTCAACAGATACCACCTCAGAACCTGAAGACATTCTGGCTGATGGTGAAATCCTAAGTGACGATGTTTCGGATGTAAGTGTTGATACCAACAGCGATCTAGCACGCAGCTTCATTGGAAGCCAGTTTCCCGAGACCCAGAGCCCAGTGGAAAACTCACCCAACAGTCTTCTCCCTCGCCATAATCACATTGAGGTAAGAGAGGATGATGAATTGCTTTTTACGCCAATAAAGAATGAGGAACCGGTAGTGGGTAAAACATGGTTTGATCTTGCAAGAGAGTATAAAGCTTCTCATCTAGAGACCACGAAAGCAACTTCGGACAGCCACGGTCATGAGGAAAACAGTGGTACCTCGACAGCAATTTATGATGAGGCAGGAATTACCAGATTTCAAAAGACCTACGTTTCCAAAACTTGGTTTGATCTCGCAGAAGAGTGGAAGACTGGACGCTCACAGATGAATCTGGGCGAACGTCAGACATACGGGGACTCGCAAGTATTTTCTCCAGCAACAAATTTTGGTGACGAAGGCATCCAGATGCGAAATTTGCCGCCTGTCACAGAGTATGTCATCAAAGCCGCACCTCTTAGAGGTTGTGCGTTTCCCGGTTTGCCGGACAAGCCTACTACTGAACATATCGAAGACATTCGTGATGAGCTATTTTCGAAGGTGCCTGTCACTGAGCTCAACTCAAACTCAGCACTGACTAAAGCCATAAGAGAAGCTTGCCAGCAAGAATCCGAAAATAACAGTGATATCAAATCAGCTGTTTCATACACCTCTTACATCGAAGCTGAAATGCAGACGAAAAGATTATGGCAAACAATGTATCCGCAAGCAGACGGTCATGACCGACAAGATTTCCCTTCCGAGAAGCTTTCCATACACTCTAGAAGCCAAGTCGAGAACAGTTCTACAAGTATGTATCCGGACGCATACGGTCGTGGTCGGCAAGGCTTGATACATGGTGATCAACAATGCGATGAGGCTATTCTACGGCCGGCTTCTGTGACATCTTTTGCTTCCGGGTCCAAATTTACCGAGTTTGCTGAGCAATTAAGGGAAGAGAGTATAATTGATACTGTTCCGAATCGTCAAGAGACCGAGGAGACCCCCCTATCTTCCAAGATAAAGGCAGCAGGCCCAACATACTCATTGGGTACAGATACTCCCCTGAAAGATGTGCCATCAGCTTCAACTGAATATATACCACCATTAAAGCTCCAGAAAGCTGAATACAAAGTCGAAAAGGCCGAAGGAATCGAAGCTGGACCACCGGAAGGTCTTTCACGACAAACAAAACGAAGCGTTGGTGCTCTCGTTGACATCTTCCAAGCACATGGCTTAATGTCCGGCCTGAAATCGCCATTTATGAGATCATCGAGTCCTTCTCGTGGGGCTTGTTCTCCAGCACCATCGAATACCGGTAACAGAACTGAAATCTCGCTTAAAGAATCTACCCCCTTACCGCCAAGACGAAGACACCGAAAAGGTCGAGTATTTCAGTTTTCGTCTTCCTCGGGCAACTCCTCCGATGCGAGCTTGGTACATCCCTTCGCAGATGCTCCAAGTACGAGGTGGCCTCTTCGTAGAGTCCAGGAGATGGGGCGTGCGAATGACTCAGACTTGAGTGATGCAGAGACTGAAGTGAGCAACTTTGGAGAAACCCTGGAAAGATGTAGTGGCGGGACTAGAGATGGAAGAGGCCGGGAAAGCTCTGATGAGGAGCGAAATAACCGTGACAATGATCTTTATGGATGAGAAGTGAGAGGCGTGCTCGAGAGTCGAGTTTAAGAGAAGACTTTGCCGGTTATGGCCAATCAAAGGGGGAATCAACATTGTAGAAAATATTGTTAACAAAGCATCGACATGAAGGCCACACATAGTGGACAAAATTAGATATTGATTATACATTCTTTTCTATCGCTACAAGGCATAAGTCTATAAACACACACAATCGTACAATGATATCTCCTCTTACCTCGCTTTCCCAACATAATTACATGAAGGCTTGATCAACGATATTATACAACACAGAAATATCCGGAGTAGTGTTTTACATATTTGTACACGCACAGAAGTCTATCTTTCACCAGAATGCACCGTTCGTACAAGAGAAGGAAAGAGAGTGCCAGGGTCTTGCTTGACCATAAGTTCAGCGAATTGCCGTTCTTCCTCTGCAAGTCTCTCCGCTTCTTGGGTGGATTTTGATTCTTCAGCCTTGGTCTTTGAATCACTCTCCGCCTCATAGTCTTTTTGCACACGAGCAAGGAACGACTCCCATTTCTCTGGCGACGACTGGGCGCGTACCATTGCTTTGTTCAAGCGGTGTCGATCAATGAACTTCGATAAGTGCTGCGGAACCTCAAAAGTCCCTACTGGTTTATTGTAGGGTTCTCTGCGTTGTGCAAACGCAGCGAGTTTGCTGCGTTCGGCTGTGTATTTACTGTACGTGTCTCGATCCACGAGACCTTGATCCATGAGCATGTCGTAGGCGCCTATCATTTTTCGGACGAGCATTATGACGGACGTCCGATATTCTTCTTGTTCGAATTTGGTCATTTCAACTGAGCTGGGAGGGCCGAAGGTGAGCATGGCTTTTATGTTGATGAAGGATGGGCCTAAACGTGATAGAGCGCGGAGAATCTGCTTTCCCATGTCTAGCTTGCTTTGGGACATGTGGTCTAAGTTTGATGTTGACACCTGGAGATAGTTTATTAGGACGGGGACGTCTGGTACTTGCAGTGCGTTGGTCATAATGTCTAAGATCTTGCCGGCATTGCGGAATGCATTTGGGTTATTCTTGTCGCGGGTGCAAGAAGACATGGCGATACGAAACGTTGCTGCCCGCATCTCGCTTGGTTTCATGCTTTCTAGCAGAGCAACGGTTTCGGTGCTTGCTCTGGCGGTTCTAAGGATACGTAGGTACCCATGATAGTTGGCTGAGTCAGGAACTACACCGATTTTCCTGACAAATATGTCCCAGTAATCATACGCAGGTCCCTTCAATTGCAACTTCAAAAGAACATCCATAACAAGAGACAAAGAGTTTCTCCCCGGCTTTGCGTATGCAGTTTTTGACGGCATGGTTGCATTTGGTGGTGACAGGGACGCGAAGCTGTCAACAGCCCTAGCTGCCTTCAGAGCCTGAATTATTGATTCTTCGGTTTCTACGGTCTCTTCCTTTGCGGCAGGCTTCGTTGATGGCATGGGCGCATTTGGCGACGAAACGACAGCCTTAGCTGTTTTGAGATCCTGAATTATGGCTCTTTCAATTTCTGCGGTCTCCTCCTTAGCGGCAGCCTCGGCTAAGAGCGCTGACTTTTCCTCTCCTTCTTTTGCTCCCCTTTCTGCTTGCCCCTGACTGGACGGATCTATCGCCTTCCGATTAGATGTGCCTAGCTTCGGTACTTGGCGAGGAATATTCATCGTCTGCTCAATCAAAGATAGGATATCATCCTGATCTCGCACGTCGCCAAGCAGCAAAAGGCGGCCCATTGCACATACAAGCTCCTCGTCAATCCACATATCTCCTTTCCGCCATCTCGCAATTACGTCTTGCCATAGTTTGCGAGCATCGAGTGTCGCCTTTCGATAATTCTTCCCGTTGTGATCTGATGTCATTGGGTCTTTTGAATCAGCCGTGGCATTGACTCGTAAAGCATTGAGCATGGTCGTGTATGTCAGATTGTTCGGTGCTGATATGCCTCTCGTAGGCATTTGAGACATGATACCAAACATGGCATCGATGTCCCTGGCTCTAGCACACATCTTTATGATAGCATTTAGATGTATAGTATTAGGCTTTATTACCGACTTTTCATTCGACATTGCAGTATAAATCGCTAGAACTTTCCCTAACGCAGCGGGGAGGTCTTTATGGTTGGTACAACCGCTGATGATAATCGTAAACGTATGGGCATCCGGCTGCTGTCCTCGCTTTTTCATCTACAAAGTGTTAGTGGTGATAAATGTGATTTTGTCAGTCTCGCGTACCTCATTATATGTCTTCAGAGCTGCGTTCATTCTGCCTTTGCTCATCTGCCAATCAATCAGATGATTCCAGCTGACCGTACATGGCAGGCTCTTGCTCGCAGCCCGAACCACAGCTAAGGCGGTTTCATAGTCGTCACCTCTTAACGCTTTCCGAGTGTATTCCGCAAGCTTGAGGGGATCATTCGCATATTCAGGATGCTTTTTGAGGACATTTCCCATGGACACTTCCAGCTTGTATTCTTTGCGACGTAATGCAACCCCCCCGGTGGCTAGAAGTCTGTCTTTGCTCATAGGTGCATCGTCTCCCTTCGACGGATTATCGAACCGTCTTCCGCCATTCGGTCTTCCACCATTCGAGACATAGCGGCGAGAGAGCTGCTCTGGTGCAAGGGTAGTGGCGACGGTGGTTCGAGCAGACGTAGATGACAATAGTGGTTTTCCTGCAAGACTTTGCACATAACGCTCCATGCAGGTGCTGCAACTAAACATTTCTCGTCGTTTTCCGAAGGTGCTGCCGTCTTGTTTTCAACGCTCTCTCAACTTCACAGTCGAAACTTTTTCCGAATCCCTCAGGGTCCATCTTGCGCGCTCCCGGAGATTGACCGACGTGATGCCTTAGATTTGTGACATCCAAGCATGCACTTCCGAGAAATCAACAGGGGTTCGCGAGTCGCGTTCTTTTGCGCGTCGTCGTACTTTATCGCGTACCTCCTTAGTGAGCTCCCCAGCCCACCAAGCACAACCAAACCACTGTTAAACACCAATTCTCCCAAACTCAAACCGCCCTTGACAATGTTGAATTGAACACTATTAAAAGCTATACCAAACCCTCACCATGGTGTCGAAAGCTGCTTTAGCACGTGCGAAATTCGCCGAACTACGTGCCAACGTACAGTCTGGTAAAAAGCGTACCTACGAGGTCGAACAACAAGAAGATCTTTACGAAGAGGTCGACGAGGACGGCTACAAGAAAGTCGTACGGGAGCGCTTGAATCAAGATGACTTTGTTATCGACGATAATGGAGAAGGTTATGCTGACGACGGCCGAGAAGAATGGGACCGGCAACCAGGATATGGCACAGAAAGCGAAGAAGAGCTGCCAGTAAAAGGCAAAGCAGGGAAAGCGGGTGAGTGATACCCAAAAGAACGGGCAAGAATGTTTTCATGACTGACACGATGCTAGCAAAACGGAAACGAGAGGAAGAAAAGGCCAAAAAGGAGAACGCAGACAAGGGGATTAGCAACTACTTTACCAAAGGCCCTATAACCGCTCAACCAAAGGCCAAGGTATGCAGCCAAAACTTTTCATGTATTGTTCGCTGACAAAGTGCTAGCCCGTCAAAACTAAAGAAGAAGACGATTTTATGGCGAGCCTACTTGGCGAAGTAGACGACAACGTTCCCAGACCAACGACACATTCAAGTCGGAGAGTACAACCTAAGCCAAGAAATCGTGCCCTATCACCTACTCTTGATGTTCAGCGTCATGTATCGAAGAAGCGGAAGTCATTGGATACTAGGATTTCTACACCTCCTCTTGACCTAAATACCGGCGACGGCGGCGACTTTATAATGAACATGGATGACGATACCCACCTCGATGATCCACAACCTTCATCGCCAGTCGCAAGGGCAGTTGAACGAAAGCAAGTCATGGTAAAGGCAGAAGATGAAGACGACGACGATATGATGGAAGTTGCTCAAGCTGAGGGTATTGCTACATCAAGTGTCAATATGTCTGGTACCCGTCCGGTGCCAAAAATCAAGAAAGCGGAACCATACCCTTCGCCGGCAAGTTCCTCTCCAGTTCGGGGAGGCGCTGAGCGTGTTGACGCCTCTTCCTGGAACGATGTCACGCAGAAGTTGAACGTGATGGACAGCAGCCAATCTAGCGAGACCGTGACATTTGGCAAATTAGATTACACCGATGCCATTGAAGAGGATGGAAGCCTTAAATTCTTTTGGACTGATTATACGGAAGTCAACGGCAGCTTATGCCTCTTCGGCAAGGTGAAGAACAAGAAAAATGGAGCTCATGTCAGTTGCTTTGTCAAAGTCGACAATGTTCTTCGGAAACTATTCTTCTTGCCTCGAGAATATCGTCAGCAAAACATGAAAGACACCGACGAAGAAGTTGGCATGAAGGAGGTTTATGAGGAGGTGGATGAAATGATGGGCAGGATGAGAGTCGGCATGCACAAAATGAAGCCCTGTACAAGGAAATACGCCTTTGAGCACGAAGATGTTCCCAAGGAAGGAGAGTATCTCAAACTGCTCTACCCATACTCAAGTAAGTGCATCACCTCTCTGACATATTACGGTGTTGACCTTGATAGAACCACAATTGCAACCCGAAAACCATAGTGGTGCAACATTTTCCCGAGTGTTCGGTCACAACACGCCTCTGTTTGAGCAATTCGTTTTGTGGAAGAATATCATGGGTCCATGCTGGCTTCGCATTGAAGATGCAGAGTTTGGCGTGTTGAATAATGCTTCTTTTTGCAAACTCGAGGTGCAAGTCTCGAAGCCTAACCTGATCTCACCCTTGACAGACTCTGACAGTATGGATGCACCACCACTCACATTGATGAGCATTGCTATGAGGACCGTATTGAACGTCAAGGACAATAAACAGGAGATCCTTGCCATCAGTGCCCGAATTTACCACGATATCTCGCTCACGGACACTACATCACCCGAAAAATTACCCTGTCGTTCATTCACGATAATTCGACCTGTTGCATCGAACTTCCCACTTGGATTCGATTCTGAGGTCAAAAAACGAGCTAAAGGACTCGTGAAACTTGTGAAGCAGGAGCAGGAGATTCTGAGTTTCTTTCTAGCTCAGCTCCAGACCGTGGATCCAGATGTTCTTGTGGGGCATCAATTGGAAGGCGTTGACTTCAGCATTCTTCTAAGCCGACTTCAAGCCAAGAAAACTCCTCAGTGGTCTCGAATTGGGCGGATGCGCCGATCGCAGTGGCCTTCTTCGATGGGAAAAATGGGAGGCAATTTCTTCGCTGAGCGATCGTTACTCTCTGGGCGACTCTTATGTGACTTGGCAAACGACGCTGGAAAGTCAACAATGACAAAATGTACATCATGGAGTCTTACAGAGATGTGTAGTATCTATCTCCCCGGAACCTTGCGCCGTGAAGTTGACAACGAAGCGGCACTGAAGACATGGGCAACTACCAAAGACGGTCTCATGGATTATGTCAACCACTGCGAAGCTGATACGTTCTTCATAGCAGCATTGGCATTGAAGGTACAAATGCTCCCTCTGACGAAAGTCCTGACAAACCTGGCTGGAAACTCCTGGGCACGAACGCTTACTGGCACTCGTGCTGAGCGTAACGAGTACATTCTCTTGCACGAGTTCCACCGTAATAAGTACATTTGTCCTGACAAGGCTGTTTTTAAAGGACGCCAGCAAATCGAGGAGGAGAACGATGAGGAAGGTGGAGCTGCCGATGTCAAGAAAAAGGACAAGTACAAAGGTGGTCTTGTTTTCGAGCCAGAGAAAGGTTTATACGACAAATTCGTTCTGGTAATGGATTTCAACTCGTTGTATCCAAGTATTATTCAAGAGTACAATATTTGCTTCACGACTGTGGATAGGACAAAGCTGGTATGCATCCCTATCTGACTCAACTTTAACATATCGACTAACAAGCGCATAGTCTGATGACGAGGAGCAAGTCCCAGAAGTCCCGGAAGATCAAGAGCTTGGCATTTTACCAAAGCTCATTGCTACTTTAGTCAGTCGTAGAAGACAAGTCAAAAGTCTGATGAAGGGTAAATCCGCCACGGCTGAACAACTGGCGACCTGGGACATTAAGCAACTGGCTCTAAAGCTCACCGCTAATTCCATGTATGGTTGTCTCGGATATACCAAGTCTCGGTTTTATGCTCGGCCTCTAGCGGTACTCACGACGTACAAAGGTCGTGAAATTCTTAGAAGTACGAAGGAGCTCGCGGAAAGTAACTCGCTACAGGTCATCTACGGAGATACCGATTCCGTTATGATCAATGCTAATGTCGACAATGTTGATGATGCTCTGAAGGTCGGAAATGAGTTCAAAAAGGCTGTCAATGACCGTTACAAGCTTTTGGAAATCGATATTGACAACGTCTTCAGACGCATCTTACTCCAAGCCAAGAAGAAATACGCTGCTATCAACCTCGTCCAGATTGACGGCAAGTTTGTTGACAAAATGGAAGTCAAAGGTCTGGACATGAAGCGTCGAGAATACTGCAATTTGTCCAAAGAGGTGTCGTCCAAGCTCTTGAACGAGATTCTGTCTGGGGATGAGTCTGATGTGGTGATAACGCGGATCCACGAGTATTTGCGAGAGATAGCAACGAAAATGCGTGAAGACGAAATCCCGACCCAGAAGTACACTATATACACGAAACTCGGCAAAGCACCAAAAGATTATCCAAATGCAGACAGTATGCCACAGGTTCAAGTCGCTTTGCGTGAGATGTCTCGAGGAAAGACGGTGCGCAAGGACGATGTTATGGCATATATAGTTACTGGAGACGGTAAGAACTCATCTGAACCTCCCGCCAAACGGTCATACACCCCTCAGGATGTTGGAAAAGCAGACTCTGGACTGAAGCCAGATGTGGAATGGTATCTATACAAGCAGATTTTCCCTCCCGTTGAGCGGTTATGCGCGAACATCTCTGGCACAGATACAGTACGCCTCGCAGACTGTCTTGGACTGGATGTACGGAAATATAGCATCACCAACAACAACTCGAGTGGTGGCAATGAGACTGAAATTCATTCTCTCGAAAGTCAGATTGACGACTCCGTTCGATTCATGGATGCTTCCCGCCTTTCACTTCGCTGCCGAGCTTGCAAGAGGAACTTCGATTTTGAGGGTCTTGTTGAGAGTGTCGGCCAGTGTTCGCAGGCCGGTATAACATGCCAATGCGGTCAAACTTTATCAACTCTCTCTGTGGTCGCTCAACTGGAGCATCAGATCCGAAAACAGACCAGCAAATATTATGAGGGCTGGCTGATTTGCGACGATCAAGCCTGCGGCAACCGTACAAGACAAATGAGTGTTTACGGACATCGATGTCTTGGACCCAAAGGTCTTGCTCACGGTTGTTATGGAAAGATGCGATACGAGTATAGCGAGAAGATGATGTATAATCAGTTACTCTACTTTTCATCCCTATTTGATGTCGAGAAGGCGAAGAGCCTGGCGAGGGGAACAGATAAGGGTAAGATGGTCCTTAGAAACTTACATGACTTTGACTAACAGATTATAGAACAAATTTTTGCACTTGCTGAGCACAACCGTGTCAGATTTGATACCTTAAAGGGTGTAGTAGGAAAGTACTTGGATAAGTGCGGTAGACAATGGGTACAAATGGATGAGTTGTTTAGGAAGATTGGTCTCAAGCCAGATGTCACTGTTTAACACGTCTTTATGTTTGGATTTGTAATAACAGCATCGCATGGCGTACATAGGATTGGCAGGAGTTTGTTGGAAAGCAGGACTGGAAAGTATCGCATGGGGGGCCTAGGATGACGGTTATTGTATCTTGCTGGAAAGGGCCTAGCGCGTGGCCCCACTTTAATTCTGCCACCCTAAATCGGTTGCGTTGCGCCTTCAAAATGAATCAACTTGGTAGTAGAAATTATGCAAAGAATTTTGAGCCACGCATAGAGCGCGTAAAACATCCGACAAAATGGTGAACATTACGGAGAAAATCAAGGAGTAAGTTTAGTATGAGAGCGTAGAGTACATTCAGGTAACATAAATGATAGGATCGAGGATGAGATGCGGAGGACCCAAAGTAAGTTTACGACTTCCGTATACCTTTACGCGAAATAACTTTCCCCCTTCTACTGTCAGGCAGCAGGAATTTTACTGACTTTGTATCTAAGAAAACAAGGCAACTGGTATGTTTACAGAATCCGAAGTTCAGAATCTACCACGTGACATCATTTACTTACATGCGTAAAGAATATCATCTCGGTCTTCTGAAAGGGTGTGTCCTATTCTATACATGTATTTTCTACTCCTGTAGAGACTAATGGTGTATGTAGAAAACTCGCACGTTACAGAGCACAGCTTCTCGAGCCAGGACCCGGCGCAGGCTCAAGCGGAGGAGCAGGTTTCGATGTCTCCAAAAGCGGAGACGCTCGAATTGCTCTCGTCGGATTTCCGTCTGTCGGAAAATCAACTTTTCTGTCCAAAATCACCAAGACTAAATCCGAGGTCGCGGCGTATTCTTTCACGACCCTTACTGCAATTCCTGGAGTCTTGGAGTATGGCGGTGCTGAGATTCAGATCCTGGATTTACCTGGTATTATTGAAGGTGCGTCCGAGGGAAAGGGGAGAGGAAGACAGGTTATTAGTGCTGCGAAGACTAGTGATATGATTTGTATGATCTTGGATGCTACGAAGAAAGCTGAGCAGAGGAGCTTGCTGGAGGCGGAGTTGGAAGCTGTGGGGATTAGACTGAATCGGGAACCTCCGTACCTTTGCCTCCTACCTCCGTTCTTGATTCCTGCTAATCTAAAGTCTAGAAACATCTACCTAAAACCCAAAACCGCAGGAGGAATGAAAATAACCTTCCAAACACCCCCCAAAAACCTCGACCAGAAAATGGTCTACAACATCCTCCGCGACTACAAGATCCTCAACTGCGAGGTTCTCGTGCGCGATGAAAACGTCACCGTCGACGATTTCATCGACGTGATCATGAAAGACCACCGGAAATACATTAAATGTCTGTATATCTACAACAAAATCGATTCCGTATCGCTTGATTTCCTGGATAAACTAGCGAGAGAACCGCATACGGTCGTTATGTCGTGCGAACTCGATCTTGGGATTCGGGATGTGGTTGATCGATGTTGGGAGGAGTTGAAGCTGATTCGGATTTATACGAAGAGGAAGGGTGTGGATCCGGATTTTAATGAAGCGTTGATTGTGAGGAGTAATAGCTCGATTGAGGATGTTTGCGATCAGATTCATAGGACGTTGAAGGATACGTTTAAGTATGCGCTTGTCTGGGGAGCGAGTGCGAGACATGTTCCGCAGCGGGTGGGGTTGGGTCATATTGTGGCGGATGAGGATGTTGTTAGTATTGTTAGTAATTGGAGAGCCTAGATATCTCGTTTTGGGATCAGCATGAACATAAATGGAAGCGGCAGTCCAATCCAATACGAGTGCTCATGAAGGCTTATCAATGTTTACTGATGTGATTGTGTTTAGAGTTGCACATTCTTAGTCCACGAAAAGAAAAGCTTGAAAGTGACGAGTGACAAGTGGTTGACTTCAAAATGTTTTGTGATTTGAACACCGACCCGACCATACTCTTCTCCACAGATCCTACATCTCTACCTACCCAACAGGGTATCGCTGAACTATATACAAATCACCCACCCAAAAACGCCCTGTAAATGCATAACAGTAACGCCCATGCACTACCTTTCAGCTTGAGATAAGATGTCGAGTGAGCTTCCATTTTTCCATCGCTCCGCAAACGCCAAACAAAATTCTATGCTGTACACGGAACACTAGGACACGCTTCTGCTCCCGGACTGTCGCGCGATCTCTGACTTGTACCACATGGATCCTTCATCCATCTGTTCTCTAATTCTCTTCGCTCTTTCAAACAGAGCGTGGTCTTCATTGTCATCCACTTCGTGAGACCTCTTGGGCTGTTGTCTATCATTTCCTGCCAGTACAGCTTGGGCTCTAAGTTTCAAGCGTTGTATATCGTCATCTCGTTCTACACTAGAGCGCGGCCGATTAAAGCCAGCGCTGGTCTTTGGCGGTACGCTTCTTGATATGGATGAGTGCTTCGAATGCAGGGGTGTGACTGGGTGCTTCGAAATGCCATTAAATGATCGTTTTCGATGAGTTATACTCTTAGCAACTGAGGAAGCTAGAGGGGTTCCATCGGGTAGAGTTGAGATTCCGCGGGCTTTCAATCGAAAATAATCGGTCTGTACTCCGCTGATATGTCGTCGTTCTTGTTCATCATGCCCGTAGTCTGACATCAGATGGATGCGAGATCCCCCAGCGAGATACGATGGGTCAGAGAGAAGAGAACGCCGGAGAGGGTTGTCTGATTTTCCTCGCTTGTGACGATTCGAGCTCGTACTCGATGCCTGACTGTCTGTGGGGCCATCAAAGCGTGGCCTTTTGCTGCTTGTCGTTGATGAATCTCTGTGAACAATATCTTGTATCTGCTGGCTAGGGTCATGGACGCCATCTAACACGCCAGTAGCATCAAGAAGGCTCGCTAAGCTGCCCCTTCGACGTAACTCTCTTGATGCCCCATGCACATCTGCTAATGCTTTGAAATCTGCCACAACGTCTGTTGATTGGGCTGCTTTCGATGCTCTAAGGTTTTCTGCCCTTTCCTGTCTTGCTTTCCTGGCCTCTCTGCCTCTTCGTTTCAAACGTAAGCGCTGTGCACCATTGCGCCACAAGTGGAAGTACTTCGTGGCAATTGAGCGATATCTATAGGCATCTGCCTCCTGCCTCATAGATTTTGCAGTTTCCTTTTCAATTCGAGCAGTCTGGTCTTTTATAAATTGATTGGCAGTATCCCGAAGTATGCCTTCAACTGTGAATGATATGAAATGATCTAAGAGACCCTCTTCTCCAAGACAAGTCCAATTCGTAAGCGATTTGAGCTGCGACTCTCGGTCGTACCCGCGCGGCCTTTTCGCTGGCCCAGATGATGAGCGAGGGGTCACATCCTGGCTCGCTACATTGTTAGCCTCAAGAATACCCGACGCTGTATGATTTGAGGTTGGGGCAGCCACTGGTCCCGTTGTAAGATCACCGGGCTGTAATGACTGGCTGGGTAAAGATTGTGGTTGTTTGGCGTCGCTTTGCAATCTTTCACTGGAGATTTCTGAGATTGGGGGAGTCGGGGTTGTTGATATGCCCGAGAAATTCAACTGTCCACTTTGCTTCGAGGTTGTTGTTGCAGGTAATTGGCTCACATTCGACAACGGTGTATCAAGTGGTTGAGCTGGTTGGAAAAGAGAAGACTGGGGTTTAGACGTGGATGTCGACCAAGAGTTGTTAGGTATTGGCGGCGTCTGCGATCCTGTTGCAGCGGGGGTTGATGGCTTAAACGGCGAGGAACCTAGATTTGAGAATATAGAGGTCGAGTCTGGCTTGGACTGTTGCACCTGGCTTGCTGGTATACGTGGCGGCTCCGGTTGCTGCGAGGAGATCGTTGGAGAATGTGACGGTTGCGGTGGCGTTGGAGTTGAGAATAGACCAGCAAAAGGACTCTTTTGCACGGGCCCGGGCGGGTTATTAAAGGAACCTGGCTTCATTGATTGTGAATCCATACCAAAGATGGAGGACTGTTGCGACGCTGGTTTCGTGTCATCGACTGAATCTTGACCAAAATTCTTGTTTTCGAAATTCTTCGTGCCCGTGTGCGTTATAAGGCTGGGTTTGGCAGTATTATCCGGCACGAACAAGCTTTCGTCGTCCTCGTTGGATTCAATTTCCACTTCGTCCACCACAGTATCATCGTAAACGTTCAAAGCAATTGCTTCCGGAAGTGAATGGCTGCCTCGCTTACGCTCAACAAGACTGAAAGAATATGCCTGCTTTAAGGGCGGGAAAGGGTCTCTCAAATCATCGGAATCGAATGATAAAACAATTTCGCCATCAACTTCTTCAAATCTGAGACCATATGCCTCGCCAAAGGTAACAATGTCTTCCTCGTTATCGAATCTAAGTAAGACATTTAGTTTCGTCAGGGTCCAATCTCTGGTCTGGTCTCGTTGTTTTCGATAGGAGGCGAGGATAGTTTTCAAAATAAACTTTCGGGCACTATTAAAGTGCATTTCTGCAAAGCATGCCATAGTATAGGAGACAGTTCGGTCTCCAACAACGGTGAAAAACTTCGCGAACGCGTTTTGTGCGACATCTGTCGCCGAATGGGGTGTGAGGGGTCCATTTGCATGCCAAATGTTCTGCAATGACTCAACAATAGCAACAGCGGTTTGAATCTCATCGGAGTTGTTGTACAATCCGTATCCCCAAGCCTGCACATTTTGTAAAACGCCCGGGTGTCGACAATTGAATAAAACGTAGTACGCTCTGAATTCGGGTTCATTTTCGCACTGAACTTTCTGCTTATTGCAATCGTCGTAGCAGTGCATCAGTGAAAGAAGAGCCTTCGACAGTTGCTCTACTTCCTGCTGCTCGGAGAAATCCTCTCCTGAAGGTGTTATGATCCCGTTTTTAGACATTTGGTGAAGAGATATAGCATGGAATCGGACAATTCGCTCTAAGCAGTATGTCTGGTGGCTCATTTCCGACGGATCCATGGAAGATTGGAAAACGAAATCCCGACGAATCGCCCTCGTACGGTCCCAAAGGAAGTTGTGAACATTATAAAGGTTCTCGAGGTTATCTCCCAAGACTTCATTAAAGATATAATCCAGTGTCTTTCTCAAAGTGGCTGGTGATCTCACATCCATCGGCAAAGGTGCATCTTGCCCAGCGGCAGATCTAGCATTTGCTTTCACCATTTTCTCTGGAGAAACGTACAGGTTTCCGTCCGCACCAGGGGACATTTCTGCTTGTTTCACATCTGACTCGTTAATCCTTGTTGCTCTTTCAAATATCGGACACATCTCCTGACAGATCCCTTTGAAATCGATCGCTTCGCTGAGTTTCTTGGCCTTTTCAGGGTCATCTAGTAATCCAGCTCGAATAAGACTCTGGCGAACTTTACTTCTGTAATCCCTTGAAGCCCTCCAGTATGTGTCAATAGCTGCGTTGTATTCGTTTTGCCGTGCTGGACTTATCTTTGGCCACGTCGGAGCGACCAATCGCTCCCTCTGAATCACTTGGTATATTTCTTTGGCCAAAGCGCTGTTCTCAGTATTCTGTCCATTTGTCGGATGCTGGGGGCCTAGCGATGAACCATGGGTTTGGCCGTTCTTCGATTTTTCATTTGCGCCGACTTTGGGGAAAGCACTGCTAGACGAAGTAGAGCTTGCTTTTGACGCCAGGGAATTAAATGAGGTCGACGCAACAAACCCATTTGAAAAAGAATTTGTAGTTGAGGTTACTTGGTTGAGCGTACCAAATGGATTGGAAGTTGACTGCGAGCTAGTATTGTTTGATGCGCCAAAGGGATTCTTTGACGCAGCAGATGAGTTGGCCGCAAAGGGATTCGATGGAGGACTAGCTGTCGAAGTAGTTGATTGTAGACCAAAAGCGCTCGTCGAAAGGTTGGCGCTCGGCGAATTCGACGGCATCCCAAAAGGGCTCGAGGTGAAAGGTTTAGTTGATGGCTGCGAAGGGGCGCCAAATGGATTCGCAGGTCCGTTTCCATTAATCGCAGCAGTGGCTTGCCCAAAGGTGGTCGCTGGGACGGAATTGAACGCTTGTGAGGGACCCCCGAATGTATTGGTTGTCGCAAATGGGTTTTTGGGTCCATCTGACTTGGGCGCAAAGATGCCCCCGCTCGTGACGGCTGGAGACCCGAATGTTGAAAACCCTGGGGTTATATTTTTCGAATCAGAAGAATCCCGTTGCTGTGAATCTACATTCTCCTTCGAGTCCACGCGTTCGCTGGAAGGTTCTGCAAATCGAACCTGCTTGTTACCGCGAATCCCTTTCCCCTGCCCTCTTCCTCCGCCAGCCCCAAAAGTCCCATTGATCATCGCGCCGTTTTGGCCCCTCTGTTCGCGCTTTGCTGCATTTTCTAGTCGTTCTTTGTCGAAGCTGTTCGAGGTTTCGACGGCGGGCGACGGATCTGTACATTTAATGATTGAGCGAGTGTTTCTAAAACCTCTGCCGCGGGAAGAAGTTTTACTGGCGCTTGCTTGTAAAACACGAGGCCCAACAGGAGTGTGTGAATCTGTATCTAACTTACTAAAGGAGTTCAAAGCTCCTCGATTTGTCGAACCGCGACCTCTTCCTCGTGAACGATTTTGTGGTTGTCCTCGCGCGCCGCGACTACTGCCTAAAGACAGCATCATTCATGGATTTGATCATTTGTGGGGTTTGCAACGGTTTGAGGAGGAGGATTGGATTCGGGAGGTAGTGGACTGGTGATTTGCACAACAGGGCCGCTATTGTATACTAATTCTTTGTTGTCGGAGTTGCTCGCTGAAGCTCGACTGAATTGGCGCTAGCCCGCACCCGCGTCGTCGAATAAGCCTTCTGCCGTGTCTCACCGCCTACAAATGGTGACAGGTCCGGTTGCATACATTTACTGGAACAAACGCGATTACCCTAATTCCAAGCCTGCTCACTTAATATGAGAGAAGTCCGCTAACAGCTGATATGATTTGCCGCTTCACGTATGAACAATCGCACTTCGCGATTCAGCAGTCATTTTTTAAGGAGAAATTGGTTGGCATCGCATAGTCATACAGTCATACTGACCAGAAGCTTGATTGAGCATGTACTTTGACCAAACCTAAAAGACTAGGAAATGAATACGTTTATTTTGACTCAAGGCAAAACACGTAAATGCAGATTCCTGTGGTATGCATATTTTCGCCAGAACTCCAAGCACAACCTTACTTTTAATGTATCCTTCCTTCCTCAAAACCAAACGCCAAAGACAGTAGGAATATCTTCTATACGTACTGTTTCCTGATAATAGCCGGACCTAATCCACGTCTAACCTCATCGAGCTGTTCCATCCCACTTTGGTACTTTCCTTTCTTGACATGCTTCTTTCCACTCATGGTATAGTTCCCAAGAAAATCATCCATGATGTTGTTGAAATCACCTCTAACTGGCCCTTGCACACTGGAAACCGAGGAAACTGCCGAAACGGAATTATCATCATCCATATCTTCGTTGTACTTCTCTTCCAGCTTCTCGAACCTAGTATCCAGAGTCGACATGCCTTCCGTACGGAACATGGAGGAAGAAGTCATAGAGTAGGTGGATGGATTTGTCATAGCTCCCTTTCTCTTCTTCTTCCTTCCCCCGTTCGTTGTAGTAGTCATCATAGACGATTGAAGATCTGATTGCGACGGAGCGAGGGGTACCTGTGCTTTCTGGTCTTTCTTAAATTTACTGAAATTAGCCATCCAATCCCCGTCACCATGGTCCTCTCGCTCATCATCCAAAAGTTCTGGTGGTCCTTTTGGAGCATCGCTGTATTCCTTCGAGGGTTTTGCAGTGTCGTCTGACTCCCATCCCTCCTCGTCATCGTCTTCAAAAGCCCCTTGCTCGAATTCTTCCTCATCAATTTCCTCCCCATCTTTCGCCAGCTGCCCAAAGATGTCCTCATCTTCGTCCACATATGCTTCATCTTCTAATGCCTCCAAAACCTCTCGTAATCTAGGATCCATATCTGGCTGGAAACCAGCAAGCGCATCGGGGACATCTTGCTGAGCTTGATAGGTTACCTTGCGCAGATTTTTCGAGGGCAAGATCTCTTCGTCTAACTCTATCCCTTCTCGATCCTCTAATTTAGCATTTCTCAATGCGTCCTCTAGACTCTGTTTTCCCTTTCCTTTATTCGTTGGCGCTGGCGCCTCGACAAAATGTGCTTCTCCTGAACCAGATCCCAACTCGCGCATGTGCTGCATATAATCGTACTCGGTATCATCGTAATATACTCCATAACTGGCAGCTTCTCCTTCGTTATCTCTGATATGATTAACATCAGAACCAAGTTCTGAGGCGAGATCATCGAGTTGTTTGACTTTGCTTGAGTTTGGCACATTGGTGGGGTTCAGAACCATGGAAGAAGCTTCGGCATCGTGGAGGAGAGGGTCGTTTTGCGGACGATGGACAAGTGTGAAGTGCGTCGCTGTCTTCTTATCAATCCACTTCTTACGAGCCATGTTTGCGACTGCAAGGGATATGTTCTGGTTATTTCGGTTTGTGGAGGGGAGGACGCATGTGGTTGATAAATTTAGAGTCAGGGACAAAATTTTGGTGGGGCGGGGGGGCGAAAAGCTGGGTGACGTTTTTTTCGAGACCCCTCCTTATGTGTGATCGATAATCCACCCCTCACAGCATTTCTCGCACTTTTAAGCACAAAAAAAACGCCGCCTAGTGAGTAACAAACCTATCTGCTTTACAACAGATTTTCGAATATATTAAGAAATTGGAAGGCGCCCCATTAACTCTGCTTGAGGATCAAAATGGTTCTCGCAAAGTCCAAGAATGCCGTTGGGCTTGGGAACAGGTATTAGTCACTCGTCTTGTGCGTATATCATCTGCTAACGCAAGGAAGTCTGATGAACGACCGCTTTGGAAAGGGAAAAGGAGCAGACCGGAAGAAGGTGACATCGGCGGGAATACACCGAATTAACCATGCCACTGGAGAGACCGTGAGTGTTTAAAAAGTAGGCAAGGTATACACTACTTACTGTCAAATAGTATGTCACGAACGACAAGAAGGAGGCCAGCTGGGTCAAAATGCGCTCTGTCACCGAGCAGGCGGCTCTCGACGAGTTTCTGTCCACCGCCGAATTAGCAGGCACAGATTTCACGGCCGAGAAGATGAATAACGTCAAAATTATTCACACGGATCAGAAGAACCCATACCTCCTATCGGCGGCAGAAGAGCGCGCAGCGGTCGGGAAGCAGAGGGAACATAAGGGTAGATTGACTGTACCAAGACGACCAAAGTGGGATTCGACGACCACCCCAGAACAGCTTGACCGGATGGAAAGAGACAGTCTTCTAGAATGGAGGAGAGGTTTGGCGGAACTCCAAGAGAACAATGATCTACTTCTTACTCCGTTCGAGCGAAATCTAGAAGTTTGGAGACAACTTTGGAGAGTCATTGAGCGGTCCGATTTAGTAGTCCAAATTGTCGACGCTCGAAACCCCTTACTCTTCCGATCAGACGATCTGGTCAGATATGTTAAGGATGTGGATCCCAGGAAAGAGAATTTACTTCTAGTCAACAAGGCAGATATGTTAACGGTGGAGCAGCGCAGGGCATGGGCGGAACATTTTCAAGAAGCTGGTATCTCGTATAAGTTCTTCTCTGCCAGTTTGGCTAAGGAGTTGAACGATGCTCGTGACGAGGATGAGGAGGCAAGTGAGGAAGAGGAAGAGCAATCATCGCGGCCCTCAACAACAGCCTTGGAGCACGAGACGAAGAAGCTTGATCTCGAGGACGACGATGAGACATCAAGTGAAGAGGAGGTAGACGAAAATGAAGATGAAGACGAAACTACTCGAATATTGACAGTTGATGAACTGGAAGCTTTGTTTTTACTCCATGCGCCAGAGTCTGAAGGTATTTAATTCAAGAAATTTGTTTTGTTAATTGCTAACTTTTCTCAGATATAAACACAGAAAATCCAAGGAAAACTCAAATCGGTCTTGTTGGATACCCCAATGTCGGAAAATCTTCGACTATCAACGCTTTAATAGGTGCCAAAAAAGTATCAGTATCGTCAACTCCCGGAAAAACGAAACATTTTCAGACAATCCATTTAAGTGATAAGGTCTTGTTATGCGATTGTCCCGGTCTAGTGTTCCCTAACTTTGCTACCACGAAAGCTGAGTTGGTGTGTAATGGTATCCTACCGATTGATCAGTTGAGAGAATTCACCGGCCCAGCCGGCCTTGTTGCAAAGCGAATACCCCAGGCCTTTTTGGAGGCAGTCTACGGAATGAAGATACGAACTAGACCGCTCGAAGAAGGGGGTACTGGAATTGCAACAGCCGAGGAAATGTTGACTGCATATGCTAAAGCACGAGGTTTTACCAGAACTGGTCAAGGACAGCCCGATGAGTCTAGGGCAGCCAGGTTTATTCTGAAAGATTATGTCAATGGGAAGCTTCTGTTCTGTCAACCACCTCCGGGTGAGATTGATCCACTAGAGTTCAATCGCGAATTGTACGACGAAGGTCATCTGCCGGAAAAGAGACGGCTTGCTCTAGCAGCTATGGAGTCAGGGTTAGATCCCTTGTCAGCAGAAGCGTCCGAAATCCCCCAACTTCGAGAAGGTCCAAAAACTCAAAAGCTAGACGGCCAGTTCTTTGGTCCAGGTCAGTCGAGCCGGGGTCATCTTAAGATGCCTTTTAGCCACAAGTACACCGAGCAGGGAACTGCAAGTGGTAAACAGCTGTCAGGCCGAAAGCAGAAGACAATGTTAGCGCTCGAGAAGGACATGGATCCCAACGATCTCAAGACATTAACGAGTAAGAAGCATTTCAAGGGAGGATCAAAAGGCAACGGGAAGAGGAGAGCGGATTATTTTGCAGACTAAGAGTGTGCCTCGCAGCGGCATTGGAGCGTTGGTGGCGGCTATGCTCTGTATGGCACATTTGCATCTTTTTGACGGATTATTTCACATCGGACGTGACTTGCATGGAGCGGCGTTGGGGGGTTGCGCAAAGGGTCGGGGTTTTTCAGATCTTTTTGCTGCAGGTTGGCTTAACTTGATTTAAGCTTAGATGATTGGATGAATACAAGACGGTTTTTCGACCCCACGGTACCACATGCCTCTACCATTGGCCTAGAATTGTGACATGTTTCTCCCCATCGTCATTTTTGCTTCCCCCCTTTTTTTGCTTGACAGACCCCAGATCCCTTGGCGGCGATCTGCATTTCCATTGGCGTTTCATGAAACATTTCACTCCTACGCTATTTCTTTCCTCGTCGAAATTTCACAACCTCATGAGTGCATGATTCGCCTCAATCACACTTCAGGAGATTTATCGTTCACGAACTCATCACATTTGGGGTTCCTAAGCCGTAATGGTGCTGAGCATGCGCCTCTTGCCTTTCACGTCACAAGCACAGCTTGAACCGGTGTTGACGGCTTACGGTGAGTTGTCAATATTGACTGTATGCTGAGTTGGTATATAACATTTAGTACATTCCCAACGTTTGTTGGGAATTTTATCAGTTTCTAGGTGAGATCAGCTCGGAAGTCTATACCGGGTCACCGAATAGAAATATTTTCTTCTATTGCTTTGGTTATATAAGACGTCCATATTCTCAAGTGTTTATAGACTCATTAACTATAATCATCTTAACTTCTTCTATTCATTCAGTCTTCCGCTTGGTAGAACAGAACTTCAAATTCATACCAAGGCTGCATCAGTACCAAATATCATCTACGCAAAATTTTCCACAATCACAATGTTCAATCACCTCAAGCTCCTCATCACCTCCACCCTCATATTCTCTTCATCTGTTCTCGCTCTCCCCACAGCGGAACTCACTCCACGAGGCACACTCCACCCTTGCTCAGTCAAAGTCGACCGCTGGTATCAAAACAGCTTCGACACCTACTACTTCTCAAAACCACTACTTCCAAGCGGCGATGGAGACTACAGCGGGAATTTCTTTACACAAGAATCCGACGTAACTCCTGTAGGCGGGGAACTGGTGGAACACAAAGTCGGAAGCTACGTCCTGTACATCTATAACCTCGCGAATGCCGCTGAACCAGGACGCATACATGATGCTGGGAAGCTGAGCTTTTCGTGGGGAAATCAGACTTGGGATTCTTTTTCGCCGTGTAGTCCGTGTGTTATTACGCCTGTGGGAACGAACCCGGCTGCGGGTGCTGCGTCGGTTGCTTGTAATTTTCAGTGTGATGTTTTTTCATAGTGCTTTGAGGGGTTGAAGCGTAGAAGGACTTTGGAAGAAATTAGGGAGTAACTGGATCTTCTTTTTGTTTTACAAGAACACGCTTGGGAGGAAAGAAATACAATCACGGAAATTATGCTCAACGAAATGCTACGAAATGCTAGAAATCAAACAAAGTGCAAATGACCTTGATACCTACTGGGCGTCAGACAGTACGGCCAATTCGAATGAGACTTTGAAATACTGTACTTAGTATTCCCAATTGAATCATCTCAACCTGATTCATGGCTATGAGAATAACGAGAACGTCCGCTGCGATGCTAACAATGAGCTTGATCCACTTATCAAAATAGATGAACAAGCCTGTCAGCCTTCACGTTGCTTTCCTGCACAGCTGAGTCACTGTTATTGCAGCCAACTGAGACAGAAAGAACATTGAATTGGGAAAGACCGCATCCAGATACCATAAGCGGACAGTACTCGGTAGACTGTATAGGGAAGTAACAGATCATTGTAACCCTCGGTGTGGACGTGCCGCAAAAGTCTCCAACAAAAGAGAAAAGGGTATGCTCTATAAAACCGTTCCATTGCTCCATTTACGAGTACATACCTTAATCATAATCCAAAGGCATCTTTCTTCTTTCGGCTCATGACTTGACAGTCTGCCTAGTCGTCCTCAAAAGAAGAATCTCACCAGCTTGGCAATGTAATCCAACCAACAATAAGCATAAGGTAGTAAGATCTCTCAGATGGCCTAACCGACGAATTTGGACAAGCTTATTAAGACCTCGGCGGCCGCGGTCTAGCAATAATGCAGAGTTTGGTGTCCAACATGTATGTCGTCTCGGAGCTCGTATAAGTGAAGTGAGTGAGGAGTTGTTGAGTGAGACTGAATGCGGAGAAGCGATAGATTTGATAGATGTGGCCCGTGCATCGACCCTTCAACTCAAGACGAAAAGCGGCGCTCAACATGAGAGATAGTCCAGCCAGTTTAATTCGCCAACTTAGCAAAAAATCGAAAAATGTATTCCTATACCTTGACTGTGAACTCTCAAGATGTTTCCTTTCTTTTTGATATTCGTAGGTTGGATGAAGGTTGAATAGTATATTTTGTTTCTGGAATAAGAGTTCCATGGAAGATGAGTGCCGCCTTTCTACTGACCGCGGTTCTCAAGGAAGGCCGAGGTTCACTTTGAATTCGAAAGGTGTACCCGATACCCGTCCGTCTGGGGAACTGTGGGGTTAGGCGGATGAGCTAGAATAACATACCATTTGCCATCTACAATATTTACGCTGTTGATCTCTCCAACTCGTCCATTTTCTGAAGCTGTTGTTCAATTTGGTTGTAACAATCTGCAAGAAACCTCCGTTGCAATCCAAATAATTAGCAATAATGTCCGACAAAATCCCCATCATTGCTCTTAACAGGGTCAGCGACAGAGCCCGAAAGACTTTAGATGTTGTCCAAAAGTTCGTTGAGGAAAGATGTATCCCGTACGTACCGCCGCAAGCTTCTTGCTCTGTCGAATGTACAGAAACCGAGCTAACAATTAACAGAGCTGATCCAGTATTCGCATCACAAATCGGAGAAGGAGTACAGAGATGGGACCACCACCCAGCGATCGTCGATGATTTGAAGAAGGAGGCACAGGCTCTCGGGCTATGGAACATGTTCCTGCCAAAGGGTCACTACAAGGAGTCGCCGGGATTCACGAACCTCGAATATGGATTGATGGCAGAGCAGCTAGGCAAATCAAGAGTGGCGTCTGAGGCGTGCAATTGTGCGGCACCAGATACTGGAAATATGGAGGTTTTGGCAAAATACGGAAACGAGGCACAGAAGAAGCAGTGGTTGAAGCCGCTGATGGATGGCGAGATTCGGTCAGCGTTTCTCATGACTGAGCCTGATGTCGCTTCGTCGGATGCCAAGAATATTCAGTTAAGCATGAAGAAAGATGGGAATGATTGGGTTCTTAATGGTTCAGTACGTAATGCAGATTTCAAGAGGAGCATCAGCTAACGTCTCGTAGAAATGGTGGTCAAGTGGAGCTGGTGATCCACGATGCAAGATTTACATTGTGATGGGTAAAAGTGATCCTTCCAATAAGGATTCGTACAAACAACAGTCCGTTATTCTTGTCCCGGCTGGAACCAAGGGTGTTACTGTGGAGAGAATGCTTTCTGTCTATGGATTTGATGACGCGCCACATGGCCACGGTCATATCACATTCAACAATGTTAGAGTACCAGCTTCCAACATGGTGCTTGGAGAAGGTCGTGGTTTCGAGATCATTCAAGGCCGTCTCGGCCCTGGACGTATCCACCACGCCATGCGTGCAATCGGTGCAGTAAGTTACTCTTGAAACCCTTAGTGAAATCCTCAACTAACACAATTTCAGGCTGAGAGAGCTATCGATTGGATGCTCATGAGAATCAATGATCCAAGAAAGACGCCATTCGGAAAGCAATTGAGCTCGCATGGTGTTATCCTGGAGTGGGTTGCAAAGTCCCGTATCGAGATCGATGCAGCTCGTCTGGTTGTATTGAACGCTGCGATTAAGATGGATGATTTTGGACCAAAGGCAGCATTGACAGAAATTGCTCAAGCCAAGGTCTTCGTTCCTCAAATCGCCCTCGACATTATCGACAGAGCAGTCCAAGCATTCGGAGGCGCCGGTGTATCACAGGATACTCCATTAGCGAACATGTGGGCAAATACCCGTACGCTGAGAATTGTTGATGGACCAGATCAAGTCCACTTGCAACAAATGGGGAGGAACGAGAACAAGCGAGGTCCAAAAGTCACTGCTATTATCAACAAACAGGAAGAAACGACACAACAGCTCTTTGCCAAGTATGGAGTCACAAGGCAACAGCCAGGGCCAGCAAAGGCGAAGTTGTGAGGCGTCTTATTGTAAATAGTATTATAGTCCACAAATGAAAATTGTCACGGCCCATGAAGCTTGCTCGAATTTGTCGGGGAACTTTACAACCTGTAGAATTTTGTTTACTGGCCCAATATGCGACCTGCTATGATCGGCTAGCAAGTACCGAGGGCATTTAACAACCTTGATCTATTTAGTGACTCACTTTGTCGGCCCATTGCTGGGGTGGAGTGTTTTTCCAGAGGCGAAAGGGGGTCCTCGACAAGGAAATACGCTGGTTGCCCCGCTGTTGCTAGGTCGCTCCTTCTGTGTTGACAACCAACGTCACCTAACCAAATCTTTTAACAAAACGATACCCATCTATCAGACTCCTCCAGAATACAACGTCTTTCTCCCAAAGAACTCAAAGAACTTCAAATCAGTTTTCTCAAGACGCTCTTCAAACAAAACACAATCGCTTGCACGAAACCGCTCAATCAAAAAACGCAAAACCTCGATATGTCTTCAAACGTCCTCGTCGATCGCGATATCAACGCAACTGTTACAGCTGCACCAGAAACCATGGATGGAAAGGTCGATATCAAGAGCATGGAGTACCATCGTCAGGTGTTGCAGAGCAAGATTGATCAGCAACAGTATGTTCTACCCAATGTCGTATGGTAGACAAATACTAATAATTCTTCAACAGGGGCAAGCAATCTTACATCTCGCCTTCCGATACCATCATGAGCCCATGTACGCAAAAGCTGAGCGCCTACCGCAACAAGCAAGTCTCAAAGTAAGTCAATCCCAGGAACATGACTCTTGTCAACCAGTTATTTATTAATTGCTTCTCCAGAACCAAGCCAAAATCTCTCTTCGCAAAGACCTCAGCAAAAAGCCTCGCAGGCGGCTCCAACATGTTCGGTTCCCAACCAAGCACCACCGACTCCAAACCCTCCGGTTTGTAATCTCTTCATACAACGCTTTTCTGGGCCTGTATTAGTATCACGACTTTCCAATCGAGCTCGCCACTGGCTCTGATTGCTACACGACTTTCTTCTTCAACACAAAATACATATGAGACTTCAACATTGGAAAACAGGCACACGTATCAAGGGAATGGTGTGTCACTGATGGCTGAGGATGGGGGTTTTTGCTTATGATTCGGCATTTGGGTAATGGAGTTTGAGTGTCAGAGGGTGATGTACGTTTTTAGAATGGCTCTCGCGATTGGACATGGACTGAATTATGATTTTTATGACCTTCTAAGATTGTTTCAGTGGATTTGTGACTTTCTTATCTTATTGGTTATTGAACGTTAAGGTTGCGGGAGTAGATGGAGTATCTATGAGACTATGATGTCGTACTTCCAACCAGGACAGTCATGTCATTTATGGACTACTAGCTGCTGCTCCGTGGCCACAATCAACTTTAGCTCACATTTTGTGAGTTAATTCATGAAGCATCAACCCAATCATCAAATCAAAAGGAAATGGTATTTAACTCATCTGGTATCTCGGGATATGTCACAACGGCGTTGAAGAGAATTGTGAACATAATTTTAATTTTTCTACTCAAGCAAACTTCCGACAAAACTCCTTTTGACCTGTACCTTGCAGCAGAAAAACAGCTGCATAAAAAAAGTATGATACAACAAAACGCCAGAGCCAACTATGCAAGACCATTCAATAACAACCCCTTATCCGGGACGATGATCAGACTCTTTTCAGGTCACGGATTCTTTTATTCACTGTCATCACTATCCACAGCCTTCTTACCTTCCTTCTTTGCTTTCTTCTCTTTCTTCTCCTTCTTCTTGCGCTTACGCTCGGCTTTCTCTTCGGCCGTCTCGCCCTCGTGGCGTTTACGCTTCTTACCGCTCTCGTCGTCGCCGTTGATCATTGAGACGTCAGCATCAACGGCTGGGATTGGTGGTGCGGCGGCTACATCTGATTTGCTTGTGGTTTCGGCGACTGGGGCGGCTTCTGAGCCGTCAAGTGGTGCGTTGTAGTCTTTGTAGTCGGTGTTCCATTTCGCTGGTGTGGCCTCGTTTGGTCGGCCGTATTTATCGAGTTTACCATCAGACTTCATCTTCTTCTTTTCCAGTGCAACTGGTCCCAATCCCCATCTCCTTGGGTAGAGATCTCTCTCCATGATACAACGCTTGACTTTAGCGACGACTCCGTGATCGCAAGTTGAGAGCTCGACTGTTGACATCTGGGCAATACCCAGAGCAATGGCCTCGCCCTTGGTGGTCATCAGAACGACTTCCTCGTGGACTTCAATACCAGACTCTGGAAACTATGTTAGTAAAGATATCTCCCTGATGGTCGTTAAATGACTTACCATATCTCAATAATCCAGGAATCATGAGCTTTGCACCATAGCATACAGCGTTAACCGCGCTGTCCTTGACAACAATTCTCTTGTAGGTGGTGAGAAGAGTCTCTAATGGCGAAATAACTGTTCGCAAGTACGACTCGTCCCGTGTGTTATCTTGCATCCATTGAGCGTCCAAAACGTCGTGAAGAGTGACCATTCCAACGTTCTCGTCCATAGCTCCACTTCGTACACGTCGCAGCTCTTGCATGTGTGCACCTACACCAAGAAGCAGACCCAGATGAACACAAAGTGTACGAATATATGTTCCTGCCTCACAGCTGACCCAGAATACACCCAAATGTCTATCATTGTCGAATTCGTACAATTTGCTTTCGTGGATTGTTCGGATTCGCAATTGTCGCTTGACGGCAGAAATCAATGGAGGACGTTGGAAAAGAGCACCAGTCAAGGTCTCGAGAGCGCGTGCAAATTGTGCTTCACCGCCTGGAAGTTTGTCGTGAAGCCTGATGACACACACATACTCCTTTCCTGCTCCTTGTTGCGACTTGACGAGTCTAGTCGCGCGATCGATACAGACAATCAGACATCCGGTAACTTTAGGATCGAGAGTACCACTGTGGCCGGTTTTTTCAACTCTATTCCTGCTGTTAGCATGCGACTTCGCAAAACTCTGCAATTTTCGTACCTGAGCATGCGCTTCACCCAGGCGACAACTTCGTGACTGGAAGGGTTCGAAGGTTTATCAAGATTAATCACACCAGAACTAATGTAGGACTTGAGGTCGCGCTTGAGCGGGGCACATCCATTAGGAATTGGAGTGAAATGGGAAGTGCGAATGAGTACTGCAAGCTTATCAGTAAAATATCCTATCGATTTGAGACATTTGCGCCATACAATTGTTGTAATTCTTAAGCAGCAGTGGCCATGAGCTGGTGTCCACGGTGGGAGTTACTGCTTCCGGCTTGATGGAGTACTCGACTTCCTGTTTCTGCGCAGCTACCAAGGCCATTCTGACGGTTGGGGAAGTCAAAAGGCACCTTCTTCTTTCTGGTTTATGTGCGCGTGGGTGGTGGTTTCCCTACTTGTCGATTGTCCCTCGAAATATTTCATCTCGAAGCTAAAGTTTTTTTGCCGAAGCTTTCGTGGGTTGACGCTAAGCCAATCAGAGGTTAGCGTCTCAAGCTCCTCTCAAGCTCAAGTTCGAACTACACATTGCTTCTTGAAATATACACCAACACAAAAATCATTGTAAAGAATGAAACTGTGGTCACTTGGAATTCTCGGTAAATTCTTGAACTTTTCGAAATGAATTTACCACGACAACATGAATTCTTGAAGGGCCGTTAATCACTCATATATTTTCGGGTACAAAAGTCTAGCGAGTGAACCACCCTATCAGAACAATTCGACATTGAGAATTAATCTGTGCAGCAAACTATCAGTCAGGTTCTTCAGATCCAGCTCTACTTCCTTATTCTGTGCTAGTCTTAGCCCTCCCTCAGAACCACTCAACCCTCACTGGGACTGCTTTTCCGTCCCGCGTTATTCAGAACTTCAGAAAGGCAAGGCATATCGCCGCCACGCTCAGTCACTCATTGTAACCGCCTACCGATTGACGAGATCTTCGAGGATTGAACATTGATTTCGTGATGGGCAATGTAAGCAATGACGAGGGATATACCAGCTCGTTCGTATTTCCCAGGTGACTGAGATTGTCTTTTATCTGTAGGGCTTGCTCGTCTACCATCTTCTCCCAGGTAACTATAATTGATACACATCAGACAATGATACCTCTCTACATTGTCTAGGTCGAGTTAACAGTTGTAGTAATACCCACAAACACTACCATTACTGCTGCATATGTGGCAGTCGAAACCAGTGTCTCGCTATTGCTTGAGTTCAGCCCCAGAGAAATCGCGCAAGAGAACAATAAGGTTCCCACAGAAGCTGTTACCAGGCTTTTCGTCTGATCAGGCTTGATTGCCATGATCAGCATCGGAACTATTAACAACGCGCCACCCCCAAGAGCAACTATGAGCCGAGACAGTCTATCGATAACAACACTGATTTCATGGGGAGACTTGCCTTCCTCAAACTCTCGTGAGCGGCGTACGCGCTCGGCATGAGAGTATGTAAGATGACGGGGGAGTAAATGGCGTAGTGCCTTCCGAAGATTATCAGCCTTTGCTCTATTATCATTCAGTGTATAATAGTGAGATTCGAACGGCTTAGTCCATCGGTATTGACTCGTAATGGACGGAAATGAAGTCCTCAATAGAGCTTTCCGCATTTCGGTTGTTGCTTCACCAAGCGGCTTCAGCTCGCGGAATAGATTGTAGTTCCTAATTGCTTGGCCTACAACGAATTAATCGATGTACATGTCTATATATGTGCTGGCTTGCGTAGTACATACTATATTCATTCAACACACCATTCAAATTCTTCTCGTCGCAACTTTGGCCGAGATCTGCATGTATGCTTTCTCGTATGTTGGCGAGTTTATTCTGGATCCGTACCAGATTATAGCGTTGCAGAAACTCAAATCCAAGGACGTGAAATATCTCTTCCTGGTCCAGCGATGCTGCAACGTAGCGAAACAGCTCAACTTCGGTTGTTTCGTGCCCTTTGGGCTGAGATCGCTCTTGAGACTCCATCCTGAAGGCAGCGGGGTGGCTTATGATTTAAATACAGGTCACAATCCGGCGAAAAATGACCTAAAATTATTTCAAGTGAGCACCTTGACACCACAAGAAGTTCTATGTTGTGTCGTTTTGGCAGCAGGTCGTTCCTTGAATTTGTGTTTTGGGTTGCTGGGGCTGTGCATGTATTTTCTCGTGACTTTTCAGCAGATTGATAATGGCGGAGTTTCTTGAGCTGCGCCCGAGATTGAGCAGCACATAGACCAGGCTGCAAACAAAACATTGCCAAATCTTTTCTATTGTTTTTTTGACTCGAGGGCGAGAGGTCTCCATCATCACAGATATTGCTTGAAAATACATCGGCCTGGTCTCTTTGTTGCTATCCTGGCCTCATTGACAGGAATTATACTGATCTCTTCGCTCCTCTGGGACTTCAACATTACTGCTTTTGAATCAATAGTGTCGCGTCAACCATAATATCAGATAATAATGTCTATGGAACCGTCGACATCGGCTTCGGTGCCTCCACCTCTGCCGCCGCCCAGGCATATTTCACCTTATCCAACCCAGATGGATTCTTTCAGTTACGACGCTTCTCTTCTCAATCTGCTGCAACCAGGTAGAGAAACCCGGAACAATGCTGGAATGAAAAGGCGTAACAATGAGCTGGAATCCGGACATCATAGCGAGACATCAATGTTGCAGCCAAACTCTAACAATCAGTTACCATTGAAACATTCTGCATACACGAACAGCCATGTCGACCCTCCGAAATGGCAGAGACGTCAAAATGGAGCACGCGAAAGTGACGAGTTTATCCCCACTGCTGTTGTTATCAAAAATATACCTTTCGCATTCCGCAAAGAACAGTTTATCGCTCTAGTATCTGAAATGCGGCTGCCCCTTCCTTATGCACTCAACTATCATTTCGATAAGGGTGTTTTCAGAGGTCTTGCCTTTGCGAATTTCTCTAGCGCCCAGGAGACAAGACTTTTCATCGACTCTATGAATGAAAGGGAAGTTCAAGGTCGGAGGCTCAGGGTTGAGCATAAAAGCATGCTCCCCGTTGAAGAGAGAGAACGAATCGAAAGAGCTAAGAGGGAGTGGCACGAGTCGCTTCCACAAATGAACCAACTCTCAAAATTACACAGAACTCGAAGTACTAGCGAGCTTTTCGGAAGTCGAGTTTCTGCCTCAAGACAATCTCCTGTGACCGGAACGTACTCCGGCTATGCCAGCTCCAACCACAGTGATATCAGTATCCGCAGTTTTGGTAGCAATAACAGCTATACTTGCTCCGTTCGTTCGGCTCGTGGGATTCCGGATGCGGACTCAGAAATTTTATCACCAGTATCAAATGGCGTGAAAGGGCGGCAGAGCAGCGCTGCTAGCAGCGATACCCCACATTGTGTCGTAGATAACACTAGACATACAAAGGCTTTACCATCAGAAGAATTAGTGGGACTTGAAGGAAAGTATCAATCCTGGGAAACGTTCTGTGTGTGGCAGCTCGTCGCGTTCCTTCAAGTCTGTACCTTGAGCGACGTGCATGCTCTGACGCAGTCTCCAATTAAGTTAAAAGATCGATTCAAATCTTACTTGAGACGCATGATCGCTCGGGAAGGAAACACTGACTTCCTACTATATCGAGCTTTTGCACAACCTGGTCAGCCAGAAGCCCAATTACAGATGCTTCGCCATCTGAACAGTACTTTTTCGCAATCGAGGTCTTCGATACGCTCATACAGTTCTCGCACTTCGCATAGCTCTGCATCATCGGCGAGTTCTTTCTCATCCCAAATTTCTGATGGGACATTATTGAATCATGTGCAACAAGAGGCGAAAAGCCTCAAAGACTGTCTGATCAAGATTCAGAAGAAACTGAAACATCTCGAGAAAGGCCTGGAAGGGATTCAAAATGACAAAAGCCAGGAAACACCTGCTGCTGAATCGATAACACTGGTAAAGCTTGTAGATGCTAACAAAATAGCCATCGAATGGCTCAATTCAAAAGATGGAGAACTAGGATTACTGGGGTTCTGTAAGCTAAATACTCCACGAAAGCTGGTAAACTACTGATAAACTGTCAGCGGACATGTCTCTCCTTTTCGCCAAATTCCATCGCGACTTTGCAGATATTTACAAAGATCTGAAGAGTTTGAAACGTCAAAACAAACTCCAAAAAGTTTTCAGGCCAGGACGTTCAAAGAAAGAAGTCGAAGAGAGGCGTCTAAAGTACGCCCATATAGATCAGGCAGTGTACAATATGATGAGCGGAATTGTTTCCGGGTTTGAAGCTGCCGAATTGCAGAAGGCTGCTTTCGTCGCTGCTGGGCAATCGTGCGTGTCTGTATCAATCTCAGAAACTGCCGCTGATTTAGGATATGCCGCTTACGACACAACACATGGGATGTTGCGTTTTCTGGAAATGAGAGAGTTTTTCAAGATCGAGGATTCTAGATTTCGAAATTATTTCAAGTGCAATTGCTGCCCAAAGAAGCCGAAGAGTTTTGACACTAAAGTAGCATTGCGGTTAGTCTTCACAGAGTCTAGTGCTAGGCACTGTGTTTCTTTCGATATTCTCGACTAATACTATGTTTGTAGTGCTCATGAGAACGAAAACCCCTATCAATGTACATACTGCCCCAGACGTTTCCGCAGCAAGAATAATGCCGAAGTTCACAGCAATTCTCTCCATACTCGGCGTTTTTCCTGGTCGTGTGCGGGACTTATCAGCTATGAGGCTGCATTCCATCCAGCTTCGAGAACTCCAGATGAAGCAGACATCTGTGGCTATTGCGGCGAAGAATTTAGACGTAGTGGGCCTGTTGATGACCTAGGCATAAAAACTACTTCAGAAGCAGACTTGGAGCTGCGTATCGTACACTTACAGGAAACTCATAAATTTGGCGAGTGCAATCGTGCAAAGAAGTTTTTTCGGGCGGATCATTTTAAACAACATAACAAGCATAGTCATGCTGGAATCATTGGAACGTGGACAAGCATGCTAGATAATGCGTGTATGAAGGATGAGCTTCTCTCTAAACCCATTTGTGGGCCAAATGGTGAATACTCCCACACCGAAGATGGTACCCAGCTTCCAACCGAGAGTCACAATGTTCCAGAAGAAATTCTTCTTTTAGCAGAGAGAATCAGAGAACCCGTCAGCCCGTCAGGGCCCGTCAGGGGGGTTCAAAAGCGACATTGTCGATCTGAACGGCATAGGATCTTAGATTAGATAATTTGAACAACGATAACCATTTCTACTCGTTTTATTGTAGTCGGCTTTAACTCTGCTCTAGACTTGTACCGAACTTTCTACCAGAAGAGTTACCGTAGCAAATAGTCGCATGTCAAAGCTCGCTTATCTAATTTTCCCCTAAAGTATCCACCTAAGCATGCTAATCTATTCTGCTTATATCATCGAGAGCAAGATCTCTGATATTTCACCTCTTAACCCGACTGCGATGAGAAAATTCACGAACAGATGAGAGTAATTGTGCAATCGATCCACGAATCTCCTAGTCTATCCTGCTTTTATTCCTTCCCAGCAACAAAACTTGTCGATGTTTCTTGCTCCTGTAGCAGCAAAGAATCAATGAACGATATGAATCATCTTCCTGGAGAGGTCTGGTTAAAATTACTGGGCCATCAGCTGTTGAATCTTGTTCTGAGCGTTACTTCTTATATTTCGAAATCTTTGCCTTCTTCAGTTTGCACGGTTAGAGCTTGAACAGCGCGTATCATATAATTGAATCCGTAACCTCATCAAAGAGATCTAGCTTACTCTAGGTAAGTGTAAAAATTACATACGGTAAATAGAAGATTGGGTAAGCAGCACATCTTTGGAGTCTCGACACAGATAGGGGGAATGATTTCTATAACACGTGACTCAATGGCATTTCACCCTTTACAATCTTAAATCGTTGTTACAAGTGAAATAGAAAAGGGCAAATGGAGACTCTAATCTGTTTTTGATGTTCCCTGGATCTAAAATTATCTAACGAGGGCCGATTAAGCAGTGAATAGTAGTCCACTTAATAGTAACCCGTGCTTGTGAATCCAGTTCCTCTTACTCTTTTTCACAAGCCTTGGTAACACTGAAACATCTGGTAACCAGGTGGCTCCACATAGTTTCGTTTTTAGATATTAGTGGAACAATAATGGATCTGGATGTTTGATATACTCTCAGTGAGAAAGGTCTGGATCACGTGATATTGATGCCGAAAATAGTTTGAGGTCTTTGCTCCGATCTTCCTGAGCAATCAGCTCTTGCTTGACGCTTGGAAAAGTCAAGAGCCGCCGAGCATCATGATTGCGCACTTGGTCTATTAACATCAGCTTGCGAATGCCTTACCAACAGACACTGGGATCAGTCAACGATAGAAATCGGCATCTGGTTCCTCCACTTCATCCGTACCGACCTCACGGTAGCCGCCGTGGGTTGAACAAGCTTATTTTACCGGCTGGAAACCATTCGCACTGTCCAGCGTCTAACTTTCGATCCCATATCCAAAAGTCCTACAGATGGTACGACTTGTCGTCCAAGCGGATCCGAATGAGCGGATCGTCATGTAGTACAAAGTCCTAACTTGGCTTTTCTCGACGACGTGAAACGTCGCCATGGATTCTAAGCGCAACCGCCATACTATCTCACCAATGCTGGCTCCTCGGATTGTCGAATGAAAGGATAAAAGCAGTGAATTACTAAGCAATTTAGGAACATCCCATTCATGACACCTCCACCACCTGTCTCCATAAGCCACTCTTTTCCTTGGTTACACAAAGTAGCAAAATGTCTCAGGCGCCCACTCATATGAAGCAGCCCTCAAGTTGAGATCGCCACTATCCACCTGTACCCATTTGGATATCTTTACAGATTCGCTGGTCGGTAGGTGGACGTGTGTGGGTGGAAGCTGCAAGGCATGCGGGCAATTACCAGGGTCGCGGCAACAGGCTATATACCCAGCGCTTAACTTCAGAGTGCTCGTTCTAAGAGACCAATCATCCACGCCATGGAAATTGTGAGCCTGGAGACCGGACGGTACAGTCAGTCGGCCGGTATCTCCACGTACTCGAGTCCCCGGTACTCCTACTCTAAACCGCCAGTCTTTCACCGGGCTCCTGCTGTACACCGAATGTTGGTTCATCTCAGCCGTGCCGATGCATTCAAACAGCTTCTTGCTTCCTACTGGCTACGAGCTGGTAGGGACGTTGTTGGATGGAGGGATCCTGCTGGCAAGGGCTTCGCAGCTCCAAATCATCATCGTCTTAACTCGTGGGTTCGAGGAACTACCAACCCGAGGCTCTGGTCAGGGCGATAAGCCGACCTGTTGGCTACAGTTTCTGTTTGTGAGTGGTCAAGTGAAGGAAGATCCATACTTTAACTGGTGTCACGGGCAGATACCCTCGTTGTATACCAACAAGTGACTCCGCTTTCTTTTGTCTGTCTGGCGTGTACGATGGCTTACCTTAGAAATGACTTGCGGGAAGGCTGCAATTTCTAAGCCATTCGCTGCCTTGTCCTCTCATATATGTCTTTCGTAGCCCCCAAACGTTCTGACGGCTTTTCTATTTTCATACCCTTCTGTTTCTTGAAACATCTTGTCTACTCTTTCTGAGAGGGTTGCATGACGACATCTATATCCTTGCGTTGAACATTACTGTCTTCTTTCCTTTAAGTTCTTGGTCAAATCAACCTTCTTCGAATTTACACATTCATTCTTCGCGGCCGCGGCTGTGACAAGACATTCTCAAATGGTACTTCGACCGTCTGGAAATTCTGTTGGCGCCGCAAATTCACAATGGTTGTCCTTCGCGTCCCCTTGATCGCCACGATCTTTCTCCTGTCAAACAGTGTCTCTGGGTTGAAAGTAGCACCTGGGTCGCCATGTGTCGCGTTATGTTCGAATAGTCAGGATCCAAATCACTCGGTTACGACTGAAGACGAAATTGCGTGCCAGGATAGTTCATTGAATTCAACCGCCGTCGGACAGAGGTTTAAATCTTGTGTGCAATGCCTACAGAATAGCACCTTTACGGCAGGCGGTGGCGATGATCAGAAATGGTTTTTATGTGAGTATTCTCCTCGAATCCGCGTTCTCGTTGCTGACTCCAAGTTTCAAGATAACATGCGGTTTGCGCTCAGTACATGCTTATTCGGATTTCGCAACAACTCAGATACGGTTTCCACACCGTGCTCTACCTCTCCCGCATGTGGACCTCTTAGAGCTGCAGTGGGCAATGCCGACTTGATCCCTGAGAATGAGGACACGTACTCATTCTGTACTGCAGATGAGCACGCGATGGTTGGAGGTTCTGAGTTCAGATGCACACAATGTCTCAAAGCCAGCCCACAAAAATACCTTGGAAACTGTACGTGTAACCAGCAGCATTTGTGGAATTTGCTAACCCCCGCAATAGTTGTCGCAGCTTTAAAGGGTAGTTGTAGTCAGCAACCTCCGTTGGGTACAATGATAGGACTCTCTAGCTCGGTCTTCACGTCTGATGAGATTACGCCAACCTTTCCCGGAGACAACCCAAATACCCGTTCGTCTAATGACAAGAAAGGTCTCTCACGCAACGCAATCATTGGGATCTCAATAGGAGTATGTGGTCTACTTCTCATCATTCTTGCGATCCTTTATTGGCTTGCTCGTAGACAAAGATTCAAGCATATGAAAGGTCTGAATTCGGGCTTCGATGAGCGGTTCGGCGCTCCAAACATCACCTCACCAAACTCCGGTGCGTACGGTAATCCTTACGCCAGCCCGGCTGTACACTCGGCTCCTCTCCAGTTTGTTCCCGGTGGCCATTCGCGAAAGGCTTCTCATGATCAAGATTACGTTGAAAGAAAGGGTGATTGGCAGGGACACAATCTACCATTTCAGCGTCAGATCGGATCGCTTCCTCAGACTCAGATGCCTACACATCAAGCATATATCCCAAAGAGCCCGGCAGAAAGCCATTCAACACAGTTCTCTATGTCGCCAATTCAGAGTGCTAAAAACAGCCCTGAATATCCGAGCCATTTAACATCACCAACCTCAGCTACTACCGCGAATACATCTACCACCGCCAGAACTTCACCCTTCACAACCCCTACGGTTCGCGCAGCTCCTAGATATCCTCCGAGAACTCAGCAGAGGAATCAAGGTCTAGGCAACACAATCACTAGTCCTATTGAGAACGAGACCGCCACCAATAGGGCAGCATACGAACGAAGCGACTTTCAACGGGCAGAGCAGGAACGGAGAGAAAGGGAACGCAGAGGAGAAGTCATCCGTCCGTTGGAGAAGTTCAGAAAGGATCACGGAAGAAAAAAGCAATGGAGCCCTGACACCGTTGAAGACGAGGATAGTCTTTGGTGATATGTTTTTTTTGCTAAATCTGAGCTTGGGAGCGATGGAGTTCTCGGTGGCTTATACCTTATTGTTTACTTTTATTTTGTCTCGGTAACAAATTGTGGGAGTATTGTTGGTATGATGAGGGGCGTTGCTTTGGCTGGAGACAGATACATATTAATGAATGGGACGAGCATACGACTTGGGCTAGCCCAAGTTCAAAATCTTTCAGATCCATTTTCCCCAAAAACTCAACATCTCCAAGGTGACTCCCATTTGGTACTTTGGTACCTCCTCATGGACACACTGCTTTTTTCACGGTCGCCACCCAACACTCTGCCTTGGAAGGACTCGGTGACTGATCAGGCAAGTCACCAACATTCTCTGCCCATCTTCCTCAGCGGTTATCCAGCGGAATCTTCCTCCCTCATCTCCTCCAGCAGATCCTAATCTCGCACAGCAAAACCAACAACTTCTGCATTTGCCCAGCACATCGCCAGCGATCACTCTTTTCCCCTCACATTCAAGCATTTTTGCCAATCTCTTTGTTGGTGGCAGGTGCCGTCGGGTCACTTGAACCCCTTCGCTTAAAAAGTGGGACCACTATGGGAGGGCTGGAGCTGATGTGCATGAATGCCATCAACCAGAGATGGATGATTGGGTGGTGTACGACACAGTAGGTTACACCAGGTCTATACGCCAGCCTTGGAAGGTCAACCAGACTTTCTTCTCATCTCGAAGGGTTCTGCTGCACGGCGACCTGTCGTCGACCGACGCGGACAACTGTGCACTTGCCAGCAAAACATGGCATCCATACATCCACTGTGTGAGAGTAAACAACTGGAAAGAGATAGCTGCAGGTGAGAAATACGAGTAAGCTGCTTCACATGACAATCAGACTCCCAAAGTAAAGCGCTTGGGTTGAGTTACACAGCGTCTCCCAAGTCAGATTCTTGGGATGTCTGTGGTCTCATCTACCCAGCAAGCATCTTTCGTGTTACCAGACTTTGCCAGCTCCGTGGAAATCAAGACTTATACCCTGAACCAACACGTTCCCGCTTCCTTCTCATCATGATTGAAGAGGTTGACACCCTCTTATCTACCCAGCGACTACGTCTTCTCCAAACAGCAGCAACCCAGAAATGGCAGTTTGGTAAGCTGGTACGAAAGATACAAAGAGGTACTTCCTCTGAGGCATTTTAATCTGCATGCGTATGCTGTACCCCATCATCGGTTGGGTACGATTCGTACCTACTTTACACCGCAGTATCAGTCAGCATGGACATATTTACCCCAGAATTTATCACCGTAGATTATTTTGATGGTTTATGTGTGACGGGGTATATGTCGGTAGATCGAGATCTTTACTTCCGGTCTTGGATTCGGAGATTTCTTTTGCTGCTTTGTTTTGGGTGGGACGTCTGAGCCTCATGTGTTTTGTGGATATGTCTCGGTACTTTTTGGGCTGGTTTGAAGTTGTAATGGCTGGGGGTTAGGGTTCCCAGTTCAAAGTTCAATGCTGTACCTAGAATATGGGTATTGGTTAAGTGTCTACTATCTTTTAGGTTTATCGAACTGTAAAATATATGGTGGATCATTGGGAAGTATTGCGCTAAATCCATTGCTTAAGGCATCTATTTTGGCACAATACTTCTCAAAGATCTGCCATAGCAATTCAGCAAGAGTGGGTGATAAGCGCCGAGCCATCACTTTATCATTTAGGCAGTCTCACAAACCACAACTCTTGCAGCAAAATACAATTCAACATAATTTCAGATGGCTACTTCCACAGGAGTGAGGTACTCTAATGGCAAAGAAGATACAGATGGCCGTAGCAAATTCATTTGGGAATATCCAGTGCCAACCAATGCCTTTTGGAACGACTTGCCATTTACACTAGGCCGTAACTTCCTGTCAAATTATTCGGAAGAAGAGATCCAGAGTCTACCAATAGATGGCGACAGTACACTGCCAAAGGAGAAGAAACTGGAACTCCTTCACAAGCTCCTGAAAGAGGGTCTCACAGCCAAAGACAATGCCGCCGCACCACAAACATTCTACGACGTAGATTATCCTGCCTGGGATCGCTTGTACCTGGGTATAGTCAGCATCCAACAAGAACTAAGCCTTCCAGAGGCCGAAAAGACTCTCCGCATGATGTGTGAGCTGAGAACAGATAGGAGTAATCTATCGCACTTTCATAATCTAGCTGGTCTACTTCTCGCTAAAGGAGAATTTCATGAAGCTGAAACGATGGAGAAAGAAGTGAAGGTTTGGTTGGAGAGTAAGTTGGGGAAGGATAGTCCGCAGGCGTTTGGGGCTGGGAGGATTATTGTTGAGGCGACTTGGAGGCAGGGTGGGCAGAGGAGGGGGGACGCGGAGAGGTTGCTTGAGGAGATGAGGGGGTTGGTTGAGGGGATGGGTGGGGGAGATTTTGGGGTATATCAAGAGGACGAAAGGGGGTATTTGCAGAAGTTGGACGAGAGGTTGAGGAGTGAGGATATAATTGAGGCTTAGAAGAAGTCATTCTGATGTCTCGCTTTTTTTGAGGAAGTCTAGACGCTGTTTGCTTCTGTTAAGGGCAAGATTACCTAAATTGATCTCACGATTATAGTACAGTATAACTATATCTTCAAGTGTATAGTGGTACAAGTATTTTAGAGCTCGCCTGCGTGAACTTCAAAATCTACTTCCAAGCGCTCAACTCAAACCCCTTATACCACACCGTACAAGCACCACATCCACCTTCCTCACACCAACACCGTCAAAACAGCCTCTCCAATCCCCACCGTCATAAATTTAACTTCTCACATTCAAAAATAGCAAAATAAACGGTACGGCACGTCCCATACTCCCCTTGTGTTGCATCCATGAGTAAGCCTCTCGAAGTCGTGCAGCATGCTTGGTAAGTGTGCGATTCTCTTTCAGGTACTACCCGCCGGCATATGATAGCGCATATTACAAAGAATTCTGCAATATCTGGATCTTAATTTTGAGCTGAAGTGTTTTTGGAGGATGACTGAAAAAGCCTCCGAAGCAGATAAAGAGTTTTCGAAGAAATATGCACAGAAAGGCGATTCTTCCACGATGCACGCTGTCGGGAGCTTCTTTGGGGGCTATTCATAGGGCAGTACTGCTATTCTGGTGGTGCTGGGGTTACACTACATATCCCATCAGCTGCTGCGTCACTTGTCATGATTGTGACGCCCTCGAAGCACTGGGTCAGTACGGTAAGTTCCACAGGTAAAGCTTATCAACAGAAGAATTTTAAGCGCTCGGAGGACTTTTGGATTACAAACTGAAAGTAAGAACATGGGCCTCTCAAGTTCACGCACCATCAAGTTCAATAATTCTGTTGGAACTAATGCTAGAAGGAGAAAGGGGAGAGTATCCCAGGCATGCGACTGCTATTGCCCACGCTTCCTACCTCTCAAACTATCTTGTGAGTTTCAGAATGGAGCCGCAACTCAGATGATCAACAGGACTTTTCGTCATAGACGTGTGTGGTAACTGTGGTTGGACAGTAGACCAACATACTACCACCCGCCTGCCCTTTCTAGACGCCGAGAATGAATTTCTCAATTGAAGGTAACTTTCGTCACTGCAACAAACAGATATTCCCGCTCTCAACAAACTGTTTAAAAAGTTGGAAGTGGTAAGGCATATACGAGATCAGCAACTCAAAGTAGTATTGTGCATCATGTGTACTTGTGGCGTGGATTGCTCGACGGGAAAGATAAGGAGATGTTGGTTTTATGTTTCAGAGGTACTTGATATGCCATGAACCAAGACGACTGAGAAGAGGATGGTGTGTGAATTAACTTACGGTATTAATTGTATTGGACTAAGTTCTTTGATTTATAGATTTAAGAACTTGACGCTAAAGGAGGAGGGAGGAAGTGACTTCCCAGGGATTTGATATCAAAACCGTATGCTGGAGTAAACACAATACGATCGAACAGGATAAATTTATGGAATTACGCATCCCAGTTGTATTGAGACTGAAACTAGTATGGCCCTGTGAGAGTGTAATCGAACATTCATAAGCGCCATGATCTTCGAACCAAAATACAAGCGTCTTTCACGTTATCACCTACTCAAGTTCGCTCTGTCGGCACCCGATAATTTCCAGCTCGTCCCAACACCTTCCAATCCATCGATTCAACCGCCCAAGCCAAGTCTCAAAATCAACATCTCTAGAAGACCACAACCAGTGCCAGCCACCAGGCACAACACAACCTACTCAACTCTCAACATCCATCAACAACCAGAGTCCAGACCTAGCCTCAAGCAAGCCTCGAATACCATATTCTATTTTAACCCCCAACCAAGCCCCCCATAAAAATACACCTCCATGCATAACATACACACCTCCAAAAGCCCGCGCCAATCCAATCCAATTCCCTTCGTACTGTAAGCGAATCAAACACAGCGCACGACCAACCATGCGCTGCAGCTTGTTGGCACATACAATACGACGCACCCGTTGAAAATCTACCGAGACATAGCGATTCCCTCTTTCGCGGTGGTTTTTGAGGTGCTATGTATAGCTGTTTGATTGTATGTATAATTTGTTTTCATTAAAGAGCAGGAGATGCGGTGGAAGCTGGAGATGTGTGAGAGGATTTAGTTGCATGCGTAGAAACGTTGTTCGGTACCGGATAAAGTCCCAACACCACCCGACCGAAACTCGGCAGGTTGGGAAAAGGCGAGGTACGTGGTGCTGATTGGATGGGATGGGTGGGTGGTTCTATATCTGGTGGTGAGGCTCTTGGGGTCGATTCTGGAATATGTGTTGTGGGTGAGGAAACTGGGAGTTTGGTATTTGGGATGCATATGTAGTGTACTCGATGGTTTAGGGGAAGGGGGTTGGGGAGCTGTTGATCACCGGGAACTTGGAGAGAAAGGGAGATGGATATGAGATTTTGATATCGTCATATTGATAAAAATGTAGATTCAGATAATCATCATGAGATTTGTGTAATTATAATACAGTATAGTCTTCACCAGTTTTCCCACAACACCAATCACCCACTTGTAAATCCATCCCCAAACAAACCGCCATCTAATTAATAATATCCGTCATTGTTGACAAGACCGTGTCGTAACATTTGCCAGACGAACTCGTGAGTTCAACTCGGGTATCCTCCAAGTCTTTGCCCGTTATCCCATTTCAACACCATCATTCCCATATGTATACCAGTCACTCCGTGGAAAAAGCAACCCAAAGCACCCGCTAAAAAACTCGATGAAAAATATGCAATATGATGACCGGCAATGAGCTCAGAAGTGCCCAGCAGGTCCACCAACTCTCCTTGCACCCTCAGAGTACAGGCCGGCTGGTTGACCACGTCCGTTTCCTGGATGCAGCAAGACTGGAGCGACGTTTTGCATTTCGATTCTGTCGCCCTCTGGTTCTCGCTCGACTTTATCAATGCTTCTATTTCGTCCAAGTGCTGATCCAGCCCCCAGACTTCCTTTGCGGTCCTGCGGCCAGTTGCCCATGACGTTCGCTTGTAAGGCATCTGTCGCGCTGACAGGCGAAGAGTAGTTACTTGAGTACGGGCTGAAGTAGGCTTTCTCGCCAACGGCGCTGAGAGGACTTTCTTCGTACATGATTCTATCGTCTTGTTGCTGGTTGGGTGTCGGCCATGCTCGCTGACTTACAAGCGGTCTTGTGCTCGCTGGACTGTCGAAGAACCCTCCAGCACTAGAACTGCCATCTTGAGGCGTTCCTGTCATCTGGGGGTGGCCGCCGTGAAGACCTGCGTTTTCAAAATCATGATTTTGACGCCAATCTTGGAAGCCAGAGTCGCGTTGGCGCTGTGCGAGAACTCGGCGACGTCTGCGGCGTCCGTTCCAGATAATACAGAATCCGGTGATAGCCAACAACACAACCACTGCACCAGCTGCGATGCCAACCTTTGCTCCAAGAGTAAGCCCACTGGTAGAAGCTCCAGTTGTTCCGTTAAGCACATTGTCGTCCGGTTTGGTGATGTTGACAGTTACATGAGAGAAAACGGTGCCGTCAAGAGATATCGTATGCCCAGGAGCGGGTTGTTGTATACAGGCTGCATCAAGTGCAATGGCATCTGAGGAGTGTTAGTACCAATTATTGGCGTAGAAGGTTGCCAGAAAAGCAATGGCGACATACAATTGTTTAAGAAAGTCTTGTCGTTTTGGTTCTTTAGGCAATTACTACATGAATGGACTGTAGTGGAGACATATCCTGGACAATATGCGAGAGCTGGCGAATTTGGCGAGAGACCGTCATACTCAAATGCAGGTTGCAGAGGACCACAAGAGAAGCTACCTGTGATTAGAGATTGTATGACAAAGTATTGTGTAAAGGAGCATACCCAATTGTACATGGCGTACTACCGACGTCTGTGTTGTTTGGAAATCCGAACAAACACCAACTCACGGCATATCTCATATTGTCTATTCAAATCCCATTAGTAGGTCTTCAAAAAATAAGTAGGTGCAAACTCACATAATCCAAACTGTAGATCTGTTTGATGAGTGACAGGATCCACGAACTTGCTCTTTATCTGACATTCTACACAAGACTTGAACGTCGAGCCCGGAGTCAAGCCAAACCTCTCATCCAGGCACTCAATGTCGGCTCCAGTAGTAGATCCCAAGACGTTTCCGCACTGCACCGCGCATGGTGAGTTCGTCAGAGCTTGAATCGCTGATACTGATGGTATTGATGGTATGAGAAGAGCAAATATCGTTGGTCTCTTGAAGAACTTCATCTTGTCGGTCCGTTTCCCGTAAGACTTCGTGAACGACGGTGGCTGCCTCGGGTAATTGGTCGATGTTGAGGTTATTAGATCGTTCCACACAATTGCAATCAACCTTGACCAGCAAGATTCTTCGCAAAGGACTGAGAATATGTCCAGATATTCCGACACACAGCAGTATCAAGGTGCTGATCCTATGCACATAACGATTCGAAACTCTGTTGTGGAAGTCGTTGAATGTGGAGGAGCATTCACAGGCGACGTTACGGACTCCACTGTTCTTGAGGTGTGAGGTTTGAGGGACATGAGGGTTGAGATAAGTGTTTCTCCGCAGTCCAGATCTCCCACCCGCTTTCCCTGTCTGCCGCTTGGCTATAATGACATGGATGATTGCACGAGCGAGCCGACCAGCAAGAAGAGAGTCCAAAGACGAGGGAAAGAGGAAGTTACAGGGTAAGCGAGCTGGGGTTGAGTTGTGTGATGTAGGTACCCTGCACCGCAGCTCGAGTGTGCTGCAAGCGGACCCATGGAGACTCGTGATGGCATCCAGAGCTGCAAGGTAAACAACGGGGATGTGATGTGGTGAAGCAAAAGGGAGGGCTGGGACTGGCTGGTGCTGCCGGGTGCTCGTTCTGCATCCCAGAATGCGCGGGTCATTGGCGGTTCCCAGGGCACACCAAGGCCTCTGCTCAGCGAATCCGCCCTCTTGAAATGCATAAACGGACCCCAAAGTCGACTCCAAGTCACCAACAACTGTCGTTCTCGCTCACAGCCAGAGAGCAACGGTCATGGCCGTCCTCGGCATTTGCCTCATCACACCCATTCAGCGACGCTGCAAATCATTGGGGGCCCTTTGCCCCGTGGCGATTGAGCAGCTCCCAATCTGGCAATACGGCTATTGGTAGGGTCAATACAATGGCTGCGTATTCATACGGCCGCTTGCGTGGAGGACAGCAGAATCGGTTCGTCGTAAGCCAAACGGAGAGACACTGAAGAGGACTGGCCACCCCCCCCTCTCACCTACGACTATCGATGAGCTTCACACTTGATCATATTCATCACTCTTTTTGAAGCCAGTGATTGACCATGTTCGCAACATTGGCGCAATACCTCGAAGTGTCTCATACCGGGAAATATCCATTGTCTGCCTTTTGCGCCCTCTTTTGGCGATGCCTTGACGCTGAATAAATATCAAAATGACCCAAAAGAGCGAAGTCGTAATTTACTTTCAGTCCGGCGGTCCGTCTGGCAGCAAGAGTTTGCGCTTCGGCCCGGGTACGAAGGTACTGTAGTGAAGTCCGTCCACCCCCAGCGCAAAGGATGCTCTCGCTACTGGCCGTCCAGTGGAGCTTTCACTCCTCAGCCAGCAGGATCACCGCATCGCATCTCACCTAGCCTGGTGCTGTGCTGTGCAGAGTTACATCCAACAAATCCAACCTCATCATCAGGTTGATTGATTTCATCAGTGCGAGGACTGCTCGCCTTTTGCCCCACTCCGCTATTGCTCCTTCGAGGTGGCGATAACGACACTTTCAAGGGTTTTATGATCGCCGGGAAGGGTGGCGGGGGAAACACAAACCCCTCATTGGAGATAACCTGCAGCGGGACTTCGTGGGACCGTTGGCGAGAAGCATGAATGCTTCATATTAGCGCTTGGGATTGAGGAGCATTAGGGCAATACCTCGCGAGGGCGTGGATTCTGGATGTGCGCTTGGATTCAATCACAACTGGTTGAGGATACGATTATCGAGCCACACAAAAGAGAATTCGAAATTTGCCTTTCAACGATGATGAAAATACAATATCAATCCTCGTTACACAATCCCATTGACCGCTACGAGGCTTCCATATTACCGTTGAAAATACAGAAGGGATATTATCCGGTGAGCATAAACCACAATTCCTATCGCATTACTGCTGCTTATTGGCTTCTGCACTCTTAGCGAGAGTAACACACCACAGCGGTATGACCGTTCATCGGGATTTGTGCGGTGTAAAGACTCTGAAAATTCCATTTCCTTCTCGATGGAAGCGCTGAGATTCCATACCACGACACGGGCCTTCCTTACATCACTTTGATGTTCGAGACATTCCCAAGCAGTCTATCTGTAGTCGAACTCGCATCCGAGGTGCCACAGCGCTTAGATCAAAGCGACTTTTTGATTATTCCCCATGTTTTGGGTCTGCTTTGGGGCCAAAAGCGCTTACTTCAGGAGAAAATGCATCTGAGGAACGTTTCAAAATAAGATAAGCGAGGTTCTCGAATACCTCATCACAGATCGAGCTTGTCTGCTTTCACACTTGTTCTAGACTCTGGTGGTAATTCCAGCGGTTAGGTCAGGGGTATCACAATGAGATTATGCTAATACAGACATCGTGGATGTATTCTATGGTGTTTGATGGCGATACTGACTTGGTCGACTTCATCAAACAGTCGCAGTGACACTAAGCGAGCTTTTATCTCGATATGTCGCGAAACCAGTTTGATATAACAAAAGGGTCAATAGACGAGAGAGCCATCATTTTCCCGGGTGAGCAAAGCGTTTGAAGAATCTTCTTTTAGAATACTTTTTAATCTTCCGGCACAATACTCAGCCATGGTCATCATAACATCCACCCAGACAAACCTTTCACCCAAAATAAACGCTTCCAACCCATTCCAGCAATCCCATCTCCACATCTCATAAACATCCATTCCTAATCCATCACCCAAAGAGCCTCAATTCCCCCATCCATCTCCTCACACCCTCTTTCCAGCAAACCCACCCCACTTTTCGGCCACCAGCGCCTACTCTTCATCTTCACGTAGAAAATCGTCCCGCATTTAACAACTTACCAAACCATTGCCCTCTCGAACCGCTCACGCACCCTAAAAAATCGCCGCATTAAGCTATTTTCTCTCGAAGCGCTTCGGACCCCACTCCAGACGAGTGCAGTTTTTCGCCCCCTAAAGCGCTTATTCAAGCTGTCGGTAGGGGTGGGGGCTAGAAATAGGTTTTTGTGATGGATTGATGTGGTGTTACTGTTGTGGATGCGCCTGCTTTTGTGATGCGCCTAGCTAGCTTTCGCATGTAAGAATAGTGTTTTTCTGATTATGGATAAAGAAGGGTTTGGAGATTTGGGAAGATGTTGGTAAAGTCTGGAGACGTACTCGGTGAGTTCGCACACATCCCTTTTGGGATGGGGATTGCATTTGACACTCCGAAACCGTACATACAGACCCAATCCGACTTAAACCATTACCACCTCTCCAGTAACTCATTTCTCATCTGCATCTTAGCTGACCTCTATCCTTCCATTCCAAACTAGAATATGCATCCAAGACCTCGCGCACTTAAAATACTCACACCCCACAGCTTGGTACCTGAAGCCACGAAGGAAAACCTGCTTGCGGAGCGTTTTATGCTGTTGGAAGGCGCGGATTTATGTGCGTCGGGGCTCGGTAGTGGGAGAGTTATTATTAGCGAGCGAGGGCTTAGCATGACATTTGCGTTTGATAGAGTTTATTTGGATTGTGGGCTTAAATGTAGGTATTTGGAGGATATGTGGTTGGAATGGGATGGGTGTTGGGTCTTGGTTGTTTTGTGGTAGAGGTGGGGTTTGGATGTTTATGGGTGATTTTTGGGATGTATATATGCGGATTTGGGAGAAACGTGTTTCTAGTTGAGTGTCCATAGAACTGTCGACTGTCGAATTGAGAATCGAGTTTGCGCACAAGTTTCTGTGTTTGACTTGATTTTCCTTTGAAGTGGACTAGTGAGACCGATAGTATCTCAAGATCAACTTGCACAAGACAAATAAAATCAAGTTGTTGTGATGAAGTCAATCTTTTGTAATTAGCATAGATATTCTTGTTCTCATACACTTCAAATCACCAAGACTGACAGGATACCCTCCAAGTGTATCCATGCCAGAAATCGACTTTTGACATTCCTTCCCCTGACAGACATGTGTCTCCTTCGTGATAGAGGCAATATCTTATATCTACTCAAGGAGATTGGGTAAATAACCCCCTAAATATCACTATCATACTGTAAGAAGGTGTCCCGTCTGACTCGCAATCCACCAATGAATCCAACTAGAAAACAGCATCACTTGCAATACACACCAACACCATTACGCACCAAACTCTATCACCTACTTCCCACCCGCCCTCACCAACCCCGCAAACCTTGTCCCCTCCTCCCCAGCCAAAACCAGCGGATTACCCACCTCAACCACCCTCCCCAAATCCATAACCACCACCCGATCAAAATCCATAACCATGTCCAATCTATGACTCACAGCAATGATCGTGTAATTCCTAAACTCAGACCTGAGAATCTCCTGCATCACACGTTCCGTCTCGGTATCCACACTCGAACTCACTTCGTCAAGTAACAGTATCCCACCGCTATTTGAAGGACGAAGACGACGGCGGAGAATAGCGCGGGCGAGGGAGAATAATCCGCGTTGTCCGGCACTGAAGGTTCCGGCTGTCATGCCGGCTTGGAGACCACCACGGCTTTGGATGAAGGGCCATAGACCGACTATCTCGAGGACTTCCTGGCATATGTCGGGGGTGGAAACTTCGTAAGGGTCGAGATTTGCTTGGAATGTGGTGCCGTCTGGTAGGAACACGGGTTCTTGAGGGACAGCAATCATACGTTGACGTAGGATAGATCGATTGATGAGATTTAGAGGCAGGTTGTCGATTATCGTCTCGCCTGGGGCGTTTGGGAGTGGATCAAGAAGTTTGAGAAGAAGAGCAATGAGACTCGATTTTCCGCTTCCTGTGCGGCCGCAAATTGCGATCTTTTCGCCGGAGTTTATGGTTAGGTTGATATCGCTGAGAGCTAGACTGAGTGGCTTGTTTCTTCCCTCTTCCGTTCTATGAGACATGTTAGCTTTGCTGAAGTACGATGAGATCAAGTGATCGTTAGTTTACTTACTTGTAACTCGCCGATACACCCCTCAACTCTATCATCCCATTCTGTGGCCACTCCTCAGGCGGAACAATATCTTCATCGACCTTGTCCTCGGCTATGACGGTTTCGTTGAAAGTTCTGAGTCTCGTAATTGCCCCAATAGATGTCTCCAACTTCGTGTAATATATGACAATCCCTGACAAATTCTCTCCGAATCCCATAAGCGTGACAAGAGACGCACCAGCGAAACCAGAACTAGAATGAAGACGAACAGCAAGAGTCGTCAGAACCACTGCCATCACCATGACGACAATATCAAGAACAAAGGTCAGCCATGATTGAATCATGAGAAGAAGATACGCGGGCCGTTGACTCGAATCGATTAAGAGAGCGTTCTTTTGGATATCGTCAGAGATAAAACCTGTTTATGGACAATTAGTAAAAGCTTTCTTGTGACTCGCACTCGAATTGTTCTTCTTTGGCTTGACAGAAAGGGTTTAGACTATTTTGAATTATGATGTCCGTTTGTGTTTTGTATCACTTACCAAATGCTCTCAAAGTTGTAATGCCCCTAACAGTGTCAAGGAAATGTGTACTAGGTGAGCTCATTAGCAAAGATTGTACAGACAGCGACGGAACGCAGAACAAGAGGTGGTGATAAACTTACTACAAAGGGCTTTTGGTCTCAAGGTCTAGTAGTCTCAACTGTCTTGAGGTACGCAGGTAAAACTTTTGCATGACATATAGCAGCGCACCTAAGAATGGATAGCTGATTGCCAAGTAGGGCGAAGAGCTAAGCATTATTCCAGCTTGTCCAATGGCTTGGAAGGTCTAGGGTCTAACATTAGCCTGCCGTGCGTTTCCTCCTCGTACGGGGTGCAACTCTAGTGGACTTACACAGAAAAGAAAATTCAACAACGAGTCGGGCAGCTCGGTATCTACAAGATTCAGATCTTGAGAGAAAAGGTTCGTAACGACTCCAGTATCTGTGGTTGTGAAAAAGCTAAGAGGCGCTCTAATTAATGTAGATAGAGCATCTTGGTGTAAATTTGCTCCAACCCTTTTTACTGCGACAACGAGTAATACTACACCAAGACAAAGTAACGAAAGAATCGCGAAAATTTGAAGCAAGGCGAATATGCCGGCGTAGTAGGCAAATGAATGTGTGGGATGTAGTGACGAGGTGTCATCACTCCAGTATTTGAGCCCTGTTATACAGTAGGATTAGCCATTATTCATATGGCTCATTAGGCGACGTAGTTGGTGGTGATTTGAAAAGGAAGGCTACTCACAGATTGTTGGAAAATTCGTGAAGAAACCAAAAAGGATTGCAGATATCACGCAAAGAGCCGCTGGTATTGATCCCATACTCTTTACGTAGTGTTTGTAAACGGTCTTGTCCCCATGTTGTCGCGACTCATCATCCATCGGCATCAGAGATTGTGTATCGAACGTTTTCAATGCATGGGTTCGCTCTGGCTCTGATATGCTGTTCTGTGATTTCGATCCTTCGGATGAAGCATCAATAGCGGAAAAGTCCTTCAAATCGAGACTCTGAACATACCCTTGGCCGGCTGTTAGTTGGTCATAACTACCTTGCTCAACAATAGTACCCTCCACGAGTGATATTATGTGGTCCGCTGCGTGTAAATGTTTGACACTATGAGTGCACAGAACGACCGTCGACCCACGTCTTCTGAGTAAACCGTCTGGCCCAAATACTCGGCGAAACACCTGCTCCTCTGTATCTGCATCTAAGCCGCTAAAGATATCATCTAGAACAAGCAGATCTGATTGTAGGTATAGAGCTCGTGCCAGGGAAACTCGTTGTTTCTGACCTCCCGACAATGTGACGCCATCTGAGCCAATGATCGTTTTGTCACCCTGTGGTAGTGAGTTGACATCAAAGCCTAAAGCGGTAGCCTCAATGACTTCAGCATATCTCTCAGGATCAAACAACGAGAAACCTATAATATTTTCTCTGATTGACCTGTTCGAAAGGAATGCTGTTTGCTCGCAGAATCCGACATGAGGGAATCTAGTACTTAGAAACGTGTTACCTTTGCTAAAAGGTATTTCCCCAAGTAATGCGTTGCAAAACGTAGACTTTCCCGAACCGACTGGTCCAATGACTAGAGTGAGTGATGACTTTGACACTCGGGTGTTGATGTTATGTAGCACGAAATTCTCTTCTTGCCAACCAAAATGACCATCCTTAACGATGATAGGATGTTCCACAGCCGGCATCGAGCCAAATGCGGTCACTCCGTCTACACCATATTTTTTCGAATTCAGCCGTAAGTCAGCCAAAACTTGTCGAAAGTCGTGACGAGTTTCGCACTCCAGGAAGGACTGAATTCTTCCTAAACAGGCAAGTCCGGAGAGAAGCACTGGCGCTGCCGAGAAGAGCTGTGATAGCGGGTAGGTCAATAGCAATAGCCACGAGAGACTTGTAAACATTTTAGTCGAGTCCAAGGTTTGCCGAGCGAATGCAAACGTCAACGGAGGGCTGAGGAAGAGCGGGCAAAAGCCTAGTAGTGCTGCCATGATGAATATCTTGCGGAACCTGGCACCCCCTCGTAGCTCTTCAACGCGGAGGTTATGTACGAAGTCTTTAACAGCACTAGAAAGACCGGATATTTTTAGGTTCTTCATGCTACCAATCACTGTTGCCGTTAGACCGACCCGTTTTTGTACTCCCGCCATCCAGCCTCTTTGAGAGTCGCCAGCGAAGTTTAGAAGAACGCCTAAGCAGCTAAAGCAGACGACAACCACTACTATTGGAACGACAAAGACTACACCCAATCGACTGTATAACATCCAAGCTGCTATGCCTGCCTGGATAATAGCCGCCCAAGCATCATGCAGTGTTCTTAAACCCATTTTTATCCGCTCTATGTCGGTGCTCATAAGAGTCAAAGCAGCGCTATTATCGGCAGTCCCGATACGAGCTTTCGTAGCTGTGACAAATACTTCAGTGACCAATATTGATCTTGCCATTGTACGCATTCGATGATGAAAGTACCTGCAGTGTGTGAGTCGGGAATATGATAGTGTCTAGGTGCGTTTACTCACCATGTCAGCGCAGTACTGACTGCAATGCCAGCATACAGTAGAAGACTAGCTCCAATAAAACCATATCCAACGTTCGCCTCTATCTTGGGTTGTGATAAATGTTCTAACAAACTCTCGATGAAGAATGGCTGGCTGATGATAAACCCCAAATGTGCTAAGCGTGGAAGAACGGGAAGTAGAAGAGGAACTGCAAGCGTGCGTGTCATAACCTTCAATAACCCAAATTTATCGCCTCGGAGTTTACTGTAGTCCATTCTCTTGGAGAACTCATGATGAAGGGTGTCACTACTCAAAGAGCTATCCAGTGGGAACAAGTCTTTCAAAGTCAAAACTTTACTGTAGCCCTGCAGGAAAATCCTGTTAAGCCAGGAGAACACGCTTAGCGAGAAAATACCGCTCGTCTCCTCCGGACTATGCTCCTTTTCGTCCCAGCTTACCCATCTCGACTTTTTTCGAGCCTCTAACAGCAAAATGCCGACCTTCAAAGCAATAGCCGCACTGAAAACACTGCTATAAGTGGTTTCTGGTCTGTTATCTGATGAAAGAAACAACGTTCTTGCTTGAGCTGCGTCCAGTAGAAGTGTCAAAAACAAGTAGCTGTTCAAAAGCACAGAAGGCCTCGGGCTCTTCTTGTGGTCAACAAGACTCAATGTTATCATCAGTAGAGCGGAAACTAGTTTAAGTACCGAAGCTGCTAAGAACATTTTGGTAGCATGGAATGAGCCGAGAGCTACCAGAACTAGGAGGGAAAGTTCTAGCGCGACATAGATGGTGATGGCAGCCTGTCATAATACGCTCAGCATTTTGATTAACCATATATGAGTTTAGATGAAATAGAGAAAGAGCTTACCAATTTGATGAGCTGAAAAGTTGGCGCATTTACCACAGTGGGTTTTCGAGCCTGAGAAAACGTTCGCCATAGCGATATTACGATAAATACAACAGATGGTATGATGGAGAAAAACAACTGCTCGAACTGGATGTTAAAGTCGAATCCCTCTTGGTTCAATTGGAGAAGGTTCTCCTGCCCGCTGAAGAATGGCATTTGACCTGCTGGTTGTTTGTACCGACTTTCGATTAGAAGGTCTCAAAGAGGAAGAAACAATGACTCAATTAGAGCATCTGAGCAGGACATTCCAACAAAAGATACAGAAGATACAGAAAATAAACTTGTCATATCGATGTCGGAGTAGTTGCCTAGGCTAGTTGACTCCGTACGGAGTAGAGTCGACCACGCCGCCAACAGGCATGTCTTCGTCAGCATCATCTAACTGAAAGGTCCACTCTTGCTTAGATAGGAAGTTGATAAATCGCGTATTACACCGGCACCGGTCGGCTGAGATCGTGCCGAGGTGAAAAGCGAGCCGGAGCGCTTAGGGAGCATCGGGGACCTCCTCCGGTGCTTCGTCCCTCTATGTGACCCACACTTCCTCGCTGGATACGCGGGCGTCTTTAAGGTTATCTCGTTGTCGACTTCCTCAAAACATCATGGAACAATATAGACGTGGAATGCTTCGCAATTATATGACTTTGCGTAAGAAGCGAATTCTCTCAGGTATTCATGAGCGATTCTGGCTTTGAGGATCAAACTGACATAACTTCCGTCGTTGATTCATCTACGACGCCTCGGTTGAACTCATCACTTGGGCTTCTTTTGCATCGTAACGGAAGCCATGAAGCCGCTATTTGTGTCTTGTTACCATGTCTCGCGTGTACGAATGATACGTTGAAATAGTTCTTCAAAGACAAAGTCAGCTGCGTGATGTTTGGATCTGCCGATGATGGATGCTGGACGCCGCTTCATTCTCCTTTTCTCACAATCACTTCAACCATCTGGAAGTCTGGATATTTCTCAACCTGGCATACATCAAGTATCCATTAGACGAAATGTGCGATACAATTGGATCCGAATGGGAAATGCAAGTAAGTAACTTCTTCCTGAATGGATAATGGTCATTAACACGAAGTACAGCTATACCCCGACAGCAACCACTACCAAACATTCTAAATATTTGTCAAGCAGAACTCAATTCAGCGGCGCAGCATTCAAAGGCATCATGAAAGGGGGTATCAGCTTATATCTGTACAGGTCAGAGTCTAAGGAAGCAAGTATCCTCGCATCCAAATGCCCAGCATCCCAGTATCCCAGCAGCGTACGTCGTCATCTGCCACAAGAATTTATATTCTACGCAACAAGCATCTCAGTTCTATGCACATTTCTCAAGTGGCAAAAAACGGACAAACGTGTCCGCATTACCTCTGCATCTCGCAACGTTAACCGCCAAGCCAATAGTTCTCGTCTTCAAATCACAGCACATTTCACCCTTGAAACCATATTCTCATTCGCACTCCGCCAAAACTATCGTCATATGATACTATGAACAATATCCAAGTGGCTATTTTGTACCCCAAACCATGTTCCCACCATTTACCCCCAAATGAAAATCTCATATGTGGCGGAACCTCAGGCCGTTTCACAATTAGGCAAATACAGAAGTACCGGGAACGACATACCCCAGATTCCTAGTCACCCTTTCCCATGTCCATGTACCCCACAATTCTCCTATATTAACCTACTTGTATTTTTGTATTTTTCAAGAATGTGTCTGGTGACACATGGGTTGTAATGGTATAAGTAAAGTACTTGCACCCACCTTGGCAACGGCTTTTTTTCATCTACAGTTCTTTGTTTGTATCAATATCTTCTTGTAGTCATGAAGTCTTTTACTCTCGTTGGTGGCCTTTTGGCTGCTTCATCATCTGTGGTTGGACATTCTATTTTCCAGGATCTATGGGTTAACGGGTATGTCCCCTCCAAATATGCAAATTCAGCTACTAACCTCGTCCAACAGCAAAGATCAAGTCTCAACATGTGCCCGTCTACCAGTTAGCAACAGCCCCGTGACCAGCGTCTCAAGCAACGACATCCGCTGCAACGCCGGCACCAAACCCGTGACTCCCCTCTGCACCGTCCCAGCAGGCGGAACCATCACCGTCGAAATGCACGCCCAACCAGGCGACCGCGTCTGCACCAAAGAAGCTATCGGCGGAAACCACTTCGGTCCAGTCATGATCTACATGTCCAAAGTAGCCAGCGCCGCCTCCGACCCCGGCTCTGGATCATGGTTCAAGATCTCAGAAGAAGGTTATAACCCAAGCACCAAGAAATGGGGAACAGTAAGCCCACTTCCCTCCCCCCTCTCTCACTTAACATACTGACAATACCGCCCAGGACTCCCTAAACGCCAACTGCGGAAAGCGAACCGCAACCATCCCTTCGAGCCTCGCACCAGGAGACTACCTCGTCCGCGCCGAAGCCATCGCTCTGCATTCTGCCAGCTCAGCGGGCGGTGCGCAGTTCTACATGACCTGCTATCAAGTTACCGTCACTGGTACCGGAACTGCGAATCCTGCTGGTGTCAAATTCCCTGTGCGTATAAATCCTAATCCAGATGATATAGTGATATATTAGGATGGTGCTAATAACGATATAGGGAGCATACAAAGCCAACGACCCAGGAATCCAAATCAACATCTACAACAACTTGCAAAGTTACACTATTCCTGGCCCGGCTGTTTGGACTGGGTAGATTTTCATCTCACATAAAACATGTGGTAGGGGGGAGTGTATATGGAAAGGGAGGTTTGCCTCGAGATGAAGGAACAAGGGATTGTATATATTTGAATGTTTCAATGTGAATACTTTTTGCAATTTAATCCGTCCATCGTCTCGATGTATTAAAATGGCTATGTAACAACAATGTCATGGTACGCGCGCTGAAGCGACAACCACCATGAGTCAACAAGCACTCTTGCAATTGCACTCAAAGGCCTTCATCATCAGAACCAAACATCCAAACATAGATCCCACCCTCTCATCTCCATAATCATACACATCCCAAAAAAACACTCAAATCAATGAACCACCTCAGCGCCGAACGATGTCCGTATTCCAATCCAAACCGTAAACTTAAGTCAGGTATCCAAACTCTTACAATAAATATACAAATACGTCTCATGAAGAACCACCTGAGTCTACTTCAAGATATTATTTATCGGATTGTACATCATCTAAACAGAACTCAATTGTAAAGACGTGATATCCAAACGAAAGAAAATAAGATCTTCAGCCTCGTAGAACGAGACCCGCTCTTCTAACATAACAGACTTTCTATTCCCGAATTGCACACCAACTCTCCTTGTTCGTCTAGCCCCGCATGAAATCGCTGTAGGTAGATCTATCTAAAAGGTACTGTAGACAAGGGTATTCGAGGAGTAAGGAGTCGAAGACGCACTTACTGTACTCACAATTGTAATAAATTATAACTACAGACTCTCCACTGTGAGTTAAGCAGGCTTCCATAAAGTAAGAGATTTCTTTCCTTGAATCAAATATATATATATAATGGTATATACGCGATCCCTATCTGCAATAAATTCCAAATCCATATCAATTCATCAACATTACAAAAATCCCCACAGCGCCATAGCTTCCTTTGCCTTCCATACCCAAGCCAAACCCATACCATATGACCGCCCAAAACGCCTTGCTAAATAATATATACGTGACAAGTCCTAATTTCATTTACTACATTTCCATCACCAGTATGCACTGCGAGGTCTAGCATTAATATGCTCACCCCTCTCCCCAAACGTCTTGCTCGTAAAGTATGATTGGTATCGGTCGGGTTCTGCAGAAGTGGGTGGGAGAGATGATTTTGATGTTGTTCCAGAGGTATTTGATGATTTGCCCTCAGTATTGGATGTTGAGTCGCGAGTGGTAACAACAGATATGCTGGGTTCGACCTTCTCTCTTGCTCGACCTCGTGGTGGGATCGGAGGTGCTTCGACAGTCGGTGATGGTAATGGTGATTGCTTTGGAGATGTTTTCGGAGATGATTTTGGCGAGTAAGTATGGGGAGATAGGAGGACTGGGGATTCCTTTGGCGGAGCGGATGTTGAAGGGAACGTTGGAGCGAATGTGGGTGAGTAGGTCATGGGGGACAGTAGTATCGGCTCTGAATCTTCCGCTACTGAAGGTTTTCGTTGGTGTTCAACGGCTGCTTTGGCCTTTTGACGACGCTCTTCAATGCTACCCTGTGTCTCGGCAGCCAAAGGGAAGTTTATACTAGGTGATGGCAAGTCCTTTCTGAGAGTGGCAGCTTCTGTAGCAACACGGCTTCGGGTACGATCACGGGTTCGGCCTCTCTTTTTAGGTGGGGACGGGTTCGGGTTCGAGGAGGAATGTGCATTCTTTAATATGGAAGTCGGCTCTGGCTTCACTTCTGCAGGATCTCGAGTACGTTCGCGTGTTCGACCCCTTGTCATTGGTGAAGGTGGTTGGCTTGCTTGTGCTACTGGTGTGGTTGGTTTGGTTGCTGTCTTGGACGACTTTTCATGATGCGCCCATGGGGATTTGTGTGTAAGCATAGGCTGCGCTCGAGTACGGCTTCGACCGCGTGTTTGTGGCGATGGTGGAACGCTCATTGCAGAATGTGGAGAAGCCGGAGCGGTTGGGAACCGTGGAGATGGCTGACTGGAGTAGCTTTTGGCTGACGGTAACGACTCTCGATAAAAGCTCTCATCATCAGAGGAAGTAGTACCCGAATATGCTGCAGGAGTCTTCGATTCCTTGGGCGAGAGAGAGCTGTATCCGTCGTTATAGTCTTCCATATCCTCTACCATATCTTCATCCGGAGAAGTGTAAGCGGTCGAAGCAGAACCATCGGTGTCTCTTGACTGAGTAGTCGTATCGGTGGCAGTGGAAGCCGCCGATGCAGGTTCCGCAACGAGTTTTGCTTTTGGTCGTCTGTTAGTGTCGACCACAAGAAGTTCCTTGTCGCCACGTCCTAGGATGCCATAGACTTTGACTTCGCCGCTCTCAATACCAAGTACAACACTGGTTCCTGCATAGACAGCATCACCCTCAGAGCCACATCGATTAGCCATGACAACAATGATTTCTCCAACGGTTTCGGCTCTGATCAAAGGCTCAAGACGTGATAGCCAATAAGACAGCGTTTCCATATCTGGCTCGTGAGGTGAACGGCTGAAGGTGGTGATGTCTTCCCTAGTCAGCCATGCCATGGACATGACGACCAAGTTGGCCTGTTTGAAAAGAATATGATAAGAGAACTCCCAGGCGTTCCATGGCGCTTCGAATTTGTAGGGACTGTGAGATTTGTTAGCGTTGATCGTGCCAACGACGCAAACTCAGATTTCGCTGTGCCTCTTTAATACAATCCAAAACAACAAGTATCAAATGTTGTCATATTATAGATTGCAAAAAGCCAAGTCGAGGTTTGTAGACTCGCGTCCAGATATGCAGTTGCTGACTCGACAAGTTTCCCAAAGAGTTAAACTTACTTTAAATCCATGCAGATTCCCATGGCCACCTTTCCTAGCCCATCGATCTTTCCACTATAGAAGCCCTTTCCTTCCAATGCCCAGGTCTCATCGGTAGAGTAAAGAAAAGTCTTTCGATAGTTGGCCACGGTCTCTCCGTCTGCATTGACCGTGATGGCGGAGTTGTAGTACTCTGGTCCCGCTGGCCATTTTGCTCTTACATCCACCTTCTCTGGATACCCGGCAGTCACCACACAGTTATATTTCAAAGCCGTAGTGCGAGCCCATAGCGATGTGATGCCAGACGTAGTCGGTTCGAGGTAGGGAGTAATCTGCTCTAATGACTTGAAATTATATCCCTATGCGGGTATTAGCTCCTGGTACACATAATGTGGTGGTGAGTTTTCGTTTCGGTCTCGGCCGCAACATGGTCGAGTACTGAAAGCCACTTGGGTACCAGTACCATCCGTCTTGAAATCTCGTCGTCCGCAGCGGAACCAAACAATTGATTTTGGAGTAAACACTGACCGAGAAGCAAAGCTCTGGGAGAACCAGTAGGTCAAGTTTGCCCAGATCCTTAGGATTGACTCGACTCAACACCGCATCTGCCCGATTCAGGTTGTTGTCGACATCTCCCAACTATTTTCACATTAGCACATCCTCTTCCATGCTCTGGATCACAGGAAACGCACTTGAGGCGCGAACTGAAGACACCCGATTCTCATGGTGGCGGTCTAAATCTTGGTCTTGACAAGAGGATGCAGCTCGAGGTCGGAGCGGTGGTCTAGATGATCATGTACATAGACAAGATGAGGTACTTGTAGACTGGACCCGGCGGGATGGGAGCGAGTGAACGGAGGGCACAAACCAACTTATATCAAAGTTGGTGGTTCACGAGGAGGTTGTGTGACAATTCCAGTATGGGCTCAGCAACCAGTGGTCGGCTCGACTGTGATCTAATTGCTGCCGCAGAGGACGAGTCTCCTGCAGGTTACTGGCGTGATGGCAGTTGGGGTTGTGCGGGACGGAGGCCAACCCTGCTCATCGCATCCGACTTGCCTCCATTTGGAGCTTCGATGTGATTGCGGTTGATGCAAAGATGCTGCAGAAGATTGGCGAAGTCAATTGGACTGATTGGAAGTTGGGGGGTGCCTTACGCGCCCAGCAGGGATGGACGGTGGTGTGGTAAGACGCTCCCCGCCATCAGTTGATTCCTCCTCTGCGCGAGCCAATTCTGGAGGGGCTGCTCTAGTGACGAAAGCGGACTAGGTCGAGGGCACGGACCGGAGGGAAAGCTGGGCCGTGCTCGGTGCGAAGTGGCCGAGGCCAAGTTGTCGAGATCTCTTCTCTCTCGCTTCGAACGAATGGCCGTGTCTGGCCTCCGTGGCCTCCTCGTGGCCTCGAAAACCATCACACAACTGGCCCTCCTTGGTCGGCCAGCGCTATTCAATCATCTTTCCATCGTATTTAATCATACTCAAGCATCATCGCCAACCATATACGTCTCACAATTATTTCACGAATTGATTGCATGGCTTGAATGGCTTGCACGCCAACTCCTGGGGTGGCATTGCAACTCGTTCGCACCAACATCCACCCATCCAGTCAGATGCACCACAATACAGGATCTTTGAGTCCGTAATTGGAATCTTCAATAAAAAAGAAGCACCAACACTGCGATATCTACATTTGGACCGCTTGCTAAGGCGCAGGCCGCCGCGCTTCATCCACCTTCAACCGCCAGAAGGATTCCATTCCCCTGCTCTCGCGTCAACTGCGCCAAGTAGCTGCTTCTGCTGTTGAGTCGCAGTCCTCTTCGATATTGCTCTACCAGACTCTACACGTGGTACAGAAAGCGAAGTGCAGCGATTAATCTACTTGCAACAGTTTCTCATTAACATGTTGACTGACCTCACTTCGTATAGTATAACCTCACTTGGCAGCTAAGAAACGGTTCATGGCTGTGTCGAAGGCACATCTGCTGCCTGCTCAAGCCGTCCTCATCAAAAGTTCTACTCTTGAATCCGTCTCACCATATGAACACAGTCGATCACTCGATTAAGCCAACGCCAATTGCTTACCCTCAGGAACGTCGATTCTTCAGCGCAGAGCCACATTTTCCCTCACTTCTCACTCGCCAATGGAACAGTCAGAATATTCCACAACATCTTACTCATTCCACGTTCCTGACTACCAACTTTCTTCAAGCGCCTGTGGTACTACTGCACATTCATGGCACAGGCGCCTTATCGACTTATCCGCCAGTGAGGTTGATCTTCATACACACCACGTTTGCTCGTTCCAACTCCATGACTGGATCGGTAGTTGGCCGGTAGTACTTACCATCGGTCAAACTAACCACTTAGGTTCATTATCCAGCGCCAACGTTCAGTCGTGGTTGTGCCTCGATGCCTGCACGTCAGAACCATCTTCTCTCGTAAACTTCCATGATTTCGCAATCGTTTGCCGTCCGTCTACGGCGGGGTACGGCTCTTCCCCTCATTCCGAGTCAATCAGCGCTTAAAGCTTATCGAGTGCCCTATTTCGTCCATTCTCCGATGTTGGTGTGCTACACATTGGTGCTTATTGCCGCTGAATTCACGTATGCATCCACGAGTTTGTGCCTCTCCCTATACGTATACAGCTGACACACTGCGATAGCTCCGAAATCCCCTGGCAATGGTTCTTATCTGCCTGCCTCTTGCTATCTTGGATCGGTACCAGAATGCAGGAATTTCCATGTGGCTGCTTCTTGCATGTTCTACTCGCATACTCGCATATATTCGAGGTTGTGATGGTTGCACCTTGGCGGTTACGTCCTAGGGGTGATCATCAATAGACGACTTGCGAGTTGAAAGTTCCCATACCCCACGTTTTTAGAGTCTTTACAGAATATTGATTTCTGCAGCCCATTGTACAAGCTTGCTTTTCGCGTCAAAAGTCGGCTACTCCCTCGCTTGTCAACTGTTAGTGCAGTTCCAACTTTGGTTCTTGCTCCACAATACACCCAAGAGCGCTTAATGGTGTCTGCTTCGGAGTGTCTAACCATTTTTACCATCAGATCATCATCCCATTCCTAGAGGACTTCCGACTGTGCCTTTCGCTTCAAGTCTTTCCCTCTTTTAATTCCTATTTCCATGACAAAAGTCCTATTCTCAGATCGCTCCCTCCTGTGCCCTGAGTGCATTTAGACACTTTCAGAATTATCTTCTTTACCTCCGCATTTCTAATTCCAGATACTAGTTACCAATACACTCCAAATCGCATTTCCTATTCTCAGAAACATCTCAGCTGTGCCTGGGAAGAACTCTGAAGCTTTGTTTAGCATCAAGTTTTCTATTCTCGAGGTTATTATCTGGTTATCAATACTTGGTATACGCAAGAGGCACAAACATCACTTCCAAGCTACGGACCCTCCACGATTGAATTTCACATGCTTTTATTTATCTCAAGAAAAGTCAGAAAGAGGCACGGCCTTAGAATTCTCTCCCCGTTACACCTCTACCCTCATACTCATCTCTCGCTCGATTTTACTTCCCATCACTATTCCTAAGTCTCACCCCACGCTCCTCACTCTCAAAAGCCACTCCCCCAGTATCTCTCCACTACCCAGCGCTTATGTTCAATCTTTAATTCACCTATTGGTCGGCGCTTCTTTACAACAGGGATCTCTAGCCGATACGCATTCGTAGGATTCATATTTTACGTTCTGCTTGCGTGGATCTTAGAGCATGTTTGGCACGTTCGTGGTCTCAACGAGCTGGATGCTTTGTAGATCCTCAATCTCAATCGCATGTTATCTGGGACTGGACTTTGAATTGGCTCTCCCTGCTTATGTCCTGCAGTCTAGAACATTGTGTTCTTAGCATCGACTTCGAAGGAGCATCCGACGGAGCGTTGGATTAAGAAGTCGAAGGTTCTAGGCACATAGATACTAGTCGTAGCTTTCTGGAAAGCATAACGCATTAAAGCGTATGTAAAAAGCTACCGTGCCTTTATTCCGAGACTTTCAGACCTGAGCTCGGGATTTGGTTCTGTGCTGGAAAATGCGAACGCAATTACCTCTGGGAATGGCTACGTGTATCAAAGGGCCGTTTGCGCTCCAAATGAAATTGCGAGACCATATATTCTGGTTCTTGGGTTTTGTATCACATCTGCAGAGTTCGATAGAGAATTTTGAATTGGCTTGATAGTGGCAACCACAGCACATGGCCAACCAGTGAATGCAGTCCGGTGAAGTAAAACACGCCTCTGTTTTATATTATCCCGCGAAAGAGGTTGGTCACAGACAGAGATGCGGAACGTCGAATGTCATAAAATCATTGTTTCTATATTCTTTTTTGCACCGCTTGTCCTTTTTCATCATCCATACTCTACCCCTAAGAAATTGTCTTCTCGATCAAATAGATGCCATACTTTTCCTTCAACTCCTTCATCAATGGATCATTAATCGTCTTGGACATTGGTGCCAAAATACCCTTCTCAGAAATCGTTCCATCAAGAACCTGCTTCACAGCTACCGCACATGGTACACCGACCAACTTAGCCATAGCTGAATAGCCCTTTGGATCACCATTGTCGACCAGTGTTGATGTTCTTGTCTCTTTGCTGCCGTCCTTATTCTCAATCTCGAAACGGTGTTGCAGCATGACGAGATCGCGCTCGCCCTCTTCGTATTGCATCTTCTTCTCGAGGGACGCGCAGAGCGTATCGAGTGGGTTACCGCGAGGATCGATTTTCTCATCGGAGAAAATCCCAATCCAACGGAGACCGGCTAGGATTCGCTCCTTTTCTTCAGTGTCTTTAAAGGAGGTGCTGGATGCGATAGCCCACTTGAGATCCTGCTCGGAGCTAGATGAGGCGGAGAGGATCTTTTGTGTGGCTTCCTTCCAAGAAATAGGTTGTTTGAGGAACTCTTGCGGCTCATCTTTGAGGAAGCCCATATCGACGAGGGTCTTGATGAATTCTGGGAAACCTTGGTAACGTAGCGTGCCACGGATGATGGTGTCGGCTTCTGGGATGTTGTAGCGCTCTTTATAGATACTTGAGTCGCGGTTAGGGTAGGCGACGAATGCGTAGCCCGGGTAGATGAAGTATGGTTTGGCGGTACCCATCAATTGATCACCGGAAACCTCCTGAACCTGTCCATCTTGATAGAATTTGGCTGTGTTTCGCAACGCCAGTAAGACACCTCTGGATGACCATGAGAATTTATAGCCTAATGGGTTGTCTGAGCACTCTGGTGCTGGGAGACCACCACAGTATGACAGGAAAGACTTGATCTTTCCACCAGCTTGATGAACCTCGTCAATTGTCTTGACAGCATACAAGTGATCAAGTCCTGGGTCAAGACCAATTTCGTTCATGACTGTAATTCCAGCTGCCTTTGCCTCCTCCTGTAACTCCTCCATAGCTGGCGAGACATAACTTGTGGTAACGACATTCTTCTTATTTCGGATAGCAGACTTGATGACTGGGACGTGGAAAGTATATGGAATCAAACTAATGACCAAATCGTGTTCTGCAACCGCAGCATCTAGAGCCTTCTCGTCTGTGACATCTAGGGAGATTGGGTGACCATTCTTGACGCCTTCAGAGAGCTTTTTGGCACTCTCGAGGGTTCGACAAGCTGAGATGTGTTAGCTATGTAATCGAGATCTCGAATTGGGTTCTATACCAACAGTGACATCGATGCCAGCATCACTTAGGATATCAAGGGTGGGACGTGTAACGAATCCAGCACCGAGCATAAGCACTTTCCTGTGAACGAATTAATATATTTCTGCCTTCAATTGACATGATACTGACTTTGATCCTGCCATGATTTCGCTTGTTCGATATTTGATTGATGGTAAGACGATTGATTCAAATAGAAAATTCTTTAATGATCAACAAACCTCGCCGAACGACTCACACGCTGTGATGTTGGACTTTTTTGGTGGGGTAATTTTCACAGCGCGCGCCGTCATCGGTGGACAGCGGGGAGGAAGGGAATACCTAGTCTTGGCGGTGGAACAGCGGCACGGACCATCCAGCTCGAGCTTCGCTTTGAGCAAAGGTGTTCTTCCACTTCAACAACCTCCAACCTCATTCTCCATTTCCAACTTCCACGCAAGAGATTGGCGTTTGAGCTACCGCGATCATGTCTGCTGTAGACTACTTCCTGGCATGTCCGCCTATTGCTCGGTAAGTTCACCGCTCTCGTTCGTAAGGTGATGCTGATGCTGATGTAGCGTAGGACTATTGCGGCGGGTGCGTTCGTGATGTCTGCTGCGGTGCATACGGGATTATTGCCATATCGATATATCATCTTCTATCCTCCGTTTCTGATGAAGTGGCCGCCGTATCTGTGGTCGCCGGTAACGTGCTTCCTCTTGACGGGAGATGGGCTTTCGGTGTTGTTTGATACGTATTTGTGTGAGTGGCACAGTTCTGGATTAAATGGATGAATTTGGCTGATGAGAATAGTGTATACACATTGTGCAAAGCTTGAAAGAGCGTCGCCGAAATTTACTCAACCGGGAGATTTCTTCACATATGTTATCTTCGTTATGGTAACATCACTGGTAAGCTTCACCCATTCATCCCCTTTTCTCATTTCTTTTACACCTCACATACTGCCCGCATAGTGCTGTTGCTCCAAACTATTGCGGTTCCTGAAGCTGAGGGAGATTACCACCTGCATCTCCACTGCGCCCGTCATTCGCATAAAACATAAAGGGCCAGTGGCGGTGTAGGCATGGTGGGATGTTCTTGAGAATAAACTCGTTTCGATTCCTCCACTTGATTCGGGTGGTTGTAGCTCCCTACATTTCGACACATATTTGATTAATAATCTACACGACTGTAATGTGGTCTTGACTGACCATGAACTAGGGGCTTGGCTACCTTTTGACAGGCACAAGCGTTTACACTTCCGCGCTTATAATTGCGTTCCTCTACACGTCGAGCCAGGATGATCGAGGACAGATGGCGACGTATTACGTTGTCACTGTACCAGCACAGTGGATGCCTTATCTCGTGCTCCTTGTAACATGGTTGATGGCCGGCAAGAACGCGCTCATCATCGGCCTATGCGGCCTCTTTGCAGCACATCTCCATGATTTCTTAACACGACTCTGGCCCGAATTCGGCGGTGGAAGTAATCTCCTGCCTACGCCGGGTTTTATAAGGAGGATGTGGGAGACGAGGACAGCCTCGGTGCAACATAAGGGTTACGGTACCTCGTTTACTCCAGCGCAGCGCCAGGAGCCCGAAGGTTCTGGGAATGCTTCGGGGTCTGGGCCGTTGCCTGATTCGTGGAAGAGTCGGGGGTCGGGACACAGATTGGGTTGAGGTTGTCATTTAGCTGTGTAATGAAGGGGTTTGGAAGAATGTGATTATATTCTGTATCAATGAGCTTGTGATATGCACTTCGTGACATTTGGTGAGACAGCCAGACAATTGAGCTACAAGGTTTTTATGATCTACATCAATCCCCGTATATCATGAAGTCCACACCATTTTACGGATACCGTTACGGATATCTCAGCTCCTATCTATGCAAGATACTTGTACTTTATCATCTTAACATCGACCTCACTTTGAGTAACCAGCCTGTTCCCTCTTCTGAGCACTCTTTATGCTCTGGCAGCGTTTCATTATTTAAGCCAGCATTTCAACATGATTGGTACACGGTGGTGAGGAGGGGGGCAATCTCGTGCGATTTTCATGGGCAAAAAAAGAGCGAGATTCAGACATAGAACTTGGCTGCTGGGAATCTCTTTTCTCCCGTTTATCCAAGATGTACTCGAATCCCCTCTATACTCTTACAGCACACATCCTGATTCCAAGACTCGGGGTATCCGCTTAAGCAAACTTGCCTGGAATGTATAGATGCAAGGGGAATGCTACTATCAAAGATATTATTGTCTTAAGCTTTTCTATTATTTCACTTTATCAAAGTCTAGGCGTGTTAGACTGTTAGTTATATAGAATGAGGGTGGAGTGGAGAGACTTAATTATGTGAGGAGCGAGGGTTGTTATTTGTAGACTTGCTTGGGTGCGGTTGTACGTTTGAGAGGGATCTGGTGGGCTGCGTTTCCATGTCGCTATATGTGGTGAGGAAAGCGTCTTCGCTTATCTTGACTCTTTGAATTGTGGTTGTGGGTTAATCAAAGGACACCCTGAGTCGGAAAATCAGCAATGAATAGTTCGGAAGTCAACCTATACGAGCGTGAGCATACAAGAAGTGTAACCCCGCTAGAAAAGTCCTCCTATTATCCTAAGCGAGTGTCTTGATTTAGATCACCTCTCGATTTCGCTAAAACTTTCAATTGAAGAGATGAGTAGAAATATCTGTAACATACGAAGCCAACATTTTTATTTCCCTATATCCTACAAAAGCATAACATATCACCATCCCTTTCAACCCACTCCTCCCTCCCTTCCTCCCTCTCCCCCATCACCACCCCAAAAATTCACCACCTCCCGTCCCATCCACCTCACATCCACCTCACACTCACACCCTCCTATCACCACCTCCCGTCCCATTCACCACCTCCATCACCTCACAACCACCCCCCACCCCCTAAAACACCCCCCACAATTCACCAACACATCAATATATATATATATATCCAATCCAGCACTTTTCCTTCGACCAACCACCAACCAGGGATCGCGTTGAACCTAGCCCTTCGGGAAGGAGTAGACGTCGGAGGGCCGGATAATGGGTGAGGTAAGTTTTTATTTTATTTTTGGGGATTTCGTTGTTTGTGGTAATGGTCGGGCAGGGGGATTGGGGGGGGTTGTTGGCATATATAGGTTAGGGGGTTTTGTTTTTGGGATGTGGGATTGAATTCTTAAAGGATCTTTGGGGAGGTTGGTTGGTTAGAGGGTTGTGTTGAATGGTGTGAACATAAGAACTAGTTGAATTGATTTCAGTTTACGATGTCCTCTATCGCCGCCATTGAAAAAAGGGTAAGGTAGGTGCAGAGTCTATACCATGTACCGATCCTAACGCGTCTTTCTTTCAAATATAGGTCGTCCCGTCTAAGCGTGACAACTTCTTCGGGGTGTTTTGAGATGCTTTATCTTGACACGTGATATGTCGTAGAAGGGAAAGGTGAATTGTTGTCGTCCATGGTCATGAAGGTATCATTAACGAGGAGAAGTATGATTGAAGTAATGATATTTGCAACAAGCTCTCGCTCATGTCTAAAGTAAGGTATATACAAGAAAATGAACCCAAAACACTCTCAACATCTAAAAGAATCATCAACAAAAAAAAGGGTATATCCAAGAAACCGCACCACCTCCCTCTACCACGTCTCCCCCCTACTCCCTAAACTCCCTCTCGCACTTCTCCTTTTCCCACCACCACACTGTCCCGGATATTTCCTCTCCGTAACCGGATTCGGAATCGCCCCATTCCCAATCCCATTCAAGAACCCCCACCCACCAGGCCCCTTCGCACTCCAGATAAAATACCCACTACTACTGCTCTCAAAGACGTCCAGCTGCGCCTCGACATATCGTCGCACCTGCTCCACCATCCCCTCATTCCACTTATCAAACGCGACGCTCTGGCACTGACAGCCGTCTACAGAACATGAAGTACCAGCGGTGGTCGAACCATCGGGGTTAACGCAGATATTCGTCGCAGCGCTCCACTCGCCAACGTACGTCGGCATGACAGCGTTCGCGGACGCGAGCTCATCGGCCCAGCCGCAGGCTTTAGTAATATGTTGGGCCTGCGTGAGGGTGTTGTCTGCGTCGCTGAAGAGCTGGTACATATGGGAGTCGACACCGAAGGAGCGATCGGCGTTGAGCGAGGTAGCGATGTTCGTCCATTTCGGTGCGCCCTCGAAGGCGTCGTGCATGACGATGACCATATTTTTGTTCTCAGCAGCTGCGCGGACGGCAGTGTATGCTGATTGTGCCCAAGTTTGGGTGGTTGCGAATTTGTTGTTTCCGTAGGAGATGGGCTCGTTGACCATCTCGAGACCGACGACTACGTCTGCGTATTCCAAGCTTCCGTATTTGGTGGCCATGGTCTTGAGAACGGCGATAGAACGGGCGAGGTTGGATTCTTGTTGCCAGTCCACGTTTCCTTTTTGACCGGAGTTGTCAAAGCCATTTTGGCTTCCTGGAGATCCGTGGAGGTCCACCCAGACTTTCATGCCTGCATTTCTGGCCCACCCGATGGCTTTCTCAAGATATGCGTCTGCACCGGTATGATAAGGTGAATCTGCGTTATCGTAGGCCCAGTATCCGATGGGGATTCTTAGAGCATTGATACCAGTTGCGGCAATTGTTTTGATATCGGATTCGGTGAAGAAAGTTGACCAGTGAGTTTTCAGCGCTGCCGCGGAATTTGGAAGGGTGTCGAATGTGTATTGATCCACTGCGGAAGAAAATGCACCAGAAAAGGCTTCGTCGTTCATCCACTTTTCGAGTACAAGCCAGCCACCAAGATTCACACCTCTAAGAAATGGGATGCCTGTGCTTGAAGGTGTCGAAGCGATAGCTATTTGAGAAGAAGCCTCTGTCGTTGTTGAGGTTGAAGAGGCAGAAGACATAGAAGAAGACGGTTCTAAAGATGTCGAGCTTGATTCTAATGAACTTGTTGGAGCTGGGATCGAAATGACGGTGGTAAAGTTTGGAAGCTCATTGCTCGTTGTTGAAATGTCAGACGCTGAAGAGCTAGTCGACAACGGAAAAAAGCTGAATGATGAGGATTGAGACCCAAAGTCAACGGTCCTTGTGTGTGTTCGCGTCCTGGTACTGTTTCTACCAGGCTTCCCAGTAGGTCGGCAAGATCCAGATCCAGTACCCACACATGAGATGCCAGAACCAGAAGCGAAAATGCTTCCACTTGCTTGTCCTGGGTAAAATATGCCTGAGGGAAGCTGAGATGTGCTGGATGTGACACTCAAAGGCTGTGGAATGACGGAGACAGTGCTCATAATCACTGTGGTGCTGGTTTTCTCAGCTTGTATTTTGTACTCCTCAGTAAACCCAGGCCATTCAACGTATACCGTGGCTGTCTTGACGACGGTAGTGACTGGAACTTGTGGGAGTGCGAGTGCTGAGTTTGAAAGTAGAACAGCCATCAAGGCCATTCCCGAAGTTGTCCACATATTTGTTGCTTGGAACTATTTGGCGAAGGACTGTGGAGGAAAGGTATGGGAAAGATATTCGATATCTTGCTTGTATAAATCTGTTTGGTGCTACCGTGTATAAAGGCTCTGCCGTTTGTATATAAGGAGTGACGAGTTTAAAAGCGTCGGTTATGAAATAGCATTCATAGGGTCGACGAACGGAAGTTCCTAAGGAATGAACGACTTCAAAAAGTAAACTTCAGTTGTACCGGACAAGCTGAAGAGTTCGAATCCCAAAATGCAGCCGCAGGCTGAATATAGGGAAAACAATCGACGTCCAAGAAGCTGAATAAGTAGAAGGATTGTTCGTATCGATAAGACGCGGGGCAATCCAAACGCGCGGTAAGAGGCAACCCCACCAAGCAATAACTTCTTTGCAGGAGGTAAAGACGGTGCTATTGGATGAGAGTCTATATCGTTGACTTGGGTAAAGGAATGTAAAGGAAGACCAAGTTCCTGAGAGAGAATGTAGCTGTTGTGATGGTTGAAAGAATGAGTAGCAACTGAGGCCAAATATGCACACGCAAGAAGTGAAATTCCACAAGGAAAAAAGAATCCTACTTTCAAAAGAAACGGGAGATGAGGCTATTTTGTTTGTCTAGCAGCACTTGCTAACATTACCTCCATCTACCGAGATTGTCTCCCTGGATAAGATATCCAGAGCATCCAGGCGTGTCTGTTCGTGAGTTCGTAAGAAAAGAAACATTTTGTCCTAAATAATCTGAATGAAACGCAAGCGAGAAGGCTTGTGTTGGGAAGATTGGGACTTCTGTATCGTGATTCGACGGTTGTTTGACGCCCCATGCTTGGATCTCGCGGGAAGGATCTATTTGTGAAACGAAATGCTCCAGCTTGCGTAGAGCTCAGACGATTTAGCGAATAGGAGAGAGGATGTTCGTTTGTTTCACAGCTGCGCTACACGAATACATGAGATAGACGCACTGGAAAGGGGAGAAGGATACTTGTCTTTGTCCAGTGCCGAGTGTCTAGATGCTTGTTCAATGGTAGAACCGAGGCAATCCTGATCACTTTGATCTGTGAGTTGTTTAGTTGTTTGATCTTGTTAAGTGGAGGTCTTCTCGTATTGCGGAAGGACCCGCAAAGCCCCTGACATCTAGACCAAAGATTATGCTTTGATCCCGATCTTAATCATAATGATCTGCCCGAATAACGATTACTCCAGTACCTAGGTATTTGAAGGCGTGAACAAGAAAAGAAAGGCTTGCATTTACAGTACTGTAAGCCTGCAGATCGATAACGGGGAATTGATAAGTTGTCGATCAACTCAAAATAGACGCAACCTCTTGGCTACGGCGCCTCCCTTTTCACGATGGATGACCTGCGCTAACGTTACAGCCTAACGCCGACACCTATTCTCGACTCTTTACTTCTGAGTTTCGACCGACTTGATATATTGGGAATGTCGGGGAGTAGAGTCAACTTGTAGTCAGACTAAAAAGGGAAGTGTCAAATGATAGACATAGTGAGACTTTAGTTGTGAAATGGCATTTTCACAGCTTCGTAGGTATGCAGATTTTGATGCAATGGATCTCTATGATATCTCTCCATCCCCCAACGCCAAACACCGTTGACCGCTCAAATAATATTTCAAACCCTCCCTGTCTCCTTTCTTAACCTTGCAGCAGCTGTCGTGGGCGCCGGTTCTGGCCAAGAACTTACTGCATCTTCCATTTCTTCCAAGAAAGTGGTGCTATTGTGTATACTGGTTCCGCCTAATACTATTCTGATCCCAGGCGACGAAGCATTAAGCGACGAGACTGTTTTGGCTTCTTCAAATGTTGCACCTCCAATCATGAACACCACAATATCCTGGGGTTTATCTTTGGTGGTACCGCCTCCTTCAACAAATGGATATTGTTGATCACGTAAACGACCTTTGATGAGGTTCTGTAATGTTAACTCTAACCTTGGTGTGTGCTGGGTGTACACGTTTTCTACACCTTTAAGTCCCTTGAATCTACCTGCTGCTCCGGAGAAGATGCCTGCTGACTCAAACATGTCTGAAATGCCACCAGTAGACTGAACCTGCTGGAGAGACGAATGGTAGGTGAGAATTTTGGCAACGAGATCGATTTTTCGTTGTGATACATTTCCAGCAGCACTCAAGAGATCTACTAATACTGGCAACGCGTTCGATGGATGTTTTTGATATCGAAGCGCATACAACGCAACAAGCCTGAGTTTGGCATCAGGAGTCGCTGTTGGGGATTGGATAAGTCTTTGGACGTTCTGGAGCACATCAGCATGGTTAATAAGGAAGCAAATTTTCCTTACCTTTAGATCCGCGGCATGGTTATCATTGCATGCCAGACTCTGTTCCACCTCACTAACTTCCAGCAGATTTTCTGCTCCAACTCTGCGGCTTAGTTCGCCAACTAAAGTAACATGTTTGCTGACGTTGCCAGAAAGCTTTCTGAACTCAGGATACTCCTCAATAAATCGTTTCATGTCTGATATTGACTCAATGTTTGAGCTGTTCTTTGTCTTCGATTGATACTGCTCAACATAGTCCTTGATATTCCCTCCAAGATCTCCAAAATTCAAAAACATGTTCTTCTTGAAGAATGGATCTTGGTCTTGTGATAAGACCACCTCTTTCAGCTCCGGCCTAATATCTGGAACATCATTCAGATCTACTCGGCCATTGTGTATTCCAAGAATCTCATGAACCATTGCTTGGTACGTCCACTGTGTCAATAGGGGTGTTATTGGATCGTCCCTCCGGTCAAGTATCAACAATATTGGAGGTGTGTCGACCTTTCTGAAATCGAATAATTGGTCCTCTTGTGTCATTTGGTATCGTACTTCAGTCGCCAGTTTCTTGGCTAAGAGACTGTTTTTCTCATACCGTATTAACGGCCTCTTTTTCAGAGACAACAAAAGCCCAATCACTCCTTCCGTCGACCTCTGCAAAGCATCTCCGTTCCATTGATCTGGATTTGAACTCCATATCCGCTGTTTTGGAAATGCCATATCCAGTGTAAACAGGTCCGGATTGACCACTAGATAATCTGCGAAATGTTCTTGTACCGTCCTAACAACCTCATGGTCATCCGCTTCTGCCAATCTTTCCAGCGACGATTTTTTGACGATATTGCTGAAATACACATTGTATTCTCCATACTTTGGTTCTCGGAATTCGTCAATGAGGAACTGTATCGAATCGGCGGATGGCCGTACAAAGCATATGCATTTTAAATGTCGCATCTTCTCCCGATTCTGGTTGTCTAATCGATCGATAAGGTAAACCTCGTGGTTTAGAAGGGCGGATTGTGTGATGGCGGTTGACACAATGGAAACGGTTTCGCTATCCAGTAACAATATCTTCATCTTGGCCGCAGGCGTCCCAGATACATTATCTCCAGCAGATACCATCTTGGAGATGTACCCCGAAACCGCCTGCACCACGTCCATCCTGCCAATCTGTTCGAGTTCAAGGGTTGCGCATATATTGTCAAGGTCCACCTGACGTGGTCATCTCCAGCTCTCAAGTGGTTGCTGATCTTTGGCCAGCTTTTTTTCCTCAGTGCCCCACCAATTGCCTGAAATATTTGCTCTTGTTGATCGCTTTTGCTCAGTCGATTCTGTATTGGCGCAATTATCCGCTGCCAAATAGTTGCCAAGTATTGTTGTGTTCGAGGCTACATCTGTCGCAAAGCTCCAACAAAGCTGTCAACACATGTCAGGAGCGAGCCGTGCCGAAGCTGGCCCGCATCAACTGCAACCCGGTACCTGCTTCCAAGCTTCTCCTACAACTTCCAGTTCGCACAACTTTTAGCCCACTAAACATTCAAATCCTGAGAGAAAAATCCGCAGATGGAGTGGTGATATAACCAAAGTCGACTAAATTGCCCAACGACACAATGTTACCGTACATTGACATCCGTAAGGACTTGAGCCAACCCCAGCCTTGGATAGCCCTGTCTGACGTCAATATTTATAGCTTTCCAGTATGTGGCAGCAATATTGGGAGCTTCATCAGATGAACGTAAGTTTTTCTTTCGAAAGCGAGCTTCAAGCGCCTGTACTAAGAAGCAACTAGTGAAGCTCATTACTTCTTTCCTTCTTTCCTACCCTCTTGCGGGCGTCCTCAAACGAATACCGGATTCGAAGCCTGCCTTGAAGAATCTCTTTATTATCGGGTACGTCTGCCCCAACAAGATATCTCTCTATAAAAACTCATCATATCTTTCAGAGTCTCTGCGTTTTACCTCGTCGGTCTTTTCGATTTATGGGGAGGAGTATGGACGCTGGCTGTAAGCTCGATCGGCGCATACTGCATCGCAGCATTTGTACAAGGACCTTTTATGCCATGGATTGGGTTTGTCTTCTGTATGGGACACCTATCTATCAACCAGCTATCTCGCCAATTTCGAAATGAACCTGGAGTGGTGGATATAACTGGGGCACAAATGGTGCTGGTAATGAAACTTACTTCGTTTTGTTGGAATGTTGCGGATGGGCGACTTCCAGAGAGTGACCTGTCAGATTTCCAAAAGGAAAGAGCCATAAAACAGCTACCAAGCTTGCTCAACTTTGCGGGCTATGTGCTATTCTTTCCATCACTTTTCGCGGGTCCCGCTTTCGACTATGTGGACTACGAAAGTTGGGTCGAGACTACAATGTTTGAAGTACCTGCGGGAACCAATCCTGCGAAGTTACCACCCACTCGAAAGAAGAGGAAGATCCCAAGAAGCGGAACACCTGCTACATGGAAAGCGGTGGCTGGTATTGCTTGGATTCTCGCCTTCCTCAAACTTTCTGGCATGTATAATCCTGAGCTTGTGGTTGGAGATCAATACATGACGTATGGAATTATCCGTCGAATTTGGATTCTCTACATGCTTGGAATTACTAGCCGACTCAAGTATTATGGTGTTTGGGCTCTGACCGAGGGTTCATGTATCCTGTCAGGACTTGGGTATAAGGGCATAGATCCGACGACAGGAAAAGTAAGCTGGGATAGACTGCAAAACGTCAGTCCATGGGGTGTTGAATCTGCTCAAAACACTCGCGCCTACTTAGGAGGCTGGAACATCAATACAAATAACTGGCTGAGGAACTACATGTACCTTCGGGTCACGCCACGGGGAAAGAAACCTGGATTTAGAGCCAGTATGGCTACCTTCACCACGAGTGCATTCTGGCATGGATTCTATCCTGGATACTACTTGACCTTCGTACTCGCAAGCTTTGTGCAAACGGTAGCAAAGAGTGAGTCTGCTACCATTCGCCGTTCTATTTTATACTGACAAACCTCTCAGACTGCCGGCGTTACTTCCGCCCATTCTTCCTCGACCCTAAAACCACCCAACCAAAACCTACCAAAATCTACTACGACGTCGCCTCCTGGCTCGTTACTCAAACCGCATTCTGCTTCGTAACCGCCCCCTTCGTCCTCCTCTCCCTCCCCGCCTCCTTCCTCGTCTGGGCCCGCGTCTATTTCTACGGCGCCGTAGGCACCGCTCTCGCAACCGCCTTCTTCAGCTCCCCAGCCAAGGGTCTCCTCATCCAGAAACTCAAAGCCAGAGTCCCCGCACCGGATCTCAAGAGAGTGAATTCTAATGATAGCATCCAGCATCACGAACCTGTATTGGGCTTGCCAGGGGAGCCGCAGAAGGATTTGGAAGAGCTGGTAGGCGAGGTGAGAGCTGAAGTCGAGCTGAGAAAACGGAAGGGTAGTCTAGGGAAGGGTGCGATTGGAGGAGTGGGAAAGAAGGGTTAAGTGGTTATGACGGTGTTGCTTGGTGTGGTAAAGTGCTTGTTTTCCCTCATTTTGGTATAGGTGGTGACATAATACAAAAGTCTTCTGAATCTGGAATCGTAATCTCCCATCAGTCATGGATACCACGTTATGTGGCTTGAAAGAGCACACCCTCTGTGTCTTGAAGATCTAATCTTCACCCTCGTGTGCTGCACACCATCGCATTCTGTCTCCTTTTTGAGATGTCCAGGGTCGTCTATCGCATAAAGTCAATTAAATCCAACCGCCCACCCCATGTCCGACCAATGGTATTTTCGGATGGGAAATACCACCCACACCTTTTCGCTTTTGAATACTGTGATTGTTGGATTTGGGGGTGGAGATTGGGGGGTTATGCGACGGGTTATACGATGATGTCTGGATGGAGGGGTAGTGAGATGAATTGGGAGATAGAGGGGAGGGGAGGAGAGTTATGCATGAAATCGGATGGGCTGCAGCGCGGCGTGAAGCGCGTAGATCTTTATGGGGATGTGGGTGTGGGGATTCTTCAGCAGTCTTATTTTGTACTGTAGACCATTTCCAACAGCCTGGATTGCATTTTTGGATGGAAGGAGGAAGTGTGTTGGTGAATAATATCTATATTCCTATCAAACATTCCCGAACCAACTTTCTCTTCCACAACACCCTTACTTTCCCACCATCCTCTCTCCCCGCCAAACCCACGTAAAATCCCCTCATCTCATACCAACAAGGGGTCTCACCTCGCTACCACACCTCAGGAAATCCTCCCGTCAATCGATAAAGACGCCTGGTCTGGTTCTGCTTCTTGTGTGACAACAGGGGTCGGCAGAACCCTCGTGGTCGGGTTGTTATTACAGATTTTCATGCGTCGTGGTTGGTAGGGCTGGAAAGAAGGTGTGGGAGATTGGGGATGGTGGGATGGAGGGGAGGGGACCCAGAAGAGGCAAGTAGGGATAATGGAGGGGAGATGGAGGGGTACCCAGGTATACTGCAAATAATCTCACGATTTCAGCTCACAGCAAAGAAAAATGAAGCCCAAATATAGAATTTCAAAGCGGAACGTATCCGTTCATTCAATTCGTTAAGACATTAAAGCTAATATCCAATCTTCGCCTCCAAAATCTCTTTTCGAGATCCGATCAAACTCGCAAGCTATGCTTAAAATCGCTAACACACACACCCCGCCAAAGAATAGTGCTGTTTTCCCCAAAGAGGCGCGCTGGTAAATGCTTAGCAGACTCTAGAATATTTTCCCAGAAAAGCATAATCTCTTCTATATACTGTAACAAAAAAAGTGGTGGTCTCCTCGATACACTATCAGGGGAGGACCTATAAACAAGAAAGGGTATAAAACTAAGATAGATAAAAATGTAGCGTTCCAAGAAAAAGTGCCGACGCGAACGAGTATACGTTTTGTTGCGTGGATATCGTGCATGCCGTTAGGATGTTTGATGTTTGATGTGTGTAATGTACAAGATGTAATAAGGTAGTCGGTCGTACATGAATTCTTTCGAGGTATGAAAGGTTCGAGGTGGTCATTAATATTTTGACAGAACCTAGGAAAATCCGTTCGATGTCTGTGACTAAGAACGAGTGTGGTGCCATGTTGAGGCGTGGAGATCTATGGATGCAAGAAAATCCGTGTAGATGTCGTAATATGTAGTTTCAGTGAGTGTATAAAATCGAAATATGTTGCGCATGTTTGGCGCTGGTCGATAGGAGATGGTAGATTTTGGTGTAAATAAAAAGAGGTAGATTATGAGCTGCGCCATCCTTCTTTGATGGAAACGACGACAAGAATGATCTGTGAATGTTAGTGAAGGCATCTTGGAAGGCAATCGGGGAACATACAATTGCTGCGATGATTAAAAATCCCACCACGGACATCCAACGATTAAGATTGCGCCACCATTTGGCATTCTCAAATCGTTTTTCATCAATTCGTCCAAATTGCCTATCATAATTGTTGGCTATCTGATTCGACGTGTCCAATTGACTGCTGCTGGTCTCCGCTTCGTGTTCTCGCATTTCGGCAACTGGGTTATAAGGTAAAGGCAAAATGGCTGCAATCATCCAAGCTGTGCTGCTGTTAGCGAAAATCTCCTTTATGGGATATGCCATGACAAAACTTACCAAAAGGAAAAACGAATCCCGCAACGAACATTATAATTTGTACATTTCGTCTGCCAAACGAGCTTCCATCGGCAGACCAGTTAACAGAAGGTGGGTCCCATACGCTGTGTCGCGCTGCTCTTCTGTCCATTCTCAAATGTGGTGACCAGACGCTTGACATGCTCCAAGTTCTGAATCGACGCGAAGTGTAAGGATCGTGGTTATCACCTTCAGGCATTGGCGCAGGGTTGATCTGGAGTGATCCGCTTGTTGAGGGTCGTGTGTCTCCTCGTCCACCTTCCCGTGGCCGCCGTCGAGGACTGTATATGCTCAGAGGAAAATGATCGGTGTTTGGAGAACCACTACGGAAAGAGCTTGCGCGGCTACCCATTGTGGATTCGGTGGAGCTACCAGGCGCTCCCAAATATTTTCTTTCCCCACTGCCATAGTATAACCTCGCCCATGTAGGAATCGAAGAGGTCGCAATGATGCTGCCAGCTCGAGAACTGGATGTTGATCGCATTGTGTTGGTCCGCCCATTATCGGAAGATCCACTATTGAAGAATCCTGAAAGTCGTGTCCGTGATGGTCGGTTCCTAAGATCCTGCATGTCTGTAATACCGTCTCCATACTCATCTTGATCTTGGATATATTGTATAGACCCAGAACTCTGATGTCTCCTCGCACCTCGCATAAACGCTGGCTCCGGAGGATCCAGAGACTCGCTCCTTGCTTCTTCCAGAGCCAACGAAGAACTTATGCTCATGACATTTGCGCGGCTACCACTTCGACTTGGTGTGCTTGGAAAGGCTCCGCTGCTTCGACCACTGACACTTGCCCAGTCCCGCGAATTGCGTCCCCCAGTCTCCCCTCCTTCGGAGACCGAGAGCACAGTTGAAAGCTGTGAGCTCCATTGATGAGGGTGCTCGTTCATCTGTGACCGCGGTGGGTGGTTGCCTGACGATTCCGCCCATGAACTCGGACCTGCTCCGCTTACACTGAGGATTGGTAATTGTATGAGCGATCCAGTACCAACAATTGCTCGAACAGCTTCTTGTTGACTAAGAACAGTTGTAATGGAGGTTAGGGAGCCGGTTCGAAGTGACTCTCTTGATCTAGACTTGTAATATCCAAAACTCTCGTTTGATCGCTTGTTCCTTGGCTTTAATGGTGGGACAACGAGCGACTCTTGGGAATATTTCTGCTGTGGCGCGACAAGATTGATCGCTGAACCTACTGGTGACGGATCGCCGTATACCTCGTAATTCTCGTTCTCTTCTGCCTCGGAGATCGTTTCCGATCTGGCGGTGTATGGCCTGTGAATTACAGAAGATGCAGTTGAAGCGATAGACGAGGGGCCAATTACTTGATAATTGGAACTGGACGAAGGCTCTGAAGGTGGGCCAATGAGTTGGTAATTAGAAGAGGGTTCAGAAGTTGCCTCTGATGGTGCTTCTGATGGTGCTACTGATGGTGCCACTGATGGTGGGCCGATTAATTGGTAATTGGAGTCGCTTGTTATGTGAGGTAAGGCGACGTCAGAGGTTGAAGCGAATGTGTTGTCAAAAACTTTGTAGTTGGAAGTCTCAGAAATCGATGTGGTGGAAGAATTTGTGGTCTGTGTAGATTGAAAAGACAGTTTCGTAGAAAGATCGTGCGACGCCCCTGATGGCCGGTCTGAGGCTTCTGGTACTGGGGGCAGAGGGCTCTCGGAAGGCTCTCTTTGCTTGAGATCTGGAGTCTTCGGGACTTTGCGAATGCCACCGACGAGTTGGTAGTTCCAGGGTGAAGAGGTGGTTATATGATCTGCAGATATTGGTTTTCTGGCGTCCGGGCTAGGCGTTGAGGGTGCTGACTGGAGGCATGAATCTATAGAATTTGACCGGCCTTTTGCATGACGCGCTTGAGATGCCAGCGAATCGTACGAGCTCGTTCTAGAAAGACTCAAAATTGGTGATTGAAGGGCATCGGTTGATTGGACGTCCTGGTCATCCTGTAGCAGGGAGAAGGTCTTGTTGTCTTTATGAATGTGCAGACGCTTTTTGGCTGGGGGCTTAACCTTCGATATTGGCGGTGGTGTATCAGAATCGACATTTTGAGGCGTCCTATGCGTTGAGGGCCCTGGCAAAAGGGACGAACCACTCGATTTGTGGTGAAGTTGCGCTTGGAGGTTGGTTCGAAACTCGGTTGCGTATGCAGGATCCTTGCCTTTTCCAGGGGCTGACAGAATGTGCGAGGGATGGGTCGGTAACGGTGTCCGAGAATAAATGTTGTCTCTCAAGCTGCCGATGCCTCCGAAGTTCGTCAGCTGCTCTCGGTCGTGGTTTCTGGCCTCGTTGAGGTCGTTGATGCTTGGTCCAGCCGGTCCCTCTCTACCCGTAACAGTACCCAGCAGCTGCGGAGGTGTACTTGGGACGAGACGGATCGCGGCTCGAGGAATGGCATTTGCGCTCGTGTTGGAGTGGCTCGAAAAGGCGCCGCTCGTTTCTCTCCCAGGAGCACCGCTGGCGGGTTTGTTCGCAAGACTGTTTTGGCTGCTGTTGTTGCTGTTGCTTTTGCTATTGCTCAGCGAGTCGCTTCGCTCGTGCAACGGTTTCCGCGGTATGGACGGGACCTCTGACATGATCTCGACGGCCGAGGTCGTCCCATAAGTGAGGGCCGTGTCTCCTCGTTCTACCTCCAAACCGCAGTCGCAATTGACATTTCGAATAGTGGGTGGTGTTTAATGCGCTTGACGTACGAACTCCAGTGTTGCTGAGATGAGGTACAAAGTCTGCTATATAATCCCGCGATGATGCCTGTCTCGGAGCGATGGGATGAAGTGGAAAGAAGCCAGGTCCCGGAGTGATTATGGGATACTGAAATGCAATTAACGTTGAATCGTCTCGTCGTGAGGGTGGTGTATATGCGTTGCGCGGTGGGGGTGGGTTCTGGCGAGACGCGACTGCTGGAAAGTGCTGTATAACTCGAGGTCGTAGGAATTAGAAATAGTAACACTTCAACGAAGCTGGCGAGGAGGGAATAAAGAAACAAAAGAGGGAAGAAGAGGCGGAGGGGCAAAGAAAAAAGATTATTGAAGCCGTGGCCGATGTGTCGCTGGGAAGTGTATTTGCAGAAACGCAGACCGCTGGTGCAATCTTGCTATGCACCAGCTCACTGGGCCAAATATTCCTCGACGGTTCGCGCCAATGGCAGACGGCGCTGGCGTGTTGCGGGAGGCAGCTTTGCTCGCTGGTGAGAGGCTGGCAGCTCGCAAAACGGCAGGGGCGTGGATCCCCGATGCTCTGTTCAGGGGCCGCGGCGATGGCATCCAGACTTTGTGCCAGTTTTTGGTACGCAGCTGTCCGGATCGAGTCGAGCCTCATGCAAGTTGTATGTACCAGAAGCTCTCTGCAGGAAACCATTCGACCTGGACAGGCAGCGGCGACGCAAGGTTTATGAACACCAAAGGAAATTTGCTGGAAGAGCAAGAATCCGTTTCACACGATCTAGCCAGCGCTTCATCTAACAAGTCTTGCTGGCACGAAGATCATGTTTGAATAGCGGCTGGCTGGTGTATACTGACTAGACGGTAGGCAATAGCAGAAAGCTGCAAAGCAGCTATAGCTCTCTCTCTAGGAGTCCTCCTCTATCGATAACTGAATCGCGATTGGCGATAGCGACCATCGCCGTGGGAGAGGCCGATGACAGCTCATCGTTGCGCCAAACGAGGTCCATAATTATATATGATCGAATCAAATATTTCTTTTCCGTTCTGGGTTCCCCGGGCTGCGCATGGTCGTCGTTCTTGATTCTCTTCACCCGTGAGTTGGAAGTGCAATTTCCGTCCTTTCCTTAGGATCCACAACGCATAAAGCGTAAAGTTAAACTGGGTATCAAGCAGCCCCTCATAAACGCGCTCTTAAAGCGACGCGTTCGTTGGTTTAACGGGAAGAAACGTCGCGTTCAGGGGAAGAAGCGGCTAAGCGGGACCAAGATGGTGGATGAGCTAAGGTCTGCCACGTGATTCTCCCCCACGCCAGACTCAGGACCTCGGAGCCAGTCATGTCGATGACATCGAGGAGAGATCCGACGACCATCACTTACTAGCATACTCACAAGTCTTCCTCAGCAGACGCACTCTCCTCCTTTGGGTTTTGTAAACAGACACTGGTGATGAACGAATTGCCAGAGTCAACAATAAGCATATGCAATGCAATGCAGACGCAGTGAGAAATACCCAACCGCAAGAGAAATTGAGCATTCCAACAGCCACCAATAAATCCTGCCGTAACACCGACGACAGCTCACAGCAAGGACAAAGCCACGCTAACAAAGCAACACAACCAATGCATCTGCGCTTTATCGTAGCATCATGGCACCAACCGATTTCTACTCGCGTTTAAAGTCAAAAATTCTGGGAGAAAAGGGTTAGTGAATGCATTCGTGCGAGCGTTAAACTGCTGCCTCAAGAAACTCGACACCAACTTTGCTCCACAAACCAAGATTCCGTACTGACGTGAGGTTCCCAGAGGGCCCAGTGAAGCCGCCGATGGATACAAATCTTGCTGTAGGCTTATTGGTAAGCAAGACTCGTTGATTTGGGTGTTTCAAAGGTGCACAAGTTGATCTTCGCAGCTGGTCTACACGCTGATCTACGTCGTCCCGTTCTATCTCTCCTCCACCACACGTCCTTCTGCGAATCTATCTCGGGATGCGCCGTCGGTGATCCGGGGCCGCATTGCTTCTGTAACCACTTCTTGCACAATATGCTCTATAGCTACGTTCGTTATCCTTTGCACGATCGTTAAGGATGGTACTTTTGGAGCAGCTTTCCATGCTATGGGATGGTATCCGATTGGCATTCTGGAAACGGTCAAGGCAGTTGGTCTGACCGCCGTCCTCTTCTTGGGACCTCTTTTCGAAGCCGGGATCGTTCAAGGAGGATGGAGGGACTGGATTCGACTGCGAGGGTTGAGTATGTTGAGTGGATGGATGGGTTATAGAAATATAGTCGCAGTAAGTGCATATCACGGAAACAGGAACTCACCTAACAATACCACAGGGTCCGGTAACAGAAGAAATCCTGTTCAGATCTGCTTCCGTACCCCTCCTTCTCCTGTCTCAAACCTCGAACAAGACCATTATCTTCCTTACTCCGATCATTTTCGGCCTCGCGCATGTTCACCATTTTTACGAATTCCGAATAACTCACCCACATACCCCTGTCACAGCAGCGTTCCTTCGATCATTGCTACAGTTCACATACACAACATTATTCGGAGGATATGCAACATTTTTATACTTGCGGACTGGAAGTTTGTTGGCAGTTATCCTGGTACACGCGTTCTGCAACTGGATGGGATTTCCAAGATTCTGGGGCAGACTGACATACGATGCTGATACTGTAATTGGACCCGATGTCGGTGACAAGAAGAGTGAGGATGCGAAACAATCAGTAAATGATGGCAGCCTCGGTGTAGGATGGACAATCGTCTATTACATTCTCTTGGTGGTCGGGGCTGTTGGCTGGAAGAAGCTGCTGTGGCAATGGACAGCGAGTCCATCTGCGTTAACTACTTTTCCATGAATGCAGTTGAGGGAGCTTTAATAATAATAAGAACTTACTAATTAGCTAATTCTAACACGAGAGAGCGATGCGGGAATTATCCTGGGCTCTTGTAGTATCAACCTTTGGTGGGCATCTTCCTATGAAGCAGTCTGTCGTTTAATTTGTAAGATAGAAAAAAAATCCTACTTTCTTACGAAGCATACCTATGCTGTACCTCATTTCTCCTTTGCATAATCGATAGCGCTTATAAGAGTAGAAATAGTCTGGTATTAAAAAAGGCGGCTTCTACAATATAATTACTCCAAAACAGCGGCGCGCCCGACCCAAGCTTCGGGGGACGACGCTCCGGTAGTCCGTGCACGTCCACGTGACTATTGCTTTCTTTAAGAGGCTCCCTTTTAAAGCAAAATTTAACTGTATATCAAAAACAGAAAATGCAAAAGAATCAGCATGCCCTCGGACGGAATCGAACCGGCAACCTCGTCATCACGTGATCTCACGTGAGTGTGGAATTACTAGTGACGCGCTCTACCATTGAGCTACGAGGGCATTGTCTGATTGGTTGGAAGGATTTTTGGATAATTTGAAATATGTTGGTGTTTAGAATAGCGGGGATGGTGTTATGATAGTGGGGTGGGGGACGAGCAGCCCTCATCACGTTTTGGCAACTCAAGATCGTTGCTTCAACTTACATATTCTTATTTCAAACTTCCTCCATTACAAAATTAATTACCTAGACTCAATCCTCCCATCCTCACACTAATAGTTGCATCTTCAATGCTGCTTCCTCTTCCTCCGTTTCTCCTCCGCGCCATACCGTACGCCGTGTGACAGCAACAGGTATTTACTGAAGAAATCCTCGGCGAAGTCGTCGAATTTTTCGTAGTCGGCGCCCAAGCGGTAGGCGGCTGCTATGCCGGAGACGCAGGCGAGTTCGTGCATGTTCTGATGTTGTTAGATAGGGTTGGGGATTGAGCAAGGGGAGGGGATAGAGGAAAGGAAGGGGAAGAGGGACTTACGACAAGTGTCCATGATCCCGCAAAGTGAGTATTATTCTTCCCGTTAAGAAACATCATACCTTTAATCCGTGAGTTTTGTGTCAAGCTGAGGGAAAAGGGAACATACCAGGCACAACTCTAACATAATGCTGCCACCGATGCCCCAACTGATGCCACCACTTACTCTCAATAATCTTATCCTTATCGATCTCATCAATCGTCCACAGATCATCCCTATTCCGCTTATCCAGGAAAATACTCTGAAAAACATGATTCTCGTACTTCACTGGCGCTGTCTCGGCATCATGATCCATCCGGAACTGATGCTGGTAGTTCGTACAATCAAAACTCATCTCGATCTTCTTCGGGTCAGAAGCGTATGATTTGGTGTAGTACATTGGTCGAAACCCCGTCGGTTCGTCCTCAGGACCGCGCTGCTCGCCTTTGGAGAATGCGATTTGTTGTTCCTGTTCTTTGGATTTGGGGGATGCGCAGAGGGAGTCGTTGAAGTGCGTTTCGTAGTGTTTTTGGAAGTAAGCTGTGTCGGAATGGGTGATGGTGATGTCGTCGTAGAAACTGGCGCCGCCGAGCACGAATTTCTCTTTGTAAGTGGCGGTTTTGCCGAGGATCTTGAGGGCGTCGTCGGCGAGGACGCACATGATTAGTTCGTCGAAGGTCTCGGTCTTGGTGTCGAAGCCGGTGTGTTGGCCCATTCTGTTGTTGGCATCGGGATCGAAGGGTCGGGTGCGGAGGATTACGCCTTTGGAGTTGCGTTGAACTACTTCCGTTACGTCTGTCTGTAGGCGGATATCCACGCCTTTTGACTCAAGATCTTTGCGGAAATCTTCATAAAAGTTGTGGAGGTTAGGGAAGGTTACCATGGTGGGTAAGTTGGGTAGTAGTGTTTCTGAGTCGTAGTCCCAGAGCTTCATGTTAGGATCATCGAACAGTCTTTCCAGGATTGCACAGGATACATTTGCGGTTTGATTTCCTGTTCCCAAGAAAAGCGCAATCAGTGGAAATACCATCTTCTCGCCGAATTCCTTGTTGAAGAAGAACATTCTGAGCATGATACGGATTGGGATCAATCCCATTACGGGCATTGTCCATTTGATGAGACTCAAAACTCGTCCAAATTTCTTGATATCTTTGGAAAAGCGGTCGACCAGTGGACTTGGAAAACAGTTGGTCCAGAATCCATCTGGTCCTTTTCCGAAAGCTACTTGAAGCTTGACTTCCTGTGGCTCGTGACCATATTTCTTGAAGAAATTGAATGTGTGTTTGAATATCTAGGATAGGTCAGGATTTGTAATTTCGTATCGAAGACTCGAAGTAGACTTACTTGTGATCCTCCTTGGACGCCATCGTTCATCCAGTCCGTTCCGTATTTCTCTTTGTCGAGAGAAATTGATGTTGCTTGACCTCCCGTTACTGCCATGCGCTCCACAATCGTGACTTTGAATTTATCTGGATGTTTAGCAAGAGTTGCAGCACATGACTGTAGAAATGTTAGAATTGGCGAAATCAAAGGTCTTCTCATTTATATCTCACCATTCCAGCAGCTCCTGCGCCGATGATAACCACATTTTTCCTCTTTCCTTCCGGCATGATGGTAGTGTTTCCGAGCAGCAACAAGCAACGGAAAATCAGTAAAATCACAATTATGACACTTGCAAGCCACAAACGTTGTACTCTTGATATAATAAAGTCCAAGAATGATATACCATCTATCTCGTCACGATCATCGTGGAATTCGTATTCGTATTGTCCTGTTGTCATACAATTGCAGCTGAGCACGCGGAAGCGTAAATTCCATAACGTCACCATAGGGAAGCGACGCCACGAATGCGCTAGACTGAGACAACCACAACACTTCAACCTTTTTGGGTTGTGGGGACAACTATACTAGGAAAAACAACATGTTGTTATTTGATTCTTTCTCCGGTGGACAGCTTCTTCATATACAAAATGGGCATGTTCGTCTGCAGCAAGCAAGAATTGATTTTGCAAAAATCTGGCATATCGATCCTGATGGGAGCATGTTGGCTCAAGTATGTAAGTCTGGAACAAAAGCCATTGTTATCGGATTTCTGTCAATTGAAGCAGGAAAACCATTATATCCATGCTGCGATTGTCCGATGCTGCTGTGATAGCGTTCTTCTGATTACTCGACTCATCCCATCATGGTAGGATCATGATCGTTGTGTTTTGCGATAGCCACATCTAGTGGAGTTCAGATGAGTTATTCAAAGAGAAACGACGTTGTGTTATCTACACAGGACCTCACTTTATGGCCTAGTAAGAACCTCGGTAGGTTTCGGTGATCAAAATTGGTATTTCGAAGCTTATTCTATTGCAATCCACCAATCTCAGCAGAAAAGGCGTTAACAACAGCCTCTTGGGCATTCACCTGAGAGTGGTTGCTCATGAGGTTTGTTTAAAGCTCATCCTTCTTTTTCGACGATTCATTCTCACTTATCATCGACGTATTTCGTGATATCAGCGACTTACCACTAAAGGTGGTGTTTAATTAACTTTAGGTTTCCCTAATAGAAAACTCACTTCAGCAAGACATACATAGTCAGCTGGTCACCTTCCCTTTAGCATGGGAAGCTGAGCAGATATATTCCTTCGAGTACTGAAAGCATCGACATTATCTATTCTATTGCGGACTTCATTTTTCAGCAATTGATCTCCTTCCAAAATCATACAATTTCAACTATTACTTTTTTACCCTGGCTTGCCTACTGGACACATTTATTCTCTCACAACACAGCCCACCGACCTCAAATCAACCAACAAAGTAGATGAGACCATGGCATCCCGATCTCCACCATTCGAACTCAGAAAACGGTGTCTTGACACTTTTAAAGTCCCATATCATCGATTCACAAGATGGAAGCTCATCAAAGTTCTCGAGCACTACCAACAGATTCCCAGAATAAGTCAGTGCACCAAAGAGGGGCTATTCGTTCAGCTCGAAGACTATACCAAAGCAAATGATATCAATCAGGATATCGACTTAATTTGCAGATTCGTCAAAACTAGGTTGCTTCCTGGAGAGTATTCAGCTTTAAGTCTTCGAAATTTCGCTAGCGACAGGATATTTCACGCTTATTCTGGGGCTGAACCTCCCGGACAGCCTTCTGCCAGTGTCAGTTTGACTGACAACTCTGACGGCACCGATGCTGATTCTATTCAGTTTAATAAAGAGCTGGAATTCAATGCCCAGCGTATCCCCAATAGCAGCTTGGATGATGATACTGGTGGTGGAGACATCGGCTCTGATAGTAGCAGTTGGTCTATCACCGATGATCAAGATCGCTATCGTCCTGGTTTTGATGATGAGCTTGAGATTGAATATTCTATACTTTCTAGTCCCGATTTGAAAACCGAATATAGCTCAGACCATTCCGACGAGACGTCCGAGTCTTCTAATCGTCCTAGTCCTGATGTCAAAACCGAATATGACCCAGAACATCCCGACCTCCATCTTCATGATTCCGACGACGCGACCGAACTTTTTAGGCACCTTGACGATACCCACGACAGTGATGATGATTCTGACAATGATACTCTTCATAATCAGCTTCTGGTTATGCTTGCTAGCATCCGGCATGAGCACCAGACTCCGAAGTCTCCAGTCCAAGCTCGTGGACAAAAAAGACAGCGGGAGACGAGATTATGCATCATCTGTTTGGACTCTCCCGATGTTGATTTATTTCCGGAAGCAAACTGTTCAGAAACCTGCGCGCATGAGATCAATGTTTGCACGGATTGTCTGACAGCTCATATCGGCACACAGATTAGGGAATCTCCACTTCGAATATTATGTCCTGGTTGCTCGGAACCAGTTGGCTATCAAGTAGTTAAAACGTACGCATCTTCCGAGGAATTTGATAGGTAAGTTAGACCTGAATACAGAATAATATCAACGAGGTTCGTACTGAAAAATAAGCAGGTTTGAACGATTGGGCCTGATGGAAGCTTTCAAAGATGACCCTTCTTTTATAATGTGTTTAGGTCCTAATTGCGACTCCGGTCAACTTCATGAGGGCGGCGAAAACGAGCCCATTATGGAATGCAACTCCTGTCACTTTAAAACATGTTTCGTACATAAACTCCCTTGGCACTCGGGTCAGACTTGTGAGGAGTATGATCTTGATCGGAAAGAAAAACTGGACCAAGAGGCTGCAACGAATGAGTTGCTACAAAGAGAAACTAAGACCTGCCCCAATAAGTCGTGTGGACTCCACGTTATGAAAATCAGTGGCTGTGATCATATGACATGTAAGTCCTGCCAATTTCTAAGCTTATCTATAAGACAGTTTGTCTAATGTTCCTCCAGGTCACCGCTGCAGATTCGAATTTTGTTGGCTCTGCCTAGCCCCTTACCAGGCGATTCGAGCCCATGGTAACCACTACCACGAGAAGAATTGCAGATACTACTTTGACGACACTTACGGACCCCGTTACGAGTACGACTCCGATGAAGAATCTGACATAAGTTTATAATGGATGTTTCATAGCCCGAACTCGCTTGGATCGGGATCCCCAGCGACTCGCAGCCATATCCCTCTTGAATAGGAGGATACAACTGTTAGCATTTCTAGCTTTACTCTCTGGTAAAATTTCTGCTTATACCAGCCGGCTAGTTTGTCCAAGACGAGCCAGAAGCACTCAGTCTTTGCAACAGAGAGATCCTATTATTACACTTGGGCGAACGAAGTCATCAAATTCTCAAATGCTTCATGTAGATCATTCCAACAATACGCTAAGAAGCCTCCCTGCTGCTTCCAAATACCATTCGATAATGGAGAACGAGTATTTCCCGCCATGTTGAAGCGTTAGAAAGACCAAGCGACTGATAATTTGATTTTCATGGACAAGCTCAAAAGCAACGACAGCACCTGAGCTATCTGAGGGAAAAGCATATGAAGTTCTTGATGGGAGAAGCAGAAGACAGATAATTGAAGGAAATTTGAAAAGCAACTTAGTCCTTACACACAGATAGAATTCATTTGTATCCACATCCTTTACATGACTTTTGAATTCATAGCTCAATGTGAACTGCTTATAAAGTCTCAAGTAAATCATGAAGAACATACCCAAACGAAATTTCAACAAGTTAGGCAACCCAGGTGACCAGCAATATATAGAAATATTTCATAATATTAACAACGGATTCAAATCAAGAATTCAACAGCGAATTTTATATATGTAGATCCAGCGTATGCCCACTGAAATGCCCTAGCACATAGACTAAAAACTCCTTGTCTAAACATCTAATCCAAAAATCCCCTCCTCAAGTTTTCATCATTCAGTCATAAGCCCTCGATCGTGTGTATATGCCTCGCAAGACTAAGCAAGAATCCTTCGAAGTTATTTGCTGCATTTCGAGCACAGGATATGAACAATACACGGATTCTTACAGTGACATAGCGTAGGAGTTGCGGCCTTAGTCAGATAAACACCATTTAGCTGTAAGTACCACCTAAGCAGTTGTCAATGTGGCACGTAATACTAGAGATTTTACTTGTGTTATAAAGTTGAATGTAGTAGAGAAGAGCGTTTATTGCCGGAAGTATGAAAGGGAGGATATACTATAGTTGCATCTTTAGTTCGTGGGCGAGGCTTTTCTGATTGTGATTTTATGTACTGTCACATTGAAGCACTTCACACTAAGCTGCTCAACATTAAACATGTTACGTAGATAGTAATCCGTCAACCCTTACATACCCCGATAAGTGAAAACTCCACTTTTTCGTTTGTTGCATATCGAGAGACGGGAATAGATGGGGGCTGTGTTGTAGTTTCACGGCGGTGCGGTCTAGTGAGGCTTTGACCTATAGCGGTGTTGAGAGACTCTTACCTCTGTGCACTGGAGGAAGTGGATTGTCGGTGTTGCGAGATTTGATCTGTATATTATGAAATAGATTTAAGTCGGGAAAGGTTTCTTGCACGTCGAGAAGAGAGTATAATCTGTCAGAAATCATATAGTTTCATGGCATAGTACTGGAGCGAGGATTACTCTACTACAATTCCAACCCGTCATAACTCAAAGTACTTGTGGATTGGACGATCAGTGTGGCATATTACACAGAAGACTTTACGTCTATCATAACTTCGAAAGTAAGTAACGAGAAATTTGTTGCACATCGAGCGTAGAGTATAGTCTATAGAACATTTTATAGTTCATGGCATAGTGTGCAAAAACTGCCTTGCTATCTTAAGGCAGTCTATTACCCAGGTGTTATAATACCAATCAGTTAGGATGCCTATGCGATATGATCGGTGAAGAGACATAGTTCTATGGCATAGTAGCAAATGAAGCATTGCTAAACCAAAAGATATAAATACCAACAAATCATAGCACGTATAGTACTGCATGTCACCGTAGAAATACTATGTTCATCATAAGACTTACGTTCGAAAGGTATTAAAGACACATTTTTGTTGCACATCGAGCAGAAAGTATAGTTCATGAGAAGTCCTATAGTTTCATGCCATCGAAATTCAGTGAGGCCATGCTATGTCAAAATTTATAAATACCAGCAAGCCATAGTACCTTATCACTAGTTATTTTTGCACATCGAATCGGAGATCTTACGTTCATCACAAGACTGATATTCAGAAAGATATCGAAGAACGTTTGTTGCATATCGAGCAAAAAGTATAGTTCGTGAGAAGTCTTATAGTATCATGGCATAGTGCGTGGTTGAGGCATTGCTATGTCAAAATATATTAATACCCTACAAGTGATAGTCACAACTCGTCACTGCATATCGCTACGGAGGGTTTACATAAAATGTAAGTTATAGAGAGCGTGTGCTATAACGAATATGCCTTTGTTGCACATCGAGCGGAGAGTTTAAGAGGCACATTGACTGTTATAATCATGGTATATTATATGTGAAGACAGCAAGATCCAATCAGTTGTCTTTTAGTTTCGAGTGTTGCTGTTGGCAACGGAGGCTTTACCTTCGTAAACATGATTAGTACTTCCTATCATATAGGGAGATATAATTGTTGCATGTCGACCGGAGAATATCATTGTACTCTCCACCAATACAACTACAGCATCCTAGGCTCGAAACCCAATCGTCCTTGAGAGTTGCAAATCGCAACGGAAATTTTACGAAAATCATAAGATGCAAACTTGGAACATGTTATGGGGAGAATAAGTGTCGCATATCGAGCGGAGAGTTTAAGCGGCGTAAGTTCTTCTATTCATGGCATACTAACACAGACCAAGCCATACTAGTGACTTGCTATTGACAGAACGAAAGCTGTTGCACTTCGCACCGGAGATTTTACATCCATCATAACACACAAACTTGAAATGTGTTATAGAAAAGCACGACTGTTGCATATCGCGCGGAGAATAACAAGCGGCACGTACAAATGCCGTCAAGGCATATCTAGTCGACCCATCTATAGAAGAAAGTATTATTATATACAACACTCGTTGTTGCACACCGCTGCGGAGATTTTACGTTTATCATGATACTTAAACTTGAAATATATTATAGAATAGCACAACTGTTGCATATCGTGCGGAGAATATAATAAGCGGCACGTACACTTGTCGTTATGGCATATTACCACAGACCAACTTATACTACTAAAGTAGACGTTGTTGCACACCGCATCGGAGATTTTACCTCCAACAGTCCATAGAAGCTATTCTTTAAAGAACGAACGTGGAACTGTTGCATACCGCGCGGAGAATATAATCAGCGGCACGTACGATTGACATTATGGCATATTGAAGAAGCCCCATCGATACTATCATCATAGCCGAGAATATCAAGTAAATATTGCACATCGCACCGGAAATACAACAACATTCAAGAAAAATCCTCAAATGTTGCATATCGGCCGGAGAATAAGAAGCGGCACAAGCACTTGTCAATTATGCGTTTCAAATATAATCCATCAGTCACGAATTCCAAGCTAGATATTGCACATCTCAGCGGTGAATTTAGCAAAACCTAAGACATTTGCATATCGAGTAAGTGGCACAATAAGGCTCTCCCACATCGCCGTTCATGCCTTCCCTCGTCACAAGAACAAAACGAGACAAAAACAATTGTTTATTGCATATCGCATCGGAGAATATCAACATCATAATAATAAGAAGGTTGGGAGAGGGCGAAGAAAAGGGATGTGGTTTGTGGACTGTTATATGTCCGATGCTTGAGGTATATTATATCGCTCCTGCAGCTATCGGAGAATTTGGATTGAAGGGAGAGGCGGAGCGGGTATTGTGGTGGGGGTTCGGTGATTTGATGAGGATGTTTTATTTTTCTTTTTATCAGGAGACGCGTAAAGCAAACTCGAGGTTAGTTTTTTTTTTTTTTTTCTCTTCTGACGTTGTAGGGATGTACGCAGTGGAGGTACGGAGTATGTAGATATGTCTTTTTCCGCGCGCATATTAAAATCCACAATAACAAAATCTGTAATTTGTTTCTTGATTGCAGACTAGTATAAAAGAACCACTTATCTTGTGATATTACCATAAGATGATTGAACCTCAGACGCATAGTTCATGATAAATATAGAATTCAATAAACTAGTGGAGTACCGATGAAGTCAATCTGTGTTTGATCTCGCTTCAGAACCGGCCCCGGGTAATTGGGAAAATGATCACCGATTAGAAACGGCGAAGCAGCAGAAAACGTGATGGCATAGAAAGTGATGCATGATGATGATTCAGACTGTGATCTTTCGGTGGCACAAAATCCGGAGGCTCTGAGGCATTGCTTGTGTTTGACTTAAGCTCGAGCCGTCAAGTAAAGAAAGATACAACCATTTTTGCAATGCGAAAAAGGGAACAGAAAGTTCGATGACATGCAAAAGCGAGTATCCAGAGACGACGCAAGCATCCCACGAGTACTCTTGAATTTTGTGCATTGAAAGCCAACCATCAGAAGACAAAAACCAAGAACAAAAGTAATAGAATTGACACAAAACAATGTTTTGACAGCAGAACCCATCCTAGTACACAATGTCAGATGACGAGTTCAAGACATCGTAGATGAGGCACAGAAAGCTCGCTAGCGATGGCATAAACGGTTCTGAGCCAGATCTGCAGCTAGAAACTCCATGGAAGAGTCATCAACCGTTGTGACAGGTGGATACTTGCGGCGTTGGTCATAAACATGTTTCGCCAAGTTGAAATGCGTGTTCCTTCTAGAAAACGACAAGAACCTTGATCCTGAAGTTCGACGAGATCCAAGATCTCATCTACATACAGTAGATGGCCCTTTCTCCGTCAATTGGTTGAAACTCGATGACAAGACATAATATCATTGACATACGGGTACCAAAAGCACTAGATGTCGCAAATATTGCATAAAGAAAGGGATCTTCCTTCCTCTACGCGTCAGGATTCAAAATAGCCGCGAAGTCATGGAAAGTCGGAAGATGTTCGTTGACTTCACCCAACAAGGGGTCAACGCTAGAAGTAGCTAAAATTCTCGAAAGGAAGAGGTGAGGTTTGATCATCACCAACAGCAAGATATCTCTGTCGGAACTGTTCTTTTTCTAGACGTGGCTGCATTGCATTGCAGGAGGATGGTCGATCATTAGCGAAGGAATCATACCCAAGACGGAGACTTCGCTTGACCGACTCTGTGCATGAACTAAACGTGGAAGGGCACGGAGGTTTCCTTCTAGAAGGGAAATGGAAGGTTTGACGTTGCTGAGGTAATTGATTGTATGTAATGCTCTTGTCCTGGGTTTGTCGGATCCCGGTCTGTTGTACGTTGGTGTTGCAGTTGCAAAGTTGTGAAACCATCAGGAGTCTAATAGATGACCTCAGATATTCTGGATATTCTCAAACCTGCAGATCCATGTACGAAGTATGGTTAGATAATGACATGTGAAAATGAAATTGTTATACTCGGAATTGGATATGCATTTAGCAACCAGCTGAAAACGTGATACCAACTGTATGTGAGATATCGGGAGGCTGCCTCAGTTGATAGGGACGGGTGAGGAGTACGAAGTAGTGTCGTATTATTGTCAATACCGTCCATCGTCCCACGAGACTGCAAGTCCCGTGCCGCAACATAACGGCCCAGAATATGAAAGACAACCTCTCTATCTTGGGAGACCTGCACAGGTGAGGCTGAACCCGAATTCAGATCGTGGATGGTGGTGGCTATCGGGATATTAATCGTGGCTGCTATCCAGGTCGCCAGTATTGTCAACCCTGGTGTGAGCCTTCTTGCAAGCAATCCATTCCTTCAACATCTCACTGTCGCCAACGCACACCTCTTCACATCTCCATCCTTCCTTCGCCGTTGAACGCGACGCTCTCGACCACTCGAAAAGGCGCAACCGAACAGCCGCAAGCGTCCGCATCATCAGCTTCACGGCCCACACACAGACTCGTGCGCCTGCCTCAGTCGCACTTTGTCTGCTCGAGTCAAAGAGGGACCAAATCTGAAGCAGCCGTCATTGCCGTCGCCGCAGACCTGCCTGCAAAGCGTTTTCTGACCAGAATCAACCATCGCAGATATATCCGGAGATTGGAATTAGACCAGCGAAGAAAAAGCAACGGATACCGTGGTCAAAGGAGAGGCAGAGGAAAAGGAGGAAAATACACACGATTTCCCAGCTTCAGAATCGACCGACAATCTATTTTCGGGTCTCACTTCCATCCCTGCGCCCTCGTGGTGCCGTTGCCCTTGCAGTCCCTAGGCTACCCCAGTTTCGCCCGCGTTGTGCGACGCCCCAAGGCATGAGTGAGGGAGAGGGGAGTCTAAGAAAGTTTGCCTGAAACCACCAACGACCAGCATCAAACCTCACCACGATACCCGTACCTCTGAATCCGACTCCTTGTTCCGTCGGCAGTTTCCCGAGTCCTCACGACTGCTTCTCTCCTTTCAGAGTCTTCACCGACTTTCACATCGCCCAGAAAATAATATCCTCCGTTCATACAAACATTCCATCCTCGTCAATATCCCACACCTGGTACGATAGTGAGCATACTAGCAGCCCGTAGGATTCCTGCCACGAGGCAACTTTACTCAGCCAACCTATCACGTATCAGCTCAATTATCTCAATCGCGGGATCAACCCTTCGAGAAGCCCATTTCTCAGACAACCAACAACCCAGGGGTACCCTCTGACCTCCTCCCCTGCACCATCTACATTCCAACCACGTTTGACCGCTCCCACACATCTGCTCCCGTCATCTTTCTAATATAAGACCTCGTGGCTCCCCTGCGACGCTTCCTGTTCCTACAATGGCTACCAGCAACTTAAATCAACAAGCTTCCCAGACTGCCGCTCAGGAAGAGTTCAATAACCTCGTCTCGAAAGCCTCAGCATCTGAAAAAGAGAATCAACATCCAGCTGATAACGACGACTATCACCACGACAAAGACAACAGTGACATAGACGAGGACGACGAGTATCTGTCAAAGATCTTAGACGAGACTATGCGTATGCCAGCTTTTGATCGTATGCCCGGCTCAGGCTCCGGCCAACTCCGGCTTCCTCACAGAGACTTTGACAATGGAAGGACGACAGGTGTGAAAGGTGTTATCGCTGATGCGAGGAGTTATGAAGAGGCAAGACGGAATGGAAGCCATCGAAGGAATACATCAAGACAATCAACATCTTTGGCCGACAAACGATCAAGCACTATTTCATTTCTTAAAGACGAAGGGGAGGATAGCGATGAGGAGGATGAAGAGTTCATTGAACGATGGAGGCACCAGAGACGAATGGAATTGGAGAAGGAGGGCAATGACATTCGCAACCGAAGAACAAGTCCTAGTGTGAGACGATATGGACGTTTCGATGAGGTTGATGCTCTGGGATATCTAGACGCCATCGAGAAGGTCACGAGAGAAACAGTCGTTGTAGTATTCGTCTATGATCCAGAGGTAAGCTCACCCCCTCTGTCATCCCCTATCCTATACTAACAAAACCCAGTGCCCAGTATCACAAATCATCTCCGACGCTCTCGAACCCCTAGTCACCAAAAACCCATCAACCCACTTCGTCCGCATCCACTACGAGGAAATCGAATTCGACAACGCCGGTGTCCCAGCGATCCTAGGCTACAAGAACCAAGGCGACCTCTTTGCAAACTTGACATATATCATCGATCAGATACCAGAGGATACGCTATTCGACACCAAAGCTCTAGAAGATGTCTTGAGAAAACACCAGGTTCTTAGATAAGGATCTTTTTGTGACGCGATTTTTATTCTTCGAGTTTGTGTTATCATACTTTCGTCATGTATTAGCATAGCAAGGGCGTAAGGTCACGATATCGAGTCTCTTCTATGAAACTTCATTCATGTATATCGTTGCTTTAGGGAGTCTTTCTCAGGGTTAGGTTTGGGGGCAAGTCGTGTTTTGTTTTCTGCGGTTTTAAAAATCATACCCCGAGTGCGAGATTGATGTGGGTGGATATATCAATGTTATCTACTAGCTTATAGCTTTGAAAACCTTTACTCTTGATGGCTTTTGCATGTCATGTTAGCTTGCCTGAAGTGTCTGTTTATTCATGTTGACGCGGCTTGTAACATCTTTCGATCCAGAACCTCGACTTTCATGGGCTTACAACTCTTACGGCTTCGCCGGATTACACCATGGCATTAGCGAGAAAGATGTCCTACACTGATGGTATAACGTCAATCTCGTCTCACTTTACTTTCCGAACAAGACTTCGAAGTAGAGCAAGACCTGGTTCACAGTGACTTGAATAAGATGAGCATGTAAAGTTCAACGCTTGTTTTTGCAACTAATCAATTCAACTCACTCTGCCTTCCTGAAGCCTTTAACCTGCCAGATTTCTACCTGGATTCAAAGCTCTAGTTGGCAGTTCTGCCAATAATAATAGTAAAAAAATGCAACGCAGTCTTCCCCACCAATTTTATCTCCTAGTATGAATCTTAGCAAGCAACATTCTTGCCGCTCGCTGTACATGCAGTGCTCCCTCGCCATCTGACCTCAGGTGAGATCTTAATCTAAGCTAAATTACTTATATTAGTAAGATTCGTCCACCAGCAGTCTTGCTTCAAGATTTACCTATGTATGTAGTTATTCAATGCCGTCCCATTCTCCACACATCGTCCCGGAAAACGCTCACTCTCAATTCGAAAGGGTAATGATAGTCCAGCTAGATCGATTCATCGACCGCCTTTTGTTGAGAAGCGAGATCAACATCTACATTCTTCCCTCGCGGCCTCAGAACTGATTCGCTATCGGTGAAAATATTTGCAATTCTCCTTATGTCTGTTGTTCCCATGATTTCTTATTTCCGTGTACGACGCTAGACAAAGCCAGCAAAACTCGAATCGGCACCGCGTACCTAGATAAATCAGTCCTCACCTCTCTTATATCAGCCCGGGTGTTCTCACATCTCATATGATCGCACCCAACACTTTTCTCAATATGATACCCACAGCTCCAATTCGGACAGATCTTAGTCTGTTTCTCCAAGTACCTTTCACTCGCCGCTTCCTGCTCGAGTCGTTCGGCAGACCCATTCTGATGCGCGTCGAACTCGGCACAGGTCTGCTCGGGGTGCCAGGGGAGCCTGTGCACGAAACAGGTCTTGAAGTGGCAGGTGGTGCAGGTCATGATTGGTTCTTCGTAGCCGCCTGAGTGGAATTGGCCGGAGCTGCAATTCGGGCCTAAACACATGGTGAATAGTGGATCGTCTTTGAAACTTTGTAGTAGGGTGTGGTGGTCGTATCTGTTAGTTATGTTAGCTGGAACTAGCGGGCTATGTTATGTTAGGATAATATAGGGTTACTTACCTCTCAAATGCTTCTGCAGATGCATACAACCTGACTGCTTCAAACCCCAGAGTTTCTAAGCATGTAGGACATGCAACCCTAGTAGGATTATCCTTGACCTGTGTATCAATATGCGTAGAAACGCACATAATACATACATCGATTTCGTGAGAACAAGAGTTTGTTAGCTTGTCTTCTGGGAAGGTGTCTACATCGCAGTCTTCCAAACAGACAACGCAATGCTTGGTGACTCGTCGTCTCTTCAGACCACGTTGCTCTTGTTGGTTTCCCTCCACAATTTCTTCTGCATTCGGAGCCTTGATTAGTTCATTGTTGGAGTTGGAGTTAGGGTCAGAATCTCCAACTTCAACTTCTGGGTCGCTGGAAACAGAGGTAGAAGAGGAATTGTCGTGAGTCGAGTCAAGGTCCGTCTCATCAGAGTCGAGACCAGTAAATGATTCAGCATCATCATCGATCCGATCAAGACCGAATTCGTCGACGTCGTTTATTTTATCATCCGCATAATCGGCAAGGTTATCCGTATTTTTGTAATACTTGGAGATAGGACCAATTCCGCGCCATCCTACCATTAAAGCCCTTCCAAACCTTCCAATCATCTCCATGTCTTTAGTGATATCATTATTCCGACTGTACTCCTCGAGAATGTCGTACAGAGTTTCTTTGGTCGACCGTTTAGGGTAATCCTGTCCAGAGTGATCGAGTACCTTGCTGAGTTTTTGTATTGTGAATCGATGGTATGGTACGTTGAAGGTAGAGAGACATCTTTCTCGCAATTCGCGTGTCGGGGCATGGCTTGCCATGGCTGTTTCATTGGTGAGGATAGCTATTCGGAGAAGCTAGAGAGCTAAGAGTAAGTTGGTTGAATAAGTTAGTGATATGGTAAAGTTGACAGATCTGGCGGATGCTGGGAGAGTTAGGTTTTGGCATACTAGAGGAGCAGAACCAAGAGTATAACAGGAGGATGATATCGGTGTGCTTCACCTTTTAATTCAGTTTCTCAAGATATCTCGTGGACGCCGCCTCCGAAAGTGAAACCTTGACTGTGGCTATTCTCTTGATAAGTCCCACAGGGAATTGTATAGCAATAAACGCTGCGAATTGAGACTCTGGAAATTCCAATATTGTGAACATTTAACAGTGTTCGAAAATTGCGTGAACTAAATTGTGTTTAACATAAATTACAAGAAAAGGATCAAGCAAACAACCCATTTTTTCGCTTTCATGCAGTTACCCGGACGTCAACAATAGTGACTTGGAGTCAAAACCGTCGAGTTTTAATTATCATAGTAAAATATCATTACAATGATAGATACTCCTTGATATAAATAAGATACCTATTTAAAGTCCAGAACTTTAGAATCAACCCTAAGTGGTTCAAACCATAGAGACCACACAACTCACGATGTCGTCAGCCAGTGAGAGGGAATTGCTAAATTTCATATGGCTAGGCTGCTTTAATGTATAAAAGTATGCCTAATCGTACATGCGCTGAGATGGCAATTCCTCAGTCACCCACCACTATACCATAAAACTATAACACCTTCAGATTTTGTAATCCTCACTCAACATACAACAAATGACCTCAGGGTTTGGTCGGTCGTTTTCCAAGTCGTATATACACGGCCAGTAACATGTGACTGGATAGTAAAATGTGAGAATATGCATTGGACTGGATTAGAGACCTAGCCTAGTGGATGTCTAGTATCAAAATCACGTAGTTTCCACCTTCTTGTTTATAATCCACCATTCACAAGATGAATCAAAGAAGCATCCCAGGAGACTCACACTTCGACCTGCAGGAAAAGACTAAAGATGATATAAATCACAAGTACAGTATCATTCGTGGAGTATTATGCTGTCGCGAGAACAAATCTAATCATCCACGTATCAATCTAAGACCTGAGCAAATAAGTCGTAAACCTATGCCAGCTCCAAGTTACATCAGTGATGCAACCTTCAAGCCAGTGATTCCATGATAATCAACCACCGCCGTCTCCTTCTTCTTGGCTTCTCCTTGCGCAGTCACCTCCTCATCCATCTTCTTCTCTTCACTCCCTTCTTGCTCTCCTGTCTTCTCCTCCTTCATTACTTCCTTGCCCTTTCCCTCCACTTCCTTCCCCTTCCCATTTCCCCCGTCTTCCACCTTTGCATTTTGCCACTCAAGTAATCTATCAACAGCATCCCTACACTCCCAAATCTGCGCTCGAACAGCCTCCATTTCTTGACTCATTGCATTCATTTTTACCAGAAACGCTGCGCGCTTCTTGTCCATGTTGCCAGGTATCGGGTCGCTAGGTGTTTTGCTGCTCGAAGCCTTGAATGAAGGAGGCGAAGTACTAGGCGATGAAGCGGGAGATAGTGATTCAGGTGTACTAAAAAGATTAGCATAGTTTGTCCTTTCAAAGAGAAAGACTTGATGAGTAGAAGAAAGGAGAAAACAAACTCAAGCCGCTCCATAAACATCGCGTAAGCACAATCCAATTCCCAATTCTCAGGACCAACATCGTCCTCCTCCTCCTCCTTCGCTTTCCCCAATCCCCCCTTCTTACTCCCCTCACCCAATCCCTTCCCCATCCCACCAACGCCCCCCGCCGGCATCCCCGGCATCCCTGGCATCCACGCTCCCACCAGCTTCCCGGTATTCTTATCAGTCATCAACATCGCGCCCCCATATTTCTTCAGAAACTCCTCTTTGCTCATCTTAGCCTTTCCTTTCTTCATCTCCGCCGTCATTTCCTTGAGTAACTTGACCGCGGCGTCCATGTTTGCAATTTTGGCTGCTGAACTGGGTGCTGTGGGGTATGAGGAAGTGGATGTTGAAGCGTAGGGGTATGAGGATGTGGATGGATGGTGGTAGGTGGGTAGGTAGGTAGGTTTTGCGTATGGCCCGGTTGGTACTGCGACTGGAGTGAATGAGTTTGGATGGGAGGCGTTCGATGGGTGGTAGGCGGGATTTGGAAATGTACCTTGGTTGGTGTATAGGTGGGTGGGTATTGTAGCTGGATTGGAAGATGAGGATTGTTGTTTGGCGAGAGCTGCGCAGTAGCTTTGGTATTCTTGGTTCGCGATGATGGCGGAGGGGGATGACCCAAACTTTTGTGAGGGATTTGGTGGTGCCATGCTTGATGATGTTTGATGTTTTGTGTGTGGTGATCTGATGTGGCTTGTTTGTTGTGTGAATATTTAGTTGAGATGGTGGAGATGATGGAGGTTGACAGAGATCGATGGAAGTATGACTCTGAGGGCTTAAAAGATTTGAGTTTGCAATCAGATAAAGTTAGGCAAGTGCACTCACTGTTTGTAGGAGTGCGTCCTATTCACTAGACTCAAAAGGAAAGTGTGGTGAATTGGGTATGATTTCTGAAAGAGGTAAGCACAAAGCTGAGGTAATGGCATTGATCGAGATATGAAATTACTTGATTATGAGTACCCAGAAGAAATCGTTTGGTGTCAAGTACAAATCCACCGAGGTATGATCTGAGACCATCTAAATTTTATTCTTTTAGTTGTTTTCTGTACTCATGTACCGTATGTTTGGAATATTGAACATAGCTTTTACTAGCAACATCTAAGTACTCGCTCAGCCATCCCTACTATCTCACAATCCTGAGCTTAACAGCAAACTTAATACTTCAGAGCAGGAAGAGGAGGAGGAGCTGGTAGAGCACGGTACTGAGTATGCGTCTGAACATTTTCCAAACCCGTCATCTTCTTATTCTTATACGCCAATCCCATCACCAAATCTCGTGCACCTCTAACACAATCCGACAGTCCAACCCCAGCGTAACTGTTCCCAGCCACAGCGAGTCCACCACCGAACTTTTCTTTGAGTTCATCGTGGGCCGCAAGGAGTCGAGCTTCATGACCAACAGTATATTGCGGAATACAATTTTTATGAAGACCGGCTTTGGTGGCTGTCGGTTCGTCGGTGATGCCCAAGTGGCGAGCGATAACGTTGCGAGCCATTATCACGCCTTCTTCAGACTCTGGATATGAATCCATACCATCCCACCAGTGACCTCCTAGCATGACTGTGAGTTTGGTACCTTCAACAGTGTCTTGATTGCCAATAGTATCACTGTCGAAGACTACGCCAAGAGCGCATTCTGGGTTTTGGTCGAAAGGTATTGCACGAGGAATCAAATAGCCGAAACCGTGGACGGGCAAGACGGTGGTGGAGGGGAAGTATAGATTGACTACCATAACAGTTACAGAGTGGATATCTGCTAACGGTTTCAAATGCGTCTGAGGCTGATTGGGAGATCTGAGGGCTGTTCCATCTTGTGGGATAATAGATGAGGTGTTCGGACCGGAAAGTGTCGAAATTACTTTGGTGTATAATGCTGGTGGTACATTCTCTGATGTTGTGATCTGAGCATGAAAGTCAGTGAAATACAGCAGAAAGATTTCAGAACCCTACTTTGATATTTTCCGTTTCATGGTCGAACGAAAGTGACTTGACCCATACGCCCTTCTTGAACTGCACTTTCGGATTTGCTCGCAATGACTTTTCCAAAGCTACAGGAATCGCACCAATGCCTTCTTTGAAAGAAAACACACTTGATTGACTCAGGCGGACAAAAATTGAAGGTTCAATTTTACCGATAAGCTCTACGCCCAACTCCACATCAGCAGTATTCTTCCAAGCTATTCTAGGGCCCAATTCTCGCCATCCTTTCATGATGCTTCCAAACTTTCTTTCCATAGACCAAACTAATGGCATTAGGCTTTTGACACTCAATTGTGTGATATCACCAGCGTATATTCCATGCAGGCCAGCTGAGAGAGCTTTATCTGCTGCCTCGGAGGTTCCTAACCGTCGGAGAAGAAAGTCGTACAAAGATTCATCGTCCATCGATGGTGGCCGTCCAGGGTTGTTATACTCTCTCCAAAGCGCCATGGGAATCCAATTCAATGCTGGCGATGTCAACACGCTGAATAAATTTGTAAATAAATTTGTACCGGGGCCAGGCAGCTTCACAAGTTTATCAGGGTAATATATATATCGGTTCCTGGCGGATGCAGAGTCTTTAGGGGTTGTGAGGATTTGGTCTTGCAGGTCAAGGTCTTGAATCTACGAACTAATTAGTATTGAATAATAGAGAGGCTCCTCTCAAGCATACCAGTTCCATGACAGTTAGACCTGATCCATTTTCGTTGGGTCGTAGACTTCTAGGGCCTTGCTCAAATACAATGTCACCGCCGTCAACAGCCACACGCTCGCTGCTCAGCCATCCTCCTAGTCTATCGGTACTCTCATATATCGTAACATTGGCATGTGGTATATTTTTCGTCAGATAATGTGCCGTCGAGAGTCCTGTGATACCTCCTCCTAAGACCGCAAATTCGGGTTTACTGTTTTCATCATACTGCGGCTTCTTGAGGAGGTTGTGAACAATGGGCTTCTTCAGGAGTTCGTCAAAGATGGAAGGCGCATAACGATCTTCTGTACGTTTCAAATACGTTGTACTATCACCTGGCTTCTCGTTGCGTCCAGTGTAATATGTGCGGCGTTGGAGTCGACCAAATGTATCGCGTTGAAGCTGTAGTGGGGTACGATAGGCGGATGAAATCGTTCTCCAGCCGCGTCGAGCTTGACAACTGGGATTGATGTAGCATTGTCGGAGTAGCAGCACCACGGTGTGCTCAGTCGATTGCGTTCGCATCGGAACTGCTGCAGGTCTCCGTCTGCAATTCCGTTCAATGTGATATATGTTGTTTTAAATGCAAGCTTCCATGACGCGAATTGAGCTCGCCTCGCTAGTTCTAACCCCTGTGAGAGTATCACAGCAAATAGGCAAAGATACCATTTTTCCTTTTTCGATGTGTTCAAGAATATCGAATCGTCTACTTTATTATTAAACACCAACTGACCTGTAGCTACGAACAGAATTGCTAAAGCTTGAATGTTGTGTTGAACCTTCGAATCATGAGCGTGTTAGGTTAGAGCTGGGGGGGGGACATATTGAAATCATTTAATATACATCACACAACACAAACAAAAATTTGGGTAGCATCCCCAGATACCTTTTTTCGGTTCTGGGGCGCGTGGGAGACAAAGTCCATTCTAAAACTAGTATCCTCCGCCATAAAGAACCCAAAGCTCATAATGCCAATGAGCCGAATAAAATATACCCATATCCCAATACTCCAGGCCTGAACGCCAAACATTCCATACCATATTTTACAAATGCCATATCTTTTCTAACCTTTCCATCCAACACATTTATCCTACGTGACCACATCGACGGGGGCCGCCGAAATATTATTAAACTTTGCCTCCTCTGAACCAGTTTCTGGTTTGATGAGTTCCTCCTCCATCTCATTCTCATCAACAAATTTCCTCTCGCTAACGTGTTCCTTGCCTCCGTTAGCCACCCAGACCTTGTCCTCAAACTTTCCTCTTTTCTGGCCATCAATATGCTTATAGACACAAGATGGGTTTAAACAGGGATTGAACTTGCACATGACTTTGGAGTGCACAAATTTGCAGTCGGGTGTAGTACAATCGGCCCCGTTTCGACATAACGGCATTGTTGGGTGTCTGAAAGGACATCGTTCGTTGGTACAATTCGGATAAAACTTGCAATCCATCGTCGTTTGGTGAGCGAGCTTTTGCGCAGGTGATGGATGTCGGCCGGTACATTTTTTATTTTTGCAAGCCGCGCCAAAAGTACATTCATCGGCAATATCAATGGGTACCCCTGGGGGAGCTGCGGGCGATTGGTGTGCAAACTTGCAATCTTTGTTGGTACATGCCAAGTTATATTTGCAAGTGCTATCTGCTGAAGGTGGCTCTCGCTTTTCCTGTGACATTTCAACATCCATAGATGAAGATGGCGTGTCGCTGGAAGCTGACTTGGGCTGCTCCCCATTGAAGCCCCCTCTAGAGCCATATGAACCACCTCTCCGGAAGCTGCTTTGTCCCCGAGGGCTAGGCTGAACTCGGTCGAACAACGATCGGCCGGGTTGTTGTTGCTGGTGGAAAGTATTTTGCATCCCAGCATTTGGCATCTGGCCTGCCATACCCATCATTTGTACCATTCCTGCCATCTGTTGTTCTAAGTTCTGAAACATTGTCTGTAGTTGCGCAGGTGCCAAATTTGACAGATTCATCGCGCCGGAGCTTTGCACCTGTTGTCCATTCATGCTTCCGTTCCGTGAGCCGTTCTGCATTCGTGCGCCGCCACGAATTGACATGGACTGCCGAGGGCCCGTTGGAGGCCCGCGTGAGTGTGAGTTAATACGGTCATTGCCACGCGTGCGATGTAGGACATTGTCGTTCGATCTGTCCATCGATTTAGCTAGGTGTCCAAGCATACGCTTGTCGCGAGCGCGTCCTCCATCGCGCATGGATTTGGGGCCCGTGGGACTATATTTTGTCAGCCTGTTGAACATCCAGTTTTTGGAATGGTATTGAGGAGAACTACTAAAACAGGAAACATACACATTAGCTGGAGCGGTATCTTGGTTATCTCCCATATCCGCATCCTGCGCCTCCCCAGATTGCTCCACGGCACCCATATTCGAATCTGCAGAAGCTGCTCCATTTCCGCCAGATTGTGAATTGAGTATCTCAACTTGATCAAACAACCATCTCGCAAAATCTCTAGCTCCTGGATCATCTGGTCCAAGGTTGAGTAGGTCGCCTGATAATTCCGCCGCAATCGCGTCCTGAGATTTGCCATTAACCAGCATCAGGATGATGTATTCCGAGAGCGCAGAGTCATCAGCACCTCCAGTGCTCCATCCGACCTCCACTAACTTTGGCTGAATTGCCATATTCAACGCGTTCGCCAGTGGCGAATCTAAAACCACCTCGACAGACATGATTGTTGCAGGTGCTTTCGACAGATGTCGATGCGGTTAGGGAAATGAGGCGTTGATGTGTTCGAGGCTGTATTGTCGTAATGGGCGTCGGCACTGGATTCGAAGTGGGAAGTTGCAGTCGCGGAGCTGAAACGGTCTTCTTTGTTCGCGATCGAGGGTTGGACTTGTTAAGGGAACGGGCTCAAAGGTGTCAAAGAGAAATGTCGATAGGAAGGTTGAGGTAGAGTGGCCTTGAAGTCATAAGGCCGACAAAATTAGTCATCGTGAGGCTGCAAACCATTCACGGGCTAAGCCTCATTCAGATGGAGATGTGGCCCGGGCGTAAGCTGTGTGGCTACCTAGGTACATGTAGTGATGGAAAAACTCCCGTGTCCGTCCCGAGAACTGTTTGGTCTGGTCTGGTTCCTGCTGGTTCAATAGGTACCTTTCAATAATGAACCAAATGAAAACACAAGGAATTATTAAATCATTAATCTCATATCTTTCTAATTGCTTTCAAGAACTTCATCTCTAATTCCGGTAACAATGAGACAAACTGCCAGGACTAGTCCATATATGAAGTAAATCTTCTGGTATAAAGAGCCTGTGGACTTCTGTCTTCTGTCAGAGATCTTGTCACATTTTACTGACGGTTTGTCAGGCCAACTTGTCCTCAGCGGTTCTTTCCACACTCCATCTATTGTTGTTATTGACTTTTTTATGCTTTGCTGTTTATAAATCGCAACGCACCAACCCAACATAATGAACCTCGCCCAAAGCGGAAAAAGCAGGTCGCGCGATGCGCATTCATATCAAACCGATATATCTCATTATTTTCTACTTGGACACCTTCGACGATTGTTCAGAATATTGTCTACTTCTGGGAACCCACGTTTCTAGCTGCTATTTGAAGCGAACATATGAGAAGAGCAAAGCAGAAGCTGGTCTTGGTCTCTACCAACTATTCCCCAGTGGGGCTGTCAACAGATTTTGTGCTCATATGTTCCAAGCCCCTCACCATTTTCTTGTCAACACACAGTTTGTCGTCCTAGCAAAGTTTCTCAAGAACAGTGTTATAAAGATGTTGATTGTCCTTGGGCTTTTTTCCATCCGATATACATATATATCAAACGCATCACTTTATCATTGATGCTGTGCCGTTTGCGCTGCTGTGTTGTTGTGTTTCCCCCACACTTCAATGATCCGCACTGGGGTGGATCTGCCAAGCACTATACATCGGCGTAAACCAGATCTCACGACTGATCAGTTTCGTGGTCATCCTATCAAAATGTCAGATTCCAAAGACTTCCCATTTCAGGTTGGGACCAAGATCTAAGCCTCCATATACAGTATCTTTCATTAGATACGCGCGTTCGATACTCGAATGGCCAGCGCCAACTCTGGACTGCGCACTTTGCCTACGACGCAACCTTGACCCAACTGTTCTGAGGAGAAGATTTACAGTAACGCGCAGCAAAGACTTTGCACACCACGAATCAACGGCATGATGACAGTGGCTGCTTCCGGCGATCCGGAGAATTATCAGCCTTCATGTAGCACCCGTCTGTGCCGACGATTCCATTTCTTCACTATTATTCGAAGCGCCGAAAAATAAACTTCCTGCCGTGCTTTCAAACAACTTTGGAAAACTGGAACTGTTACGGCGCAGTGCCGAGATAGTTTTTCCTGAAAAGAACTTGTTGCAGATATGTACACTTCTTCCTCACCGCCAGCAGCATTTTCGGAAAACTTGAGAGATGATTATTCGCTGTATGATATGCGCATATCACTATTCACATGGACAAAGATGCATTCTCAGCAGGCATGGCCCAAAATGCTGACGGAGGCGTGCTATCCACTGTCCTGTTTAGGCAATATGACATGATATCAGATCACGACTTGTGCAGAAAAGTCATGAGGAATGGAGTTGAGGATGTCCGAATGCGTCGTCTCGCCAGCCTCGAAACGAGCGATCTCCGGTGCGACTTGAGGACTCGAGAGAAGGAAGAAGGGACGAAATCTAGAACACAAAAATGGGGGACGCCACCCAACATCCACCCCACACTCACATTATTCTCTGGATCATGAGGAAGACACGCCATGATCTTCATCAACCGTTTGTCTTTTCCGTTGATCATCGTCTTGTTGTCCTGGGCTGCTGGTGCTCGCCCTACGACCCTGATTATTATTTGAATTGTTTGAGGCTTTGCCCTGCCAGGCTGTGAGCATGAGCGGAAAGGATGAACCTTGTGACCGAGATGTTCCAGTAACTTGTTGTGAGTCGACCAGACTGCACCAGGAACCTTGGTTGGGCAAGATGCCAAGATTTATATCTCGGCAGTCAATGAACCTGGCGAACTTTGTTGAAACTTCATGCATAGCGACCTGGGTATCCGTTTACGGTGTGAAACATCGAGGACATTTCGCATTCGCGGCGCGCCTGTTAAACACGGTCATCTCCTTCCCTTTCATGGACTTGAGAATAGGGGCCATCTAGGCACAGTTAAGCGTGGTCGAAATTCTTGTCCTTCGATTCTTGGAATGATGAATTCATCTAGCCAACTCTGCGGCAAGACGACGGGAGCACTAGATGACTGGTTGCAGTCGTGGTAGTGTGCTCTCGTACCCAACCCTATGCATGGTAACGACCACTACCTGCTATCTTACCTTTTCAAGCCAATAACACTTCAGTGATATGATTACATCACTACGGAGGATGCAGCATGTTCATACAGTATCTACTCGGTTCGGCTTCCGGCAACCTGGGATGCAAACGTACTGTGAAGCTTAGAAGCTGGCTCTGCACTCTACGCACCTACTTCTATAAACGCCTCTTACACGCAGGTTCTCCGTACCTCTTTCTAGTGCACGACGAGAGAGCCCGAATCTGGCCACCGGTGTTCGTCGAGCCGGAGATACAGAGGTATTCATTGGCGGAGGGGGAAACGACTAGCTGCTCTTCCTAAGACTATCAAAATGTCTGTGAACAAAGCAAGATCCTTGGATATCAGGACGACCAATTCCATAGCATTGATTGGGCGCATTTGCGTAATTCTCGTCAGCGTCAATGTTCCCAAACGTTAGATCATTACGGTCATCGGCATTAGTCAGTTCCCTTACGAAAGTAGTGGCAGAAGACTTAATAATGCAGCTGTCTGGAGAGAGGTTTTCCTGGATTTTCTGCTGTTGCTTCTCTTCCTCTCCTCTCCTGCTCTCCTCCTTCTCCCCTTCCATCAGCGTCCCCACCGCTGCCATATAATATCTCCAGATATATATTTGTTGTCGCGCTCACAGGCGACGGCGACTCATGTGTGGGTGATTGGGCTTTGCGCGTCATCACCATACAGGGACCTCCCCCACCCGCAGCGCACCATCCCTGACGGTTGACTGCACTGCACCACCTGCACCACCTGCAACATCTCAGAAATCCGGAAGCCCTGGAGTAGCTTGCGACCTTTGATGATTGCGTCCATGTGCTGGCAATGAGAAATCCTTACACCTTGTTGCTCCCACCGACAACAACCCATCGAATTACCACAATACACCGCTAGGTGAGTACACCATCCCGTCGCTCTTGTCGCATGATGGCAATCTGCTTGCCCAAACCCCTCCTCTGTGTATATCCTCACTCAAACTTGTGCTGGCAATTCCCTGCCATGTTTGGCGGCATGACGCTTGACTCTCTGAAGTTTCAAGACTCCTGAGCCAGAGCCAGTGCCGTCAAATTTTATGGTTCATCTGCAAAGGGCACTGGCCGAAACCGTCCAACAAGGCATTGTTTCTTTGAGCGCACTCGTTATAGCTGCTATTACTCCCACTTCACGCCCTCAAATGGCGAATGGCAACCTCAATTATTGACCATCATCATGGCAGATCAATTAACTTACTCGTTCTACTCGTCGCGAGGAACGATCCTCTACACGCCAGCTAGTCCAGTCGCTAAACAAGCTCAGGCTAACAGACTTCCTACTCCCCCTTGTCGTCCGAGGCAGCGTCGACCGCACTCGATACACATAACTAGACTTCCTGCTGGATACATACCTGTTGACTTACGACCGACCCCGCATCCACCGCCGCCCAAGAAACCCTCTCGATTTAGTGTAGAGTTAAGAAAGCTGGCTTCCCGCGAGAACGCAAAGCGTGTGCTCGGTACGGTCTTTTCTCCATTTGCGAACAGCAACTCTGCCTCCTCACCACCTGCCACAAACGCTCCTCGATCCGGTAGTGCCGAAACTACTCGCACGTTACGAACCTCGTTCTCGGCTGCTTCGGCAGATCCAAACAGTCTCTATTCAAGAAGAGTCGCAGCGGGAACGGTCACGGATGATAACATCATGGCTACACGTCCGAGTATAGATGGGAGGGTAGCGGGATCTGATGTCGTGAGCGACCTTGTTATACCCAAGAGAGCCGTCGACATCGAGAAGCCTATAGCTTCAGGAAATGGAGTTAATTGCTACATTCAACTGGCCGAACCGGTGATCTTTTTATCCGGGCTCGATCACGATGGCACGAGACAGAACTCTCACACTAACTCTACTGCGATACTACGTGGAAAGCTGCGACTTGAAGTAACGAAGAGCGCAAAAATCAAAGCTGTGACCCTTCGATTTACAGGCAGAGCTCGAACGGAATGGCCAGAAGGTATGGTCAACCATGCACACAAATTCATGTGACATTCTTCTAACAGACGATAGGTATTCCTCCTGAGAAGACACAGAACCACGAGGAGACTTCGCTTAGGACTCAAGTACTGCCCTTCTTCAATGCTCTGTATGAAGGGGCAGAATCAGGCTATGGTACCCACTGCAACTACACTCTGCGCGACAAGTCATCGGCCTCATCATCGGTTACAAACTTGGCAAGTCTCGGAACGGACACGCCTCCAACAAGCCATTCGGGATTCTCCATTCCCGTTCTTTCCAACAGATCTAACAGATCGAGCACCCTGTCTACGTCAAAGGAATTAAAGAGGTTGTCTCTACAGAGCAATCAATCGCGAAGTTTCACCAAGGGGGACTCCCCTTTTGGTCCAACGCCACAGCAAAAGGGATTCAAGTATTTCCATCCCGGGACCTATGAGTATAGCTTCGAGCTTCCAATCGATAATAACAGTCCTGAAACAATAAAACTACCTATGGCAATGGTGGCTTGGCAGCTTGAAGCGGTGGTAGAGCGTGCGGGAACATTCAGACCAGACCTTCAAGGTTTCAAAGATATACCCGTCATCCGCGCACCTTCAGAAGACTCTTTGGAACTGGTCGAGCCAATCTCAATTAGTAGGAAGTGGGAAGATCAACTCCAATACGAGATCATGATATCAGGAAAATCGTTTCCTCTGGGCTCCAAAATCCCAATTGCATTCAAGCTCACACCTTTAGCGAAAGTCCAGGTTCACAAGATCAAGATATTCGTGAGTGAAAATATTGAGTATTTCACGAACAACAAACGTGTTACAAGGAAAGACACTTCTAGAAAACTGCTCTTGCTCGAAAAGGTTGCAGGGCGTCCTCTGGATAAACAATATGCTGGTTCTCAGGTAAATGTATTGGCTGGTGGTGAGCTAAGTTCGGAGGACCGAAATCAGGCGAGAAGAGATGCCGTAAGACGACGACAGTACGAGGCCCTCCGGTTGGGCGCGGAACCCGAGCCTTTACCAGAACCCACGGAGAACTTACTTGGCGATATTGATCTTGGATTGGAAAAGTATTGGGGTCAGACAGAAATCGAAATGAATGTACAACTGCCTACTTGTGAAGTGATGGAGAAGGATCGCATGAAGCGTCTAGTTCCAGATACCACTTGGAAGTGTGTAAATGTACACCACTGGATAAAGGTACGCGGGCTTGTTGATATCTAGTATTTTTACTAATGATTTGCAGATAATTATGCGCATATCTCGCGTTGATGCGGACGACCCAACGGGCAAAAAGAGACGGCATTTTGAGATCTCTATTGACTCCCCATTCACAATCCTCAGTTGTCGCGCAACACAAGCCAATCTAGCACTTCCAGAATACGGTGTGAGTCCAGGAGCATCAGACCAGCTGCGCATATGTGGGTGCCCAAATGCTGCACTCAGCGGCGGCTCACCACACAACTCTTCATCACATGTTCCTACATTGGATGACGGGCCAGCTATTCCAGAAATTCCAACACTGGCGAGACCAGCTCAAGCTCATCTATCCACTGGAGCTCACGTTCAAAGGCCAATCCATATGCTCCGAAATCCAAGCTTCAACCCCCCAGCTTTCGATGCGGAGGAGCCTCCACCACCAATGCCTACACCTCCACCTCTTTACGATAACGTCGTTGGAACACCTAGCCATGACGGACTGGCAGATTACTTTGCCCGATTGAGTCAGTATGATGACGACAATACCGACGATGAGGACTCGACAAGAGCATCAGACCGCGGTCGAGTTAATGTACCTCATCCTAGGACACCTGGAGGAAGGATTGCAAGATCTATGGACATTGACAGGCAATTCATGTTTAACCCGAACGCGATACAGAATAGACAGCCGGTTGGCCTCAACTCACGGACTTGATGGATCATCCACCATGTGGAACACACTGAGGTAAATCCGAGCTGAAGAGTACATAACGACAACAAAAGAAAAGAAAACGATTAATGTTTATATGGGGCTAATGAGGCACATGACACAAAAAAAGGACATCATCACATCATCAAATGTCATTATCACGAAAGACAAAAGGAAGCGGGGAATGGGGTAGCCTAGACTGCTACGATTTATAATTTCTTTTTCTCAATAGCTCAGGAGGAGTTTGGGGTGGAGCCGAGTGGAGTGCATTGGATCATTTTTTACTTTGATGGGAACAGGGGCAGTAGGGGACGCGCGCATTGCACAAATTACATTATCGGTGGCGACAGGATTATCGGGGTATCTGGATATGGGGGGGCTTTTTGTATTGCTTTTTTTTAGATCATGGTGGTGGAGTGGATTGGAGTTTCTTCTTGTATATAGAAAAGAAGGAGGGAGGAACGGATGAGGGGGGAGGTATTGGGTAAGGGAGAGAGGTATCGTGTGGATAGCGTTTTGATTAATGGAAGAGATTTAAGATTACGATGGTTTGTTCCGTTTTTCGAGATGTGTTTGATGTGTGAGCTTAATGTGGAAGCCCACGTGAAAGTGCATAAGTGAAAGGCAGCCCAGCTCAACATAAAGTACTATTTAGCTGTTGAGCTTTTTAGGTAATACTTCAACACGCCTAAAACAAACTTTCACCACGTCATGTAGACACAGTCCTTTCCTTTCCTAGAAGTATACAACTCGAGAAAGGATCCTCTACACCCATGTTCTTTTCGACAATACAGTATCTATTATGTAAAGATCTAGGCCGTGCTAATGACCGTATTTCACAAAGTTTTTCAACCACCCAAGTCTGCAGTCTCAATTTATCGACTCCAACGCGCGTTTCATCAAAGTTGTATCTCGTACTTTTGTCTTCTTCTATACCAGGTTTACTTAGATCATGATATTCGACGAGGTAGTGTGAGAACATGGGGAACCAATTTTTCATCATATTCAGTAGTGACTATGAGGCGTTTAATAAGCTACCTAGATCTACGTGTTTAACCTCCAGGATTTGGTATAGTGACGTCCGTCTTGCTTTATGCTTTAGTACGCTACATCATCACAAAGGTGAACGACAGGATTTACTTTACATCCAAAAGTCACAAGAAACACCCCCGTCATGTTATAGTATTAACATATTTCTTATTCAAGCCTAAACCATTTCGGCTTTACACAGGCAGCTCAATCCACATCCTCAAAACTAAATCCCTATAATCCTCCTCCTGACTCCAGGCCTCAAGCCCGTATCCAAGGCCTGATCGCCCAAAGACACTTATGCAAAACCTCCACATTCCAAGACCCCAATTCATAAACTCATATTCAAAAACCTGCACCAGAGTGTATATAGGCCTGAGTGGCCTACTCAACCAAAAAAGACAAGTCCCAGGTCCAACCCGTAAAACTCCTACCGAACCCTGCGCCGTCCGTACCTATCCCGTTCTTTTGATGAAGGGTAAAATCGATAGAACACCTGAAAGATAATGCTATACAAAAACTCAGAAAGTGATGATCGTGAAGGCGTGCCACAATAATAGTATGTAGTAAAAAAAGAATCCTCGGAAAACGCCGCGTTTGTTTCGTTTCACCTGCAGCGAAATAGTGGTATGTTCAATGTCAAGGTAGACTATGATTTCGTGGCAGAAGTTTCGTGTGATGATTTGAAGTAGTGATTTGAAGTCTCTCGCGGCAGGTTCCGTTTTGTCGCAGGCTTCACCTCGGTATTTAGTGGACCGTACGCTTTCTGGTATTGTTGTAAGAGCTGTAGTTGGGCTTCTAGACCGCTAAGAACGTCTCCCATAGGGGCACGAAGCTGGTTAAGGCTGTGGAGAGGGCCTTTACCCATCGCAAGGTGGCGTGTGGAAATGGCCGAAATGCAAGTCTGAAGAATATGTCAGTCAAGTAACAACTTCTGTTTTTTGATGGGGATTGCTTACCTCGATCCTTGAAACCTGGTGGTTCATAAAATTGACCAGGAATCGGTCGGTGACTTCACCACCCTTTTGTTTCATGCGCTCCAAAACAGCCGTCTCCGGTGCTTGAAGAGCACTCGTCTTTCCTTTATCACCCTCAAGAGAGGAGCATAACATTTCCAGTCTCAGACTAACAGCCCACAGTGCCCAAACAGTATCCGTGTCGATGCTTAATTTGGTTTTCTGAGACAGCGATGCGGGTTGCTCGCCTGCAGCCGCAGCGGCCTTTTCGTTTTGCAGGAGTTGTTGCTGATATTGTATACGGCCAGACAGGGAATGTGGATACATCAAATAAATGTACTCAGGATTCTCTAACCCTTTAAGTTTTCTTTCACCAATATCCTTTACTTCAAACCCCTGACTGCTGAGAGATCGTAATTCACGACGGATAGCAGCGGCTACCAAGTCGTTACCATATTCTTCTTCGGAGCCAGTTGAGCCATTACGATCACTCTCGCTGTATGTCTCCAAACAGCGTTGAATTTCAGATATGAAATCTGCCGAAACCGTAATTTGACCACCGTCTGCAACATTCGATATACGCGAAGTACGATTGACCATAGGACCGAAGTAATCCATTCGTTTAGTGACTGGGTCCATTTCGCACACTGGTCTGCCCCAGTGTATTCCCATTCTTACACTCAGCCCTTTGAAGATCAAGTTCGAGTCAGTATCGTATATTTCTTGCCCGAGAATACTGGTCAGGATCTCAGATGGCCAAGGAACTTCGAGCAGCGCTGATTGAACAGCGAATGCCCATAGGAGTGCTGACGTGGCAGTTGGGAATGAGACCATGAATGCATCACCTTCGGTCTTCACCTCGTATCCACCTATGATTCGAAGCTGTCGACGTAATAGGTCGTTATGAAGTCTGATCGCGGCGCGCATTGCCTCGGGGTATGTCTCCCACAACAAGGTCGAGCTTTTGATATCAGTGAAGACAATTCCGACTTCACCCTCAGGAGCTGCGATCTCTGTATCTAGCCTGTTCAATACAGAGTCACCTACACCATTGCCCTTTCTCTTAACACGTTTGGCTGGCGCGTAACCGTCATCCACGATAGCTCCCGGGTTGAGAGACATACTTTGTACTCGATGAGGTCGAATATTCGCCCTTTTCTTCAAATCCGAGACACCAATCATCATGACCATAATTTTGTTAGTCGCTCCAAATGCCATTGCTAGATCACGTAGCTTTTGTGCAGCGCGCATCAGGTCATCTCGCTCATTGCGGGCAATATCAACAACGAGTTCTGGCGACAAGTACTCCCACAACTCCTTCGAGGCAATCAAGATCATTTCGTCTTGCTCTTTCACGGTGACATGAGTGACATAGGGTGCTGCTTGCACGGCAGGTATGAGCTGGACATAGCCAAATGCTCTCGAAACATCGAGTATATCATTCAGTTTGCCTTGACGAGAAACCCATCCACCAGCATCCCGAATTCGCTGACGCTCATGAAATTCGGCGGGATAATGTTTGCTGGTCAGAATGCGATGACTTCCTTCGGAATGAATCAGCATTGCCTGAGCATCACCTACATTGGCTACATATAATTCCGAGCCTTGAAGAAACATAACGGTCGCGACACCACCAGAGCGCAAGTCGGCTTGGCTGAGGACCGCCGGGGCTGCTGACCCTCGGTGAGAGGATATTGACCGATCTTGAGTATGCTGTGTTGCCGCCGTGGCTAGGTCTTTATTCAGAGATAAGAAAGTGCGTCTCAGTGCATCTCCAGGGTTTTCTTTTGGTGTAGAGTTGAGATTCAGCTTCTTCATCTCTTCTTGCAGGGTGTGGCCAAAGTTTTCGTGCAAGTACTTAGCTATTTTTGAGCCTGCATTTGAAAGGGATTGCCCATCGAACATGCCGAGTAATGTCTCATTCTCGTTCGACTGGAATCGTGGCACCACCATGTCAATGAGCGACAAGTGATCGTTCTTTCCAAGAGTGTCCGCCATTCCATATGCCAGCTGCCCTGCAAGAGATCCGGAGGTGCGGACTCTTCGATCTTCAGTTTGATCAGGGATTCTTTCTATCGTTAAAGTAACATCCATCAAACCGAGAATCCTTAGATTGCCTAGAGCACTGAAATCGGTAAGGTCGCGCCCGTCTCTTGCAGATGAGCTTCCATTCGGTAAACTCGGTTTGATCTCGAGACGCTTGTTTCCTGACAGATTAAGATATTTGAGATTTGTGTTCCAATTCCAGTTCCAGTCATATGGCCAATTCGAGACATTGTATTTCAGGGAATTGCTGCCGCAATCAAGGACAGCTAGCCTATGCGCCTTTCCCAGCTCAGCGGGCAAGGTCTGAAATTTGTTGCCATTGATGTGTAATACCTGCAATAAACTAAACTCCTCAAAATCGTCCGACGGAAGTGATGTGAGTTCATTTCCGGACAGGTAGAGCTCCACAAGCTGAGGCCAGCACCGGATAGATTGACTTGGGATATCGTTGAGGTCGTTGTAAGAAAGGTTGAGAATACGAAGCTCGCTTAAATACTTAATCTCGTCAAACACATCATCGTCTAGCTGGTTCTCGGCCATTATGAGGTTTCGTAAAGAACCAGCGAAGGTATTCACAAGTCTTGAGGATATTGTAGAATCTTTTCGCGCAGATGGCGTTAAGGTTCCAATCGTGTCGGTTGAAGCACTACGAGAGACGACAGATGTTTTCCGCCCACCTTTTCCATACAGAGATACCACTGAACCTTTGCGGTCAGCTGAACCAGGTATTGGCGAACCACCGACACTCAAAAGCCCTCCTTGGCTAGGTCGACGCTGCTGCTGCTGCCCAAAATTCTCCAAAGGCCCTAGATCATCTAAGCTACTGTTGCTATTGTTTTGCCCTGGGGTCCCGCTGGTCTGCGTAGCTGCACGATCCGGGGTCGCATTGCCAGGGACTTGGGGTGCCCTTGACGCTGGTTTGGGGAAATTCTCTAGAACGTTCGAAGATACGTTAAGAGTTTCGAGTTTGTTGGCCCACCAGAGTTCCATCGGCAGCTTCTTCAGGTTGTTTTGCCGCAGATCGAGTAATCGAAGTTCGGTTAAACAACCAATTTCTGGTGGGACAACGTTCAGGGCGTTCATGGCGATACTGAAATGCTCCAACTTCGACAACTTACCAATGTGACTCGTCAGAGACACAAAATGATTCTTGTCAAGAACAAGCTTAACAAGATTGGGCATCCGATCAAACGACGCATCGGGGATCTGAGCGAGCTTGGCATTGGACAAAATCAATGTAGTCAGTGTAGGTACCGAATTCTTGATCTCGAATCTTGTGACTGGATTTGAATTGAGACGTAGTATTCGAATTTTCGTGAAACTTGATTCGCACACAGATACAGAATTGTGATCAGCAGAGATTTGCTCAACCTTCGGCAACGTGGCGATAACATCAATGCTAGTGAGAGCATTGTAGCGAATATCAATCTCTCTGAGATTTTTCAACTCTGCGAAATTGGCAGGGAGCTCACCGTATAAACGATTGTTAGTGATAACGAACCGTTCGAGATTTTTCAATTTTCCAACATCGTCAGGCAGACTCGATATTCCGTTGAAGCTCAAATCGATATCAACAAGTCCTTCCAGCTGACACAGAAATGGAGGGAAGGTTTCTAGGAAGTTGGATGACACATTTAGAGTCCGTAGGGTCTTGAATCCCCCAAAGTACGCGGGGAGGCTCCTTAGTCGATTGTTGGCAAGTTTAAGGCTTATGAGCCCAGATAACCTCGATAGCTCAGCGTTCTCTAATTCTTCTAGCCTGTTGTTCGAAACGTCGAGAATCGTAAGCCGGCTCGCTCGACTAAGCCCAGGAGGTAGTTTCCAGGCCTCATTGTTGATAAATTTGATATCTCGCAGATTTTGACAAGACTGAATGAAATCCTTTGGCAAGTCCAGAGACAAATTTCGAGAGAGGTTAAGAGATATTATTTCGGAAGCTTTCGAGTATAACGCAATGGGAATTGTGATGAGGTTCTTCCCAGACAGGTCCACATGGCTGTATTTCTGGACCCGGCTCACCCCAGGATCGTTCCCCACCGTAGCGTAGCCACTTTCCCGAGCTGGTACAAAAGAGAAGCGGCAAAGGTAGCTATTGTCTTCGCGTCCGATTTCTTCGATGCGGTCTTGTTCCTCGTACCCAGCCTGCTGAAGTAATTTCTTTTGGATGACCACAGGTCGTTCGCCAGCCGATAGAATTCGTTGTAGATCGTGCTTTTTCATCACAATTTGATAGTTTTCCAGGCTATCCGTCATATACGTCTTCTTGCCTAATTGGACCATGATGTCGGTGACGGAAGCATTCAACGGGGTAGACAGTGTTGCAAATGTACCATCGACTCTGAAGATACGAATGCAATAAGGTGTCGCCTTCTCGTCTATCCTGTCAGGTATTCCTGCCTCATCGATTTCGTCCAAACGAGCCATATTATTGTCCTCGACCTTTTTGACTGCCCAACTGTCAGGCGCATCCCAACCCAACGCACTGCCATCCGGAGTCTCCACCTTCATCTCGTCTTCGAACGTCCCCGCAAATATGTTGTTGTCCAGAGGCGTTAACGGTGGAGGTTTCGCTAAAATACCCTCCATATTGGAGAGATCGCTATCAAGATTGAACAACGACTCCTGCGGTAAGTTTGAGCCGGCATCGAATGGTCCCTGTGACTCGTCCGTCGCCCCTCTTCTGGTTTTTCGACTAAACCCTAACTTTGGACGTTTCGTTGAGCTACTAGTCGGAGGCCTGCCGAACTGGCCGTTGTCTGTTCTTGGAAGGTTGAGCTCGGAATGAGAGATGCTCCCATCCCGATTCCATTGCACAAATTCGGAAGAGCCATTCGTCTTTTCGTGCCCATGTTTTGAAGGCGTAGCTAAGGATTTGACAGATCCCGGAAGATGGCTCAGTTTCGAAGGTCCGTCCTTATCTTTATGCTTCCGCAGACGGCTTAAGAGGCCTCGTTTTGCGTGTCCTGGCGGCGACGATGATCCATCGTTATGAGGTGTCTTTGCGGTTGATCCGCTCCAGTTACTGTTCCCACTGGGTGTTGGACTCGCAGGCCGCTTTGCTAAGCTGGTATTCGACGCATTGCCCATTGCGACCCCCATCGAGCTGGGGGCGCGATCCCTATATCTTTCGCTGAATCCCGAGTCTCCTCTACTAATCGACGGTCTCAGGTTCCTTGAATCGTCGTTGCTTCTATTGTGTCGATGACTATGGCCTGGTAGGTGGACGCCGTGGGAACGGGACGATGAAGAGGGCTTCGGCGGAGGCTGCGGATTGTCTATGTATCGGTCCCGGTCAGGGCCGGAGAGATTCTCTCTCACGGGTGCCTCTCCATACTTGGAGATGTCCTACATTTGAGAGTTAGCAATCTTGAAGAAGGTGCTTCTTGACAAAGTGGGAATTTAGATGGTCGGTCCCGCTAATCGCAGGGGTGGGCACATAGCCTCAATTCGGTTTGGCCATATCAGGAAGCTGCTATCCGAGATCCAGTAGCTTGGTACGATAAAGAACTAGCTAACCATCGACAAATTTTGGGCATTTGAACTGTGTTGAGAAAGCATCTACTGACCTGTGAGTCTTGATATAGGAATGGAACGACATCACTAGACGGCACTGGAGTCCGCGGTCGAGATGGTACAGGCGAGGCGTCCCGCTGGGTTGCTTCGGTAGCAGACGAAAGATTACGTTCCCTATGACTTCGAGCAAAAGAGTGCGACCGTTCTTTTCCATGCGAGGGTAAGCTCGTACTCGACGCATCCTTCTCATTGTAGTCCTCTCCAAAGAACGTCTTGAGCTGCTTATGAATCCCTGTTCGAGTGATGCTCGATTTCGACCCAGTACTACTCGCAGTTGTCACACTGGCTACCGAAGGCCGCCTTTCATCTCCAAAATCTGCATCCGCGGGAGAATCGCTCGCATTTGTGTACCCGGTGAACCCTGTGCCTGGGCGAAATGGAGGAGACAATTGTGAAGCTTGCGACAGGTTGTCGCTCGAATCGTTGTAGAAGCTGGTGCCAAAAGTGCCCGACGGCGTGTTGCCGCCGCTCGAGGACGACATCCAGGGCGCAATCTGACCTGGGGATCCCATCGCGGTCGGTGGGTTATGTTGGATTTGAGGGATGCGCCCACGGTCAGTCTCGAGGCAGGCGAGGTCGCGCCGATAATTTCCAAAATCGCTCAGGCGATGATCGCGGGGAGAGACATTGGGAGAGGTAGAGGAAGGCGAGATGGCACTTTGTGGTGCGGTAGAAGTTGGGGAGACTTGAGGGTCTGGCTCGACTCTAGAACTATGACCCGCGCAAATGCAAGCTGCCGTCAGTCAAAGAACATTATTGAGAGCTTCCACAGCGGCAGCGGGAGAGGGTCTTAGACAAGCGTCTTTCACAAATATGGCTCACCTGTTTCGACCGTCTATCTTGACCTGCATCGGAGCGCCTCGTCGCGGGGGCCCACGGAAAAGGGACGTACTAGGTCTGATCGTGGTGTGAGAATCAGTGGATGAGGAAGTCTGCGAACTAAGCCTCGAGGCCGCATCACTCTTTCTGGTCATTGTGACCAGCACTTGCGGTTAGGAGTCGGCCATAAGTCGGGGGAAGAGGGCGGATATATAGCGAGCTAATAATGAAGATATAAAAATGTGCCGATGTGCAACCACGCTGTTGCGGTGCGAAGTTGGTTGTTGCGGTTGTGGTCGTGGTCGTAGTAATATTGAGGCTCGAAGGATAAGGATGTCATGAGTGGCGCGGACAGTGCACACACATCAAACGACTTCTGAATCCAGCAGCGAGGGATCTGCTGCGACGTTGCCGCGTGGGTGATGGGGAGATCACGGTTGGATAGGGAGCTGTCGACCGATGAAGTGGAGTGGCACAGAATAGCAATAGCATCAATTTTGCACGAGAGGGATTGTTTGTTTCTATTTACGAAACACACAAAGTTGCGCAGATGGGGAAGAGAATTGAACCCTCCCGTTCCCCGCGCCCACGTCAGACTTCCACATCCAGACGGGTAGACGACTAGACTACTCGACTGCTCTGAGAGCTCTCGTCTTTGCATCATTCCCACGGTTCATATGCCCAGGTGATTACTGTATCTCGCCCGCCATTCGGGGAGCATCGACGGCGCAACACGAAGGATTTAGACTACGACTCTACCGCCCAGTGCATCTCTGTGCTCGGAATAATGTTTTGAATGATCCGCGACCCAAACAGAGGAGAGGCCCTGTGCAACCCAATCGCTTTGCTGATCTAGTCTGCTAGGCGTACCATCGCGAGATCGTACCGCAATTCAAACGTCTGCGTGCTCGATAGCCAGTGCGTGCGGTGCTAATGTGTTCACGCTTCCAGCAACTCTGCGAGCTTCATGGCGTGCAAGCGAATCAACTGACGGACCGTATCACAATTTACACCGGCTAGTACGGCCAAGTATCGAGTGGAATGGTCTGGCCATCAGCTGTCAATTCTACAGAGCAGCTAGAGGGGTAGAGCTTGGACTAGCAAGAGCATACGAGAGGAGAACTCTGGTGTATAGAACAAACGACGGTCGAATATGATATTCAGACTTCTGCAGTTTACCATATTGCGTCCAATGTCACAATGTCATGACCGCATTAGACTTCTTCGAGTCCGCTTCGAAATTTGTAACGATCGAAAGACTCTCCAAAGAGTCACTGCCGCTGGTCTACAAACAAGCCGGTCATCTGCCATGGAAAAGAACTTTCGGTGAACGATGAACATCGTGCTTGGAGCGTAGATCGAATGCCCAAATCTTGAAGGCTTTTACAGTACTCGATAGCCCATCAATCATGCGCGGTACGGAGGAGACATTGAGACAGATGAACAAGACAAGGAAAATGCACAAACTCTCTCGCCGACGGAGTGATCTCTCAACTTTGTACAACAAACTGTAGCAATCCCATATGGACAACACCCCTTAGCGCGCGCGAAGGAGCGATATAGGACGACACCAAATACGAGGTTATCTGTGGTACAGATTCGGCCATATCAAACGATTGCAGAGAAAATGCGACAAAAGAGAGGTGAGAGGGACTGCCGGCTCCAGGTTCGAGAAACATTGCACAAGCTGCAGGCAAATCCTATGCAGCGCACGCATGCGCGTCCAAAGCAGTGACACTTTTACAGTACAGCAAATGCATTCGTACGGAGCTATTCACAACCATTTATGCAAAATGCAGCTTCGAGGTTTGGTGATGCGTTTGTTTTGTGTTCTTGAAGCGCTCTCGATTAGCTTAAACGAGAGTTGCGATAAAGCACGAGGCTGGCTCGCTGGCTGCCCTGGCAACTCCAAACCTCCAGCCTCCTCGTCCTCATCCCCCCACATAAGATTTCCTGTTGCCAACAACCACACCAAATCACGATTCTATACGAACCATCTGGCAACAAGGCCCATTTCCAGCCTCTTCCAAGTGAACAAGTCCATTGTTTCTGCCCACACGCGAGGCTCCACGCCTCACGGCACTGGTCTCCAATGCCGCTCAGGACCCTTGGTTCTTGGCTTTGTTTACTTGGCTGGTCCCCTGTGTCGCTGACGTTGTAAGTGAAGATACTTTTTTGGAGGTGGCTGGAAGAAGAGTTTAATCTTCCATTGGCTTTAAAGGTAAGCCACTTGCATGAGCCTGCATGTCCATCTGCACCTTCACATCAACCGTTACATTTACTATCAGACCACCGGCCTCTCAGTTTATTTGAACCGCCTAATATAATCGTTTCCCCGTCCTGAATCCATCATTGTTTGCTCTCACTTACCTCCGACCAAGTGGTGTAGTCGAGTGCCACCGGAGCTCCCATCTCACAACCTTCCCTCTTTCTCTTTAGATCAGCTTTAATACATAATGTTCTCCAAATCACTTCTCACCGTCGCAACTGCGGTATTGTCGTGGCAGCCAACTCTGGCCCAGACATTCTCAGCATGTAATCCTTTATATACCAGTAAGCAACCCTCACCTCACTGATTACTATCCTTTGCTAATTGATGCAGCCGGGTGTCCAGCGAATACTGCACTTGGAAAGGCGATAAATGTCGACTTTACAAAGGGCTCAGTGGAGTCTTTTACAGCCTCTGGAAACCCAACATACGATTCGAGCGGCGCACATTTCACAGTAGCCAAGGCCGGCGATGCACCACAACTTACCAGTCTATTCTACATCATGTTTGGAAAGGTGTCAATCACAATGAAATCCGCTCCCGGTGCCGGTATCGTCAGTACCTTGGTTTTGCAATCCGACACCCTGGACGAGATCGACATGGAGTGGTTGGGAGCAGACGACACGGAAGTACAGACCAATTACTTTGGAAAAGGAGATGTTACAACATACAATCGTGGTGCATTCAACCCTGCGGCGAACAACCAAGGCCAATTCATCACCTACGATATCGAATGGACACAATCACAAATTACTTGGTCTGTAGGAGGAAAGGTTGTCCGAGTACTGACCCCAGCCACCGCCGATGCCAACCAATATCCACAATCGCCAATGCAAGTCAAGTTTGGAGCGTGGTCTGGCGGTGACGCTGCAACTAATGCGCCGGGAACTATCTCTTGGGCTCGTGGACCGACTGATTGGTCTAAGGGACCATTTGTCATGACCGTGTCATCAATTGCTGTCACGGATTATTCTACCGGAACCCAATACAAGTATGGCGATACTAGTGGATCATGGGAGTCAATTCAAGCTGTTGGTGGAAAAGTAAATGGCAATGCAGGAGGTGCAGGAACTGTCGTATCAAGTGCCGATGTTCCAGCCATTACATCTGCCTCTCCCTCTATTCCCGCCGGACTTGGAAGTAATACTCATACCGATACCGCGCATCAAACTGGATGGCCATGGGTCGGAACGTCTACTTTCGTAACAGCAACGACTGTTCCTACCGCCGTCGGATTACCTAGTGGATGGATTATCACCTCATCTGGAAAAGTTGTGCCTGCAAATTCTGCAGCAGTGAGTGCGCCACCCCTTGCATTCTTATTATCTTATACCCAGTTCTTTCTAACAAAGTCTTAGGTCTTGCCAACATCAACTTCTATCTCTTTAGTGGTCCCCTCGCCATCGCCATCCTCAGCCTTATTGGGCGCTGGCCTTGAAACGGTTGTGGGCTGGGATGACCGCGGATTCGCAACTACTAGAACCATTGCTTCGGGTTTTGCCACTGTCCCAGTGAGCTACAACCAACAAGGTTTTCCAATCACAGCCTCACCAGCTGCACCTGCAACAGTCACGCCTGTAGCACAGGCCGCACAGCTATCTTGTGCAAACCCTCCATGTACCCAGCTCAAAGCTTTAAGTACAGCCATTACCACGACTACATCTACCGGAGCAGGCGCCAAACCTACTTCCGCGTGGTCGAATATAGCGGTCTTCGGGATTGCTGTTTTCGTGGCAGCGGAGAGAATCCTTCAATGAAGACGCCATTGTCTTTCGTGTGTATATTGAATTTGCTATAGATAATGGGAGGCGTCATGATTTGGGAAAATTGGAAGGCTGGATTGGGACTGGATTGGGAGACTTGAAACGAGATATGAAAAATGCGAAGAGTAATGAACTTAATGATGGATCAACCTTGATACAGCCACAAATGGCTGGGTATCCAAGTACTTAATTATATAGCCGGATTGTATTTAGTAATTAGTCGTAAATACCAAGACTTGAAGATGCTATCTTGATCTTTGTTTGGTGTGACCAGCTTGTTTTCTCGCTTAATTTATAGTGACCCCTTTCCTCTTAGATCAAACTTCAAAATTCAAATAGTGGCAGGAGCTTTTGATTCTGTACGGAATAGTTGAATACTTAGTTTAACATGTCAGGATATCTAAACTTACGGAAAGTGAAAGTGACTGTGAATATACTTGGTACCCGAATTTTCTATTTCTCAGATATCTCATCTCTCTCAACAAGTAAACACGATGTTTCGACCGGGAGGACATTCGAGAAATCTGATAGGAAAATGACGATTGATTTGTAAGTGCAAGGGGAATTATGCGCCGTTTTTTTTGCATTTTGCATTATCGAGGAGAGGATAATTAATTTAATTGCCTTTCACTTTGTCTATATGAGACTTTGAATTTCCTCAAATTGTCTTGGATTTGTGTCTTCATTATCGACGAACCTGATATTTGACGAACGAAAATGTTTCCAATGGTTTAGGTGAAGGAGCGGTGTTGTGGAACATAAGAATATACGGTTTCGTATTTCCATCGCTTATCCCATCATGCAAATCTAAACGGATCTCTGAATCACAAATGATATTCCTTTCTTCATCATTTGGTCGAGATGTTTTCAGGATTCGACAATCTCTCGAGGACCCTTGAACAAGTCGGACTGGGTTTCTGAGTTTGGTTTGTGATTATCGATGTTACTATAAGGTTGAGAAGACAGTTAGTATCATTGTGTTTGACAAACTCGGAAACAGAATACACTTACAGCTGGGGCTGCTGTGATGGAAGATAATATGCGCTCGATAACTGACTCATATATTTCCATAATTTCAGGTGCTAGTAACTGTTTCTCGAGCTTGTATAATTGAATGATCCACTGTGCGATTAATGGCGACCATACTTTGAGTTTAGATCGATAAAATGCGCTCAGATATCGCATCATGACCTCGACGCCTTTTTTCGCGGGCCTTTCGTCACCTGTGGTACCAACTAACAGTTTCGAGCGGGCTTTTAAAATAGTCATATCAACTGGGACGGAATAAGTGTTGAGTTCGCGACGGAGACCAGTTCGTAGGGCGTCTGTAGCAGCTACTGTCGCAAGAAGAGCATCTCCAAATTTTACAAATCGAATGCGAATTTTCTTGCTTATTTCGGCTTGTGGTTTCTCCATCGATTCTGCGTCTTTTTGTTTTTCTTGCTTGCAAAAATCAACATAATCTTCTTCATAGTGTTTGATTTTGAATAGAAGAGCCTTGCAGTATACGAGTTGCATTTTGATTGGGAAGCAAAACTTTTGTATCAGCTCAGCTTGGCGGGAGATACCATGAATATGGAGATTGGCAGCAAGTTCGGCCACTTCCGTTTCCCTCGTTGGGGTGTGACAGGAAAATCGAGCCGGTACTAATTCGACCCAAGGTAAATCATGCTCAGAAGCTTCTCGTAGATCCTGAACATCCGCGTTGATATTGAGTTTGAACCGAGCAGACCATTCCTTAATCTGCCTCTCAAGTTCCTCGATCAGCCTGTTGATGACTTTACCAGCTATGTAAGATTAGCAAACAAGTACAAGTTTTGTGGAAGTATCCATCTACCATTCATAATCTTCACATGTTGTTTTTGCAAGATAATCGCAATTTGTGGCTATCTAGATCGGTATCTTGTCCTTCATGAGCCTCAAGAGTCTTTGCTGCCGCAAACCAGTCCTTCTCTCCTTGGAAAGACAGAGCTCGTCTGTAGAATGTGGGCGTGACTCTTGACCCGTCATCCATGACGATGAACTTCTTCCCCTCCGCCAAGTCCGATAAATTTGGTTTTTGTTCATCCACAGCTGGTCTGCCATCAGCCTCGTGAGGACAAGTCATAGTGGGGTTTGTCGGTGGGAACGATCGTGACGAAAGACAAATTCGTTGGATCACTATATAAGGTGAGGTGAGGAAGCGTCGGTATAGGGTGGAACGAGATGCAAAGATAAATGTGGTTGCGGAGTGTGAAAGATTTGGACGGACAGACTGCAAGCGACTAAGCCTTATCGACAAAAGGAAGATACTATATTCTGAAGGTGAAGACGAAGTTGAGCATCAACTTCAATTGGATATGTCGAAGTTTGAGGGTAAGGGAGATACCCGGAAGGGAAGGTGGGGCTGGGGATGCGGTATGGCATTTAGTGACCTCCCACGCAAACAATGTGATATTATGCGAGCTCAAGTGATAAATTTGGTAATTGTCAGGTACTTAACTAATGCCCTTAGTGACATAACAGGAACGAGGTAACAAATTTATGGATACATAAATATGTAATTTTCTATCTTATGAGTGTAGGTAGAAAGAGAAGAAATCGAAGGAAATGATTAGAACCCTTAAATTCCACAATCTACACATGAAGGGAGGGCTGTCATAAGAATACGTTGTAATGTGATAGGTTTTGAAGGGGAAACGTACATAAGCAATTACGTTAGGAACACTTATATATTACATTTAGGCGCAATTTCAGCCGAAAAGGGGTTTTGGCGGGGGTCGCCATATGAGCAGCTACACTAGGGACTGCGTCCTTGCCTAAGTACATACTTTAGGTACGGGTTAGTTAGGTAAGGAGACTCGTCGAAGAACGTAGAAAGCTGTTTCGAAATCTGATGCCTTGTGTTGCCCACGAACTCTAATTCTGACACAGCAAGCCAGATAGTTCAAGTGAACTAATAGTACTTTTTGTCTTTTCATCTTATATATTAAGAGGTTAGATAAATTCTTATCGCTATATATGACCGCAGAGTTGACACAACCAAGGCTCGAAAATGTTAAATTGTGAATGTGTTCTTCATAAACTTCTGAAAGCTGTTGTTGATCCATATTTTGTTTTAGAGGATATACAGTATAAGTTTTGTGTATGCTTAGTGGTTCAGTTCCTTCCCTAGAGATGGCCACTGTTGGCTTACAGATGCTCCGACACAGCTAACATATCCTAACAGACTTCGGAAAAGAGACATCAAGATCAGACCTCGCGTCAGGCTCGATTATGTCAGCCCAAACAGATGTTAATCCCTTCTCGCTGGTTACATGGGGTGAACGATTTCTTGCACAGTTGCCAAGGAATTGAGGACCCTCTTGACCAACTGAGCATGTTGACGAATCAAGAGAAGGTATACATCATGCAAGAAATTATGCAACTGCTCGTCGCTGAAAGTTGCTCCTTGTGTGGCGATTACTTTCTCAATCCACTTGACGCGCCTCAGAATAACTCCCCGTGCATCCAAGTTATCAAAGCCGTCCACAAGCCCATCCTCAGATGTCTCCATGATAGTCATCTCTTCCTCGATCATTTCATCCTCAAATCCCTTCAAATCATACTCCGTCGCAATATCAGTGCGGAAATTCTTGGAAAAGAAGGTGCCACTCAGTCGCTCAATTCTCTGAAAGAAAAAGAGTATCCTAACGTGGCAATTTTAAAGGAATTCGTCGAGATATTTGAGTGTTGCTTCCCACTTTTGTAGTTGCATGTTCAACGACGCGATACCTGGTTGAGCGGCTCCGACGCCAACGCTTGTGACTTGCTTCACAGAGGTCAAGCAGCTTCTGCAAGCGCTGATTTCAGTGAAGAAAAACATGGGCATTTCGTTTACCACTAGCAGAACTTGGTACAAACCGTGAGAGTTCATTCGGTCAAGTAAAGATGAAATCACCTCAGCGCCCGCGTCTCGTTCAAAGTCTTCAATGGTATCGTCCCATTCCTCACCCGGATGCTCTAGGTCGTCAAAATCTTCGACATTTGGATCGATCACCAGACATCGTCCCTTCACGATGAATCGGATTTTTCTTAAGATGAAAGTCATTTTTTCCACTGCTTTCTCGAGTTTACCCTGGCCTGAGACTTTACTTAGCGTGCTTTCCTCAGTTGGTTTATGTTATAAAGATTACCTTTAGCAACTTCCCTCGAAACCTTATCCATGGCGGATTGAATCTGCTTTATTTTCTCATTCTCCTTTTCCATGATGTTCTGCTCCTCTGTCAAGCTAGAATGTTCGATGCCTTCACTACAGCCTCCATCGTCTCCATCTCCGCACGACATCTTTTTCGCAGAATTATCCACTGCGGCTGATGTCAGTCACAGCCAATTTGTAAATCGTCTCTCACTTACTATCGTAGACGTTTTCGAGACGCAATTGATCACTTCTGATCAAGCTTGAGGAAGTTCAAAACTTCGATCTTTGATGAGAGAAGTGTGAAGTGTGAAGTGTGCGAGGGAGAAAATTTATGAGCCTTCGCTTCGTTCACGGAAGCGAAGGGAAGCTCAAAGATGAACTCGCGCTTCGAAGGTGAACTACAAGCTGAGTTGTGATAGCTCACTTCTCAAGAACCAAGTGACCCGGATGCTGGGCAAGGTCAGATCAATGATCTGATAGGAAGTAAGGCGATATGCACAGCGCTCCCGAAGGCGAGTAGCCTCCAACCGTGCAACTGAGGCAAGACTACATGAGTGGCTTCCACCTTGGAATTAAAAGGAATATGACGAGGCAATTAAGCTTGTTGATGGAAATAGGTTCCAATCCTAAATCTCGACGCTGGAGATAAATCTCAGGACAGCGTAAAGTTTCAACCAGTATTAAAAGAAACCAAACCTTGAAATCACCTGAGAAAGGAGTGACATATATTTCGTTGAGATAGTTCAATCCGGATACTGACCCTGCGATCTGTTATCTTGACAAGAAACTTAGATGCACTATGATATAGATCCAGTTAAATAATAAGAACGAAACGTGGGTAGCCGTTAAAGCGGCCCAATCCCCTCGCGTAAGGATGGCAGGTAAGCAATCAGAAGTTGTTTGCTATTCAGGACTAGGCAAACTTAAAGATAAAGTGAAGGATGTTCAATTTCCATACCTGTAACTCCTCTATCCATGCTAACGTATGAGCCATCCTATGACTATTTTGACGCCATTACCACCCCAATCCCCCACAAGTCTACTTAATCAAGCCGGCCTCCTCCTCGCAAACTCCTCCAAATCAGTCTTGGTCGCAACCCCCAACACAAACCGTCTCCTCTCATCCGTAACGACCGCAAAATCCTGCTTCCCCCGATCTCCCCCCTCGCCCTCCCCATTAAAAAACAATTCTAGCTCCTCTAACGGCGTGTCCATAGTAATAACCTTATAAACCCTCCCCTTCCTCCGGAACTTCACCATCGCTTTGCTCACTTCATCATTTTCCTTGACCGTCCCCGCTTTAAGCAATGCCTGGAGATTTGGAATGGAGAGGTATCCGAGCAGCGCGCGCGTCTCCGGCGAGATGACGGTGAGATGCGTGTAGTCTCGTTCGAACGCTGAGAGGAGCGCGTGTTGGATTGGGTCTGTGGGATGGCAGGAGAGGGCGGAAGGAGGGTCTAAGTCTTCGACGGTGGCCTGTTGATATTTTGTTAGTCACAGGTATACGAGTGAAATGAAGAAATGCATAGTGTCGTACCCCTCTATATCTATTTGATAATTGCGATTTTGGTGATATTATCTCTGCCATCTTGCCTGCGACATCTTGGGTTCCTACTGGAATGGAATTTGACATTGTGGTGGTCATTCTAAAAATTTATTGTTCTGGACGTTTGTTTTCGCGCCTGACAGACCTGACGTTGTATTTGGAGGGGCACATGTTCGGGCTAGTAATCGAAGACCCTGATTGGTCGGAAGCAAACATACATTTCAGCCATCTTTGGACATTGTGGCTTTTTACAGTAAAGTCTGATCAGGGTAGAAGAATTATTGAACCTTTTGCAGTCATTTATTAGCTGAACAAGACCTGGACTACTCGCATGAGTTCGAGGCTCAATATACCGGCTTTATACGGACCAGCCAGTTGATGTCAGAATATGTGGGTCGCGAACTCTGCCCCTCAGTTAACGGTCGGTGTTAAGAGAGTGCACTCGGAGTCCCGAGTATAGACTCATCTCCCTTCGCTCCTATTCATACGATTGTTTTTGTCGTTATTACTACTTGCGGCTTGTGCCATTCCAGCTGGTTGTCATATCTACTGTCGAATCTGATCTCAAATTTGAGCGTCAGCGTCTCTCTTTTTCCTTTCTCTATTCCCTTTTTAGCAAACGACCTTCTTGCTACTTTACGTGAAGTGTGGAACTTGTATCAGAAGTTCGGCGAAAAACGGGTTGAAAGGAGAATATAGGAAACTCAACTCATTTCCTTCCAGACTACTCCACTTCTATACACGGACATTAGTTATAGGTGCGGCTAATTGGCTCGTCCGTAACTACTTTTACGACAAGTACGAGTAAAAGTGAGACAAGAAGGACGCATCAACTACTTAATTACCATCAGCGACCTTGCGATTTCACTTGCTGTTTTCGATTTGTTTTAATTGTAAGCTAACAACAGGCCACTGTCAGGCATTTTAAAGATGTCTTCACTTGGATCGTCTCCAAGCACTACAGCGAATGCTAAAACTGGAAGTATTGAGTTATACTCTGCAAGATATTATGAAGCTTGTGTTTTCGGCGGACTTATGGCATGCGTGAGTACTAAGCTAAATTTTAAGAGAAACGAGTTCGACAGTTCTCAATAGGGAACAAGGCTGACATTTGCCAGGGTCTTACACATACCTTTGTCACCCCACTAGATCTTGTCAAATGTCGAAGACAAGTCGACTCCAAGATGTATACCGGTAACTTCCAGGCATGGGGTAAAATTGGTCGTGCAGAAGGGTTTCGTGGCATCTATACTGGTTGGGGTCCAACCTTCTTCGGTTATTCAGCCCAAGGTGCCTTCAAGTACGGAGGATACGAATACTTCAAGAAATTCTTTGCGGACGTTGTAGGAGTTGAGAATGCCTACAAGTACAAGACTGCTCTCTATCTAGCTGCTTCTGCATCAGCAGAGGTTATTGCCGACGTTGCCTTATGTCCATTCGAAGCCGTCAAGGTCCGTATGCAAACAACTGTTCCTCCTTTCGCAAAAGGAACATTCGACGGTATCAGGCAAATCACGTCTAAAGAAGGCTATGCTGGATTGTACAAAGGATTATACCCTCTGTGGGGACGTCAGATTCCTTACACCATGATGAAGTTTGCGTCCTTCGAGACGATTGTTGAAATGATATATGCCCGTCTTCCAGGCCAGAAGTCGGATTATTCCAAGGCAGCTCAAACAGGGGTGTCTTTCACTGGAGGATACCTGGCGGGAATTTTGTGCGCTGTGGTTTCTCATCCGGCTGATGTTATGGTAACTTCCACTTATATTGCTACTTCTGATATATATTAACAACAACTAGGTATCGAAACTTAACGCCAACCGTGCCCCAGGTGAGCTCTTCGGAGCTGCTGTTGGGCGCATCTACAAAGAAATTGGTTTCGGTGGGCTATGGAATGGGTTGCCTGTGAGAATTGTATGTCTATCTGCCTCTGAGTCGCAACCTCCTACTAACGAGATCCTAAGGCGATGGTTGGTACATTGACTGGTTTGCAGTGGATGATCTATGTAAGTTTACGAGCTGTATTGCTCTATCAAAGCTTACGATTATGTCCAGGACTCATACAAGGTTTTCATGGGCTTCCCTACGACCGGTGGAAGTGCTCCTCCGACCGAAAAGAAGTGATAGAGAGGATTATAGGTAATAATCGAAGAAGTAATGGTTGTGTTTGGTCACGTGATCGGCTCCCCTTTTACGGTCCTTGTGGTAGACAGACCAAGTACCCACCAAAAAATGGGTTGAGGATTGTCTGGAACCAGTTTGTAGCTCACTGGAATTTCTGTGTATATCTAATCCCTCGGACTCTCTCGAGATTCAAGAATGAGGTTATTCATGAAGAGGTTAGCAACTCTCACTAGCACAAATTTTACTCACCAGGAAAATACCTCGTTTGTGTGACTTCATGAAAAGGTGAAAAGCCAGATTTAAGGCAGACACAATGGCATAGAAAGTATGCTTACTCTCTTCACAGCCCTTTAATTTAATTCATCCGGCTTAGACAGCCTTCCATTGCGGACTGTCCCTTGCGCCATTGACACAAGCGGTAACTTTTACTTAACCTTTACACACCCCATGAAAAGCATTACGGCACAAAAACCAACTGCGAAGTGCAACAAAAACCAAAAGCGCCTGGTAAATACATAATGAATACTCAATTCAGCATCAAATACATTATATAATCCTAACCAGCCTCGACGCTGCACGAATGGGAGGTCTGCACGGTTAGGCGAGGGGGACAGAGATAAGGGATCGAGGGGTTGTTATCTCGCACTATGACATGTGCTTGCGATACCTCCTCGATAACAAATCACAACGACAGAACGCGATGATAGGATTTTCGTGATCCCGTACCTGGATGCACAAGCAGACGCGGAAGACGGGAAATATCAATGATTAAATTTGTCATTGCGTCATCGAAAAGAGACAGAGTTATTTACGGATCAGTTTCCGAAAACGCTCATGTCACCATATTCACTGTCCTCCACCCCTCGACTCACGTGCAAGACTGCCCCTCCATCAAGCACTCCTGCACCAGATCATTCGTCCCGCCGTACCATTGCTCTTTGCTTTTGCCTTGACACATATCCAATCGTCAAGGAACCCCCAACCAGTTTTCCAGAATTCCAAGAGAACCGTTATGTGAGTTTGGGCGTGCTTCCAATCATGATTCTTTGAATGGCGAAAGCCGTCCCGCTTCACAATTTTACTCGCCGATGACGGTCATGCCGTGATCAGAGCCCAGGAAGATGGAGAGCAGAGCAGAATAGATCGGATCTTGGCCGCTGTTGCGCGCATGGCATGGCCTTCTTCAGCTCAAATGATCCCATCCCCGGCGGCCCTGCCTTTTTCCCCTTCTTGCATGTCACTCCACCTGCAGTGTTTTTAGAGTACTCAGCTTTCACTCTTCTTACTTATATTTGAGATCAGAACTCCGGTCGCAAACAAAAAACAAACTTAAAACGAGATCTATTTTTTAGACGCGATCATGTCTACTCCAAAGGGAAGCATGGAAGTCAGTCACGGCCGTGGTGGTATGTTGTCTAGTGATCCGAATGCGCTCTAGACTAGACTAACAAATATGACAGGAGCGGGAAACATTGGCACCGACAACACTGTGTATGCGTCCCTAATTTTATTCATCCAACGTCAACAAAACCACGAAACTGACTTCTAACAGCTATGGTGACGGAGAGATCGTTCGCGAGGGAGCTGTGGGTGACCACGGTGATGGCGCATTCAGCACTGGTCGCGGAGGTGCAGCAAACATCGGCTCTCCCAAGGTCGGAGCCACCGCAAGAAAGGACGAGATTGCGATCCCAGAGGTAGCTCTACGACCAAGCATGGAGGACCAGAACTACCACACCGGACGAGGAGGTCAAGGCAATGCGCATCTGACCGGACCACAAGGCACGAAGCACCCGGAGGGACTGGCAGATAAGCTGAAGAACAAGCTGTTCAAGAAGAAGGTCGCAAAGGAGGAGGCCAAGGCATGAATCGCTATTACACAGCTTGTCTTGAGAATCTTTCCGGGGGTTTAGATGGCTTAAGCAATACTTCAGGATTGATTCCCAGTTGGGATGGGAGGGGAGTTTTTTGCAGGATTTCTTGATACCACTTTTACTGTCGACGTACTATTTATTTCGCATCTGTCTCCAACCAAGCTTCAAGTAGTCTTGGAATAATCACACTTCTTCGGACTTACAAACGATCTCTTGTGATGAACGTGATTTTGTGTTTGGGTCTAAAGCGACGGCTTGATACGTGGACCGGACGTACTCGCAGCTGTGAACGAAAAGACCAGCAAAATATTGCATGTTGGCCAGTTCTTGTAGGATTAATTAATATACAATCAATACAATTAGATCTAAAAAAAAATTGAAGCTTTCATACCTACTGGAGACCTACCTATAGGTATCGTAGATTCTAAGGCTAATTCGCTAACCTACATGCTGACAGGGATCACACCTCGGTCGCGGCGTCGAACCTCTGTGAGAATAAGGGAGCTTCGTACCCGATTGTTGGCGCGTATTAACTTCAACGCTACCTCACCCCTTCCTCTCTCTCCACCAAATCATACCGACAGACTGTGAACACAGACCAAAAGGGCCGTACTCGGGCTACCTGGGCAACTTCCTCCGCCGTGAGAAATGTTACCGATTCTTCTTCCCATTTAACCAACGTCGAACTTCGAGATAGCGCCAACGCCGATTACTGGTTGACACTTTTCTGCGGGAAGGCAATCAATCGAAAGACTTAGCATTGGAATCGAATTGGCGAAGTGAATTGCAATTAGGATATGCACCAACTTTCGAGCTGAACCTAGAAGATCGTGTCGCATACCAGAATCTCAAACAGGAATTGGGAATCAACCATCAACATGGCCAAAGTGAAGAAACAAAGCCCCGCCGCGGTTTCTCTTAAACGCATCAAGGACGAAATGGAAGATGTTGATTATGCGAAAGACTCGAGTGAGGAACGTCCTTTAAAGCGCGGGAAAAGCTCTACCTCAGCAACCTCTATTTCTCGATCTGCAACTCCTACAATACCTGAGGGCCACGTAGCTTTCAATGTACAATACCCGGATTTGACAAAATTAGGGGAGAAGGGGAAAGAAGTGTTGAAGCATGCGGAGTTTCTAGTCTCGCCATTTGTGGCTAAACGTGTTAATAAGAAGGGCGAGCTTGATACGTACTACATGGTGGAACCATCTTCAGAATGGGAGAGCATGAGGAAATATACCAATTTCGTTAGTATGTTGGTCCAAATCGTCAACCAGAAAGTATTTCGAATTGGCTGACGGATTCATATAGTTGTGGGTGACACCTACGGCAACGACTGCTTCGTATATGTTAGAAGCACTACCACACCAGCAGAAAATGACACACAAGAGCCTTCAATGAAAAACTTCTGGATCGCAAGAGTATTGCAAGTCAGAGCAAAAGACGCATCGCACGTTTATGCATTAGTGGCATGGATGTACTGGCCCGACGAGTTACCAAAACCAAAGAAACCTTCTGCAGATCAAGTCAACAAAGCAGGTGGAAAGCGGACATATCATGGAGCGTATGAATTGGTCGCCTCGAATTACTTGGAGGTCGTGGATGTCCTCTCATTTGCTGGCAAGGCGGATGTCCAGCAGTGGGATGAAGATGAGGATGGTGATCAAATAAGATCGCAGCTGTACTGGAGACAGACATTCTCACGGGAAACCCATGCTTTATCTGTGAGTAGTTCTACCTCTTCTTCCATGTGGTGGGTATACTAATCTTGCCAGCCAATTCGAGAACATTGCATATGCAAAGGGCATTACAATCCCGACGTCCCTATGTACATCTGCGACAATGCAGAATGCAAGATTTGGCTCCACAAACAATGTCTCATCGATCACACTCTCACCAAAGAATTTGAGAAGATAAACCTGGCTTCTGGATCAACTTCGAATTCAAAAGGGAGATCTACCAAGACCAAACCGTACGCTGGTGTTTTATCGGGCAGTATTGACGAAGTGGGGGAGAATAACACGCCGATGATTACTATGAGAGATCTTCGACAGAACCGGAAGAGCGTGCACCAACAAAGGATTTGTTGTCCAAGATGTGATACAGAGCTAGACTGAGACATATGTCATCTTCCGGTATTGTTTTCATCCAGCAACCCTACCAGGCACACTCTCCAAACAGAATGCATCGACATTCTTCAACGACCGAACTTGACTGCTGTACCAAGGTACCTTTCAAAGCCCCTATTCTCTGCAGTGCTCTCCACTTTTATTTTAGCGAGGCGTTACGGTTCTGGTTTTGGCTTGAGCATTTTGTTACCTTTTCACCCTTTGCACACGCAACCGGCCTATGGGATATTATACGAATTGGTGTTTTGTGATTTAGGTCTAGGGATGATATATCAATAAAGTGGAGGCCCAGTCGATGCACATAATTCAAGAGCGATGGGTTTGGTACCGAGTGAGGTCGTACAAGCAAAGAAGGAGGTGTATCTCGAAACGAGGTTTTGCCAAAGGACGGATTATTGGACGTTAGGGCTCGGAAAGTATTTATGGTAGAGCATGTGGTGCATTCGGATATCTGAGATGGTAGATAGATTCTATGAAAACTGTTAAACACTTGATACCAGTTCATCCTTTGGGACCTACTAGACTCTCAGCTATTGTTGCCATATGGGTTTGGGTTTGATAACTGCGTACGATGATATTGGTTCGAGTCACTGGGATTATCTGTTCATAGACAGACAAATCGTATCTTCAAAACGGCCAGTTGAGCGCAAAACGTCTCAATTTAGCCTTCATTGAGGATGTGTTACCAAATGCTTAGTAGATTGAAGGAACTTGGTACAATGACCACGATCGCCACCTTGAGAATACACCCATGGAACAAAGAAGTAACCTTTGCGCATATCGTTCCTAAGAACTTTTTGTTAACACTTGTCATTGTATGCGATTTCTTTATTCCTAAAATCCTACTTTCTTTCAAATGATTTCCCCACCAAAAGAAACAGTACTAGGATCTGATGTCAAATTGCCTTGTTGATTTCAAGTGATGACTTTTAGAGTTTCAAGCTTCAAGTTCTGGAAAGTCGAAAATTACTAGATCGGCAGCTTCTCAACAACCATCATGGCAGAATGATACACTCAAATGGCTGGTTTGGCACTAGATTCTCTACCACCTTACCAAGAAACATCATTGATTGATTACACTCCTAACGACATACCGGATCTCTACCTGGCAAGCCCTTCTTTCCCACAAGATACAGCTTCACTCATGGAACCACCACCTGCTTATTCGACATTCGTCCCGCGGGAAATGGACGATGACGAGGAGGATCGTAGGCCATGGAGCGAATGGAGTGATGATGAAAAGATCAGCATGACGTTCATTGTAGTTCTGTTTCTATGGTTTATCTTTTGCACCAGTCTCGGTCTTGTTGCGTTCGTCCAGTGGCTGAATGGATCTCAGGTGAGGCCTGATGCACCTGTGTGTCCTCCATCGGTATCTGCTAGGAGGATAATTTTTTGGTAAACGCTGCGGCTGATCATCTGGCTTTAGCGTGAGATCTGGAACAAGATCCCTTGCTACATGGTCAAAAATAGCATGACTACTCTAGTCATAAAACCGTTCCATTTTTCTGGTCCTTAAATAAATTGAGCTGACTACTACCTGCAAATTTCTTTCTTGATTTGGTGTTTCCTCAAGTTGTGCTCTTTTCAATGCTTTGTGGTGTCAGGACATCACAACCTATGCTAACATGTCAATGATTAAATGTTAAACACTCCTTCTCTCGACCTATCTATTCCTACATTTTTAATATTGTTATTGCCGCCTACTGAACCTCAAACAATTACCAACCAATCGAACTTTCTAGCCTTCATAAATAGGCACAATGTGTATTAAGTCAGAAGAGTTTTGTCCGCTTTACTAATAAATCGAGAGCCTCACGAGACACACCCCTGGCCAGAAATCATTTATAAATCAAAGTCTCTGTGCTTTACGCCAAAATCTAGATGCTTGAAGTGTTTTGAGTGTCAAAAATTTCGTTGAGGTATGTTTCTTTTGTGTAGCTTAATTTAAGGCCTCTACGTTTACTAGACATTTTGGGAGAATTTTTGCCAAAATCTCAGGATTTCAGTGTGATTCTGATGCTTTAGGTTAGGTGTTGTGTCAGGCGACTGTGCCCCAATACTTCACTGTATCCTATGCTTCTGATCCTTCTGAGTAATAAAGTAGATCAGAGGTTCTTAGGGAAGTAGCGAGAACATCTTTTTACATTTCTCTAAATGCAACGTTAACTGTCCATTTCAACCGCCATTACATAATTTATTACCGCGTGTTATGATAATAAAGGGCAGCAGCGGTTAATGGGACCTGATACGTTGGTTGAAAAGACTCCCTCGGCTGAAAACTGTTTACGACTCCTTGAACAAGTTTAGCCATGCCTTCTTGAGGACCATCGCGGTCTTTGATGATGACAACATCATTTCCAACAGAGCCATCGCCAACCAGACCAATTGTTTTTCGGTTTGAGAGGCAATGTTTCAAAGTTATTCTGGGTGGTACGTTCCATTCGGCCATGACTGTAGAAATAAGTTCTTTCCAAGCATCTGTACCCGGAAGTGACTTATCTGCGGAAATTTCTACACGGAAGAATATTATCTCTTCCAAACATCGGTGTCTTCGTAGAAGTTTCAGCATCATTTCTAGAGTGGAACGAGCCCATCGAAGTTTCAATACCTTAAGGTTTGTAACAGAAAGCTCATCGGCTATGGGGCTAAACCATGGAAAAGAAATATCTCTCCGACCGCAAAAATCGATGATCAAGCGAGATATGGGAAACAACCCAACGAAACGTGTGAAAATGTCGATCCAAGGTTTACCAGAACTGGAGTCAGTATAGAGGTGACCTGGTTCCTTATAGACTACGCCAATATGTAACTGCTCAAGACTTGTCATGCTCGATGAGATCATTTCAGCAAACGAATCCTGTCCTAGGTCAAGGTCAAAGACGGACATAGGATAAACGTTCGCTGCGGCACATTCTATGCTTAATTCTTTTGGTTGAATTCGAGAAGCGATTATGGCGGCCAGAGTTGATCGGAGGACTGCATCATAGTCAGGTGTTAGAAAACGAGGAGCGAGCAGATTTCACTGCCTTTGCCCCAAGTAATGGCGCATCAAGGTAGCCGCTCCCCAAGGCTCGTGCCTTCTTTCGTAGCCATTAACCAGCTTGATGCGGCTGCAGTTTTGGAAGCCTCCCAGACTCTGCGCGAGGAGTAACACGTCAAGTTTCTTCCCCAAGAATTCCTGCTCCTTCCGCAAGACGACGTTCTCCAAGTGCAAATCAAGATCGGGATACCTAGGCTCGGCGTGAAAACGAAGCACAGAAATCTGGACTTCTTGCACACCGGGGCTGAAAGCTGGGTGGTTCGAAATATCGCGGAGTACTTCCAGGCTTTTCTTAGAAAGCATGTGACATCTTGAGCGAAAGCAGCGTTTAATGAACGTGTTGTGTACTTTGTTTTGAAGGGGTTTGCTTAGGAGTCGTATGTTGCACAGGTTTTCTGGGTCTAGCCATGAAAATATATTCGTGATCGTCTCCAAAGGCAGAAGACTTAGTCGATCTATGTCGTGGACAGGAACAGCCATTGTGTTGACAGGTAAAATATCGCTCGTACCTAGAACCAGAGAACCAGAGACAAGTCAATACAAGGTTATGTGGAGAGGACTGGCAGTAGAGTACTTTTGTAAAGAGGATTTTCTCGGGAATGTATCCAAGATCTCAGGGAACTAGCCCAGAGAGAACTTGGTATCGCGTGACGTGTGGCATTTTCCTTTAGCCAGATCGCGGCGAAGATCTTGCAATGGAACCTAGAGTCATGTTGTGGGATTTTCTGTAGGTGAGAAACAAAATTCAGATACATTCACCATCAATTACCGCTGTTCGTAGCCTATCTTGGTAGTCAGATCTTGGCGATGAAAAGTTCACTGCGGTAGAGGTGAATTCAAAAGAAAATAGAGTCCACCCAATGGGAAGAAGTTCAGGTGAGGGCCAGACATGAGATACATTGGCTGGCCTAAAGAAACAGCTCTTAGACATGTGTCGTAAAACAACAATGAATAAGAACACCTCTTGAGTGCACAAAGTGTCATAAGTATCTCATGAAAATGACTTTCTAGTTAAACCAATTATTCGGGCTAAAGGTCATTGCGTGTACTGTGAATCTGGACAGTAGTGTTGTTATTAAACATTATGCGTTTGGTACTACAGCTTCTCGCCTAACCTTAAAGGGGGGCTATTGCGAGCCTCGGACCGTCGTTTGAAACTGGCCCCGCTCTTACTTCTATATATTCCAGTCGTTTTGCTTCTCGATCAACAACCAGACATCACAATAATAATTCATCATGAGTGAAGGCTGCAACTTTTGTGGTGAGACCACAACTAAGCTGTTGAGATGTGGTCGCTGTAACTCTCGCTTCTACTGTGGTGAGTCTATTCTATGACTGAAGAGTATCGCTCAATCGAGCACTCGCTCTAATGTCGTCATGCAGGTTCGTCATGCCCGAAAGAGGATTGGCCAGCCCACGAGAGTACTTGCAAACCTCAGAACTTCGTCCTTCGAATTGTTCTTTGGCCTCAAGCGATAGTCAAACCCCGTATTACTCGGACTTTGTCGTGTCCTTCCACATCTACATTCTCTAAACTCCATGAAGCCATCCAGGTTGTTTTTGACTGGTCAAGCACACATGCCTGGGACTTTGACCTCTTTGATTACAGCACTACGAGGAATCGTGTGAATAAACGTGCTAGAGGAGAGCCTGTTCTTAAGATTAAGGATATGAGTATCTTCAAAGACCACCATCCTGACGTGCCAACTCGAGATAGCGCAAAAGTTACGCTTGGAAAACTTCTCGGCAGCAAGAGCCCAGATAGAACCATCCACTACAACTATGATTTTGGTGATTGCTAGGAGCACGTTATTTCTTGTACCGGACGGACAGGTGGTACAGAACATTTTGTCTGCCTCGTCGGTGAGGGTCACGGTTGCTGCGAGGATGTTGGAGGAGTGGATTGCTGGTTGGAATTGCTGGAGGCATACGATGCACGCAGACCAAACGAATACCAGCAGGAGCGTATTTCATGGTACGAAACATATGCTAGCAATAGTGATTCTGATGGATTACGAGGAGATTTGAAATCGAAATGGGACAAAGACAGGATTAATCAAATCTTGATCGAACTGCGAATTCTTCCACTTCTAGAGATTTAAATATGTCACAGGATTATCACAACTCTATATTACTGTTTCGCTTAAAAACCGTCATTTTCGACCAGATATATTCCAAAGTTTTGACCACTTCCACTCCAAGACTGCTATGGGAATAACAAATACTGCTGAGTAATAAAGAAACGATCGTCGATGATAAGAAACAAACTGAGACGTTGTTGACTATGTTTGGTCTTGAGTTTAATTCGGCCGGAATGTCTTCAATGCTGGAGTTTACTTCACAGAGGCAAAAGAAAAACCAAGAAGCTTCATTTTATGGCTAGGGAGAGTACTTCCAAGCCGTCAGCCCCTGGCAAAAATTCTGCCTCCTGATACCCAATTAATAGCTCAAGCAAGATCGATTTAATCTCACAGAGAAGTTGCCAAGAAACTCCAGTCCCTCACTTTGGTCTTAAGTTTCGCAGCTATGGAAACGATTGTGCGGTTAAGCAGCCAGGATCTAGAGGAGCAAATCTTTATACTATTGTCTTAAAACGGGATTTGCACTCCATTATATCTCTTCAACATCACCAGGAACCACCATACTGTGCTCCCGTGCACTCAATCTCTAACATCTAAAGATATCCCTTCAAAAACTCCGCCAAAGCAGTATACCCCCTCTCATACTCCTTCAGTCCCTCCTCATCATCGAAATTCGCACGCGCGCCCATCCATCTATATCGTATTAGCACTTCCATTTCAGACTCAAAAAAAGAAAGAGTAACTCGCCCATGCGGCATTACTGCAAAAGTCTCAACCTTCCCTCCTCGCTTCTCTACAATACTCTTGTATTCGCCAACTACAACAGGGTCTTCATCTTTGGAAGCGAGGACCATGTGTGGGATGGTAACGGCTTCTGCGTCTGTGCTAGCGAGGAACCCGGGATGAATTTGAGCGGATGCTTTGAAGTGGGTGGACGTGGTGGATGTTTGAGCGATGAGCTAGGTTTTCGTTAGTTTTATTATCTCATGAAGTCAAGCTGAAATGATTCGAAAATACCTTTCCACCCCAACACAACCCATACCCAGCCCAGACCTTACCCTCTCCAGTTCCTGCCGCCTCCATCACCTCCTTCATCTTAGGCACAAAAGCATCCCAACCCATCACAAACCCCATGAACTCACCTTGAGCTTTCTTTTCCGCTTCTCCAGCCGAGGGAGCATACCACTCACCCTGTGCATATCTCCCATTCAGGAGATCGGGGATGAGAACGCGGATGTTGAGCGCGGTGGCTAGAATATCGGCGCCTTGAAGGGTTTGAGGTGCGAAACCGAAGATGTCGTAGACTGCCAGGAGAGTTTTGGTGCTGTTGGAGGAACCGGTTGAGTCTAGAGAAGAGTTAGCAGGTTCAGTGTTTGGATGAGAAAGATAGAGGCAGAAATTACAGGTCTTAAGTCCAGCGATGTTTTCGTAGGTTCCTTTAGGGGTGTAGTCTGTTTTTACTACTGGTGGGATGGTGAGGCAGGCTGAGCAAGTCATTTTGAATGATTCCAAGGAGATTTCCTTCTGGAGAGTTAGATGGTGTTGTAATTTATGGAAAAATAAGCAAGAGCAGCTTTTTTCTGTGAAGTCTTTGGGGGATGAGGCAAGCCTAAGTGATAGTTGTGTATCGAAACCTTTGGATGTTCTGCACAAGAAGTTGTTTATTGCCAAAAAGCTTGATTGAGTATTCTCATGTGGAAGGCATAGGTCATTATATACACATTTGTTTAACGTTTGACAGTTTTGTTTACCCGTATAAGATCGCGAGGACACATTCGAAGCTGGGATAGTCTTCCTCCCATGACCGGATTTTATAGGAGTTAAGCGAATCAACGGTTTTAGGATTTGCGCTCCGGCTAACAAGTCACGACCACGACCAAGAATGACAAGCGTGGATATGACTGATCCCAGAACTTTCAGATACGCCAATACGCGGATACGCCCTTGTAAGATCAAAGGTCAGATTTCGGGATTTAGGGTCGTAGACAAGGTGGAATGGAGTTAATTGCCGCGGTCCAGTGCCTATGAAAATAGGCTCTACCTGAAAGGCGTGTGCTTTGATCCCTCGAATAAGCGAATGCGAAAAGGCGAGTCTTAATAGGCTTAGAATAACGGCACAGTAGCTTTGCCTCTACGAGATGTCCCTTTTGTGAAGCTATCCCTAGTATTCTGTACTTGACACCTTGGGGTACCTCTCTAGAAGCGCACCAACAACAGACCGTGTTATACACGGGAGTTAAGCGTAAATATGAAGCTTAACCGCGGGACTTAACTGCGTGACGAGCATGAGTTGCTGATAGACATGGATGAATAGACATGGATGAGGTATTCCAAATGATTTGAAATAATTGAACAGATGCTATCTAAGACATCCTACTCCGCTCGCAACTACATTCTCCTCAAAGCGCGACTCATCCAAACTTCCATGACGCCCACTAGGATCAAAGCTACAGAGAGACAAAAGAAGAGTTCTCCTTCACCATATAAACGGCTTTTCACGAAATTCCCAGCGCTAGGAAACATACTGTCAGGAATAGAATGTTGAATTTGGCACGTATATAAAACAAGAGATAAAAGATGTGGGAACTCAGACGGGTCCAGGTGATAGTGCAGCTTAGCGAGAGAGAAATTGTGTTGGCATCTCAAGTTGACATTTCTTTTTCGCTCTTATCTATCCGTCCCCTCGCATTCTAGATTATAGTGACTGACTTACAACTTATTTGGCGCCGTTTCTGGGAGTAAATGTTAGCAAACTGAATGATAGATATGACAACTGATGCTAGCGATGACTCAACCAAAACATCTCATGAGTTCACATGATGTAGTGACATAACCGTAACTAGAAAGCGCTTAAGAGATTTTTAAAAAACTTACGAGTTGTAGGCCATTGGTAACCAGCCGCATCACTAAATTTGTAACCGTAGGAAGAGGTGAAGTCATCGAGGACAGCAGGTCCACGAGAGCCTAAGGAATGTTAGCCCATAAAATTGAACACGTGAATATTACTTGCCGTATGGGTATTCCATAGGAATAATCTCCTTGTTATCATCAAGATAATGGAGGAGTGGTGAGAAGACCCTCCAACTAGCATCTAATTCGTCGTCACGAACAAAATTGGAGTGATCACCCTTGAGAGCATCGAGGATAAGAGATTCGTATGCCTCAGGAATTTTGAGGTCGGAGAAACGTCTTCGGTATGTCAAATCGAGTTCCGTAACGACGGTTTGCATGCTGAGACCAGGTAACTTGGAGTTCATCTTGATGTAGACACTCTCGTTTGGCTGAATTCTCATGACAAGCTCATTTCGTGGGATATCTTTGAAGATACCGGATGTGACATCCTTGAACTGGATTCGAATTTCGGTCTTCTGCTCGTTGAGCGCTTTTCCTGCCTTCAAAATGAATGGCACACCATCCCATCGCTCATTCTTGATAAACGCGACCATTGCGCAGAATGTTGGACATCGTGAGTCCTTTGGTACTGTATCATCTTCTTTGTATGATGGCTTGTTACCGTCCAGCGATTTGCCATATTGTCCAATGATAACATTCTTTGGCTCAATAGCCGGAATGCCTCGAAGTACTCGCACCTTTTCGTCTCGCACGTCTTCAGCGGAGAAAGATATTGGTCGCTCCATCGCCAAAAGTGTCAGAACCTGAAGGAGATGGTTCTGCATAACATCTCGGATGATTCCAAACTCGTCAAAGTACCCACCACGTCCCTCTGTGCCAAAAGGTTCTTTGAATGTGATCTGAACGTTGTCGATGTGGTTGCGATTCCATGTTGCACCAAAGAACTCGTTACCAAATCTCAGGATCAAAATGTTCTTAACCATCTCCTTGCCCAGGTAGTGATCAATACGGAATATTTCATCCTCTTTCCAGTTGGGCTCCAAAGCCTTCTGCAGCTCTCGTGAACTTGCCAAATCCTTTCCGAATGGTTTTTCGACCTGATTCCGTTAGCCAATACATAGCTAGAGACAACGTTGAACTTACAATGATTCTGGCAATACCATTCTTTGGGTAACAGTTCTTTTTCAGGTGCTGGGAGACTGTAGTGAAAACACTTGGTGGGAGAGCCATGTAGAAGACTCTGTTTGACTCCTTCTTTCCTTTCTCCTTCTCCTCAAGGTGCTTGTTCAACTCAATAAAAGAGTCGTCTTTATCATATTGCCCCGATACGTATGAGCAGATTTTGGTAAAGTCCGCAAGCTGCTGCTCCATATCTTTCGTTGGGGTCTTAATGTACGACTTGACTCTCTTGAGGTACTCCTCATGATCCATCTTCGTTCGCGCATATCCAACGATTTTGATATCTTTTGGTAGGAATTGGTTTCGGTACTGTGGATTCGGCATCAGTAACGAAGGGACTCCGGCAATATGGCCTATTCGCGAATACTCACAAGGCCAAAAAGCGCAGGAAACTAAGGTGTTCAGTCAGTTGCATTCAAAGACATATTGCGTCGAGCTCTTACTGTCTTCTTCTTCGCCAAATCACCGGAGGCACCGAGAACGACAATCACGGTATTATCTTTCAACTCGAGAGTCCTAGTGGGGGAGGTTCCGATTAGCATTTTCGATTCCGAAGAGGACTACATTATCCCATTGAAATAGGAAATTCTCAGTATCGCGGCGCTGCAGAAATCTACAGCTTGCGAAGGATTTTCCATATTTTCCCTCGTCGGCGCGGTGTTGTTGTGAATCCTACGAGCTCTTCGTTGAGGGGTCGGAGGTCCAGGTGACGTATTTGGAAAGGCAAAGGAAATGCAACTTACGAAGCCGTGGGCGCCTCCTCCGGTTTTATCATCGTGTCGGCCATTGTGAAGGAGGTGAATTTTATGAAGAAAGTCTTGGGGAAGGATGAGGGCGACGTGGGAGTGCGAACTATTTAGAAGGATCGGAGGCGGTATGTTAGGGACGTGAGACTCCGCGAAATTGTTGAATTGGGAAGCTACACAGCGGGGTCCTTTGGTGCTTTCTGATTGCGGGAGCACGCCGGACGTCCTCTCTCTCGTCTAGCTCGCCAAAGAGCTCAACCAGGTTTCTCCGGGCTATCTGGAAGGGGGGATTTTTCTGGCAACGTCACTTGGAGAATTGATGTAGAATAATATTCAAAGATTGTTTATGACCGAGTGATCTTTCAGGATATTTATCTGTCCACCAGCAAGTGCTTTAACAGTCACGTTGAGCTGGATGATTTGCTGTTACAACCATGCTTCGGTCCACCCCACCTTCAAAACTGAGTGGGAATTGGTCTGTGAAAGGAGACCGACATCCTCGATTACCAATCGTCGTGCGTAAGTTTTTGATTATTCTTGCATCTACGTCAAGTCTTGCGATGAAAGTAAATCGACTTGTTCAATGATTTTGGAGGATTTCCGGATATGGCAAATGTGCAACTCGATCAGAGAGTTTGGCGACGTGGGATGTCTACAATATCTCCTCGCTATGTAGACCCTTTTGGGACGGAGGAAAAAACGCCAACTTCTAGTGAAAGCGATGAGGCGAGAATCTGGCCAGGAGACTTACAAAGCTTGACTACTACCCAAAGGGATGGGTACTTGTGTACACCTTCGGCCGCGAGAAGAAATGTCGAGGTCTATGAAGTAATCATCATTCTTTGCATTGTCGGACTTAAGGTAGAATGAAGCTAATGAGCGGCCAGGGGAGAGAGCAGGATCAGCAACGACAGCGCAGGACGTAGCACGACGCGTAGAGTGCAAGTCGGATGGGAAACTTCAACTTGTCTAAAAATGCAACAAGATACAAGTCGAATGCTTCGGGATATATACTCAAATCAATTTATTGAAGCATCTATTAAATGAGTAGAGTCAATTGACTAATTTTTGCGACCAAAAATGTCGAGCCGTTTAGAATGGATCAGAAAAGAACCCTATTCTTAGTCGAGATTTTCATGAAAACGCAGTTCGAAAGGTCTGAAGGCTCAAGGTTCTAAAAACATCGGAATACTGCAAATGTTTTCGTTCATCCACAGCAAGATTGTAAGTGAATGTTCTCAGGTTGGATGGTTCGAAGAGGCCAAAACAATGGTAGAATCGACCAACTATCCGACAAAATATAATTTTGGTCACTTCGTCTATTTTGAGCAGAGTCTGAAATGTCTGATTCATTGAAAATGTTAGACGAAATATGTTATATTTTATCAACTTAAGTAAGAAAATGTCGTGTTTCGACTCACTGAAACTTATGGTCGGAGGCCATCACGTGTTGTCGCTTCGCTAGCGCTAATTATCCCACAGTCGGATTTCAACATCGAAATTCCGACCGGGTCAACATCAACGACAATATACGCCAAACAATTTCAACGAGGTCTTTTCGCCAGGACTTCTCTCGATTCTAGACATAGTACGAGAGATTAGATCAAGATGCCTTCAGAAGCTGGTCACCGTCGTAAGTATACCGATTCCCTGCAATTCTTGATGGGTGCAATACCGAATTAGTGAGAAGGGTGCATTGGGTGGATGAAGATAATTCTTACCACCATTGAATGTACACGCTTTGTCACTGAACATCCGCTAATCATGATTCATAGTTTATGTCAAGTGAGTAATTACCAATCCGAATCTGCGAGCGCATGTCGGAACTTTGTCGAAACGAAGAGAGGAGCTGTGGGAGGAGAAATCAACGACGATGGGATACGACTGCTTGGGATTACGGCTTTATGAATGATTTTGAACATCTGGATCTGACGATGTTTCTTTTAGGGGTCGCCATTTGAGCTACCAGCGTGGCAAGCGCAATACCACCCCAGGTACCAGCTTGATCAAGATCGAGGGAGTTGATGATACCAAGGCCGCAAAGTATGTCGCAGACGAGCCCATAGAACTGAACATGAACTAATTCTGGCCAGCTTCTACCTCGGAAAGAAGGTTGCTTTCGTTTACCGCGCACAAAAAGAGGTTAGAGGATCAAAGATTAGAGTTATCTGGGGCAAGGTTACCAGACCACACGGTATGTTTGGAAGAACGACAATTGAATACTCGGGACTGACGTTCTGTTTTAGGAAACTCTGGTGTAGTACGAGCACAGTTCAGACGCAATTTACCACCAAAGTCCTTCGGCGCATCCGTTAGAGTTATGCTTTACCCATCTTCGATATAATTGAGAAGGGTTCGGAGTTGGGTTGCGGGATGGTAGATGGTTGATTGACTTGTCAAATTTCGGTCTCTAGGACAGGGACGGCGATAAATGCATGGCCTTGCTGGTAGCATACGAATAAAAACAAATACCAACCACGGACGACCCTGGAAATTGTGAATATAGAAGTGAAAGGCTGCTTGGACCGCGAGTCGGCGAAGTCGATACCTGAAGGGTACAAAACCTCATTCATGGCAGTATAAATAAGCATATGGCGTTCATCTTTTCAAAGTTCCGCAGGTCTGGTTTGCATATGACATGCGAATCTCTTTGACTTTTTAGTCCGACGTGCGTGACGATGCCAGTACGTAGGTAGGATTTGACTTCAACATATTGTAGTCGACCCATATCTGCTCGCGAATCTGACTTCAATATGTGATAGTCAACCTCGGTCTGCTCCTATATATTCACCATAAGTCCACTAGTGGTCGCTTAGAAGCATGACGTCTGGAGTATAGATCATTAATCCCGATCAGGCACAAGTACGGTCACGCTCATTAACAGTATCTGGGCTCGTGTCAGACTGAATAGATGCCATTCGAAACATGCCATTTACTGAGTGACAATAATCATGTCACTCAATGGTAACATATGACCGACTATATGGTACTTTCCTAACCTAATAAAAGACATGAAGAGACAAAATATTTTCAGATTTCTTTTTGATGTCAGTTCGCAGTTTAAAATACTTGCTTACTATTACTTAATAACTTAAGCAATACAGCACCTAGGTAGGTACATATAGACAGGAAGAGACTGCAACTTGTTTTGTCCCTCTGCGAGCTGGGCATACTTATATGTGTTTAAGAGAAGAGGAGTGAACCTCTTTTACCTACGAAATGAGTCTAATACGCACAAATGAAGACTACTAGCGTACTCGGAACCAGAAGGCTACACAAGTCTAGGGTACTTACACCTCAGCTAATGCTTGTGTCAGCCTTGCGAACATGCTTCCGTCAATCATTTTCGAAGAGTGCCCGGGTTGTTTGGTCAAACGGAAACATGAAACAAGCAACCAACCCGATCAACCCGCATTACGGCAATGCCCTGCTCCTTCGTAGCTAAGAAAACCGTTTAAGTGGCGGCCCGGTTATCGATGATGCAGCTGTCAGATACGTTTGCGAGGCGCAGTTGCTTGCGAATATATAACTCGGTGGTTCACCAGTGTTGGTGAATAGAGCTCAGCTAGGGGGAATTCGAGAGGGACTAGAAAGCTCATTTGTAAAGAAGACAGTCTCTTATCTCAAATAGACGCTTAAGTCTACCTAGGTAGGTAATTGTCCCTTAGAACAGTGACTGTCTGACAGATGAAATTAAGCAGGCTTATTCCCCACATACGAACGAACCTGCATTTCGTGGGGTAAAGTACCACAAGCACCATAATTTATATCGTACTCGTGTAACAACGTTAGCTTTCTTACCTCTGCCTCGTCCATTATACCCCTCTTTCACGTCAGCATTTAGCCTTGCAAATCGTTGAGTCCAGTAGCAGACGCGGAAGTCTCGGGATAAGAGATTTATAGACGTTTTCGCCTTCGACGTTTTCGCCTTCACCACACCCTCTCCTATGTCGTGTAACGCCTTCAAGCAGGGGCGTTTGCAAGTTTTTGTTGCTGGCCAAGGTGGTAAACTTTGATATTGGTGATTATTATTATAACTGAGTTTCTGATGCTTTGGGCTGTGGGTGGGTTGCGTCATTCTTTTGAACTTGCAGGTACGGATTCGAGAGCTTTTTGAATGTGGACATGGCGCGTTGCTGGTGTAAATGCCAATCCTTTAAGTAGCTGATCAGACATGGAGTGATTGGAGTCGTTTGAGGTGGTGGAGTTGCTGCCAGTGTTCCAAGGTTGCTCGTCTCAACCAAAAATAAACCCTGGCGCCACACTTGATCGCCAAAAGATTCCGATGTGTACTCCACGTACGTACTTCGTATTTCTGCTATCGATAAACAATTATTGGGATGCGTTTGTACCTGGGTTGGTGACATTTCGGCTGGCGCGACGGGAGACAGAGACATGTCCAGACTCCTTTTCTGATGAATCGCAAAGCTGCTCCTGCTATCCACTCGAAGTCTAACTTATCTTTCAATGTGGTGAAGACGCGTAAGGTTTCCGTTAGCTGCTTGAAAGGTTTTGCAAGACCGGACCATGGTTGGATTTAAGCTCGTTGAGTGGTGTGAGTCGGGACTTCGTATTGAATGATCCCGCTTGGGAATGGCCGCACCTGCATACATCCTGCTGGCATTGCAGCTTTCCCAGCTCTACAAGGACTGAATGGGATGTTTTGCCAGCGAGATAGTGCCTTCCCAATGGGAGAGAAAGCAATTGAAGCCTCGTTGAGTTATCGAATCTTGAAAGGCGAAGATTGGTCGGGGTGTTGGCGAGAGGTGAAAGGCATTTCGAGATCGACCAGATTGTCACCCCTGCTTTGCCTGCCCGGGCGCTCCTTACATTTGATCGCCGTAAAGCGTCACTGGACGCCTGGCACAATTGGAGCTCGCTCCGGCATCTTCGCCAGCCCATACCGAACCAGCAACGTACATACATACCCGCCTCCCCAATATTTTGTAGAGCTACAGATTCATTCTCAAAATCCATCTCCACCATCAGTCGTTCACCAAGTTTCCTTATTCCCCGCAAAGCAACAATTATCTAGGAAGAGATTCTTGATCGCAAACGATCGTTAATTACCACCAAACACTTATCGCTCACTCTCGCTCTGGCTCGGAACCGTAATACGACTTATTTCTTCTATCAGTCCCAGTCACGGCAAGCAATTGCCATCACTTACTTATAATCACACATCCGAAACATTGCACAGCTTCTGCCGACCGCTGTGTTTCTCTTCCAGCCTCCAACAAAACTACAACTTGTCGTCCCACGACATAAACATCCCTAGCAGTATCCACCGGTTATCGCCAGATACTCCATCTTCATCTCGTTCCACGACGATAAGGACGTTTTCGGAACCTTGCTCGGCTCCTTGACTCTGAACAGACCTCACATCAGACCCACTGCCGTCGGTAGACCCGCAAGACATCAATAAAGATGGATTCAAGTAATCACCCGTTGCCAGCTCCATCGGGCGGACAACGACCTGGGCAGCAAAGACCGCGCGCAAAGTCAGGATTCAGCTTTCATTCACATAAAAGCTCTGGCAGCGCAGACAACGGAAAGCTTAAGCTTGTGGAATCACACGGAGAGAAAGAGGCCAACAGACTTCATTCCAAAGCAGATCCATCGATGGCTCTCTCAGAGGCTGAACCGTGTAAGTCAATCCTGGCTCTCCTGAGCATTTATATCTGTTGATACTGACTATTGTCATCTTGTAGCCGAAATTGCCAACGACTTTAGATCATCGTTGCAGTCAATTCGAGGCATACAACATCGAGACTCGCAAGGAATTCCAATCGGTAAGGCAAACCATGGTATTGCGCGGAGAAGGTTCTAATGTTGCATTCCAGCTGATCCAGATCGATCGAACCCAACGCGAAACCGATGGGAGCGACCTCTTGACACGATCCGGGCTTTCGAAGCAGCCATTGATGGTAACTACCGCAAATCATATATTCATTCCGGTCAGAAATCCTTGCGCAATTTTTTTGCATTGCACAGTTCTATCTTATCGATGCTAACGTTACTCTCCTACAGACTCCTCGGACATCCAATCGAACTATAATCGTCGTAGTAGCTATTATGGAGGTATGTGAAAATATCCACGAGCGAATTTCTCAGCATTCGACCTTTAAGCCCATTCACACGCGATCGATTTTGGATAAGTATCCAAAAGCTCAACAGAGCCGACTCTGGTATAGATGCTCTGTCACGGTAGCTCTCGATATCATATGCGACGATATTGATTCCAAATTCTGGCATGATACTCGCATATGACCACGATTGTCTTGTCGTTTTTCACCGTACTGCTTGGTAGTGCTATTTCCACGGGCAAGCCGAATTGTTGAGAATTCCATCATACTCTCGTCACCTGAAACACTCTAGAACGGTGTGCTGGATACAAAAACTCAAAAAAGCACAGAAAGCCAAGGTCATCATCTGCTAGTGTCAAGCTAGCTGCTCTAGCAGAGACAAGGGTGGTCTGTGACGGCTCTGACGGCCTGATGTCTAGCTCAGGAAGGACAAGCGCTAACTATGCACTCTCCACAGGAACCCAGGTTTCTCACGATGATCGACCACGGTACATCCCGAATGCTGGCAGATCAATGTCCTACACACCGAGACCTGAGAGTACTTATGGATATAATCGCCCTGGACGCGAGAGTTATTATGGCTCAGGAGACGGGACTCCATACAATGCCGCAGGTCCCAGTAACGGTTACTATCCCAACCGAGCGCGGTACCCACGAACCGCGTCTGAGCCGCAATTCAATAATGGAGTTTATCCTAGTCCCGGTAACCAGCAATCGTATGAGACAGTGACAACAGCGTCAGGAAGCGGTAGTGATCCAATTGGTTATTCAACAGACCCAAGTAGCGAGAACAGCTCGGTGGACCGCATCGCACCCCAAGTGCCAATCAAGGAGCCGCAAGAAACATATGGATTCAATGGCTTTGGCACAACGCCACAATTTGCGCCACAAGCGAATGGAATGAATGGGCAACGTGGCCCTCATGGATACGTAGAACAACAAGGACCGCCTCCTCCAAGGAAACTGGGAAAGTCATCCCCCAGCCAGCCGATGAAACTCGGCGACACGAGTGGGAATGTTGGCCCTCCCCCAACGCAACGTCCAGACGTTGGAGAAAAACGAAAGTCGTGGTTCGGCAAGCGGTTCTCGAAATCGAAGTGAGAGCTTGCTTGTATTTTTTCAGGAGACCAGGCATAATATATGAAGCGTGCGCCTTGGATTATTCTCTGAGAAGAGGGTGCCACGATTTTATGATTTTAGAATTATTAGTTTGGAACACTATCCCAAGGATTGGATCCTATTCGGCATCGGTTGGCGTTTATATGGACGATGAATTTATCGTTTCACAAGCAATACCCATTCAATGAGAATTTTGAATACTACTGTGTCGCGAGACGTTCTGAGTTTGGTCATGATTATCAATTGACATACATATAGCTAATGAGCGTTTCGATTATAAATGCAATGAAAATCAGTTTTCGATAAAATAAGTCCATTTTTACCCTGCGAATAAGTGAAGTATCACTTTTTATGGACGCCTAGAAATGCCTGAAGTAATGGCAAATTTAGGCTCATTATTCATAGACTCCTAACGCCTCACTTGCCGCAAAAAAAGGACTTGCTATTCTATGAATATTTATTGGTCACTTCCCTTTCTTTGATTCCTTCTCTGCTGCTTCGATAGCATCCGTCTGGTCTTCGTTGAATGCAACCACCACGTAGCCTATCAACACGACGTTTGCCATCAGTGCTGCCGAGGCACCAGCCCACGTGGAGTTGCCTGTTTATTTGTCAATATATAAAGAGTTTGCAGGTGGTTGGCAATGAGACAATTATTGAATGATGGAAAAGAGACGACACAGTTGAGGTGAAGTGCGACTGAAAAGTCTTGTGATAAAAGACAACGTACCTTTGAAGAGAGTATTCAGCGACAAAAAATATGTACCCAAGGGGCACACTATCATTGCCAGGGTAAAGCCCAGTAACTTAACAATTACATGTCTATAGAGGAATTAGTATACGTATATAAGCATGTGATTTATCAACAGGAGGGGGCTCACGCAGGGACTGCAGGTGAAATATTGCTCTTCCCCTCCGCAGGTTTCGTAAATCCGCTACTATCAATATCCAGTGCTCCCTTTTCTGTTGAAATGATTCTTCTGGTCGCCATGTTTGAGATGAAGCCTCAGCTGATTGTGATATCGTGATGGAATGAGACTGCCAGTGGCCTCGAGTGGTTGAGATGATAGGTCAAGCGGGACTGCTGACTTCGTGTTTCTCCCGAGTCGCGGTTTGTCGGCTGCCGTAGAACGCGTTAAGTGGTTTCCCCATGAGGAGCACGACGACGTTAAAACTTTTAGCGCGGTTTTGTGGGATATGCGATTGTTGGTGGAGGATTGGCCCGCATCTCCTGAAATTCTCACCCGCTACGTCAACAAAGCACTTTGCGCGCTCGATTGTTGATTCACGATAACCTTACATTTTAGGTTATCACAGCATTTTATCTGGATACTCATTGCTCTCTGCTTCTTTGCACAGATTGGGGCAGTGAAGGGGATTTGTGGAGTCCGAGCTCTGCACAATTGAGTGAAGGACTTCACTTTCGAGTCGATATCTACCACTATCTCAGCCTTGTGTCAACCTTCCCAGAAAAGAAACAATCACCACTTCAAACTCACTTCCAAATACTACAACATTACTTGGCTACAATCACTATGTCGTTCAATCAGGGGCCGGCAGATACAGCTGATTTTCATCAAAAGAGAAGAAAAACAGAGAAGGGCTTTGTACCTTCGGGAGAGAACACTGGTTACAATTCTGCGAATGACGATGGCGACGACTTGTTCGACGGCTACATACCTGACACACCTAAAGTCAAGGGCTTCGAAACTCAACCCACACAACTTGTGGTAAAGGGATTCGAGACTCAGCCGACCCAGGTATTACCCAAGGTTGGGGGCTTCGAGACACAACCTACACAACTTATCGATCGAAATGCGCCAGCTTCTTCACCTTCAGTTGCAACTCCGCAGAGCATAATACAAGTTCCCGCCTCTTCACCGTTCTCTGGCAGGGATATAACTCCACAGAAACCTCCACCTCAGCGGAATGTTGCTTCCCTCATGGCACCCGCAGGCACTGTGTATAGAGCACCAAATGGCATATTGACGAAAGCCGAGCCAGCACCAAAAGCACAATTCACTATCGACTTAGGAGACTCGGATTCGGACGATGGACCGAAATACACGGGTGGGGATTCAGATTCGGACGACGGTCGAGCAGCTAATGCCGATATCAAACCCTCGACATTTGCTCCTAGAAGTGCGGAGAACTCCTTTGGGACACTCAATGGAAATGCAAGGTTTCAAGACGCTCTTAAGAACAAGGCGTACCAAGCTCCACAGCCAGGCGTTGCAAGGCCTGCCTTTTCATCAAGGCCTGGACAATTACAGACGATGCCTTCACGAGCTATACCGATTCAAGACATGACGGTCAGCAATATAGATATCGCGAAGATGCGTGAGAATATCACGAGGGTGAGAGTGGTCTTGCCAGCCGTCTCCGTGTTAGCGGCGAAGGATGCGCTGGAAAAGCACAATGGTAACTTAGACCTTGCTATTAGTTATCTCGGTACACGGCATGTCACTATTATTTCCGATGATGAAGACGAAGACGAGCTAGCAGCACAGAAGTCTCGACAGGAGCCTCAAATGAAAAGGGGTTTGGAGGCGCCAACGAAGTCGATTAGAGATAAATATTCTTCGACGCAAGCCATGCCTAATAAGCCGCCAACTCTCCCGGCGAAACCCAAACGGAAGCTTATACAAGGCCGCAAGAACCCTGCTTCTCCTGCTGTTTCTTCGCCACTAAAACCACAAAAGCCTGCAACACAAGAGGAAGAGATCATTGAGTTAGAAGATTATGATAGCGATGACTCTGCTCTAGGCGAGGAGGAAGAGGACGATCCCGAACTCGAAAGCCGGCTTCTAAAGTATCTCAATACTTGTAGCGTTGATGAGCTGGTCGAGCTAACAGCTGTAACAAAGCCTAATGCTGAATTAATGATCAATGCTCGTCCATTCAAAACTCTAGATACTGCACGATGTGTCGAAAGCGCGCCCTTAAAAAGTGGCAAAAAGAGTACAAGAGCTCCTATTGGAGACAAGATCGTGGATACCGCTATGAGTATGTTTAGTGGATATGAGGCAATCGACGTTCTAGTGGCCAGATGTAAAGACCTAGGTAAGCCACTTGCGGAGGAAATGGCTACTTGGGGGTTTGATGTTTTCGGTGCTTCAAAGGACGGCGAATTGGAAATGACCTCCTTGGAAGAAGACGATATAGAGTCAATGCGTGATTCTGGAATCGGATCACCCACCAGCGGATCTACATCACCAAAGCTCAATGGCGAAGATGATATTCGTACCGGCGCTAGAAAGAGGCGCGATATAAATTTCCTCAAGAAACCAGAGCTGATGGCGGACAGCTGCGTTCTGAAGGACTATCAAGTCGTTGGTCTTAACTGGCTGGCTCTGATGTATAGGAAGAAGACGTCAGGTATCTTAGCCGACGAGATGGGACTGGGGAAGACTTGTCAAGTTATAGCATTCTTAGCTCATCTTGTCGAGTCAGGACAAAGCGGTCCACATTTGGTTGTGTGTCCTGGATCTACTTTAGAGAATTGGTTGCGGGAGTGTCAGAGATTTGCACCTCAGCTGAGCGTAGAGCCATATCATGGCGCCCAGAAAGATCGAGGTGAAATGGCGGATGCCATACTTGCTAACCGAGATGCGATCAATATCGTTGTGACGACGTATGATATGGCGGCGAAAAAGACAGATAACAAGTTTATGAGACAACTTAGACCAAATGTAAGTTTCGGGACATCTCTCTCTCTTCTAAGCATAATTTGACAAGATCCAGGTCTGCGTGTACGATGAAGGTCATTACCTCAAGAATGTCAATTCGCAAAGATATCAGGGGTTGATCAAAATCCCAGCGACGTTCCGACTATTGCTTACTGGGACACCTCTGCAAAACAATCTCCAGGAGCTGGCTGCGTTACTTGCATTCATTCTACCAGACGTCTTCCGAGAACGTGCCGACGATTTGAATTTCATTTTCAAGGCCAAAGCAAAGACAGGAGATTCGGATCACGCAGCTCTTTTATCAGCGCAGCGAATCGCTAGGGCTCGCTCTATGCTTACACCATTCGTTCTTCGGAGAAAGAAGACTCAAGTTTTGAAGCATCTTCCTACAAAGACTTGCAGAGTCGAATACACCACGTTGCATCATTCCCAAAAAGTCATTTACGATGGACATATAGAACAAGCTCGAGAGCGAGCTCGCTTGCGCGTTGAAGGTGCTAAGCTTCCAAAGAATGCAAATGATGAGAACAATCCCCTCATGCAGCTTCGAAAAGCAGCTATCCACCCTATGCTTTTCCGCCGCCATTTTACAAACGAGAAAATCGAGAAGATGGCAGACATCTTACGAAAGAAGTTACCGGAGCAGTTTCCCACCGACAAAAATCATAAGCGAGAACATCTCATCCAAGAGATGCGGTCAGGTTCTGACTTTTGGCTTCATTCATGGTGTTGGGATTACGCCTGCCTAGCTAGCTTTGACGTGCCTGATTTGTCCTGGATGGATTCCGGAAAAGTCGAGTCCATGGTCAAACTCGTGAAAGGATACAAGGAGAATGGCGATCGTGTCCTCATATTCTCACAATTCGCTTTGGTACTCGACATCCTCGAAGCCGTTCTTAACACATCCCAAATCCATTTCACCCGTATCGACGGATCTACAAAGATCGATGACCGCCAAACACTGATCGATACATTCCGAGATGACGAATCTATCACTGTGTTCCTACTGACCACCAAAGCTGGAGGAACTGGTATTAATCTCATGTACGCTAATAAAGTCATCATCTTTGATGGGTCTTTTAATCCTCAGGATGATCGTCAAGCCGAAAATCGCGCTCACAGAGTGGGTCAGACACGAGATGTCGAAGTTGTCCGACTTGTCACCAAGGGAACGGTCGAGGAACAGATCTATGCTCTCGGTCAGAGTAAGCTTGTTCTTGACGGGAGGGTTTCTGGCGACGATGAAGCCGCAATGGATGCTGCGGGTGAAAAGGCCGTTGCAAAGATGTTGCTCGAGGGCACGACTGTCTCTGAGGAAGACGAGAAAGTGGATGTCGTCAAGGAGAGCACGAAGGAGGTTAAACCTCCACCTACTTTGCAGAAGAAGAAGTCGAGTATTCTGGATAGCATGTTGACTAAAAAAGAGACGAAAGTCGAGGATGGGAAATAGGCGACTGGATAGGGTAATGCCTGGAATTTAAACGGGAGTGCGCGGAGTATAAGGGTACGTGGGAGGGATTAGATTTCATTTGGTTAGGGTTTATGAATTGAAATGAGTGGATTCGAGGGGTGGGGTTGTGAGGAGTTGATGTAGATGGATCTTGCGTCTGGAGTGGATGGGCATGGAAGGATAGGGTGATAGACGAATATTAATAAGTTATCTATTTTATTCTGGTTTAGGGAAATTGGTACTGAGACCTTTCATCTGGAACATCTTCAAACCGAGATAGTAGATATTTAATGCTTTGAAGACCGCTTTTCTAACACTTTATTTCTTCCTTGTTCAGTATGTATTCAGCAAGGCGCTTTCTCATCTGATGGCGATTATACCATTACAAATTTAATAACATTGAAAGGATGAATGCAGATTTTTGCGACTTGCAACAAAACTTGACATGAAGTCTTAGATGAGAGATTCACGCTTAGTAGAAAGCAGCAAATCTGGCACAGTATTTGAAATTGACGAGTGTCTCATCTGATGTGTAGCAGATTATCATAAGTTTCATATAATCAAACAGATGATTCTGAGTTTTGCGGCGTGCAACAAAACTGTCAAATAAATTCTTATTGGGTATTCACTGTTGGAAAGGAGCAAATATGGCACCAGGCCAAGGTCTCGTCTGATTTATCACAAGCTAGTATGACACCACTCATCTCTTTGCCTCCCTAGATATAAGTTGTTGATAACGTTTGCTGCAAAAAGTCTTCAGGGTAACAGTTCATACAACTTTTAACCCTGTGTCCATTATTGCGGACCATTCCCAAGCAAAAGCCAGGCATATTGCATTCAACTGTCGACGTTGCCCAAGTCACTCAAAATTCGCTGGACGTGTGCAAAAGACAATTCGGCCATGGTCTCCTCCCAAAGTACTTTAGTAACACGATCTGCCTCAGCCGTATAAACGAATGGGACCAGACTTTGGCAGAGATTAGTAAAGTTCACTCGAGAGACATGGCACAAACGACTTACGGCTGTATTGGGCAGTCTTCAATGTATTGCCCATGGGCCTTAGAGCTGTGATTTACGACTCCATCGGTAATTACTCGAGCTCCAATTGAACTTGTACGCCCAAAAATGCGTTTCACTATCTTTCCAATCACCTCTCCGATATTTTTCTGATGAACAGATCCTAGACCTGTACCATAACATAATCCTGGGCACGGCATTGTTATGATGGCAACCGAAGAGGGAACCAACCTCGCCAATTCCGTGACAAAGAGCATTCCTAGCAGTTTTGAAGTGCTGTAGCGGTCTGGAAAGTTGAAATTCTCAGGCTTGTCCAAGGCAGGAAATAAAGGCGTGCTATCCTTCTCCTTGAACTTGACCCAGGAAGTTATGTCCGACTGGACCCATGCGATACGGCCCGGCTCAGAAGACTTTTGGGCTTTGAATATGGGAAGCAGTAATATAGTCAGTAGAATAGTTGACAGAACGTTCACCTGCAGCGTCTCTTCATGGCCGGTAGATTCGACCATTCGGTGTTCTACTTTCATGACTGCAGCGTTGAGAACGACAATATCGAGGTGCTCTAGGCTCTTCGAACGTTCCGCAAAGGCGACGACCGAGTCGTAAGATGCCAGATCCAGCTTCCATACCTCAATAGCGCTATTTTCAAGTCGACGGCCAGATAGTAATTGTGTGCGAGCAGCTTGGCCTTTCCTTTCGTCCCTCACGGCAATGATGAGCTTTCCCAAGCCTAGGTCTAAGAGCTGACGCGCACATTCGAGACCGATACCAGTATTAGATCCCGTGACGATGGCGGTTTTGCCTTTGAGGTCAACGTCGCGTGGTAGAGTAGGCGTGACGAAGAATTGGCGGTAGAGAAAGGCGCCAAAGGTAATCCTCTTCTCAGATGCTAACTTAAGTCTGCTATCGAGGACTGGAGCAGCCATCATGTGTATGCTAATGTCAGAACTGTCTCAATAAAAGAACCCTAGAGTTTGGAAAAGTGCTAGAGAGGATGGTGTAGAGGGGATAATGATATGCCTGCGGTCCACATTATTGTGTGAAAAGTTATGTGTTTTGAATATTGGGAAACATTTACTTACCTTGCTAATACAGTTCTAAATAGCTAGTGTTGGTGGCAGTTTTGCAGTGCTGTTTGAATGTATGCCGATCATTTTCTAGCAGACCAACAGCATACCAACCTGCAGTGTTGGCATCCATTGACCAACCGGACGCTGGGTTGGCCATGCCCCATACAGTTTGTTTGGGAGAGTACTGCTCGGGGTTTTTTTTTAACCAGTGATAAGCCAGCAACATTTCTACTACCATGATCACAAGTTCCACACTCGATTCTTCAAAGTTCAGTAAAATTCGCGTTTCGCTTCAAGGCTTCAATCTCGCTTAATCTCATGTCTTATTTGCCTTTTGGGCTGAGGTTGTCTCCCTGTTTGCCGCTTCACCTTCAAAGCATGTGTGAATTTCGATCTGTGCTTGGGAGGGTTTACCCCCGTTAGTGTTCATATTCTCACATCGCCCAGTGTTGTTTCGATCTGAGAATCCTCACGTCGAGACTTCTTGAGTTTTCACATTATCTCATCTTGCAGATTTTGATATTGTTGACGTCGCTAGAGCAAATCTGGTCTGCGAACCCAGAAATCTGACCACAGCTGCGACCTACACAGACGAAAAGTAAGCATGGTATTCGGCGTTTTGGTGCCAAAGCTAATTGTATAGTGGGAGCCGAATCATCCAAGCCAGCTTGGCTCGCCGAAACCAGATTCATAGTTTTCAAAGATGGATCAAAATTGACAACTGGTTGTCATGACAAATTGCTACTCGACACGCCTAAACACCAGTGGCCAGAAGACTTGGATTTTGCTATCATGAATGACGGATCTAAAGTAACTAATTCGTGCTACCAATTGATCAAAGATAGTCATGGCTATCGGGATTTGTGGGGAAAAGCGGACCACTTCATTCTGAATTACAAATCCAAGATCTCTGGGGATGAATACCTACGGTTGGTCAATACCCGAGAGTTTGTGTCAGCTATACTCGAAAAGTCCAAAAATGGTAAGTCTTCTCTCATCTAAGACAGGGTCAATGACTGATTCATTGCTTAGGTGTTGCAGCATTGCAGCAGATTATCAAACACCTTACATACTATCACCAAGGATTGACTGTTGCGACAAAGCAGTGGTGCCAGGCCATTGACAGAGAGGCAATATCACCTAAGGATTTGGACAAACCCACATTACCTCGTTATGATTCAATCATACAGCAGTCAAATTACTATATGACAAAAAACGACAAGGATTTCGACGCTCTTGTTACTGCTCTGATGCATCACGCTTTGTACCGATTAATCGCAGTCACAGATCTAACAAGCATCCCAGTTACGACCATCATCATCGAATGTAAGGGCCTACTCAAGAGATGGACAGCCGGCCCCGAGCCACGATTCAAGGCTCTACAGAGCAAAGAATACGAAAATAAAGGCAACTGGAAGAAACTCGAAGAATCCATGGAAATCCTAGAAAATTTCAACCAAACACTCGCCTTCCAACTAGATGAGGCAGGAACCACACTCTACTATCTCCACCACTCTGTTGCCAGACCATGGGGAGAGCTGATCGCAGACACAAGCTACAGAACTACAGCTGAAGATGTCATTAAGTTCTGTGATGGTATCGTTGCTCACAAGTTCTTGCGCTTTGAGAAGAGAGCAGAGTACGAGAAGTGTGAAATGAAACCAGAATTTGTAACGATCTGTGGAACGATACTCCATTCGGGAATCTCGGAATTTCAGGCAAAGTTAAAGAATCTGGAGATCCTAGGGAAGGCGCTTATTAAGTTTGATATTGCGCATGGTGGGTCGAAACTTGGGGTGATGCCAGCGGGTGAAATGGAGTTTGAGATCGGTCGGGAAGGGAGATAATTTTAGGAGATTGGTGGGTGATGGTTGTGTGACGAGATGGGATATTGGTGTTTTGAAGAGTGATAGTTTGTTGGCAGGAAAGGCTGGATGTGTGGTAGATAAACCTACATGCGTGTATGAAAGAGACAACGTGGAGTATCCTCGAGTCTTAGGAAGATCATAGAATATCTCACATCAATGTAAGCATGCTTCAATTCAAATTGTGACGTGATCCCACATGCTCAAGTATTTCGTTGGCCCAATACGACATCTCGCTCAACAACCCATCCATTCAAGCCAGACCAAAGAACCACCACGGCACTATCACAGCTTCAGACCACTGAGTTAAGTAGAATTTGTGCGGTAAATAAGATGGCCAACAACTTACAAAGTAACTAAAATCGACATACTTGGTTGACCGCATATTTACGTCAGTAAGACACCCCCAAGCTTTTACTGTGACCTCTGCTTCTCAATACTCCAAGAACATGGTCTTCTCGTTCAAGGTAGTAACTCAAGTTCGACTGATTTGTTAAATTCTCAATTCGATCAGCTGAAGTTCCGAAGATTGGGATGGTCTTCACCTTCAACTGTGATCTTAGCGTCTCCATTGTCCTTCTCATCTTCAGTGCTCTTTCCTTCCATATCGGGTTGGTATTATTTCGTGCAGAATTGAGTTCCTTACTGCTACACTTCGATCTAAACTTCTACTCAATAGTCAATCTTTCGCCTGCTTCAACCACAACGACTGATATAGCTTAGATCTATCAATCTCAGACCCTTCTTCTTCTCACTTGCATTGATTGGGCAGTGCTGTTATTTCTGACGAAAATTTCGACATAAGGGTGTTAATTAGCCAGAAGTGAGTTTCTGACCCTAAGTGTGGAGCGGATGGTTGATATTATGGCAGTGAATTCTGCAAACCGAAAAGTGGCTTGGCTTGATGGAACCTAGTTTATCCATTTTAAAGACAAATCAAAATTGACGACCACATGCTGTGAAAATATTCGCAGAGGCAGTGAATTACCACCCAACCTAGAGGATTGGTCTTCCCTCAAAACTGTGTACGATCAAAAACTGTACTCGGAGTTTCTAGCTCATCAAATGTGGGAATATATCGAAATTGTGGAAATGGAGTCTGGGAAGACTTTCACACCCAAGACATATAAGAGCTTGCCAGTCTACAATTTGAAGCTCCAACTGGGCTGGAAAACACCGAGACTAGTAGGAGCATCTTGTTCTTTTTTGGCAGCTATACTCACCTCGCGATAGGAATTAGCCAAATGGAGAAAGCCGTCGAGCACATGGCAGCCTACATAAATGAAATACGGACATTGGCGAAGAAGTGGTGTCAATCTATTGACAAGCACGCCGAGTGTCTAGACGATCTTGGGGGCAAGAAGCTGGTTCCGTGGCGTGACTTGATAGCAGGTTCAAATTACAACAAGTCAAATGATAGTGGGGATTTCAACGATCTTGTCCAGGAACTAAAGGGTCATGGCATGAGACGAGTCATAAACATGATGGAAAAAACCAGGGCACCTGTTACAGAGCAGATTATGGAGTGCAGAGAAGTGGTTCACGCTTGGAGGAGCCAACAAGAATATCGCTTACTTGGTTACCGATTTTACGAAACACCAGAGTTTTGGCGAAGGTGGAACAGTGGAGACGAAGCACTTGAATACCTACAAAACTTCACAGCAACAGTCCAAAAAAAAATCGAGATAACCAGGATGGCTCTCCGCGGACTTGAATCAGTCATTTCAGACTCGCGATCTCGACTCACGGCTGACATGGAGGCGTGTGATTATTCAGATCATAACGAGGTGGAAGAATTTTGTCGGGAGGTTATGCAGAAAGAATACGAACGACAAACCAATCCCGAGTCTCTCGCAACAAACCCACCACCAGATCTGGAGGAGATTTATGCTAACATAATCGACAAGTTGTCATTCACGTTCGAGACGTATTTCGACGCGCTGGACGGGTTTTCTGAAAGCTTTTTGAGATAAAGATCAACCATGATATGGACCGATCTTAAACAGCCTGAATCGACATACGAATAAAACTCTCTAGCCATAATACAAGCAACAAAGAATGGTCGTTCTCGAAAAGATGGTGAAGAATCATGATCATATGCTGGGTGTGCAAGCTCAATGAGAAGCACAGGAGTAGACCATCAGGGTTACAAGCCTCATAAGTCTACTGAAGGCCTCAACAGAGGTAGATCAAACTGTTCTAGTACTTTTCATAGGGATATTGCTTAGTTGTCGACACTGCGACTAGAATCACTAGATGCAGATGCATTTGCGTGTGTGTAGGGGGAGTATAGATTATTGAGTCTGAGTCTATCCGTTTAGCTGACACGCTTTTTTGAATCCGCTTTCGTTCTCGAGTACATGACTTTCAAGCTCTTTGTTCTTGCTAGAAGGCTCGTAAAGTATAAAATGCGTCAGTTATGGCAGCTGAACGAATAACAGACAAATCTTCAGCGACGGTAAAATTATGTAGAAAAAAGCCCATCCGCACAATAAAAACAACTTGTTTATACAATCCAACAAGTACAACCATTTAATCGGCCACCGACTCAATAATTCTCGTACACAAAACCACAATGAATTTCCTCGCTTAACCCACCCACCCCCCTAAACCGCCCTATGTCTCGGCCCCCACCATCTTCTCACTCTCGCCCATTTTTCCCCACTTTACCCTCCACACTACTTTTGTTACATTTATATATTCGCAAACCACAAAAAGCTCTCATCCAATCACATTCATCCAAATGTGCCTCATCTTTGATGGTCTAGTGGTCATGATTTCCGCTTGTCAATTCTTCATTGAAAAGCGCGGGAGACCGGGGTTCGATTCCCCGTCAGAGAGATGTTCACTCACTGAGTTCAAGATTCTTTGTTTTTGCATTTTTTTTTTCTCCGGATGGGGAGGTGTGCGGAGAAAGGGGGTACTGGTTCTTGCCTTGACTTTTTCAACGAAGTATCTATTGTTTCTTTAAAAGGGGTTCATATGATTTTGATCCGTCGAGGAGGGTTGAAACGAGGGGAGGAGTTTGAAGTAGATATGTTATCGAGTTAAGCTTCCATGTTTGGACGATACTTCGCTGATTATTCTAGCGTGCGTTGTGATATACATCAGGAGGAAGAATATTTCGAGTTACTCAGAAGAGTGTAAATTATTTTGTCTTCCCGCAGAGATGTGCAAGCTTACATTTACGTAGCAGACATCCTCGCAAGTTTTCAATCGTATCCATTAATATTAAAGTGATACTATACTTTCAATTAACATCCCAGGAAAGTACTTCCTAGTATTTCCTAACCCCTAACCTGCCTCAAAATCCTCAAACTCGGCACCATCCTAGGCCCAACCCACCAACCTCTCGTAACGCCCCGAACCCCATCCCTCACAAGATTAAACGCGCCAAACTGATTCATCTCCTCGGCTCGAATCCGCAATCTCCTCTCTTCCATCTCATTATCAGTCATATGCCCTTCTTCCTTCCCTAACTCCACATATGCATCCTCGACTGCACTTTTCACATCGTCGCTCGTTGGCGCTTCTCTCTTGCCTTGGTGAAGGACTGTGAGGTTGTTGGCCGCGTATATGCGCTCGAGATGTTCTGTGAATGAGGTTCCGTCGCCTGGACGGAGGAATTCGATTCCAGCATACGCGTATATGGTGTCGATGACTTCCCATTTGCCGATTGCGAGGGCGGGGTCTTGCATTATTGCGTAGTCGAATTGATACCAGAAGGAGGGTGTGACGAGGGTGGTGGAATTTTCGGTTTTGTCGTAGTGGATTTTCGTAGGATGGTTGTTGAGGAGGGTTGGGGAGGGGAGTTCGAGGAAGTGAGTTACGCCTGTCATGCAGGATAGGACGTCCATGTGGATATTTAGTTCAGAGGGTTGTGGCGTGCGGGCGAGGATTTCGTGGAGAGTTGAGAGAGCTTGGCCACCTGGGTAGTTGAGGGAGGAGATTAGGAGCATGCCGGTTGATGCTGCTAGACTTCCTAGGCTCGAAACGACCAGAAGAGCGGCTCCGACAGTGTATTTCAAGTTCTTGGATCGTCGAGTCCATATATACGAAGCAGATAAGGAGGCCGCTGCTGTAAGTGGCGGAACGACATAGATGATAAACCGTGCCTCCTTGTGTGGTTGAATGCTGTATATAGCAACGAAGAGTAACGATGGAATTACCAGATTCAGCGTACTCCTCTGCGTGGATGGCAAAGTAATCGCCAAAGGGATAAACAAGAGCTGAATCAACGGATTCAACAACAACTTCGGCAACAAACTCGTGAAATAAAACCCAAACGGCGAGGTCCCCCAATCACTACTCTTCCCCTCAAAAACATTATACCAAAATCCCCAGAGTTCCGGCCATAGCGGCTTTTGCCAAAAATACGAATCCACCAGACTTGTCGCCGCGATTGATAGTGTCCCACTCATCAACCCCGTAACAACCACATCCCTAATCGTAATCCGGAACTGAACAAGCCCAGCCAGGACCTGCATAGCAAGCAACAACGCGATCTCAGACCTAAAAACCACAGCCGAAAACACCATCAGCGAAATCCCAGCTCTCTGTCTACGAACCTCATCCTCCCGTGCCCGTCCTGGTACAGGAATAAAATACCCCATCGCCAACGTCGTAAATCCAAACGCAAACATATTCGGTAGTGTCCTACTCGCATAATATACCACGTGAAACTGGCTCAACTGGAGAAGCAAATACCATCTCCCTACTCCCTCCCCAAAGGCCGCGACCAACGTATCGCGGAAACTGAAAAGACATCGCGCGTTCCACAGCCCGAGGACGGCGCGCACGATATACTGGGCTTTCCCTGGGGATGTGAGAAGGAGGATGGGTTTTGAGACGGCGGCGAGGAGGAGGGCGCCGATGAAGGTGCGGGGGACGGCGCCGGGGAAGGAGATATGGTCGTAGGCGTTGAGGAGGGTGGTGTTGAGCGGGTTGAGCGGGAGGCCGTGGGTCAGGATGTCGTGGGTTGCTTGGATGTTGAAGGATTCTTCGACTTTGGTGTAGGGGGCTAGGAAGAGGTGGAGGAGGATTAGGGTAGGGAGGAGGACGGTGAAGATTGCGTCCAGAATCATGTTAGCATTGTGTGTTTGGGGGAAGGGGGAGGACAAACCGAGGGACTGCATGATGTTGGAGCTCGTGTCGAGCTCGCGGTTCAAGGGAGAGCTTCGAAGCTCTACTTGGAGGTCTTCAGGCTTCCAATTTCCTCATATCATCGCTATCTAACTTTGCAGCGTATCTCCCATCAACTCTTCAGCTTCGCTCTCAAAATTACAGCAAACAACCGAATTACTCAAACAAATTCCCAAATTCCCAAATTCCCAAAAACCATACATCTATCGACGTCGACACAAGGCTCCCAAACCACAACCCCAGCCTCGCTTACCTAACCCCCTCCCATCCCAAATCTGGCATCTCTCAACTACACCTACTCTCATTCTCCTCTCCAGACCACATCCACCACTCCATCCTCTCCCAAACCGTCACCATGCTGCTCTTCGGCTTTGGAAACCTTATATACAGTACCCATCCCCCATCCCCAAAACCCCATTCAAAACCACCTAACACCTCGCAGTCGCAGTCCTCCTCGTAAACGCCATGGCCATCCTCTCCGAAGACCGATTTCTCGCGCGCGTCGGTCTCTCGACGTCAGTTTCTGAGCCAGCGTTCGGGGGCCAGGGAGGGAGCGATGCGAGTATCAAGGGGAAATTCATAAATCTGGTTACGAGTGTGCGGACGTTGTTGAGGAGTAAGTGTGTTTCTTTTCGCGCCGGAGGAGAGAAGGAGAAGAGGGGATTGTTGGGGAGAAGGGGGGGGGAAAGGAATGGAAGGCTAATTAGGAATAGTACCATTGATAGCGGTCAACATAACAATTATACTGTATGAGATAGCGCTGGGTTGAAGGGGGAATGATTAGGCAGATGGGAGATCACAAAAATTGGCGCCACGAATTGGAGTGGGAAGATGGAATGGCAGAAGTTAGCTGGACGAGGTGACCAGACATTTGATATGCTGGGTGAAGCTATCTATGGCGCAAGGCGTTTGGGCGACATGTTGCTTGTGGACGGGGCGTAGGAGGGCACCTTGAGGCTATTAACAAAGAAACGTCCAGCTCGAGAAAATAATTACACTACACATAACCATCAAAATCATATCACAAAGTTCAAATAGCAACGAGATCTTAAAACCTGGACTCTCAACTCCGAAAGTCTCCATGCTGTTAAATACTGCTAATATTCCATTATATATCTCAACTATCCACCTTTCATATTAACTAGCTGTAAGATCAAACCAAAACCCGCCATGCAATATGATCTTCCGCAAGTTTGCTTATACATGTCGCCCAAAGAGGTCGGAGCCACTCAAAATTGTAACTTATATCCAGAAATAAAAACTCCCTGTATGACATATGTGTTGTGAATCGTGGTATCTTGTGAAAGACAAAAGACTGTTTCCTACTCGAGGTCTTCGTTTTCGTCATCGGCTTCATCCTTCATTCCAAAATCAAAGTGCTGTAAATGATGTTTGATATTTTTCCCCGCCCATAAAATGCGAATCATAGTACAAGTTATCTCTTTCAAACCTTACCGCTTTCGGAAGCGGACATTTCATCTTGCCATACTCGGCCATGCTTAAGAAGGGAATAGGTTACTCTTCTTTCGTCCCAGGCTGAAACTGAACCGGTCCTTGGTGGCTTTCGAGTGCTTTTCCGGAGTTTGTGGTCCCGAGTCTCCTTCAACCGCTGTGGATTCTTCTTTTGCTTCCGATTTCTTCCCGCCGCCAAGAAATCCAAAACTTTTTCGACTCATACTTTTCGATACCGTATGGGCTCTACTAAGTGATCCTATGGCTTTCTGCGCATGACCGTTCTCTTTTGCCGCACCGTTAGCACTACCGCCTTCAGCAAGCTTCCGCTTCTCTTCATCTTCTGCCGTTTGTTTGCTGGCGGCCAAAGCTCGTTTGATTTCTTCTTCCTCAGCTTTCGTTCGCTCCTTTCTCGTATTGGCCAAGTCCTTTCTCCTCTGCTCATCGGCCTTGATCTTGTCCTTCTCTGCCTGTTTTCTCGCTTTCTCAGCTTCTTTCAACTCCTTCTTCTCACGCTCTTTGTCCGCTTTACTCTTCGGTTTGGCCGGTTCTAGTATGGGCACGTGAGGTGCAGCCGGCGTTAAAGGTGCTGCTGGTGGGGGTGCCACGCCGGGCGAGGTTGGAAGGGGGCTAGAAACCGCATGGTCCAACGAGGCGTGTTCGTGTATCGTATCCACGGGCTGGGAAGGAATCGATTGATGTTTCGTTAACCCATTTGTTTGTGTTTTTCCAAGAGCGACGTCGGCTTCTTGTGTTGCAAGGGTCACTTCCGCAAGTCCTTCCGCTTCTTGTTCCTTGCGCATAGCTTCAACAGTTGTTTCCTGATAGAATAAGACATAGGCACATGCCTGGCCAGGTTTGTCTCCAAAGAAGTTCTTCACATAGTGCTTGTCAACTGGTTCCACCATCTCATCATCGAATAAGAGCCAGCCACGATCTTGAGTTTTGATAACAGACACGTAGTGACCGTGATATGCATTGCTACCGATGTGAACGACAATCGCATATAGCTCATAAAGTCGATCAGGATCCTCCGCATCGTCAGTAGTATTGAACATGCGCAAGTGATATGGGTACACAACTCGATGGAAGAGCTTTTGTAAGCGGGTCATATCCTCGGTGTATTTGAATCTCTTCAAATGTAAGGTCAAAATCTTAGGCAGTTTCTTGATCTTCATTCGCTTTTCAGCCTCTTGAAGTCCACCGCAATTATCACAGTGAAACTTGTTCCTCTCGCAAAGCATTTCTTCCGCGGAAAACTTTCTCAAACATGAGGTCACTGATGAATGTTCTTCAAGATCGATAGAAAGATCCAAAAAGGTCTCGTCTCGCTGAGACGCTGTCTCACAAGTTAGACATTTTGTTTCCGACGTCAAAGTGCCCTCGAATATGTCGTGAACCCATCCAGTGCCCGGAGATCTCGTGCCCGTGCCAGAAATGAGGCCCATGGCCATCGCACTGGAAGTCAGTGCGGATTTGTATGCTGAATTGGGATCATTCTGCGCTGAATCAAGTTCCTTCATCCTTTGTGCATTGGCTTCGACGTTTGAGATTACGGCGTTGAGTACGAGCCCATAAAATTCATGGGCATCTTGATGCATAGACGTTCGGAACATTTCATTGTCCCGTTTAAAGATTTCCAGAAACCTTTGAGGACTCAAAACTCCGGTCCGTGATGAATTTGCGATCATAGCCATGAAAATGTCTTTTAGTGCCGTAAACGTCGATTCCTCCATGCCATAGGACGCAGCATTTTCGTATGTCAAGTCCAAAATAGGTCCGGCAAGCATAGCATGCTTCTTCTTATATTCTGGCGAATCTGGCTTATCTTCCGGTCGCTGACCCGTAGCTGGAGGTGCTGGCTGCCCAGAATTGATCGCTGCCCTCCGCTTCATGGCTTCGGCCGCAGATATGCCCTTTGCTTTCCCAGGAGCGACGGCGCCATTCTGCATAGGTGCCCTTATTGGTGTGACGATCGGTGTTCGATTCCCGTTCGGTGTATCGTGGGGGGAGTGGGGAGGATATTTGACGACGTTTTCTCGAAAAGGCGTGGAATAATACAGCGCTTGAACAATTGAGTTGCAGTAGCTGTGGACAATTAGCTTTCACTTCATCGATCCCGTAGCTAGACAAACCATGTGTTTCCAAACTGAGAGGAACGTTAGCGCAATCCATTTAAAATGTGCTAGTATACTTACATTTTCCATTCCAAAGAATTTATCACTACCGTCTTCTCGTAAAGGCCCAGCATTCTGAAGCATCTTCACCAGCGGCGTGATTTCTGGCTCGGGTTCCGCATCTTTCTTGCCCCGCAGGGGAGAGTTGACGCCTGGGCTTGTCGCTCCCTAAAACGCGATATCCGTTAGTTCATGGTGTTTCTTGCTGGCAGTCAGAAGACCAGGCTGCCGACGAGTCCATCCAGTGTAGACAGTCCCCGAGAGATAGGATATACTGACGGACGCCGCTCCTTTGAACTTGCTTAAAAATGACATTGTTGCCGTCCTGTTCCAGCCAACAACAGGTCACCACTGCTCGTCACAACCTCTTTGCGCCTCGGCGGCGACAACGCAATTCGAGTAGGCAACTTAGGTCGTGATCATGCGCAAGGTGTCTTTTTGATCACAGATGTATCGATAATGTTAGACGCTCAGCTGAAAAGCAGATCCGACGAGTCGACCGTTCCTCCGCGAGCTAGCTGAGAGAACCTGTTCAACGCAACTCTACGGCGCAGGCGGGGTGGGAGCCTCGGGGTGTCTGTCGTAATCGAAGGGTGTGAATCGACACTGAGGTCAAGTGTGGCTAGGGAGCGGTGGATTGGTCTGAGGAATGGCAATGGAGGAACAAGCAGTTTGTCGTGTGGAAAGAGAGAAGGGCGGAGGGTTGTGGTGATGGAGAAAGCAGGGTGCGAGATGGGCGGGAGCAGAGCAGAGCAGAGTGGGTGTGAATGTTCGTGGGGACCAGCACCAGCGTCGAGCGTCACTGGTCTGATTGGGGCAGGTGTTGGTGGTGCGGGTGCTGTGGCTGGTTTTGCTTTAGGCTTGAAATAGGCTGCCCGCACCACGCTTCGGCGCACATCGACGCAGCTACAGGCCTCGAAGCAGCAGCACGAGAGCCTGGCCGTCCCCACGACCACCCCTCGACCACCCCCGTATTCCGAAGCTTCGAAGGAACTTCTAGCCGGGTTTGGTGGAACAGGCCAGTCCACCAGGTGCTCGGGAAAAGCAGCCGAAAGAAGACACCCATCGCGCGCCCTTCCTCCTCGAGTCTCAACCATGAGACATCGTACGCAGTTCTAGAAGCGCGGAAGCGACCTGATTCCAGCGCACAAACGGCATCGACCAAACCTTCACGATGCGGTGCCTACCGGCGGAGGTAACATTCAGATATTTCCTGGGACGAGAATCGCATTTTTCCTGGTCGCCCATTCAAGTAAGGTACGCACCTTGCCTGCATCAACACTGTACGGAAAGTACGCTACGCGCAGGAAGAACACGCAAGAGTGTATGGGCCAGCGTATCTTCCTTGCCCTTTCTTTTCCCCTCAAACATCACGCTTCCAATGAGAAGCAACTCGTCCGGGGCCCTTATTCTGTTTGCCCCATCTTTCGCCAATTCTTTTGAGAATTCGAGATTCCGCAGCCAATACCGGACCAGAGTATCACCAGTATGCAGCAAGCTTCGGTACGCGACACCTGCGTGGAAGACTCGAGGAAGGCAGAAATCCGAAAGATCATGCAGAGATATCACAACCGTCCCCATTGTTTTTCCTTAGAGGCTCAGAACTTCACATTTAGGTCGACTCCGCAAATAATAATGGCAATACTATTCCGCAGTGTGGGGTCAAGCTCGAGGGTTTCTAAACGGCGCTGTGGCTCCAGACATGTCGCGCTTCGCTCGTTGTGGTCGTTGAATCGTTGATCTGGTTTCTGGACCATGTCAAGCAGAAGGGATGGTACAGCATTATATTTCGGCGGCACTTATTCTCTCAACTGTTCGTCTACTCATTCTTGTCCGACAGCAAGCTGGAAGTCGTCTCTTCCATCTGCCATTGACCGCCGATACAATTGATTGATGCTCACCTATGACGAATGCCTCCTGCAAGAACGGGTATCAACGTGGAAAGCGCCCTATCATATTTACTGCTGGTATCGACAAACGACTTGAAGGCTGCATCATCGGCCCGGATCGATATGAAAGACACAAAAAAGGCGCATGTACAATTCGAGTCCTTGTAGATTGTGGGCAGCAGTGATTCTGGCAAAGCATTGTGAGGATTGGTGCGCTGATGTTGTGACAGGAGAAGCTTCCGATGACTTGCGAGCAACAGAGGTTGTTTGGGACCAAGTTGCGGCCGTCCTTTTTCTAGTTTCCATCAATCACATACAGACGCCCCACGATATCGAAACAAGTTGGTATGCAGCATCCGCACCAGTTCCTGGTACGGTATCTCTACAAAGCCTATTTGAGAATGTTGCGAGCATTTGTTGCGCATATAACCTACGCATTTTCACTAGGATTCTTCCTTTGCCTATTCCAAAGAAACCCAAATTCGGTCTCCTACAATCGCCAGGCGTGTGAAAACTTCGACAGACAATTTATACCAAACTTCGTCCAAAACGCCTGCTGGCTTTTGATCTTCAGTCAAATTACCCCACTTTGACACGGCTGAAAAACCGTCTCCGATGACCCAGAGCGACGCCTCCAACAAGCTGCAGTGCTGCCAAGTCAACCTCAATTGCTTGTGCTAAATAATATCTCAGAGGATCATTTCTACAGGCTAAAGTCGACTCTCCTTAGCGAAATCCTGAGCTGAAACGGGAATCCCAACTGCGAGAAATCTAACTTTACGATGGCCACATGGCAGGACAACCTCATCAACTCATGTTTCCCATGATTATCGAGGGGAGCCTGTCAAACACGTGGCTTGCGATCGAGTGATCGTCGGATTTCCCGTATTCCTGGATGCCGGGTTGAAACGGCCTAAAAGCGTGTGGGGTAAATGTCCTTGAGGAGGGGTTGTTCTCCTTTGTTTTAGCGTTGGAAATGCTGCTATTGTAACACCGTTTCACTGCTTGGTGTAGAAATTATCTACGAGAAGACTTGATATAGTAAGTGTAACATCTAAGAATTCTCAAATGAGATGAAGTTTCGTTTGATGATGTTTTAGGTAGACGAGGTCAATTGGATAGGACAGCTAACTTTATCTCTATTCAACGGTCTTACTACGGTGTAGCGGGTGATCCTTTGGCTAGGTCTAGGTGATTAACGTTTCCCTCGAATTCAGCTACGGTTGCTTTTGAAGCCACTCTGAACAAGCACGAAGTATTTGAGCTTGCCTGCACTAATCCAAACCTCGTCGTAGCCTCCGGATTCTCAATATCGTCGATACAATACTCTATTAAAATCTATCCTTCTGCCATTATGAGTCCAAGTTACTGTCCAACTATTTTATCGCATTAGTGGTTTGGCACAACTTGTTTTGAAGTTTTGGACCTCACAATTACCAGGATGAACATCAGTCTCTCCACGAGCGACGTACAAAATATGCATTTAGCCTATTCCAACATTACCTACAAACAAACATTATCCTCGCGTATGTTCCCTATTGAAGATTAGTCCCGGCTCAGAATTCATATTCAGAATCATGGCGACGAGTCTGAATCATGTGGATCACCGACTGGCCTAGTCGTCAATGGTGCTCGCGATTCAATACTCGCTACCACATCTTCAAATTCGATGGTCATTTGACATCATCGCACTGCCACAGCAGGGCCAGGCCTTTATTCTCTTGATCGTTCATCGGTTGAGAGTTAAGTAATATCGCACAGTCGATTAAAGTACTAAGTACTAAGAGCGAAACCACGTCAAGATTAGGACCAAACAATACAGCGCAATGATAAGAAAAAGAGAGGGGATATTTCAACGACGAGTCGGTACCCAAAATCTGAGGGTGGTATACTAGGTACGGATCAACAAAAATTAGGTCTCGCAATCATCTATCCTATGGCTTAAGAAAATGCCCAAGTATTAAGAAATAAAGTCTTTGGTTTAGATGAACAGCATGAATTCTGAGAACATCGTAAACGCTGGAGATAATTGTGACGATAGGATATCGAGGCATCCTGAAGATTTGATTTATAGATGCGTCGCGGCGTAGGATATAACAGTGTTGAGCCGTCTACACAACATTGTTTGAAGAGCAAGAAAATGTATTATACCAATCAATCCAATAAACAAGGTATCATTCAACACTTCTAATCTAATAACTAACTATATATCCAACACCGTCTACCCCAACTACTAATACACCCCATCTAACATACACGCTTAGAACTCCCAGCAATGCCTCTTTAATCTAAATCTATACACACTCACTGCAAATCCTTCAACCTCTTCGTCGCAAACGCCGCGCCAATTGTGCTCAACGCCCCAATAAAAAGACACACGGCAATAGCATTCGGGCCATCCGTCCCATGATGTTCATCCGGATGCGCATCATGTGCTAATTCCGGGCTCTTCCCCGGTTCTAGAATACTAAATACAATCATACTTATGAACGTGCCGATGAACTGCGGGATCGTGGTGTAGATATTCAGGATGCCGAAGTAGAGACCGGAGAGTTCGCCGGTGGAGGACACGGGGTCGTCGAGGAGGCCGTGTTCGAGTTTGAAAGGCGTGCTGGGGGAGGTCATTTCTATTCGCGAGGAGGAGAGACGTCGGTGGGAGGGTGCGGTGCTGGAGAGTCGGTTTACTTCGATTCCGAGGTAGGTGTTTGGTGCCCAGGTTGCGAGGGCCCAGGGTAAACCGCAGAGGGCGACGAGGAAGGTTGCTGCGCGAAAGGAATGCACGAAAGGTGCCATCATCATTACACTGCTGAACATGCAGTGACCCCACATCCAGGCTGTGAGGAGATCGGGCTTGTACTCGTTGAATTTGGTGACGATACCTGCTATCGCTGCCGGTGGTCGAGCTGTAAATCCTTCTTCGTCGGGTGATTTGACAAGTTGTGGCAGGATGAAGGCTCCAATACAGGTAACAGTTGAGAAGACTACAAGTGACATGCTGCCGATTCTTCCAATGTCTCCTAGTGCGTCTTTGGATTGCTTGACATCGTGAGGCGCATCGTATCTGAAATATGTCTCGCCTACCCAAGTTGTGGAATAGAACAGAAACGGAAACCAACCAATCCACTAGTTTTGAATTAGCATGTTAGAGAAACAGAAAGCACGAGATGAACTTACACTCCACACTTGCACATTACAGATAGCCTGAATCCTTGGAGGTAAGTTCGTAGCTGTCTTGAAAATATGGCTAATCATCTGAAGAGGCCCTGCTTTTGATTCTGTAGACTTGCTTGAAACTAGCACTCGTTCCGTAACTGCCCATGAAGTAACACTAACTGCGAATATCAATCCAAAAGCAGCGATCAAAGTCAACTTCTTGAATTGAGTATCACCAAACGAGGGTCCAAAGACTGCGACAAGGTCAATGGTGCCGGCTACGTATCCAATGATGTGGCCCATAGCAGCCATTCGGCTTCCTGTATCAGGTCAGAATAGTTCTTTTGCATATGTCGAGGGGTTTCTCACCCCAGGAGCTTCCAGCCTGTTGTTTTGGAATTGGCAGTGTATCAACAATCAAGCTTCGACAGCATGCTTGTACCGCGTTGATAGCAAAATCGACCGCATATATGGCCAGAACAGCAACGAAGATGGTAACCGTCTTTCTAAAGTCCCCTTCCTCAATGAAATGTCCAACGATTTCTTTCGTCCAGCCAAGCACTATCAAACACGCCGCAACTAGGAGAGATCCTATTACCATCACCGGCCGCCGTCTACCATATTTCGATGTTGACCTGTCCGCAATTACTCCAACAATAGGTTGCATTATCAGACCCGAAAGCGGTCCCGCGATCCAAACCAAGGAAGTTTTCGATTTCGTGAGTCCGAGTTGTAATAGATAGGGTGTGCAATCTGTCCCAATTAGCAATTGGCCTACTGTCAACATGCCTCTCTACTCACAAGTCATTTCAATTCCCCAAGTAAACCTGTATATCCAATTAGCTCCCTATCGTGCTCGATTGTGCCCCACGGAATCTCATGTATACTCACTGTAGACCCACCAGCGAGAAGGTCAACAGTGCCATTCGCATCGTCTCCGTAGAGCCCTTGACATGAGGTTGTCCACTCCATGATGCCATCTCCTTTCTCGCGCCCAGAATATGCGGTTTCTCAAATGTACTTTCAAACACCTCCTCCACCTCAACCTGTCCCGCGAACTTCTCAGCCGTATCGATAGCCTCACGGCCACGCGTCCCTGGGGTACGAAATTGCGAATCTGGCATTTTGGAGTTAGTTTTCGAGGTGCATTTCGTGATTAAATATTTCGAGAACAGATGAGGGTACAAAACTTACAGATTAAAGCGTCACATCAGAACTTTAAAGGTGGCATGAATTCCCTATGCGTGGTGGTGTGTGGCTTTTGGGGGTTAAATGGGAGGAATGTTGGACTCGCGGCTACGCTGTCAGCCCTGTGGTTGACGTCCCAAAGTGACGAGACTTCAGGGGCTGGCAAGCGATAGCGGACCCACGAACACCAGAGCAACGTATGCCGTGTCTTTATTTAGAACCTGTATCTTCAGCCGACAGCCTTACATTGCTTCGATAATACGTCTTATGCACAATAGTACTAAGTCTTAAGTCATCAATGCTCCCTTGGGTATCTTAAATACAAAAAAGTATACTGTCTTCTGCCTAAAATTGCTCCATCTTCTCTTCCAATTCTTTAACCCAACCTTCAACAACCTTAATGTTCCCGCTCATAACAGTCTCGTTCTCGCCAAAAGCGCTTTCTACCTTTTCGAGCCCTTCTCGCCATTTTCTTATCTCCTCCGCCATTCCAATCTGTTTCTTTTCGATTGCATCTAGACTTTCACTAGCGGTCGCAGCGTCGGCATGAATAGCTCGTAAAGACCTTAGTCGGTCGAGCAAAGAGGGTAAGATAGGTGCTAAGTTCTCAATTGTTGGCAATGTACCATAAAGTGCATGGATTTTTGCAGTTTCTTGCGACTCTTCATCATCGTCTGAGGCGGCATCACCGCCTCCTGCTCTTAATGATTGCTGCGCTGCTTTGGCAGCCTTCCGAGACTCGTGTAACTTGTCAGCGTCCTGTGTAAGCGAACGTACTCGACGGCTGATACCATCTAGAGAAGATGGCGTTGTTTCTGCAATCAATGAGATTTGACGATGTAGCGTGTCAAGTGTAGGTAGGATCGCTTTGGGTGTGCCATTGGCATTCAAAGCAATTGGCTCCAGGCCCAGTGCCTTTTCTAACATTGCTAGCCGGCCATCAAACTCGGCGGCTTTCGCTAAGGCATGACTTTGCTGATATGTCGGCGCGTAGGTAACTGTGTATGTAGAGGGTTCCCCAGTGCCCTTTACTGTTTGTGGTGGTCCGTTCGCTTGTATCCCAGTGCCCAGGTCCTTTGCAAAGTTTACAGCACCTCCTTCGTTCGTGGATATACCGTCCAGAATCTTGCTGAGCGCTGCAACATCAGGTTCTAAATCTTTGGATATTGTTGCACTGGCTCCCTTTCCCACCGCTCGCCTGCCTACTTCGGCTTTGACTTCTTCGACCTCTCGTCTTAATCTTGCTAGCTTCCTTTCCAGTCCTTCTCCATCGTCATCATCACTCGAGTCCCCATATTCCTCGGTACCGTTTGCTTTGACACGCTGTCGTCTCGAGGATGCCTTGTAGGATTTCCGCTTCGCGGTCACTCTATCAGAGAAATCTACATCACGAGCATCAATTCGTGCGGGCTCGAAATGTGTGCGGGCTTCATCGGGGCGGAGGCGCGACCGAAAAACTCCAGACGTCCGAGAGGTGCCAGAGACATCATCTTCGTCGTTATCGAAATCTTTGTATGATGATGAAGTAGACTGTGAGCGTGCTCTTCCTGTCTAATGAATGTGAGAAAGGATCTCCCAAGCAGGTCAGATACTGACCGGTGCGGTAGAATTGTCGTCAGTAAGTTCTGGTGTTTCGTAGACGTCTGGAGCAGAATCCTAATAGTGACAGAATTAGCCAGAGATTCCCTGAGAACAGATAAACTCAAAATCAATACCAGATCTGGAAGCTCGGCATATTTTTTATTCAGCGCCATGATGTGAGAGAATGATCGATTGCTCGGGACAATGAGGTTTGAACTTATCCATGCATGCTTTCAGGTACCGAATGCGGCAGACAACAGGGATCCTGGAAGCTTTGACCATCACGCCCTTGTATTCTCTGCCGAGTCGACCTCATTGTTCTTGCGAGTCGTGAAGAATAAGTCTCCACGACTTTTCGCAGAAGGGATCCAGACTCGATTTGGCTTTTCTGGTTATTCCTGTCACCATAAATACTTCAATATTTTGTGGCTCAAACGGTAGTTACCTATTCAATGCTTCTACGATAACTTACCATTCCGGAGGAGCAGCTGGAGAAAGACGCGACTCGACGCGTTCCCATTCCACAGTGATGTCTGGTGTGTCAAATTATCTTTATTTGCAAAACCACACAGCACGGCGTGTGGGGCTGACTCGTTCAGACCGCCCGAGTGGAGGTTGTCAGCCCAAAAAATACAAGTACAGTTCCAGTCCAAGTCCACCTCCAAAAGAATTCAAGTTGCACACTTTGGAAGAGTCCAAACAAGATGAAGCTGAGGAGGACATATTGGCACCACCCGCTTCAGAGAGCTCAGACGACGAAGCAGACAGACAGCGTGCAAATATACAGCCAAGCACAAACATTGGCAAGAAAGCAAAGGTAGGAAAACCGGCGAGTTCGAGGGGCAAGCCCAAAGGTCCAACCATAAATGGCAATAGCAAATTGGAGACAAAGCCAAAATCGTCAGTGTCATCACAGGATAATGGACAAGCTAGCCCGAAGAGAAAGAGCCAGGAGGATTTTGAGGGAGGTGTCTGGGAGAAGAGGAAGAAAAGAGTGAAAACCCAGGCGAAATATGGGAGCCAGTCTAGTCAAGGAAAGGGTAAAGGCAAAAGTGCGACTAATGTCATGTCCTCCAACAATTCTGAAGGTTTGTGGAATCTGTACTTTCGCGTTACTGTCCAAGAAACTAATCTACAATAGGTGGAGCACAGAAGTCGTCTGTTCTAGGCTTCAAAACTGTGGAAGCTTTGTCTGACCCAGATACCCCTCCAAAGAAAGAAAGACAAGATGGGATTAAGAAATTTTCTCCGATTAGTTCTCCAGAGGCAACCCCAGTCAAGGCGAACCAGCTCAAAGTCTCAGGTTCTCTTTCCCCGACCCCAGTCAAGAAAGATTCCGGATTCGTTAAGCCCGAATATGATGATTTCGACGAACTCAACACACCGAATTCGCCAAGCTCGGTCGCGAGTAAAGTAAAGAAGCACAAAAATGTGGCAAATGATGACCCCTCAGTATCATCGTCTTCCTTCAAGATGCTTGGCGGCATAGATGAGTTGGCTATTCAAGCCCGTGCCTTCATTGATCAGGACAGCCTTGATGCTCAATCTTTACTGGCTCATGAGAATGAAATCACTGGCTCGCAGAGTAAACGATGTCCCATGTGCAAGAAGATGGTTGACGATGAATATCTGCGGAAGTTCAAAGGTCTCAGCACTCGTATGCAGATGAAGTCTTGCCAGTCTCATCAGAAAACTACAGCTATCGAGGAATGGAAAACGAAAGGTTACCCAGTCATAAATTGGGAACGTCTGAGCTCCCGGATAGATGAACATCACCAATTCATCGAAGGTCTGATTAAAGGCGCAGAGTGTCATTCTCGATCCCTGCTTGAAGAGAGGATACAGGCTGGGAAAGAACGTAACCTTCTTACTACGACTTCAAATCTCATTCCCGGTTATTATGGAGCGCGGGGTCTCCGTGATATTTCACAGCAGGTAATGGAGAATTTTTCCGAACTCCTTAGGGAAAGAGCTGTCAAAGATAAAACAATAGCGGCCAGAACCGTGACGGGCTTTCTGCACTCAGTTATTGTACCCGAAGTTACGGTATTGCTAATTGCCGATGATATGAAAGTTGGCACAGAAAAGGCGAGAGACATCCTGAATGATAGTGTTGGCCTGGGCGAGATGGTCCATGAAGATATAAAGGACGTCGTCAAGAGACGTGTTCGGGGTAGCGATGATGACGAAGATTTTGATTGATGATTGAGATTTACGGGACTTTGATACCCACAATGGCGTTGGTTTCAGCATGTGCGCAGGGCTGTGTGCTAGATTAGCATGGCAGGGTGTACATGAGCGATTAGGCTGCAATGCCGAGCGTATTAGAATTATGTCTTATAGACCGGATCATATCCACATTTTGGCTAGAATTCAAGAGCGAGCTTCACTGTTACGAAACTATTACCAAGACTTCAGCTCGAAGACAACATAATAGATCGCCTGTGAGTGTGGGATCTTAATATCACTCCATGACAGTCTGCAAGAAATCTACTAGAACTGATTTCATAAATCTAAACTCTTTTCATCCAATCGATCTCAACATCTAGAATGAAGTCTATTGTACAACTTCCATAAACTCGCAAGCTCCATCGTCCCAACTCGCAAAGCAAGCCGCTATCTGATTATCATCAGCTGTTGGTAGGCAAAATAATCGATACTCGGCAGTTGATGAAGGGTAGTTATCATCAACTATCGATCCGGTCCTCAAATTAATCGCGGTCACTAAATGTGTAGTACTGCGTGTGATTTCCTACGGTGATAGTTCAACCCTAATGCGGGTAGCGACTCGACAACCACTCATGTAACTCTGGAACTCGCCTCTCCAGCCCATGGTTTCTTCTAGTCAGCTCCTCGACTCTACTCTCCATCAGACCGGTGCTTCTCCTCAGCTCCTCCAAATCTCTCAATATCCGATGCAGCCGCTCCTCGACGCCCACCCGAATACTTTGAATTATCGGCTCAGCGCTGGTCCGGTCACCAAGAGCCATACTCTCTGACTCTCTAGTCTCATTGGAATCTGTTGTTGTTGATGCTGGTAAGGAAGCCATCGTTGCCCGTATGGCACTAATTTCTCTCTGTAAAGAACCAACTTCAAAATCTCGGTCATTGTCATCATCATCATCAGAACAAACTGGCACGTTCTCCTCCTCCTCGACAACGGTCTGCGCACCTGCAAGAATATCATCCATATCATCATCGGAATAGCCCTCACGGTCAGCAATCTGCGCGGTTGGAGGTTGACGGCGTGAGCGAGTGGACGGAGTCCAAAGGCTATTTCTTGTATACGCATCTTCATTTGGGTACGTGATCCGCCGGCTGTACGTCGTGTCGGTGAGTTCGCAGACAGTGAAGCTAATGACACTGAATGGCGATGCGTCTATAACTTCGCGCATGTGAGTGAAGGCACGCTTTTGGTACTGAAACCAATTCGTTAGTTTCAAACGATTGACATAATATCAAGAATACTTAGCGCTTTACCTGGTGAACACATTCCTCATCCAGCTTCGTGAATGCCTTCCTAACCTACGACCGTTAGCACTCTTCTTACTTCCTCCTCCTTAAGTTTCGAAACTAACCTCACGTTGCAACTCTCTCATCTCCTCGTCACAAATCAAGCCCCTGACCCCATTCTCCTTACAAAAACTAGTGGCTAGACGAAGAATGTAGGACGCTATGAGGCCATGGCGGGCATCCACAACCTTTGTTTCGTATTCTTGCAGGAAATACTTCCAACACTCGATAACATCATGATAGTCTTGGCCGAACTCACGCACTCTCTCTTTATCGTCCGCACTATATTTGGCAAGATTGTCAGTTCATGTGCTACGAACGCGTAGAATACTCTTACAGGCCATCGAGGGTTTGATGTCCATGAGGATAAAGCTGGAGTAGGAGCCGCTCCTAGTCTCGTTAGCAAGTTATCATTGGGAGATTTGGGGTTCACAACATACAATAGCTTCAAAAGGCTCCCAGCCATCATCGTGTACAGAAAGCAACGCCACCATTCTCGCGACATTGTAATGCCATTTTGGATCTGGAACAGGAGGTGCTGATCCGTAAGCACGCCGTCTTGACAGGCGCGTTGTAGAGCTCGATCTAGCTTCTATTGCGGAGAGCACTTCCGATTGGGTGGCATTTAAGGACAGGGAGCCAGGTGATGTTGTCTGGGTGGAAGTATCTTCAGTCTCTGGGTTGGTTGCTTGGACTGGAGGAACTTCGATGGATTGGATGACGCGAAGGGTCTCTTGAAGGATTGTATTGTCAGGCTCAGCGATGTGGTCTGTTGGAGGTATGGTAGGTGCGTTTGAAGCTGTTGTTTCTGGATTGTCAGTTTGTTCTGATGCGTTGTGAGGAGCTGAGGAGGTTGCTTCGGGATTCTCAATTGCCTCTGAGGCGTCAAGAGAAGCAGGTGATGCTTCAGTGTCGTCGGTAGATCCGACGAGGGTGAGAGGGGCCGGGGAGGTTCCTTCCGCATTATCACTTAGTTCTGAGATGTTTGGAAGCGCTGAGGTGACTTGTTCAGAGTCGTCGACCGATTCTGAGACGTTAGAGGGTGCTGAACAGGTCTGGGGGTTGTCAATTGGGTTTGCAATATCGAGAGATGTGGAAGAAGTAAGTTCAATGTCCATCGCTTCTGACATGTTGAGAGGGGCTGGAGTGGTTGCTTCCGGCTGTTCAGAAGGCTCTGAAATATCGAGAGACTCAGCAGAGATCGTCGGGGGTTGATCAATTTGATGTGACAAGATCAGATGTGCTGAAGATGTCGACTCGGTATTGTCAATTGGTTCTGCCATGTTGAGAGATGGGTTGAAAACCGAATGGCTGTAGGTCGGAAAGCGCAGCGCTTGAGGTCTAGAGGGCGGTGGTAACGGATGGATGATGAAGATCGAGGGGTCGACATTTTCGACGCGTTTTAAGAACTGGTGCCTACTGTGTGATGCAATTGACATTCACTTTCGTTGTCAATGTATCTAGACGTACTCGCTTAGTCTCGGTCGACGGGCCAGATAATTGTTGGAGTGCGAAGTCCACAAGGTGACTTGCACTCGTTGAGGGTTATGTACGAAGACATATCTGACGACGATTTTCGATGTAATATGAGAGATTCTTGTATATTCTAGGAGTGAATGAATAGGGGCTAGAAGTAAATAAATTGTAGATACCTAAGTATAATTTATAGGCTATGATTCACAGTCTATTAGATGCCCTAGAGCTTGAAGGTTTTTTCCTACCTTTCCACATTGTATGTTATCTACCCTTATATTTCAAATGGTTATGAGCGTTTTTTGTCTGAAACCCCTTTTGGAAAAGAACAATAATATGAATGATCACGGCACCCCCGACGAGTTTATGGATTTGGAAAGACTTGCCGGTCAATCGAACTACCTCAGATGGAGTAGTGATTTTAAACTTATTGCCCAATGTAAAGGAGTATGGTCAATTATCGCCGGAGAGGAGGAAATCCTGGCAAAACCAAATCGAAGTGATTACTTTGAGTCAACTGTACGAACCAGCGACAGATTGAAATCGAAGGAACCAGCGGTAGAGAAACCTTCGGACCAGCAGACACCTTCGGATCAAAGCGCAAGAATCGCCGAATACCGTCTTGATCTTGACGAGTATGAAGACAATGAACGGAGAGCACGTCTAGCCATGATGTTAATTATCTACTGGACAGATCCGTCGATTCGCGGCACACTACTACAATATGATACCCCAGCCGCCATATGGAAGGTGGTGAAAGATCAGTACCAAATGTAACATATAAAAAAGACTTACTATCATGATCAGCAGTAGCATTCATATTTTCGGCCCCTTCAAGAGAGGGGGTGTGGTGATCAAAATATGTTATCTCAAATTCACTATAATCCTAACCTCTAAACAAGCCATAACATCCAACCCTTCAAAAACCAAAGTGGAAATGCCCCAGATGCCATAGACAAGAAAAGTATATGCATGATAAAAACCAAAGAACGCCAGAGATGACCATGCCATCGACGCCTTCGCTTAAATGAATGATAATTCGACACTCCGCCTCAATCCTGATGTCTCCGCTCTTCATCCTCCTCATCATCACTTGCTAACAATGCACGATCTTCACGGTCGTCTTCATCCTGATGCGGAGTGGATAGCCCACTCTCTTCGCGTCTTCGTCCTTCAAGAACTTCGGCGAGTTTAGTGCCCTCCTCTTTGCCACGGTCTACGTCGACAAAGTATAGTATAGGCGCGGGCAGACCCACGAGTACAGCTAAGAACCAAAAGGCTGGGCGAATGCTGCCTGTACGGTCCACTATGATTCCGACAATTGCGGGACCGAAGATACTAGATCCTTTGTCGGTAATGGCATATAAGGCGTAAAATGCGGCTTCTGATCCTGGGGGGATGAGTTCACCGAATAAAGCACGACAATAACTGCTTAGCCCACCGAGAACAAACCCGTAGACGAAGCCTAAGGGATACATCTCCCATGGCTGTTGGAGACCTATGACTCCCCATCTCTTGACGAAAGGGATATAGCTTAATAAACCATAGAGCGGGATTATTTCAAATAGGAAGATGCACGCCATAATCGTTTGATGGGGTTTTAGCTTAAGCCCTCGTGATATAGCAGCCCACGAGAATGCACCAATTACACCTGCGGTCGTCGCAATGACATTGATAAGGCCGAGAGCTGGAGCTTTCATCTGTAGGGTAGTCTTAGCGTATAGTACTGCTGTGCCCGAAACTGTAGCAATCGCATCCGATAACAAAAACCAAGCGGCTAAGAACAACACAATATCTTTCAGACGACGAGCCAGTTTCACGGTCCGCCATAGAGAGCTCCACGCATAGGTGAAGTACGCAAACCATGAGCGTGTAGAACTCGGGTCGTTTGGGTTCATAGATCTCAACGGAGGTCCCGGTCTAGGTCTTAACCACATCGCAGCTGGAAAGGTAAACACGAACCACCATGCTCCTACGAGGAAGAGCGCGACGCGTAATGAGAGGGTCGAACTACCCATGGCGAAAACGACCAGAATGCACATGCATTGTAAAAATAATCCTGCGCTGTATCCAATCCCGATGCCCTTTGAAGAGATCTCTGTAGCTAGCTGTAATTCAACGGAAGTCAGGCTTTCCGCCGGTGGCTTCGGACTTATCGCATCTGGTACGTCTAGAAGCGCTGCGTTAGAATTTATGGAGAGACTATCATCAGATCTCGAGAGAGAATCTTCAGGAGGCTGTTGTCCGATATGTGTCGATCTCAAGTCCGGTGTAGCTTCCGGGGAGAGGTATTGCGTCCTTGGGTGATGTCGGACCAGTAGCGGGAGAAATGAGTTCAGCAAAACAAAACTCGCCCCGAAACACGTATTCGAAATCATTGCTAGCAGCGCCCCGAAAAGATATATTTTGGGAACCACTGCCAGAAAGAGCATCGTTGCCACAGCACCAGAGAATGCAAAGAATAAAAGCAGCCGCTTTCTGTAGTTACCATGGTCTGCAGCGCAGCTTATGGATACCACCAAGATTGCCTGGAAAAGAACACTCAGTGAGAAAGTGTACATTGCAAAGCTAGCAGTGTTTATCTCGATCCAACCCCCCACGTTCACTATACAAGGACCATCGTCTTTTGATGCTCCTGGTAGTCCAGGGGCGCGGTTGGCAGCTGAACATGGTGTTTTACGATCCTTCAAGAGGACACCATTCTCACTGGCAAGTTGTTCGAGAGTAATAGGAATAAATGATCCTATAAATCAACCATTGTCAGTAGATGTCACAAATGACTATAGATATCATTTGGCAGGCTATTCGAAAGGTTCGAAATAAAAGCAATGCAATAGGTCGACAGACCAGCCCAAATGCTAAGACCCGTTCACACTAAGAGTGACTACCACAGCGATACCTCGAAGAGAAGAGCCTAGACTTACCCATTCCACATATCACGAATACTTCGGCCGCAAAAGCATATGCGTACCATCCTGACAACTCTTTCCGGCTCGTCAAGCGTGTATCCTCACCCTCATACTGAGACGGTTCATCTCGATAACCGGCGCCTGATTCGGGCCCCATACTCTCGTGGTCTGCGGTGCTGGATCGCTCGTCATCGGCCTCGAAGGAAGAAGAATATGACCTCGTCGAATGTTTTGTGCTATTGGAGGACTGCGCGCGTGGAGTTGGAGGTGGAATTAAACGTGGTTCGACGCGAGGAACCATGATATCACCAACGAAGTACCAATGCCTGCCTGTACCGGCGGTTCACCAGTCCTGTCTGTGCCTGTGCTCTGGCACGGTTTTGACCATACAAAAAGCTGGCGCAGCAAGCAAGCGTGGGAGCGTGTTACCCGACTGGATTCAACCGCTCAGGAGTAAGAACTTCGCGACTGCAACATTCTTGGCTGACGGCTGTGAGCGCGCATAGGTTGGCACGTTTTTGCAATCGTAGGACGAGGAGAGAGGGTGCGGGCGAGATTGGCAGGCGAGGAGATCCGCAGTCTGGTGCAGTCGGAGGGAGAATGTGTTGAAAGGTGCAGAACACAAGGAGTAAGAGTAGGTAGTAAGTAGAGAGAGTAGAAAGAGTAGCAGAGCAAAGGAGGAGCAAAGAAGCAGATACGAGTACCGGCTTTGATAGCAAATGGGTCAGTCTCCGCAAAGAGTGTTGAACCGGGGTCACGATACCACCAGGAAGTGGACAAGGCGCGCTTCGAATGAGACAACTTACCAGACGAGACATCGAAGATATAAGTTCGTTTGTTACTTTCCGACAAATGCGGTGAAAAGGGAAGGGAAGGACGAGCATTCCGGGGAAAGGATAGATAAAGTAGTGTCCTGGTTAGTACAGCAGAGCTGCTTGTGCTGCTGCATGGCGACGTGAAGGTATCAAGAGACTAGAACGCAAGAGACTGGGAGACTTGGAGATTGGGAAACTAGCCGAGGAAGACCCTACTTAGTTGATGAAAATGTCGAGGAAATTCCTTTTGTCGCATGGCTCTATCAAATTGCTTCTTATTCATATTAGTTGGCAGATGTGATATCCTCTCGCTCTGCTCTGTCTGTTGCTGTCCCTGGCCCGCATCAACCCCCGGCTGCGATTGGTACATACGGTGAATCAACCCGCCGGAGCGGAGCCGACCGTCACGTGAACCCGCCTTGAATGGAGAATCCAGCGCCAACGCCGTTCGCCGTCCTTTGAAGCAGCAGCAGCAGGTAGAACCACGACATCGTCACAAACAATCTAGCCCGGCACCTGCCTTCCACCAACATACTCGTCGGCGCTTTGTACGATCAACGCTGTACAATTCAATCCTCACCCGGTTCTTTCGGCTTCCTAATTACTTCCCGACACCGTACCTTCTACGCTTCCGCCCGTGACGTTACCAGCCATTTCTTTGATGCAAGGTCGCGTTCTACATTCTCAATCGCCCTAGATCAAACCGCGCTGTCTCCCTCGTCCATCAGAGCACAAATTCAAGCAACTCTTCCGCGCTGCGGCTAGTGAGCTGTTTCGCGCCGATGTTCTCTGGCCACGGCAGGTAGCGCATGCGACTTGGCTTCTACGCGGCCTCCCATACACTCCTCAACTTTGATCGTTGCGCCATCAGCCAAGATAGAGTCTACAGAGCGACGGAAGGTAGGAGAGGGGGCAGCTGGGGAGGAAAAGGGGGCGGAGAGGTTGGGTGGTCAGCGAGAGGGAGGGAGCATGCCTGGCGTCATAATGGAGAACGGGAGCAGAAATGGGCTGCATACGAACCACGACAGAGATCAACGGCCGAATGGTGTCAACGGAGCCAACCACACCTCTGAAAAGTCAACGGAGAAGGGAAAGGGTCGAGCAGAACCTCAGCAAAATGTGACACCAGTGAGCCCAACCGCACCACATGGAGTTAATGGCGGCTTCATGTCCCGCTCACGGAATGGCGACGAGAAGCAAGACTTGATTCCAGGTGACATAAAGGCGCGTATGGACGAGCTTCCGCCAGAAATCACCCATATTGTGGAAGGCCATCTTCTTTCTTTGAACAAATTGCTCTCGAGAGTGGCGCAGAAAACGCATAATGACTTGGAACGAACGATTCTAGATCTGGCGCAAATGCCAATCCCGCCTTCAGTAGCGAATGGCGCTGTGTCGCATCTAACTCCTGGGGAAGATAATGGCAAGGAAAATGTTGACAAAAAAGCAAGGCTTCTGAAATTTGCGCAGGATGCGCATACGGAATTGCTCAAGGCCCTGGTTATTACCAATTGGAGTAGACGGAGCGCGGATGTGGCAAAACTGATCGATTTGAAAGCTCACCTGGACAAGGAAAAATTCTATTACGAGCTTGCAATACACGAGTTGTTTGAGCTGAAAAAGTCGTTGGGGCAAGCGCGAATACCGAACCCAGACCTGAAAACCGCGCTGGAAGTTTTGACTACTGGAAAGGTGTCTTGGATGCCAGATGTAAGTATGTTGATGTGAATACTTGATGCTTTGCTTACACTTTCAGCTCGGATACATTCAGCCACCTCCTTTGACGCCAACGGAAATTCTAAAATCTCTCGAGAATCTCAACACAATTCTCTCCATCCGCTTAAATCTTGACGAGCACCATAAGATACCGTATCATTTCAAGGACTATACGATTCAAAACGGACGGGTAACTTTCAAAGTGAAGGGGGAGTTTGAAGTAGATCTCACAGTTGCAGATGAGGACCCGGAAAGTCAATTCTGGTTCATTGACTTCAAATTCCTTTTCTCTCCATCCGTTTCTGATCTCGCGCCGCACTTACGCTCTCATATTGAGCAGCAGGTCAACAAGGCCCTGGCGGAAGAAGGTCTAACCGGATGTTACAAATATCTACATGGACTGGTACTCAGTCATCAGATTAGCGAGTTCAGAAGACAAGCAGTCGCCCTATCGAGAGGTACCTGGGTAGAAACACTGGCAGTTGAACCTTTGAACAGAGCTTTGTCAATTCAGTACTGGTTGAACAGATACGGCCAAAAAGGACCCAAAAGCTGGATCATTCTCGGAGTTCACAGCGGGAAGCGGAAGACCGGTGTTCCTCATCCAAAAGACACCCCTCGCTTATTTCTTCGGTGGTTCCGAGAAGGCAAGGAAATGAAGGATGTAGATATTCCATTCCAGACCGCTACGGTATCAGCAGAGTCACTTCTAAAGACAGTGATTGCGCAGCACATCCGCCTTATCTTGGAAGCGACGTACGACCAGTTGCTCAAGAAGCCAATATATGCTAAGGGCGGGGCCAGAGTAGCAGTTTACCTCGATAACGAACAGCCATCAGAGTCCAAGCTAACTGTGCAGCTAACGAGCGAACGACAAGTATTTATCAAAATCGAACCTATTACTGGGCGCTGTATCGTTGGTCCTGCATCACGACTTACTGGGCTGCACGAGTTCAAATTCAACCAAGACATTCCAGATGCGGACAAATTCCTGCATGCTCGCATTGACGAGCTTCGCTATGACGCAATTGCAGAGTATATCAGTTCTCGTAGCGTGACTGCAGGATGGCATAGACTTCCAAATCCTGGTCTAGGTAGGGAGGACCTGAAGGCTCTTGTGCCTGAAGGGACTGCGCAAGTTCTCTGGTTCAAGAGAAGCGGCTGGACCAAAAATTGGCATCTTGCGGTATCAATGGGCTCTACTGGGGAGAGCTGGTGGTTAATCGAAACGTAAGTCTTTAGCAACAGTCTGTGGTTGGATTCAAATACTGATTGCATTATAGCACCGAGCCAACGCCTCAGGTTATCTCCCATGGTCCGAGAAAGATCGAGAAGAAAATGGTCGTGAAGATTATTAGTTTCATCGCGGTCCCAATCAAAAATCGCTCGCCGCTACCGACCTATAAATTCTTGACGACTCTACATGTCTTTACAGCAGCTCTAATGTCCCACCACGCGAATCTCAAAGCTCTATACGAACGACGTGTGCAGCATATGCTACACGAAAGCAGAAATGTTCGGAGTCCCATGCAACTCCCTGCAATATTTGCCAGGATATCAAATCTCGTGGACTGGAAAAACAAGACTACCAGAGACTTGGTCAAGCTCTCTTTTCAGGGCCTTGAGTCGTGTCGCTCAGCCAAGCTTGACGGTACACCACGGCATGGTGCCGAGGCATCTGGCCAGCCAAATTCCCCGGAAAACAATGTGGTCATGATCACTGAGGCGCGAATCAATATTCCGGTTCCTGATACACTTAAAACAATGAAGGAAAACATCGATCAAGACATCGCATTTGATTCAAATACCGGCATGCTTGCTCTACGCCTACGCAGCAAGATTGGGGACTCAGTCATTCCGACTCTAGTGGAACGTACCATCCGCGTGTTCCGATTGGTAGAGTTTGTCAAGGTGCTCCAAGAGCATTCGGCGTCGCTAAAATGTGAACAAATATCCCTTGGGAAGATTACGTTCACTTATGGTACCTCGAGAGCAGCGCAAGATTTGGATAAGATGGACGAGGATACCCCTTCGAAGCAGTACACTGCTATGATAGACTTCAGCGGCTCGGCCAATTCTATGTCACTAATCTTAGAGAAGGGAAACCCTCATCTCATGATCGCAGATTTATTGAGGAGCATTCTGAATGGCAAGGAAGGACTGGGAGGTGTCGCGACCCTGCTTCCTGTCACACTTCCTCTGCTCGCCGGGCTGGATACTATTGAGATGGCCTGGGCAACCGTGTCGAAAACCAAGGGCGAGGTATTTGTCTTGGTCCGGGCAACGGATTGGTATGAGATCCGTTACAATATCCTTTCCGCCTCGAGCGACTCTAACATATCCACCAACCTTCGAAAGGTCACTTTCGAAATCAAATTACGACATCGTGCCGGCGTGCCGTGGTGGGATATTCGAAGATCAGATCAGCAAGATCCTTTAGGCGACGACATCGAGGCGGTATTAAAGCCTGTCTGGAACCTTAGCGGTACAGGATTCCAAGGCATGCGAGTAAGTAGTGTGGCTCAGCCTCATGGTGCGGAGGAAATTCTCGGGAAAATTGATGATGCTTTGCGCAATTTTGTCCTCTCGCAAAAACCTGCCAGTCTTTCGCCGTCAGCCACACAGAAATCTCGACCACAAGGTCAACAACTGAGGCAGCACCAAACAGTGACACCGAACCCGAGCCAGCAAAGCCAGGGAAGAAACAACCAGTCACGTCGAGAGGTAGTAGAGATCGATTAGGGAATTTGGGTAAAAGCATTTTCGGGACACGGCGGGCACAAACTAAGCATTTACATGGCGCTTTTCTTGGGTGGGTGGGGTGACTGATGGATACGATTATACTTGTGCTTTTGGCTTTTTTCCATTACTCCACGGCTGCTTTTTTATTTTATTTTACTTGGTCTAATCGACTTTGCAAGGCGTTCATGGTATGGACCTATATATCCGGTCTTTTTTTAAAAGGGATAAAGAGAACTCCGTTAGTACGGCCGGTGTTGATACGAATTGAATGGATGAGTGGCTCAATTGATGGGATGAAGAGGTGGCGGTGATCCCGAAGTGTATATCTGGAATAGGTGGGGATGGTGGGGGGGTTACCTGGCTAGCTAGCTTAGGTATCTAATGAATCGATGGTTTACCACCGAAATTTTGATTGATGTTCATGCTGAAATGTGTGGTATTGTAAAAGTCGTAATGTTACATGCTTGAGGTTACTTGTCTGGTCCCTTTTCCTACCACTCAGGAATGACATGCCATGTTATTGGGGAGAATAGCAGAATACAGAGGGTATCTATACAATTCGATTGTAAGTGATTGATCAAAGATAGCCTCGTAAGACACGGTTCGCTAGAAACAGTGCAGTTTCTGTTACGGCAAGACTTCGCCCAGGTTTATTAAAAGTGTGACTATCATCATACATGTTATCCAAAATTGGTATCTGCTTTTTAGGTCTTCTTGTCTCGACAAGCATATTTATCCTATTACTGTCACAGGACTAAACGGTAAATTTTGAGCCGTTTCCGAAAACCCCACCAAAAACAGTCATTTCTCATAGTTACAAATCTATATATCTTCTGAGCTACCGATTCGATTAAGTTAATTTCCTCTTTTTATTATAATTCAGAAGGTCTAATTATATTTAAGCGTTCGTGGTGAGTTTTGGTGTAAAAAGGAAGCCAGTAAGTAAACAGACACATAGGGTCCAATAATAATATTAGATCGCTTTTTGTTTGACTTTGTGTTACGACATTGGTGCATTCTTCGTTGAATTCGGAATGCTGTGTATTGATCACGGCGTTGTTTCCTTATGTTCTTTTCGTCGAAGCAGCCGCCTACAATATGTCTAGACAAGTCCTCCACTAACCTATTACATGTTGTTTCTAGGTTGCTGTCCACAGACTACTACGTTTTCTTATCTGGATTCTGGGGAGCTGTGTGGTCCTTGATTATAGGACTTTGGGATATGTCAAAGGCATTTGGAGCATTCAAGAACAGAACATTCACTTTTCACGACCTTCTTTAAACAGCTATTTGGCAAATCTTGAAAGAAAGATAAAACAAAAGGATTGTTTTCTGGTACATTTCTGTTGTTCTTCGTGAGCTTATATAATTTTCCACTTATGGTCTTAAAGACTTTCGAGTCTCACGAAGTCTAATTCACAAACAAAATGCTGCACTCTCTATACAACAGACCATCCAAAACGCAAAAATTTGTGGGAACTTCATTGAAAGACGGTCGTCAGATTCCAGACCTCACAGTTCAAACCAATAATATCTCCCTTTCATCCAATTCCTCAACAGAGGATTCAATCCTCCAGCCTCAGATTATTCTTCGGGTAGTCGGAGAGACTTCCGATGACCTTGCGTACGAAGAGGAGAAGACACAAACCGGCACTGAGCTTACTTCTGGAAATAACAAGTCAGGTCAACGCAAGAAGAATAATGCAAAGATCGGCCATAACAAAAGGATTCCAAACGAATTCACAGTTTCTCGAGAATTACTTGAAAGTAGAAGTAAGTACTTTGCTGCGATGTTGAAGCCTGATAGATTCCGGGAAGGTAGCAATGATGAGCCGAAAGAATTGGCAATCATCCCAGGCGTTCTGTCTCAAAGAAGCGTTGAAGCGCTGCTACTGTGGCTTATTCGAGGAGAGCTGATAGTTCGAGAAGACAATTGGGGCATTACGAAGAATTTCTTACGGTCCTGGTGGACTGGGTCGACATCCGCTACATCATTAGGAGAAGGAGCCCAATTGCCATTGGACTCCGACGGAAAGACTAGGGAAAGACAACTTCGAGACTCGAAACAAATCTCGGACTTGATTGAAATTGCACGACTAGCAGTGTATTGGCAAGTTGAGGACGACAAACTCGAGACTTCTATAGCTGATAGTATTCGGAGGTGGGTGGTGAAATTGACGAGGAAAACCGAAGTACCTGGAGTTGGCATAGGGGCTGCAGAGGCTTTTCAACGTCTGGAATACATGGATACCAAGCCAGCCTTCTCTCCCAATACCTGTCTGTTCACTGATCAACACATTGACTCCATTCAGCTCTTACCTTATGGACATCCGGTATAAGAGCTAATAATTGCAGCTGCAGTAGAACCATACATCCGACCGTATGGTAACGACACGTTTTTCGAAAGAAGTTCTCAATGAGTAACACACTCGTTGAGAATTTTTCACAACATCATTACTCTGTGCACTCCGTTTGGTTTATCAAGGTTCACCAATTTCGAGGAGTCTATGAGCTGCTGGGCAATGCGTGCTTTATGAAATTATTTTGCCCAGTAAAAAATCTCAAACAAAAACGTGATTGTAAGATTATGTCTGACAGGGTATCAGTCAGTGTGTTAGAGAGTAGCGGGAATAGTTGGCCTAGGAAACAAATCAAGATGTGCAACAAGTTGGATATCGTCGGATGCTAGATATCGTTGTGGGCCTCTAGCTTAGGACTGGCTATTTACTAGCACTAGTTTAGGATACGACGTGCAACAAACTGAATATGGTTGGGTGCTAGAAACATTTCATAGACTAACTAGCTTAGGATGCGACGTGCAACAAAAGTTTGCTGTGCAGTTGCGAAGGTGATGAGTGGCGAATACAATTTTGACAATCTCGAAGGCTGAAAGTTCTAGTGTGTCGTTGTTAAAAGATTGGCATCATTCAAGGAGGGGTGGAATGAAACTCTTCGAGTGGACTTGGTCCCGAGATGGTGAAAAGTGCTATAATGCCAGGCTCTGGCCTACAATACAATAAAATTAAAGACGACCTAACATAGGAAAAAGCCACTCGATGTATGATCTGTTCTATATTCCTCTCCTATATCAGTAAGCTACACAGCATGAAGTGGCTTAAAGAAGTGTAACACGCTTAAATTAGCTCTCATTGGCGTTGGTTCTCAGTCATCAAAAATTTGAAGTCAGCAGTAGTAATGAGCAACACAAGATTCGCATGCACTTATATTAGGACAACACAAAATATTCTGAGTTTCCTCTTGATTCAATTGAAATACGAACCATACCACCCTTTGAGATATAGCCCAAACTCCAATAGCAAAAACCTTGAGAAGACTGTACGAAAGTCCACACTTCTGGAATATTCCTTTCCTCCTTATTTTGGCTCAATCATGATGATGGAATAGTACAGTGGACTAGCATACTGATATGTTTCCAGAATTTGAAGACCCGCAGCTTCAACCAGAGCCCGCCATTGCTCGCCCGTTCGCTCTTTAGATGCTAACGCAGACATCATGACCAAGTCCAGAGGAGCCGCTTGCCAATGGACTTTCTGATTTGGAATCACCCTATCAACTATGAGAATTCTAGATTCAGGTCCTAAAGCGGAGATCAGGTTCTTCAAGATGATAACTGCTTCTCGTCTGGACAGTCATGAAGGATGTGGCGAAGATAGTAGAATTTCGCCCCTATCAAACAATTGAACTGAGAAAACGTGGATCTATACACATCAAAATACCACGTACCTTTGACAAGCTCCGACCTGAAGAAGCTATGGGCTTGAGTTTCAACACCTTCGATTGCTTGCAGGAACGTGTGCTAATGTCTGGGGCAAATCGTGGGGAATGAAATTTCCAGAAACCTCTAGAAAGGCCTACTTGAGAGCTAATCATTGATCAGCTCTATATAGTTCATATGGGCTTATCTGCACAGCGAAGGCAGGATGTGGCAATACTATTTGACTGTAAATACTAGAAATCAATAACATCAACACTATACCTCTTAGCGGGAGTAGACTTACATTCGATATTCCCCTACAGAACTGGTATCAACGGAGGAGAGTAGCTATTTCATCATATAAACATTCCTACACGGTAAGCTTGGAATTCTTGTGTTGAGCAATTAGCTGATGGATGTTTCTACACAGATTGACTACTGTTAACGGCTGATATTTCAGTTTTGTGTAAAGTCGCCAAATCCTACATGTTTTGTTTAACTAAGTAGCAGAGAGCGAAATGTTGCCACAGCCGGAATACGATGTGAACAGGACTTCAAATATGACAAATGTATCCATCGAGTTGGAACACAGCCTACGTTCTGCAGATAATTTGGGTCAAGATTGTATTATAATCCACCGGCAACTCTGTGAACCTAAATTTATTGGATATGGGTTTGTTCTGAATGAATAGATTGATAGCAGATAAAAGGTATACGGGAATTATGACGAGGAAGATAAGAAGCTCAAGTCTTGTCAGGTAGAAATTTTGATCGAAAAATGACAGCTTATTCGGTAAATGAACATAAAGCATCTTAAACAGTACCCATAAGAGAATCGACCGGAAAGCCAACGTGACAGCAGAGAAAGTCGGCGATTCCCTATATCTTGTGTTCCCAGATGTCCCTCTCCAACAGGAGAGGAGGTCAAGTCATGCAAACCATCTTTTAAACCACTCGATAGCCTGTACCTCCGCAGTTTCGGCAAACTCCAGCTCCTCTTTATCTTCGGGATGTGGACGAATAGCAAATCCGTGCTTTGCTCCTTGCAAAATTTTGACCTCGTAACTTCCAACACCTTTAGCCTCTAGAATATCCTTTGTCTTCTGCGCCTCGGGCGCTTTCAAAACCGCATCTTTATCGCCAACGACAACACTGAGTGGAAGAGCCACAGCGTCGACATCGACGGGAAGCTCCAGCAAGGAAGGATGAGCACTGAAAGCGCAATCAATCAAGGGCAAATCTTTTGTAGACTCCTTTTGCGACTCATGTCGGACGACTCGAGTTTCAGGTTTGTCATGTGCCAGAAGAAATGCGTGCTTGCCACCATAGCAATATCCTGCAGCCCCAACCTTCAAAGTATCGGTTGGATACGGAGGTGGAGATGTTCGGAGAGCCTGAAAGAAGGAAATTACCCCAGGGTGGGTGGCTGGAATTTTGGTCTTCAATTTCCAAGGGACAGCTACAACAAGTGCTTGGAAGACCCAAATAGGTTTGTAGACAATTGTGTTAAACCAAGAGGTTGGTTCTATGATTTTGTCCATCAAGCCTATGGCGACCGGGTCCAAAGCAGATCCTTCCGAGAATTAGAAGACCGTCGTTTAGATTCGACCAATGGTTGCACTTACCCTTCATGAAATCTGGACAGTAGACCAAAAATCCACCTCTCTTAGCAAGATGATCCGACAACACTCGGTTATTGGCAAACTTCCAACCGAACGCATCGGTGATCACGACGACGATGCCCTTCGGGGTGACCGCTTCATCGGGTTGAGCGACGTATGTAGGAACACCATGAATGGTTGTTTCCGTTCCAGTCGGATGGATTGTGGTAACACCTCCACGAAAACAATCTGGACAAGACATTTTATATAAGGGTTTGGGTTAAGCGTGGGCGGCTGAAGAAGCTGGCTAATTAGGTGGTTGTGAACTTTGAGCGAAGAGCGCGATGAATGTAACTTGTAGCTGAGGATGTCTCGGCCTTATATGCTTTTTGTAGTCACTGTCGTATCTGATTGTGATACTGTTAGCCAGGGTGTTACATACGTATAGATCTAGTGATCTAGACATCTCCACGTGGGATCCTCCAAGAGGGAGTATTTCGGTTCGCTCGGTTAAGCGAAAACAACCAATTAGGAGGACGGATGGCACCCAAATTTCCGATACACAAGTGTACCAGAAGTCTTGTCGTGTATTGAAGCTTTGAGACTCAGCCGCACTAATGGCACCACAAAATACACCTTTCAGCCCAGTAGATGGCGTTTAATGCAGATACTTCGAGGCTAAGCGAACGGCACAGCATCCGGTTATGTATACCATTTAAGCACGCCGAATGTTATGGCTCGCTGTGACTCACATGTGTTTAGGAAGTGTCAATTATCATTTTATCAGAATTTACAGTTCTAAAGATCTTGGACTGTTTTCCTCGTGCTTACAAGAGCGGTGTTGCTTCTACCGCAAACTCCATCTATCTCCGTCTCGCTTAACTCCTTTTCTCAAGCTCCCGAGGTCCCGTCCCTGGATCAACTAATCCAAATTTCTTGAACAACGTCCTCTACGTCTGACATACTAAGCTACAAAGGACATAAGCGCTTATTTCTGCCGTCATTGTGCTGTTTTGATGTCCCGTTTCCCGAAAATGGACAGCTGTTTGCTCCGAATCCCGACTTCTGCGAATTTAATGAAGTGAAAATGGTGCGGCAAGACTTTCGATAATTAAGGTAACTACATGAGAACCCCAGCTGGATGACAGAATATTAACAGACACGCTCCTTAGCAGTTAACATTAAAATATTGGTGAACTGTACAGACAGATGGCATCAAGTAAGCTTCCTAGGTAACATCGTTAACCTTGAAGTCTGCAAGCATCCAAAGACACTTGCCTTTCATTCTTGTGAGGAGAAGTCGGATTTGAAAATAATAAGGTAAAAGTTGTTATTCATAAAACAAGTTGTCTGAGTCTCACTTGTGGTCGATCGGATTCATGAACTCTTCATATGGACTCACTGACGTGGCAGACAAACCTGTTTCCCCAGTCATTCTTCTCCAACTATCATTCATCACTATGCTCATACATTGTTCTTGTGATGAAAATGTGAACGTAAAGATACATCTCCCATCTTAGGGTTCTCGTATTCATAAAGGAGGTAAATCATCACCAATAGAATAAATTTTGTATTTGACATAGCTGTCCTGTTACTTCTTTCATTAAAATCTTACCAACATACTGTACTACCAACTCAACACCCGAATCATTTAAGACAATTATTCCTGTCATGTTGCCTGTATCTATACCACGTTTTCGCTTTCGGTTTGGATATACAGCCCAAAAAGCGAATCTACAGCTCAGCGGAAGTTGCTTTGTAAGTTTCATGTCCTCGTCGGAACGTCGAATAGTTGTATACCGTCCACGACCCGAAATACACCGTCCAAGACAAGAGTCAAGGAGAGACCCTGAGCTACCATCTTATAATCAATTAAGCGAGTCTCCTCCATCATACGAGGCAGCAACTGCTTCCACCTTCCAAAATGCATTCACTATACCGGTGACGATAGGTGCAGCCAGGACACCTCACCTCTTCCATCAATATCCTCAGGCTTCGCAACAAGGCCCAAATCAAACACGTTTTCAACTCCCGCCGAGTTTCACTTTCACACCACAGATGCAACAGGCTTTGGCACCACTGCGAACACCACAACCAACAGCTGTCGCTCCAACGACCCCATCTCCAACAGCAATGGCACAACCGGTCTACATCCCAGCATACAACTACGTTTCGCCGCACTATCCATATGGTGTCCATCCAGCCTCAGCTTTGGGCACTCATCCTCAAGCCATCGTCATGCCTTATCCTGCCACCTACCCGTATGTTCAATACCCGCCAGTCTACTATCCGAGTTACTATTATCCTGCAACTGCTGCGTATCAGCCTTATGTCATTTACCCGCAGTACTACGTTAGATCGACGACCTAGGAATACCTGTGGTTGCCGGAAGCCCGATCTTGACTGCGGAGATCCGACTGGAAGCGAGAACGAAATCATGGACGGAGAGAGGCCAAAAGAAGCTGAGTGGAAAACGAGGTCACTCGAGCAAGGAAATGGGTGGAGGTTGGGAGGAAAGGAGTGGTAGGAATTCACGGAATATAATTATGAAAGGTGAAATACTTTTACAATTTGCTCTTATGAACCTCAACAGGCCGGCAGCTAACACTCAGTTGTAGGTCGGCAAATTTTGGAAAGCGATGAAGTTCATGGTCGTCGCGAATATAGTTAGCATCAAGGCGTTTCTGGTGGTCTTTGGGGCGACAGTGGTTGTTTTCAATCGGAGTATGCTTACAATTCCATCAACATCTTATGCCCATCATACTATCATAATGATTTTATATTCCCATTTCTATTCTCTGTAGAAAGTAATCTTTCAAATTTGTAACACATCCCAAGATTATTTTGTGGTTTGAAATTCTTGATTAGTATTACAAAAGGCCACTGAATGGACCGGAGAGTTCTCTGCGATACTTCAGTATTGTCTTCCGCTGCATGAACGGCGCCCGCCAAAAACCCCCTTCTCCTCCCCAACCCGCTGTAGACCTCCCGCAATATGTGCCTAGTACTGGCAATAGAGTTCATTTAGAGGCCCGGCCCGAGCCGAAGAATACTTCGGGCCGCTAGCTTGAAACCACTAGCATAAAGAGAAGCGGCATCTAGGCTAGAAATTGCAAGAAACGAATTCCCAAAAGGAATAGAAAATGAAGAAGAGTTTCCGTGAAAATCGAATTGAAAAAAACGCGGGAGATGCTTACAAAAGTCAAGAAAGCTCGACCACTCACAAAAACATCGCTTGAACAAGAAAACATAGATACCAAACTAAAGAACACATGAACCTGGTCGCACAAAGCCCATTGACGACCATTCGGAAATCATGGATGACATCGTTTCCTTGTCTAAAGGAAACTTTGCCGCAAGTAAAATCCCCAATGAAGTCATCGAGAAAGGAGTGAGCAAACCACTTGTCCACCGGAAAGTCCCATACACCCTTCTGTACCTGCACGTTTCGGAAGCAGTCAGGTGAGCTAAGGCGTAATGTACGAGTGTGGTTTAGGAAACAGCGACAGGGTGTAAGAGACATTTGTGATGATTTTCAAAAGCCCTTTACGAAGTGGCTTAAGGGGCTTTGAGACAACTGGGGAAACGTTAGCATGGCTACTTCCACGGACCAGAAACCCGGCAAATGTATGTGCAGATTACAGAAATTAGAACAAATTGTGAGACTTAAACGCCTATAAAATGACTTGACACGGATAAAGACAAGACATTTTGATTCATCTGATACTCAATGTGAACAGGTTTCCATTATCGGCATAATACAGGACCGCCATGTGTCAGACGGCTCAAATGTCCAAAAGAGCTTTGCGGCATACGAGATCGGGCGATCAAACGCGACATGGCGTTATGCCCTGGGTATCCCCGCGTAAAGAAGAAAACGAAAACAATATCAGTCGAAACCCGTGTTAACATATTCCACCTATTACGATAATAATACAGAAAGACAATAGAAAATGAAACCAGTTGCCGAGATATTGTGTACAGGTTAATGAAACAAAGCTGATAATCCTTCGCCGTGCAACATAGGTAAAGATATGAAAAAGAAAAGCAGCTGCGGATATATATCTAAGTGTTGGTATCAATCTGCTCGTCCGTTTCTCGTAAAGTCGTTAGGAATATCTTAGTCCCAAATCGCTCTTGTTGTCTTCAGGACTTTTTGGCCTCTGGCCACCAGCCTATTCGTATGTAGCTGTCGATTGTTTCTTGCACCAACTCTTTCGTGATTTGTGGCTTGTCGTATTTGAAGCCGACAACTTTCTCAAGTCTACTCCCGTCCATGCTCAGGTCGGTATCTTTCAGCAACTCCTTTTCCATGAAGGGCGTTAATGGTCCTGGTCGTGTGATTCCCGCGTCCTCGAGTAGTCCAGCCCAAGGGCCCAGGAGATCATCATTGACGTCGTCAACAACGCTATCCATGTTCAGTCTCGCAAAAGTACTGATCAACTGCCCCTGAAACCCAGTCTTGATGCCGAATAATTGGCCAATGATTTCAGCCATTGTGCCTTGCGATGTTTGGCCGTGATCCACCATATTGAAGGTTGGTATTTTACCCATAGTCTTTTCATCCCAATTTGGCTTTCCTCTGACCGAATACCAATCTGCGATATCAAACAGCCCGCGCGCGACGTCGGAAATGTGAACAGTGTTCACGCGGAGATCTTTTGTCCAAAGCCATTTCATTTCCTCTTCATGGTGCTGATAGACACGAGCCATCGACAGAGCCGTAGCAACAAATTGAGAAGTATAGTCTCCATATACATGTGCAAGACGAACAATTATGAGATTAAGTCTATGCAAAATTAGTCACGGCAGGAGACTCACGAAATTGGACCTACCCCTCGATTTTTGCCAGAGCTTCCTCTGCTTGTAGCTTAAAAACAGCAATTTTACTCCAAGGCTTCAATTTGTCGCCCTCCTTACTAGGCTGAGAGTCCGGTTTGTATACCATCCCTGTCGATAGCTCTACAAACGCTTTCACGCCTCGTTTCGCGGCCTCTTTCCCCAGCGCGATGCTCAACGCCAGCGATCGGACTTTATATACCTCGTCTTCCTGAGAATTGCGTGTCTCTCCTCCACAATTGAAGACATAATCCCACTCCTTTCCGTTTGAGCGAGTGAAGATGCGCGGCAGAGATTCTTTGTCGTACAAGTCAGCCTCGTGTTACACAGGGAGCCCAGATACCTCCCGCGCATTCTGAAGATTAGACATACGATCTTTGCTTGCATCGGCCTGCATAAAGTTTTCCTTCGAACATGCTTCGTTGAACTCGGGGGCAAGCCAAGCCAGCTGTGGGAGCATCTGTACATTCAATTCAGCAGATGCAAATAGTGGATAGCAGAAGTATGTACCTTGTCGACGATACGCATCTCTGACGCCAATCCATTCTTCTGAATATGCAAAGCGAGAAAGCGTCCAATATAGCCTAGCCCGCCGACTATCAGGACAGAGGGCTTTTCAGCCATGGCGCTGTCGTAGGTTCGAAGGGACGGGTGGTATCTATGGGGAGCAATCGACGTTTGGTCCCAAGCAACGAACTCCACTCCCTCAGCCAGGTGAGAGCACGATTCTAACAGCTTCGGGGGACAGATAGGGACGAAGGTATTGAGTAATGATATATGGTCTGGTGCGGAAAGAGCGACAAGATGAGAGGCGAGTCGTCGACGGTGTGTGATGCGGCGAAGAAGGAGGGGAAAATCTGTGAGTAAAGAGATATAGTTCTCAGACCCTTCGATTCATGAGGCCCTGCCAACTCCAACGTTAAACTTGGTCCTCCGCCGTCCGGACCAGCATAAGTCAGGGGGGAGGGGGGAGCGGGAGAAAGTGCATGGCAAAGAGGATAAACATTAAGCAGGGGTTTAAGGGGTCGCCTCGGTCCGCGCGGGCACATCATTGCTGCAGCCAGAGACTACCTAGCAATTTGCTGGGCCTCCAGCTCGTACAGCACTAGACTTGGACTTATTAGTCGTAGCTTCGAGGGACGTCTCGTCGACGGCTTCATCCCATTGCTTTACAACAACAAAGATACGATAAACCACCACTTTTCACTCTCTTGGATTCTCATTGTACCCACGTGCGATCTCAATACAACGTTGATCCGTCGAATACGACCCTTCACCACCATCTCACTCTTCCCATCGACGCCCGCGTTTGCTTCATCTTCAGCTTCCATTCATAACCATCAGCGAAAAGCCATCGCAACCTCGGTCCTTGTACTCGTGCTTCTGCCGTTGCTTCCTCGCATACACAAGCCACACGCCATTGCTCAAAGATGGCCGTCTCTCTCACAACACCAAACTTCGCGGTGCTCTGTGATACCTACGGTTGAGTTATTCCCAGGAAACTGCTACCAACAGCTAGCTTGCAACTCGGCAAACACCACAGCGACTCCGTTCATTTTACTCCAACTGCAGTGAGGGAGCAGACCAGGAATCGGTGAGTGCTGATAGCGGCCTCCCGTCGTTGGAGTTCTGACGGCCCAAACTTGTCGTGCAGCGCATATTTACCATCTCGGTGTAGCATACGTTTGGTGGAAGTATCCTGGTGGTCTCGTGGTGCGGACTGCAGATGTCGGAAGCCTGCATACCGTGAAGCATGAATGGGGTGTGGTACAACCGTGTCGTGACGAAGGAGGAAGCTAAAGCGATGAAGCAGCTTTCAGTATTGGCTATTATTGCAACCCGGCTCGAGACCAATCGCTACAGGGCGAGATGGGTTCAGGGGAGAGCGCTGTTGGCAACTGTCATGACCTTCTAGAAGCACTTCCTGGCGCTGAGTGGTCGAGGGGTTGTGTTGTGATGGTGGCTTCGGCCATGTCAGTCTTACCGCTCCTTTGCTTCGTGCAGCCGAGCCGGAACTGCCTCCATTGCATAGTCTGGAGGTACAAAGGTACATTAGTGCCACCTGCGATCAAGACGCAGGAGAGAACATGTACGACTAATGTTCATCAGTCGCACTGGTATTGCTTATAATATACGCAGATAGTCAGAAGACTAATCTCCGCAAAGACTTAAGGGGCAAGCAAAGCGCAACTTCGAAAAGAAAACGTTGATTGAATCTTCTACCTTTGATCCGCTTCATGAGCCCACCCAACCAAAAAGACCTTATTCTCAGGGATGGAGCAGCGATGACCGGGTTGCACATAAACTATGGCCCCCACCAACACGAAGAAGCAATAAGATCCGGCATATCGATATTGGGACACTTTAAATCTCGGTTATCCATTGCTTGCAGGGCGTCCAGGAACAACATCTGACGGCTATTATTCACAACGTGTTCTACGAAAATGCTTCTAGACTTCAAAGTTGCCCGCTGCAACATAATATGCAGGTCATACTTCCGCTTCTTCTCTAACGTACTCCGCTTGATCTCTTCCACATACGGTCGTATGGTGTTTAGAAACAAGTTTTCATACCTTGTCGTCGGTTCCGCCTAGCCAGCCTATCTCACAGTATAATGAAGGCTCCTAGCATCTATAGAGAACACCTTTCTAATACCGAGATTGACGAGTCCTCGATTAGGCATGACGGGAGACCCCTTTGGCCGTGGAGAGTATCTTCTATACCATTGGAAACTGGGCTCTGCAAGTGTGCGCATCCCAAATCCCGATGTTGCAGGAACAGGAAGCGGCATGTCAGCTGTAACGCTCATTGCAGAATCTCTAGTGGTGGCATTGAGTCTGAATCATTGCCAAGCGACCATTTCGCGATATACGTAAATCATGTGCCATTTTTTATGATCCATGCCAAACCCTCGGAGACGCTTGATCTAGCTTTTTGGCCAGGATACTGTTCCGCAGTCACTGGAAGAAGGCGAACATTATGAACATGGCCAGGTACGAATGAATCCGTTCTGTCTTTTCACTCTTTTCTTCTCTACATCTTTTGGTCATTTCTCTTCGTTGTTTTGATCATGGTGTTTGATTTAATTGTCGCTCATTCATATCCCTGTACACGTCGACGCAGCCCGGCAGCAGGCAATTTTGATGGTACGGGATGCAGTTGAATCTGCAGCATTAAGCTTGACCCGAGGAGCGGTATCGATGCTTGTCGCACCTATCATTCCTCTTCGACACGATCAGCAGCCCCGTTGTGGACCACTATATATTGCTCCAAGCATGTACAGACTTTTACCGACATACGACCTTCCGATTTGGCAAGTGTCTGCTTCCGATATCTTTAACAGACGAAGTACATATGGCTCATCTGCAACATCATATATGTTGTATTGAAGTTAATCGCTTTACTGTATTGTAGTTATCGCTGCTCGTCATGTAAGTTGCAAACCACCGGTGCAATTTAGATAAATCACTCGGATCAATCTAGTGGGAACGTCATTGAGGCCTCAAACTAGCACAATTGACAGACAAGATAGTGGACAGCAAAGCCCTTGATTTGACGTGGTTTCCATCCAAGTCATTGTATGCCTATGTAGGTTGCCAGACACGACGTCGAGAATTTTGAGCTTGTGCTCTACCGAGAACGAAGGATTATCAGCGTGGTATGTTGATTTGTACCGAATATTGCAATAGGTGAGAAGAATTTTCATTTGTCTAGCTTGTTTCTTACTGGGCTACGTGGCTTGTACTTAGTATTCCATGGAGGTCTGATTATATGTGTCTCAATGGGGGTATACGCTGCTGCATAATTTAAAAATATGTTACTTGTGTCTCGTTATCGTTAGCAATTGGTTCATATCGTGGACTATTATCTTGCGTCTAAATGCATAATACCATACTTCTCCTTTGAAGTTCTAGGTCTATCTTTACTCTAGATTTACATCTCAATAACATGTTTCTTGAGCTTCGGTTCCTGTGACCACTAGACCCACTACGCTTCCGAAAGTCGGGGACTATGTATATATAAGTTATTGTAAAAAGCGTATCGACCACTGAGAATTCAGATCTCCTCAACATCATCAAAGTCAACAACAACAGCTAAAATTAAGGCATTCAACAATGCCACCACTCCGTATGTATATGACCAACATTTGAAATTTGAGGGCGATATTATGATGCAACAGATCAACCTTCAAGCATACTTGCAAAGGACAGCAGCGAGAGAAGACTCGGAGGTTCATGAAAATAGGTCACTGCAGTATCAATATGGTCCAAGGCGGAGATCATAATAATGAAAACTTTAGCATATCTCAATATTTTTGTTGTTACTGGTGGGACTGAAAGAAAAGCAGATGTGTGTTGGGAATATCTACTTGCTTGGAGTTGGTCGAAAGGAGACACCGAGAGGTTCCTGACGTTTTGAAAAAACATTATACTCTTCTTAACCTATTGTGATTTAGGAAAGAACAAATTGACTTGATCGGTATTTTATATAGAATGGAGTTTCTGGACATAAAATATAGTAGTTTTGGGATTTTTTAAACACTCGTCAGCCTGGTTGATTAGGAAAGGGCATAACGCCCATGCCAAAATCTAGCACCGTTTTGCGTTGAAAGCTGATGAAGGTTAAAAATGCTGACAGAAAGCTCGAGCACGGAAAGCTGATGGATTCAACATGACTTCAGCACGAGAGAAACATGAAATATTGCTGCCAACGAAGCAGAGCGGATTCAGTGCTGCATTGTCCACTTTCTCTTGATTCATCAATATTTTCGTCTTGACTCACGAGTTGCTGTTTCTGTGATATGCTCGATATCCATTCATAACACTTCTCATGACACAAGTCAGGTTTTCCTCCAGTGCCACGCCACCAACTTACCTTCATGATATCTCAGATAGATTCATCTTCACTTTCAACATCTACACATCAACTTCCGTGGAACTCTGAAGCGGTTGGCTATCTCAATACTTCCAAGTTTTTGAAAATCACTTTCTCTGGAAACATCACTACCAAGCTGGAACTCAGCCATCTTTACTCCAACCTCCAATAACACTGTTAAAACATATATTACCCTGCTTGAAAATACTTCAGCTCACACTCTACCCCAAAAACACTCAAAATGCTCATCCAACACACCTACACCCACGCCTGCGGCCACACCGGCACCGGCCCCATCCTCACCTACGCAATGGAATCCCCCTTCTCAACTCCGCCTCCAGGCTCCCAACAAACCGTCAAAGGCGTCCTCGTCCCTCTCCTCTTCCTCTGCCCCTTCTGCCTGCCAAACACCACCCACAACACTCCTCCGGGCTCCGGCATCCTCTGCATCTTCGCCCACCCCTACTGGATCCCGGTCAAAACCATCGCTTTACACGACCTGCGACCTATGGACTGGGCGCCTAGTCTCGAATACAACGCCATGTACGGACGGTGGGAGGTCAGACATATGGCGTGGATTCCGATGCCGGAGGGGTATGTTACTATCAGCGAGGAGGAGGGTGATGGTGGGGATGAGCAGGTTATTGGGGGACGGGAGGAGTTAGGGAGATTTGGGTATGTGCAAAGGGGGTTGATTAGAACGCGTACGGAGGTGAGAAGTGCGTGGAAGGAGAGAGGTGGGGTGGAGGAGATGATGAGTAGAGGCGTGGGAAGTGGAAGTCGGATGGCGGGTTTGATCAGTCAGTTTCATGCTGCTGTGAAGTCCGGTAAGATGGCTGGAAGGTATGAATGATTGACGTGCTTTGAGCGGGAACTGTTAATCGGCAGAGGATGGAGAGCTCGAAGTTGGCTGGCGAGGGCGAAGATTCATACTCGCGTATATCTAATTCGCATTGCTGGCTTTCTTCGTCGATAGCACATAGCGAACACACCGCTGCGAGGCAGAGGAAAGATCTCTTAGGTTTGCGACATCGTAGATCTGAGTCGTTGATTGCCTTGTTGAAAAAGTTAACAATCACAGCCTTGAATTTTCACACTGTTGGGAAGGAAAAGTATATAGAAATAGCAACAATTGACGGGGCTCCAAAATTACCACTACTTCTATGCTTTGTTATTTTGGTTACACAGATCCACACCTTATGTGATAAAGACATTTGGCAATGGTACAAAAAGGGAATCGATTCCGAGATGCCGGAAAGGCTAAAAGGTAACTTCTTGGCTAGTCTACATATTCACAAACATTCTACTCTTCTGAAGCAGCAGCACCAGTAATAATTTCGACCAACTCTCCAGTAATGACGGCTTGACGGGTTCTGTTGAAAAGAATTTGGTATTTTGTGATCATGTCACCAGCGTTCTTCGAGGCGTTCTATGCAATATTAGCAGGTATACCAGTATTGAATTATTAGGACAACTCACATCCATGGCATTACGACGAGCAGATTGTTCGCAGGCGTGGCCTTCAGCGAGAGCCCAGAAAAGTGAGTTGGAGAGAGCATATTCACGGAGATTTGCAAGAACCTCGTCGTCAATTTCAAAAGCAGAGAAGTTGGCTGGAGAGTGTTAGCTTCCTCTTCTCCGTTGGATCCAAGTACCTACGGGAGTTGGCAATGGCCTCTTCAGAGAAAGCCTCGATTGGAGTAGCCTCGTAAGCGGTGGCATTGATGAATTTGTTGTAGACAATCTTGATAGATCCGTAGTCTGTTGGCAGCATGGAAATCTGGTCGGCGACAGCCTGAGCGTCCGAGAATGTAGGAATATCCTTTCCAACACCGGCAAAATTCAAAACGATGTTCTTTCCGTTTGATCGACCCAACTGAGCTTTGCACTTCTCGCCCAAAATAACAAGGTCGGCCTTTGGGTCGTTTGCAAGCATTCGGCGAACGCATTTCGACAATCCAGAGTGGATTCCACCACAGAGTCCCTTGTCGGAGCTGGCCACGACAATCAAGGTCTTCTTATCCTCTCCCTCCATTGCCTTGGTCTCGGCGTTCTCAAATACGGTATTCGATGTCTGTCCGTACTTTCGAGACTCAGTCATGGCACGTTGCGCTCGGGTGAGTTTCGTTGAGGCGACAATCTTCATTGTGTTTGTGATCTTCTCGATGTTACGAATGGACTTCAGTCGGTCCTCGATTTCACGAAGGGTAGCGAAGGTGGCGGCATTTGGTGCGACGGGCCTGTTCAGTCACGAAATTAGCACTTCTTCACTCTTGCGCGATGCATCTAAGATTCTCGGAAGCTTTGGAGTAGTGATCGAATGCTGTATGCTAGGAGGTTCGTACCGGGCAGACGACACCGCGCCAGCTCTCAAAGCCGGGCGTGCAGCTCTTGAAAGCATTATGGACGACAGGAAGAAGGATGCCGGACCAGGAGTTATCGGGGCTCAATTGACCACGGTTGTGTTGGAGATCAATTGATGCTGTTGATCGGGGTTAGTCGGCTTGAAGTTGCGAGGTCGAAATCGCTCAAGCTTCTCACGGTCACGTGGAAACTAAATCTCTTGCCAGATGGCAGCTAAAGTAGAAGCGGCGCTCCTTATTTACTTACAGCTTCAAGTGATTAGATCTTGATCAGCTAATTACTTCAGCTTCCACCATAAATCAAGGCGAACAACACCATAATTGAATTTTATCGACTTTTGACTGTCTCGTGACACGTTCTTAGCTTTTTCGCGACGTTAAGACAACACCTGAGGTAAGATATCAAAGTCTCATCGCTTCGAGCCTATCATACCTTTATTGCCGCTTTTCGCCCCCAAAATTCCGGACCTACGAAGGGCACTCAGTGAAAATCGTGGTCTTCCCACCCGAATCCCCCATTCAGACTTCCTCCCTTTGCATGTTCTTTCCACGTCTTATTTCTTTGCAACACAAGGTTTTTCAGTCATCCCGGGCAGTTGTCTCACACACAACACCTTTGCGGATTGTTTTACGCGCTCAGAGGTGAATATTTGTCCTTGCACTAGTGTAATTCGCGTCACATAAACCTCATCTGACAACTCTCAGCTTTTGCTCTCGTTTCATCTCCACGGAAAGCGCCATTCCCCAACGAAGACAACCTTTACCGTGGAATATGTCTGTAGACTCAGACGACGATATGCCTCTCGCGAGGACCAACGGCCGTGGTGAGTTACAACAGTCTTTCCAAACCTAGCTTGACAGCCTAAAGCCACAGTTCCCGAGCCTTTCGATGCATGTTCCAGACTCGAGCTTTGATCACTTCATCTTCAACCCCCATCTACAATGGAGACAAAACTCAGTACTAACCTTGCACTTATAGTCTCCGATGCCCACATCTCGAAGTCACTTGATAATGCCATGGACAAGGCTAGCGCAAAGGCAAAGGCTGCGCCTGCTGGAGTCTCTATTCGTAATGGCCCGATTATCGAAGACGAGATGGATGTGGATACAGCTGCAAATGGTACATCGAAGCGCAAATCGAGAGGGAGCACATCAAAACCTGTAAATTACAACGTTCAAGGGTCAGACAGTGATGAAGATGCAGTGCCATTGGTATGTTGATTGTCGTTGAATTTTTTGATGAATATCGAAGGATCAGAGTTAGATCTAATGGCTAACAAATGGATCAGGCAAAGCGTCAAAAGACCACCAAGAAGGCCGTGGATTCGGATTCGGATGATGAACCTCTATCAAAGAAAGCTGTACATTTGCCACCCAAGGCAACAGCAGCTGCCTTCGGTGAAGATTCATCTGATGACGATGAACCGCTCACCAACAAACTCGCAAATAAGAAAGCTGCGATTGAGAAGAAAGCTGCTAAGGAAGCTCAAGCAATTCGAGCCAAAGAAAAGAAGTCGGCAAAGAAACCCGCTGTAAAGGACGAATCCGATTCTGACGACGTGCCACTAAAAGGAAAGCGTCAGTCAAACGGTGTATCAGCTGTCAAAAAAGTAAATGGGACGGCAAAGAAGTCAAATGGTGTCAAAAAGGAAGAGTCAGATTCCGATGCGCCAATCGCAAAGAAGAAGGCAAATGGAAAAGCCAAAGCGGAGGCAAGTGCTCCAGCAAAGAAGGGCAAGAAGAAGGAAGCGAGCGAAGAAGTTGAAGAGGTCTACCGCTGGTGGGATGCTCCCAAGAAAGAGGACGACAGCATTAAATGGGAAACACTGGAGCATAACGGCGTTGTATTCCCGCCAGAGTATGAGCCGCTTCCTAAGAACGTCAAATTGTTATATGACGGAAAGCCTGTCACCCTCTCTGTGGAGGCCGAAGAAATTGCGAGCTTTTTTGGAGCTATGCTAAATTCAACGCACAATGTCGAGAACCCAACCTTCCAGAAGAACTTTTTCAATGATTTTACTGAGGAGATCAAGAAGACTGGGGGTGCCAAAGACCGAGAGGGCAACAAGATTGCGATCAAGGAGTTTGCAAAGCTTGACTTTAAGCCCATTTTCAACTACTACGACGCGAAGAATCAAGAGAAGAAAGCCAGATCTACTGCCGAGAAAAAAGCAGACAAAGCTGCTAAGGACGCTCTTGAAGCCCCTTATACTTTTTGCATGTGGGATGGTCGCAAAGAGCAAGTTGGTAATTTTAGAGTTGAACCTCCAGGGCTTTTCAGAGGTCGCGGGGAACATCCGAAGACTGGCAAAGTAAAGAAACGTGTCACTCCAGAACAGATCACCATCAACATCGGCGAGAACGCAACTGTCCCAACACCGCCAGAAGGTCATAAATGGAAATCCATACAGCATGATAACAAAGCAACATGGCTTGCGATGTGGCAAGAGAACATTAATGGTGCATACAAGTATGTCATGCTCGCTGCTAAGAGTTCTATCAAAGGCCAGAGCGATTACAAGAAGTTTGAGAAAGCGCGAGAACTGAAGAAGCACATCGACCGGATCAGAAAAGACTATACACGAGATCTGAAGGCTGAGCTGATGGCCGACCGACAACGCGCCACAGCTGTGTATCTCATCGATAAGTTCGCTCTTCGTGCTGGAAACGAAAAGGATGCAGAGAATGAGGCCGAAACCGTTGGCTGCTGTTCTTTGAAATATGAACACGTCACACTAAAACCCCCAAACACTGTCATTTTCGATTTCTTGGGTAAGGACAGTATTCGATTTTACGACGAGGTCACGGTCGACGAGCAAGTCTTCAAAAATCTAAAGATCTTCAAGAAGTCGCCAAAGAAAGACGGCGACGATATTTTCGACCGCTTGAATACCACACAACTCAACAAGCATCTCACGAATTATATGCCTGGTCTTAGTGCGAAGGTGTTCCGTACCTACAACGCTTCATACACCATGTCAACTCTCCTCAAAGAATTGAAAAAGACCAACCTTTCCATTCAAGAAAAAGTTAAACTATACAATGATTGTAACCGAAAGGTAGCTATTCTTTGCAATCACAAGCGTACTGTGGGCGCTGGTCACGAAGCTCAAATGGAGAAAATGGGCGACAAAGTAAGTATTTATCGGAGAAGCACGTTATTTGGTACTAACAATGTCTTTAGATTAAGGGAGCCAAGTATCAAAAATGGCGGACGAAGCAAATGATGCTTGACATTGACCCTAAGCAAAAGAAAAAGAAGGGAGCTGAGTACTTTGAGCTGGATGAAGACTTGGATCAGGAGTGGATCCTTGCACATCAGGCTTTCCTCGTTCAGGAGCAGCGTACCAAAATCGAGAAGAAGTTCGCCAAAGACAACGAAAAGCTTGTCGCCAATGGGGAGAAAGAGATGAAGGCCAAAGAGCTCCAACTAAGATTGGAAGTCGCTGACGAACTCGAGAAGAAATTCAAGAAAGAGAACAAAACTAAAAAAGTTGAAGCCGAAGGCAAAGGCCCTACCATTGAGAAGCTCGAAGCCCAGATTGAGAAACGAGACGCTCAGATCTCAAACATGATGCTCCAAGCGGAGGACCGAGAAGGCAACAAGGAGGTTGCTCTCGGTACAAGTAAAATCGTAAGTAACTCTCGCTTCCGCCCTCGTAGTATAGGCACTAACTGAGATAGAACTACATCGACCCACGCCTTACAGTTGTATTTTCAAAGAAATTCGACGTCCCCATTGAAAAGTTCTTCTCAAAAACGCTCCGAGAAAAATTTACCTGGGCTATCGAGTCGATCGATGAAGAAGATGATTGGGAATTCTAAGCCATCCGCCACAGTGTGCCATGGCTTTTAGCTTCCTCGCTATTCATGACTTGTTCATTTTGTGCTCTCAACGAAACAGAGAAAACGATATTTGTGGACGTGTTTTCCAGCCACCTCCACGGCGTTCATGCTTTCATCATCGCGCGTACCATACTTACAATTGTATCTTGTATTCCTTCGTTTTCAGCTTCACAAACGCATTGCATAGGTCAGGTTAGCGACGGCATCAGATATTACTCGGATTTGTGAGGAGGCGGTGGGGATATTCTTCAATCAGCGGATGCTCAATGAAATTCAAGTTTCTGCGTTGCAGACTCTTGAACTTGAGTGTCAGGAAACATACATTATTCATGAGCTACCTTACTATATCAGAGATAGAATAACGAAAGTTCGCTGCATCGATATAAAGTCATGGTTGCAAAGCCTGAACAAAGGGCTGAACTTAGTGAAATATAGAGCCATACTTAGCGAATAAAAATGAATGAATGAACGTAAGGAAGATTATATCGTATTTCAGCATTGGTGTATTTCCTTGCTCCATGCTTACACTATTGTATTTTCCTCATGTCATAAGTCAATATGTTTTTGGATCTCTCTTCGAAGCCTGCGGGATGGAGCACGTGCATTCGCTAACACTCAAAGAAGCATTTAGCTAGATCCCTGTCGATGTCAAGGTGCTTCCCTCATTTTGTGTATTATGACCTTCACAACCACAACCCGGCAATGAAGCCTATAGCACGGTCAATTAGAACCCGCCAGTTGGGCGGTTACGTCTGCCATAGTTGCACACGCAACTTGCGACGATCGAGACGTGGCTACGCTACCACTTCTCAACCCTCGACTCTAGAAATCTACGATGTCGTTTGCGTCGGTGGAGGACCCGCGGGGTTAAGTTTACTTGCTGCTTTGCGTATGTCGCCCTCTTCTTATTCCATCGATCAGATTTACATATCACGTTTTGATGCTAATACTACACTTCCAGGCGCAAATCCAATAACATCACCCCTCAAAGTCGCCCTCATCGAATCCCAATCCCTCGACCCAACACGCAAATTCTCACTCCCTTCCACTCAATACTCAAATCGCTGCTCTAGTCTTACACCTAAAAGTGTTGGTTTTCTACAGGATATCGGGGCTTGGGAACATGTCAAAAGGGAACGGGTATGCGGGTACAAGGGCATGAGGGTTTGGGATGGAGTAAGCGGTGCTAGTATTGATTTCTCCCCAGAAATCGGGGGAGCTGCAACTGAGGGAGGTGTGGTGGCGTATATGAACGAGAATCTGAATCTGACTCGAGCCTTGTTGGGGAGGCTTGATGAGCTGGGCGGTGTGGAGGTTTTGGAGGGCGAGAAGGTCACGGGGATTGGATTTGGAAATGATACTAGCACAGCGGATCTCTCATCTTGGCCGGTGGTTAAAACGTCTGGAGGAAGGGAGCTGGCCGCGAGGTTGTTGGTTGGTGCTGATGGAGGAAATAGTCCTGTGAGGACGTTTGCGGGGATTGACTCTCGCGGATGGGATTATGGAAGGGTGGGTGTGGTAGCTACGCTGCAGATGGAGGGTGAGGGTTGGGGTTGTGAGGAAGGAAAGATTGCGTATCAGAGATTCTTGCCTACGGGACCGGTGGCTTGTTTGCCTTTGCCTGGGAAGTTCTGTACGTTGGTTTGGAGCACGACTCCGGATCTCGCGGCGAAACTTAAGGCTTTGAGCGCGGAGGATTTTGTTTCGATGGTAAATGCGGCTTTTCGGTTGAGTGTTACGGATCTTAAGTATCTACATGATCTACCGAGTGGCCAGGAGGAGGAGGTGAGCTGGAGGGAGAACCACACACCATTCGAGCGGGAACATGTGCCTATGAAGGTCGTTGGCGTTCAAGAAGGAAGCATTGCATCATTCCCTTTAAAACTTCGACACGCAGACTCATATATCGGTCAGAGAGTCGCCTTGGTTGGGGACGCAGCACATACGGTCCATCCACTCGCCGGTCAAGGACTCAATCAAGGCCAAGGAGATGTCGAATCGCTCGCAAATACTATCGCATACTCGGTCGAACACGGTATGGATATCGGTGTGCGAATGAACCTCGAGAGATATGAGAGTGAGAGGTATGCGCAGAATAATATGTTGATGGGGGTGGTGGATAAGCTACATAAACTGTATGCGACGGAGAATCAACTTGTGGTTGGCGTTAGGAGTTTGGGGTTGAGAGCTGTGAATAGTCTTGATAGTGTTAAGGGGTTCTTTATGAGGCAGGCTAGTGGGCGAGGGGAGAAATTCTTGTGAGCTGTATGAATAGTGTATATAATCAACTGTACAATACTTGTTCGAGTTGTACTATTAGCTCACCGTCGTTTAATGATAATTTCCATTCTGGAGCTTCATGCTGAGATTCACGTGAAATTGCTGAGGGCATAAGAGGAGCTGTTCTTGAAACAGTATGGGATTTTCTGGCCAACTACCAGTCTCGCTAAACTACAAGATCAAGTAGGCCGAAATTTATTGTGTCGCCGAAGGGTATAGCCGCCCTCTGTGTGCTTGTAAGAAAATAACTCAACGCCTCGCTGAATGCACATCCCAAAAACTACGCTTGTACCCGTATCGTAGTATGCATATTCTTGCGCTCTAACTCCATGTATGTCCCCCATAAATATCCTACCTCCACCAATTCCATGATGGTAACCGGGCGTGGATTGAAACGTGACGTGACCAAATACGTCTACCCCGCGCTTCTAAACAGTATTATCATGGTAGTAAAAGTCGATGTCCCGCGGCCGTCTACGGTTGCTAGCCACGAACTGCTCGTCTCCCTCCGGTCGTTCGTTCTTGGTGTTTCCCGTCAACATGCTCTGCAGACTCATGCATATGCTCTCTACGTTCTGGACGGGTGACCAGCCCTGCTGGCCGAGGAGATCGAGACAGATTATACCGTTCGAGTAGATGTGGGGGTGCATTGGGACGGGTCGGTCCGCGGTGTTTAAGAATGTTACTTCTGGTGGTTCTACAGATGGGTATTAGCTTTTGCGCTCGGGGATGAGAATGGCGGACTGAGAAAAGGAATGCGCCGGGAATGGCCACGTACCTATGGGGTATGAGGGACTGAATTTAAACTTTAATCGAAAGGTTTTGTTCATGTAGATTGGGTTCGCGTCGAGAACTTGGATGTCGAGAAGCCATTCTTGGAAGCCCTCGGCGGTTACGAGTGTAATGCCTGGAGGCAGACTTCCATGTATCTGCGAGTACAAAGTCAGTCTCTGGTATGAAGGTGAATCAATGTAGAAGTATCTCGTACCTTGGCCAGTTCCTTTCCTAACCGTTTCGATGCGAATGCCATAATGTGCTGCCTTGCCGTATATCTCGTATCTGAAGGTGTGTCGAAGAAAAGCAACCGGTCAAAGCTCCGAGGTGTTTAAACTGATCAGATGACTTGATGGGTATTATGTGAGCGAGTGAATAGTCCTTTTCCTCACGGGTTGCTCGAGGTTGATTTCGAAGTCACTACCCACTTCGGTCAGTTGAATGACGGAGACAGGTAACTATGCGGCTGGGCAGGGTCTTATCCAAGCTCCAGTCGTTATCCTTACCGAGAAGTATGAAAGGGGAGTTGGGAAGGCAGAAAAAGCGGCAGCCAATATGGATAATAACTATGAATGAGCTTTCCTTTTGCCTCGCCACCTGGTGCGAATAACTGTAATTATCAAACTGAGTTGAATTTTGAAATACAGACGAGAAACTTTCTTACTTATGGTACATACTCAAATTTATATATTTAATAGAAGCATGTGTTTTGATGCCAACTCTGGAGTACTTCACATGCTTTGGTTCCTAAAATAGCCTTTGGCACGCTGCTTTCTCTCGTCTTCTTTACCAGTTTCCTGGCTCAGAATTGGGCATTTGAATGATTGAACCTCACCAATGTGTAATGGTATAAAATGTCCATAGCGGCCTAATCTATTTCACAGCTAATCTACAGAATGTGGCTCATTATCCAAATTCTCGGTCAGGTACAATTAATTGTTGCTGTCTCAAGCCCCTTCAAAAGTGCTGAGCCACACAAAGGAACCCCGCGCCGCAAACAACCCCATTGAACTGCGGCTGACGGACAGAAAGTGACCTAAATAAGGCAGATCCTGAGTAGCTGCAACTCTGTGTGAAAAGGAATATCTCTCTTATTTGCCTTCTTTCATTCATCAACTCTCGAGTTCTCATTCATCTGCGTTTTCTCTGCACACACATTCGCATACTTCCACCAAAAGCTCGTACGCAGCTCCAATCACCCCTCACTGCAACCCCTCCTCGTCCCTGCCTCATCCATCGGTTTCAGCCCCACCAAACAACCGCTTTGATTCTTACTGAGTACCCGCGCAACTGGCATCATTGACTTCGACTACGACAAACTAAATCCCCGGATTCCTGACATCCGCGTTTCCTCGCTGAGGAAAGAACGTAGCGTCAACATCTTCTGCGCACTGCAGATTGCTGGCAGTCACGATGAGTTGTAAGTCACCAGTACCCAAGCCATACCCAACATCCTCTCGGCCAGCCTGCTCCTGTTGTGGCAGAGCAGAAGATGCCGTAATTCCTAAAATCCACCTGAATGTTTTCCCTCTTTTTCACATTGTTAAACCTGTTTCTCTGCATTATGCTGACCGTGTCAACTTTGATCGATAATTCAGTCTCTAATATGCTCAACAAGTTTCATGGACAACCCGATAGCTATGATAAGAAGTATGCTTCCAATCAAGCATGAAAATTGCATGCTAACCGCTCAGTAGGTCTAAGTATCGATTTGGACGAACGTTGGGAGCCGGTACATATGGTATTGTGCGCGAGGCTGATGGGCCAACCGGAAAGGTTGCTGTGAAGATTATCCTTAAGAAGAATGTCAAAGGCAATGAGCAGATGGTCTATGATGAACTCGAGATGTTGCAGCGGATGAAACACCCTCACATCGTCAAGTTTGTGGATTGGTTCGAGTCAAGGGTATGATAATGAAGGGCTGCTGGAATATGCGACAGAAGCTTACTGGCGTGGCAGGATAAATACTACATCGTGACACAACTGGCTACTGGAGGAGAACTCTTCGACCGTATCTGCGAGCAAGGACGATTTACAGAAAAGGATGCCTCACAAACAATTCGACAGGTGATAGAGGCGGTTGACTACTTACACGACAATAATGTCGTTCACAGAGGTAGGATTCAAGGTTCATCTAAAACGTACAGAGCTAACCTTGAGCAGATTTAAAACCAGAAAACTTGCTTTACCTTACCACCAACCCTAAATCTGATCTTGTATTGGCTGATTTTGGTATCGCTAAAATGCTCGACTCAAAAGATGAAGTACTCACGACTATGGCTGGATCTTTCGGATATGCGGCTCCAGAAGTCATGCTAAAGAGAGGCCATGGAAAACCAGTTGATATGTGGTCGCTGGGAGTCATTACGTACACTCTACTCTGCGGATATTCCCCTTTCAGAAGTGAGAATCTTCAGGATCTTATCGACGAATGCAGTAGTGGCAAGGTCGTTTTCCACGAGAGATACTGGAAGGATGTTAGCGCAGACGCAAAGGACTTTATTGGACATTTACTCCAGCCAGATGCCGAAGACAGATCTTCTAGCAAAGTAAGTGGATTCGCTAGAGAGTATTTTGCGATCTGAAACTGACTAGAATACAGGAAGCATTGAAGCATCCATGGCTCAGCGGAGAGAATGCAACAGACCACAATTTGCTTCCAGAGATCAAAGCGTACATGGCAAAGGCTCGTCTTCGTCGTGGTATCGAAATCGTCAAACTCGCAAACCGTATCGAAGCACTTAAGATGCAAGAAGACGAGGAGGACGATGTACCCGGACAAGCCGACCTACCATCAAATCCAAAAGCCGCTGCTCAAAGCGCGTTATCTGGAGCAGATGCCGGACATGGTAGTCCATCTAGAGCCTCCTCCTCGTCATCGACCGATCCTCCGAAGAAGAGTTTAAGTAAAATTGCAAAGGGTGCCATCTTCCGAGAAGTTGTGCTAGCCAAAGTTCGGGAGATGAAGCAAGCCGAAGATGCCGCGAAAATGGAACAAGAAGCTCAAGAAAAGGCTGCTAAAGGGAAATGATAAACGTTGGTATGATTGGGCTCGATTACGTGGACTGGGTATGATGGGGTTTTGGGAATGCCATGTCGATACCCGCATTTCGTTGTTTTCTTCATAGCCTTCCTTAGTTTTTAGGCATATTTCAATGGTTTCATTGTCAAAAATGGTACACTGACCCCGAGTGAAGGAGCAGATTCCGCGAATTGAAATTGGATTGATGAGGAATGTGCACTATTGTCTGAGTTGTAGTGCCAAAGCGAAGTGTCTGAACGTCATAAGTTATATTTGGATCAACGTCCGCCATGACTCGACTAGTAGGTGTCAGCCACTAGCAACGACTTGTAGGAGATTAACTCATCACGCAGAGTCAGCCACGAAACGAGACGACGCTCGAACAAGTAAACGGTCAATTTGCAAGCCAATAGTTTATTTTTAAATTGTATTTTTGATTTGTTTTGGTTTTTGTATAGTGCTAAAAGTTGCCTTGCCTTATTCGGGAACATAGGTCTTTTTACATGGATGCGCGTGTGATTATCGCGTACAACGTCCTGACAATTTCATAAGCCCCGACTCCGATTTCATTTCCCTTCCTCCTGTTCCGTCCATATATGCACGTCGTGATAAAATAAACAATAAGATATATAAAAAGGAAACTCGTTAGGGCGGTAGTTATGTTGGAGATGATACGCTAAGGACTTGTAATATGTATGTATGTGAAGGAAGGAAGGAAATATGGACATGAATGTAGTGAGTGTGAATTTCTGGCCTGCGAAAATTCGGTGGGGGTGTGGTGATGTGTAGATGGGTGATGGGTAGAGGGGAGGCATTCAGTGATGCCATCCACCATCATCCAACTCAGCAATCGCTCGGTCGCATAGGTCTTGGTACCGTACGGCATTGAAGCGAGGACGTAGCCAATTCCGCTGTTTAAGCCGCTGGATGCGTGATGTGAGGGTATGTGAGCTCGACGTTGTTTCGGGCGTCAGACCCAGACCTAGAGCGAGTGTTGCTGTTGGCTGTGTCGCCGTTGTAGGTGAGGTTGGAGATGTACTTGGAGATTGCGAGAATAGATCTGGGCCATTGGAGCGGCGGGCGCGACGGATGGTGCTTAGTGTGTGGATTTGAGCCGTCGTCGAGGCGGCGTGGTATTCGAGTTGGGATTTTAGGGATGTGAGATGCGATTTGTAGCGTGCTAGGGCTCGGGCGGAGATGTGTGAGGGTGACGGGGAGGGCAATGGGTAGGTTGGAGAAGGGGGCGGGTTGTAGGTGGTGAGTGCTGCGTAGTTTTGGGGGATGATGGTTGGGGAGAGGGTGTCGTGGGTTGGTGGTGAGGGGAAACGGGCGAGCAGGTCTTCGGCGGTCATGATGCCGCCGTTTTGGGAGTCGGGGATGGTGGGCTCAGAGGTGAGAAGGAAGGAGACTCTTTTTTTGTTTGTTCTTAGTGGTGCTGGTTTGAGGATTGAGGAGGTGGAGTTTTGGCGTTTGAGTTCTGGGGTGTCGGTGCTGGTTGGGGAGTCGAGTATTGAAGAGGCGACTGAGGAGTTGCTAGTTTCTGAGAATACTGATTCCACGCTTGACCGGATGGATGAGGACATGCTTGAGTGTGATTTGTGACTTGAAGCGTGGATGATATCTGGGTTGGTTGCGAAAGCTGCAAATTCCATGTATGATTGAGCTTTCCGGTAATAGGTGAGTGACTCCTGGAGCAGGGGTAACTTCAATGAAGAGTTGTTGTGAAGTGAGCGCGCTGTTAACTCCAAAGAGGAAGCAGCAAAGAAACACAGATAGATTGAGTAAAGAGGATGTACTCGATACTATTTTGATGTTAGAAAAATAAACTCATACTAGGATATATCAACTTACCGGATCTCTGATGGTTTCTAAAATCTGCTTACAGCGTGCCGAGCACTGCCTGTACTGTTGCTTATAATACAAAGTCTTGACTTCCTCCATGACTTTTAACCACTCACTAGCAGTATAAGGGACAATGGTAAGATCAGTAACTGGACCTGGGCGTCGACGGGGGCGTGATGTCGATTTTGAAGGAAGAGGAAGAGTAGGTGATTCTGCTCGAGGTATCGGATCCGGATTCCAGCGACATATCTGGGAATTCTGCGTCTGAGGCGCCGTCGCCTTTAAGAAAAGGGGTATCAACTGATCCATCTTGTTCGTGGGGCTCACGTCTAGAAACATTGCTGTAGTGCAAACTTGGGTCCTAAACACCAGCTCGCGCTCCTAGTGCGCGCCGGACCGCTTGGTGGAGCGGAAGAAATGGAAAGTCTGGAGTAATTTGGCTAGTCGAGACGCTCAAGCTTGAATGCTACTGTTGAAGGTGGGATACGAGATCGAATTAGGATTATGTATGGCGTACGCGTCTTTTGAAGCTATGATATGTTGATTTGACTTCTTTCCACTAGGTGAGCCACAACGGAATTATGAAGATTCGACTGGAATATCGACAGACGAACACAATGAACAATAGCAACAAACAGACAACGAGAAGAATAATGCCCGAGCACCCCTCATGATTATATACAGTCCACGACCAGCCGTGAGCAACCGTGCATCTTCTTCAATCTGCGCTCTGCAGAGGCCGGGAGCTCAAGATGCTGGCCGCGACGATGAGCGACTTTGCTTACCCCAGAATCGTCGACAGGGAGATTTCATGATGATGCAGCGCGAGTTCCCCTGGTTTTCTTCGTTACCAAAGTTGGGACCCGGCCGGGGTTTATAGACTCTCCCTCGATCGCATAGTGGTGCTCATTTCGAGACATTTGCAGCAGGTCATGAGAAACATTCGTCCCATCCAGCGCGAGGTGCCAGTTGAAACGAAACCGGCGCACGAACGATGGGCACTTTTGGGTCAGGGGGCGACGCTGCGGGTGCCCAGGTGGTGCATCTCTGCGTGAAGCGCGCTGCAGCAACAGGGGCCATTTGACAGTCGCTTTGACCTTTGAACCCTGCCCTCCTCACCGTCTCAAGCTTCAGATGTCAAAGAGTTTCAATTGTGTGATCAGATGTGATGCTTTTCTCCGAGTGTTTCTCATGTTTCTGCTGTGGCAACCGTTCGTGAGCCATGTTTGCTCCGTTTTGCTGCGAACTGCCCTATGAACCTGCGCAGCGACCCAGTGTTCGTCGGGAGGATGGTGAGGCCAGAGCTCCCAACCCCTGATCTTCGCTGCAAGCCGGCACTCACATCGAACAACACCGTCTGAGATTTCTCAACCTGGGCCCATCACAAACTCTGATCACAGCTTGGCTCTGCTGTAGTCGAGTAGGTTAGGTCGGCATAGGCACAGAGGGGGCGCGAATGCGACCGAGGGGTTGAGGGGTGATTGTGTTATCGCGGATATCGAACTAATCGAGGGGCAGATGCAGCACTTTCGGAATCTGGATGGAAGAGTGGCGCTCAGAATCCATCTACTCGACAGCTAGTTAACGGTTTAAAGCACAACTCACCCGATTCTAGCAGCTAATTGAACTTGCAAATGCAGTCTTTTCAGTAGACAATTTTCATTGGACGAAATCTAGCAATTCCAACAAATAAACTTTACTGTAATTCCACTACATTATGCTAACTAGTGCGTGCTCATCAGCGACATGGGAGGAACTAATGTACAACGATCGTAGTATGACTGTAGTACGCATTAATCTCTATAAATCTTCTAGTCTTTTGAAGAATCTCTTCATCGCGTATCCGTTTTACCGAGATAGATAATCAATCGTTCGTTATGCGTCAAAGCTACTGACCCAACGGCAATGTCGACATAAATGATCAAGAATTCCCCGATGACTTATTTGTAGATCATAGTGACCAGGAATGCGATCAAAATAGCCATTTCGATCCCACAAGACGATGCATAAATGTTCATCTCATGATCTACCAGGAAACCGATTTGTGTGTTCCGATTTGGGCCACTACCCCTGACGCTTATGATCATGCAATTCTTCATGTGTCGACATAAAAGCTCCTATTTGTATGATTCGCATCTCGTATGATTGATTATGAAGCAGGAATAGCGCCTATAGTCTCTTGCGAGTGTAGTGACTCTTCAGCTGGCTTCTCGGTATCGGGCACAGCATCATCACTAACCGGCTTCGCCGATTCAGTCGTTGCCGCTGATGCACTTTCTGCGTCGGGAGTCTCTGCTGACCCGGATGCAGCTATTGCTGCCACTTCTGGCTCACCACGGATTCCACCAACGACTCTCAATCCCTCAGCCTGCTTGACCATCTCATCAAGCTTCGACTTACGGGAGATACGAGTCCGGACTTCCGAAACCAAATCTTTCAAATCTACCAACACGCCCTCTTTCTCTGGGTGGCCATCTCGGAGACCCATCTCCTTGATCTTAACTTTTCCTGCAGCCATCTCATCCTCGCCAATAACGACGCATAGTGGGCAGCCATTCTTTTCTGCGGCATTGAATTGATTTGGTAGCTTGGGCTTGACTTTGTAAAGAAATTCCGTCTTCGAGTAATGTTAGATGAAATCATGATAGTAGTGTCTTCAAATGAGCTTACCTTGATTCCTGCTTCCCAAAGCGTTGTGCAGATAGAAAGTCTCTCTTTAAGTAATCCCGTAAAACCCTTACCACCAAATGCCATCACGAAGACTTCCGTCTCATTATTGCGTACTTGCTCAGCGTTGTCCTCAGCCATTCGTGCCTTGGTGACAGAAAAAATTCTATCAACGCCAAAAGATATGCCCACACATGGAATTTGTGTCTTACCCGAGAACATGCCAACAAGATTATCATATCGACCTCCTGCGGCAACACTGCCAACGCCAACACTTGGATCTGAAGAGCGGTCTTCATCGAAATCGACGGCACTCTTCCCGCTAGATGGCTTCTTCGATGGTTTTGGCGGAGCTGCAGGCGCAACCGAGACAGTTGCTAGAGGTTCTGAATTTGGCGCAGAGCCCTCTGTGACAATCTCATAGATAACTCCGGTATAATAGTCGAGTCCACGCGCTAAGCTCAAATCGAAAGAAACATTCTCCAAAGCATCGAACGCCTCTAGGTATGTAAATAAAAGGTCCATATCCGCCAACCCAGCCTTCATAGACTCATTAGCCATAAGTTTCTCGTCTGCTTGCAGCTTTGCTAGGAGATCCTTTTGCCCCTTTTGCACCACATATTCGCCAATCTTATCCGCAACTTCTTCCGCAAGTCCCTTTTCCTCGGTCATTTCTTTGCGCACCTCTGCCCATGGAAGCTTGTCTAGCTTATCAACCGCTGAAGAAATCGTCCTAATCTTATCACTTGGTACACCGCAAACTTCGAATATACCATCTAGAATTTTCCTGTGGTTGAGTTTGATGGTATACCGCCCTCTCCATCCTAGACCTTCAAAAACTTCAGTCACGATTCTGACTATCTCTGCATCTGGAAGCATGGGATCGTAGACTCCAGCAATATCGAAGTCGCATTGGTAGAATTCTCTCATGCGGCCTTTGGTCATCGCTGGTTGATCTCGTCTGTAAACCTTGGCGATGTGGTATCTCTTAATTGTTTGACAGTCTCTATTCATAGCCAGCCACCGCGCGAATGGTACTGTCAAGTCATAACGTAAAGAACAAATCTCCCCACCCTGATCGGCGAGGTCGTAAATAAGTTTGCTATCTTCGCCGTATTTGCCTGAAAGGATCTCCTTCAACTCAAACACTGGGGTATCAATTGTAACTGCTCCGTGACGTTTAAAGACATCGGTGATCGTTGAGAAAATCTTGTCTCGAATAACCATGTCTTTTCCCTCCCCTAATTACATGTCAGCTGCTGATTACCGCGAAAAAAACAACTAATTTCCTACAATCCTTGGTTCCCTTCGGAGTCTTCAACTCGAATCTCGTCGCCTTCTTTTTCTCTGCCTTGGTAACCATGGTGTCGTTCGGGTCGTCCTCAATGACCCTGTACCCCGATACTGTTCTCGATAATTTAGGGCAACTCGAAAATGAAGCCTTTGCCTGTGGCAGTGACCTGAATGAGCTGGGATATGAGATTGATCGTTGTGATCTCGCAGATCTGAGTATTTGTATGCGGAAGGTCTTCATCCACAAATAATCCAACTGGAAGAATTTAGTGGCTTCTGTGGGTTAATTCAAAAAATGGTTTCTGAGTCATTGGTTGGCAGATGCGGATGCGCTCATCGCAAGGCTGTAATATTTTTGCATCAAGTCGGATGCAGTCATGCCTCAGGCATCAACTTACAGCCTTCACCCAATGTTTCGTCAATCCCGACCGCTCTCTCATTCTCGCTCATCCATGCAGAGCTCAACAGCTCAGCATGGCTCCCAGTGCTGTTTTCGATACGGACCAGATCAAGGACAAGGCGAGGAAAGATCTTCTTTACTTGCTAGAGGGCGTAAGTAAGGACGGCCATCTGACACTTTTGATTTTAGCGGTCACTGACAATATCCCACTTAGGTTCCTGGAAAGAAAAACCTGGTCATTGAGAAAGCTTTGGCTGGTCCAATAGGCATATTTGTCAAGTTCTCGACATTGCAGGATTATGGTGTTGATAAAGTTTTTCTATTGGAAAATGGAAATGCAGACGTCAGTCAGCAAAATGTTGTCTTCATTGCAAGGGGAGAGTGTGCAAAGCATGCTCAATCTATAGCTGGTATGTTTATGTCTCGTCCTCTCCATTCCTCAAAAATCTGAAAAATGATTTATGGGCTCTTAAAGTAGAGGGTGTGGCTGTATTTCTTCCACTCTACATCTTCAGTCTTGAGCCCAAGATAAACTTTTCTTGCAATTGCTAACATTGCCGCTCACATCATCTCTGTATGTGGACGGTGCTGCCAATACAAGCTAACACATGTCAGATCATATTAAGCGTATGCAACGAGAATCGCAGACTGCACATGAGTTTTCAATATTCTGGGTGCCTCGGCGGACACTTGTCTCTGAGAAGATCCTCGAGGAAGCGGGTGTACTTGGCGATGCGAGCATTTCAGAGTTTCCTCTCTACTTTTTACCTCTTGAAAAAGATGTATTGTCCCTTGAATTAGACGACTCATTCTCCGACCTCTACCTTCGAAAGGATCCTACTCCAACTTATATCTTGGCACGTGCGTTGATGTTAGTGCAACAGAAACATGGCCTTTTCCCTAGAATTACCGGCAAAGGCGATAATGCAAAGAAGCTCGCGGACCTGCTTGCGCGCATGCGACAAGAACTGATCGCCGGCGAAGACACGAGTGAAGGCAACAAGCTGGGGCTCACTCCAAGTACAACAATCGAAAGTCTGATTGTGATTGATCGCGAAGTGGACTATGCTACGCCACTACTTACTCAATTGACATATGAGGGGTTGATAGATGAGACTGTAGGCATTGCGAACAATCAAGCCGATGTAGATTCTTCAGTAGTAGGCGCGGCACCACAGCCAGCACCAGGATCTTCAAAGACTGTAGGGGCAGCACAAGCACAAGGGAAGAAGAGGAAAATTGCCCTCGATTCTTCTGATAAGCTGTATCACCAGTTGAGAGATACCAACTTTGCCATCGTGGGAACCTTGTTGAACAAGGTGGCTAGACGACTCAAAACCGACTACGAAAGTAGACACGGGCAAAAAGCACGGCCGAGCTGCGGGACTTTGTAAACAAACTTCCTGGCTACCAAGCTGAACAGCAAAGTCTTAAGATCCATACGGGACTTGCTGAGGAAATTATGAGGCATACACGGACTGAGCAGTTTAGCAGATTGCTAGAGGTGCAACAAAACCTAGCAGCCGGTGCGGATCCTTCTTCTCAGCACGAAGCCATCGAGGAGCTCATTGCTCGAGACGCTCCAATTTCCGAGGTTTTGCGCATCCTCTGTCTTGAATCATGTATCGCTGGTGGTATAAAACCCCGAGAGCTGGAAAATTTCAAGAAGATGATTTTGCAAGCGTATGGCTACCAGCACATCCTAACTCTCGACGCCCTCGAGAAACTGCAGTTACTTTTGTCGCGAACCTCCCCAATGGCTACAATGATTCCAATATCCTCGAGTGTGGCAACGACAGGCACGAAAACGAATTATACATATTTGCGCAAAGCTCTTAGGTTGATTGTGGATGAGGTCAACGAACATGATCCGAATGATATCGCTTATGTGTATAGTGGATATGCGCCACTGTCGATACGACTTGTGCAATGTATTTTGCAGAAGCAGTACCTCGCATCCATTACCCGGGGTGGCAGCGCGAATAATACGGCTAGCGTAGCGACAGGCGGTCCCTCTCAGGGATGGAAAGGCTTTGAGGAGGCTATAAAGCACGTTCGCGGGCAGACTTTCGACGAGGTGCAAAAGGGCGAGGACAAGGCGGTTAAAGCGAGAGCACTGTTGACGGGCAGTGGCGAAAAAAAGACCGTCTTCGTTGTTCTTTTAGGAGGGATTACATCTACAGAGATCGCTGCTCTGCGATTCATTGCGAAAAAGGAAGAAGGTTGGTCAAGTCTTGTGCTTCTGCTCGTAACCATACGCTAACCGTTGATCTTCACAGCCCGGAAACAGATCATCATCTGCACAACTTCCATTATTAGCGGAAGCAGAATCATGGATGTAGCAATTGAAAAGGGTAGCCTGGGGAAAAGTAATACTACATAGCTTGAGGCACATGTAAAATAGTCCAGTTATGCAAAAGGTGCTAGCCAGAAGGATTTGCCTTGCTAAGAGGCCATCATCATAATGTAATAAATAGATGTAAACTTTGCGAAAGATTCTTGTGATAATGTGATATTTTCATGGTACTCGCAATGTTGGCATCCGTTGGAACTTGACGTCGGAAGAAGCTCATGGCGATCGCCAATTAGCTAGAACACGTGATGTGCTTTGGTCGCATTTCACCTCGAACGGAGCATCTTAGCAAAGCGTATCTTGAGCATTATTCTATACATTACCATCCTTCAACGCAGCCTTACGATCCCTTCAAACCCTCCACACCGTTAATATAGCGAGACCACTGGCTTGAGTCTATGGAACTGGATGTGGGCTATTCGGAATATAGAAGGATAACATCGGATGCGACAGGTGAGACCACTCCACGTGGTGGCACGTATGTCTATGTAAAGTTGGCTAAACGATAGCTAACCTGATCGTCTTGGATCATTAGGGTCGGATACATCAATGCTTCGATGATAGTGAGGGTAGTGGTTCCGTTATCTTTACATGACTTGGAATGGGAAATTCGAGTAGCCTGTCTGACCCCTCCACCGAACAAGTCAAACCATATATCTCTCAACAGTCACTCGAAGTCGTAGGAAACAGAAAAACTCTTATATGGCGGCATCAATGGATTCTCATATGTCTCAACACGATGATTTGAGTCTGATGGGCCTACAAGAGCTGGACTCACATCTCTCAATATTCGAGTCGAATCTTGGCCGAGACTCGTCTACCCCAGGTGCCACGTCCAATTCTGCTTACGGAGAATCCATCTCAACGGTTGACAATCCATCTACAACGATCTTCGTTGAATCACCAAAGAAAGCCTGGGTTGGAAAAAGCGTGTCTATTAGTTCTCACGATGGCAAAGTCTTACATAAAAGGTCCGTTCTCCACATTGTTAATATCATCCCTTGTGTTATCGCTCGCTCCTTCCACGCGATGTTTGTAAACGATATCACCAATTATGAAAACGATTATCATTGTGCCCAATTAACTTGGATACTCTCTATGTAGAACCGAGCTTCACTCAAAGTCTTCATTGGGTGGCAATATCCACTTAAAGCCAGAAAGTGCCCGCGACTCCATGGCTTCTTCAATGAACACAGACCTTGACGACGCTTCATCGGCCCTTTCATCCATCTCGAGTATCTCGACATCTCCGAACGGATTTGAAACCGGTTCAAAGGAGTCTACAAATGGTGCTTTTATGTTAGGGAGACATCACCAGACATATAACGTTCGTCCTAAAGCCTCAATACCAACGGATATATCTATAGCAGAGTACGCAAGACAATGTATATCTGCTGCTGAATCGTCACGCCTCAACCCCTACAGCATGCATCCTGAGGAACATGCTATGTTACGCCATCATCTTACCCACCAGCAAGTTACGATTTATCTCAATATCCGCAATGGAATCCTAAGATTATGGACGAGGAACCCCATCATCGGCGTCATGCGAGATGAAGCTGTTGGATGTGCTAGAGATCCTAGGTGGTTTGATGTCGCTAGCTTGTGTCATGAGTGGTTAGTACGACGTGGTTACATCAATTATGGCTGTCTCGAGCATCGACAACCTATTGTTGACAAGAGGAAGCATCGTACCGGCAAGCGAAAGAGAAAGACAATTGCGGTCATTGGAGCCGGCATGTCTGGACTTGGCTGTGCCAGGCAAATTGAAGGTCTAATCTCGGAATATCAAAGTCGCTTCCAAGAAATGGACGAAGATCCACCACACGTAATTGTAATAGAAGGCCGAGATAGGATCGGGGGGAGGGTCTATTCCCGAGCCTTCGATACGAAACCTTCGTATCCAACGCTGAGTTATGGTAGCCGACACACAGCAGAAATGGGCGGCATGATCATCACCGGGTTCGATCGTGGAAATCCATTGAACATCATTGTTAGGGGTCAGTTAGCATTGCCTTACCACGCATTAAGGCCAGACACGACTATATACGACGCTACCGGGAAGCCTGTGGACAATAATCGAGACCAATATGCTGAGAAGTTGTTTAATTACATATTGGATCGAGTTAGTGAGTATAAATTCAAGCAACCAGTGTCGCCAACCGTGGATGGAGACAAGGATCTATTAGACTCCGGCCGAGAGTCGACAGTAGAAGGGTTTAAGACAATCGCGGAGGTTGAGGACTCACCTGAGCCAGTACTCAGTGGTTCCAAAAACAACTCTCGGAAAAGCTCCAAAGCACCTTCGCCGGCTACTGAGGTCCAGCTGATTCCTGTGGCATCAGACCGCTTGACAGGAAGAGCACACCTCGAGCTTGGAGTTCCGGCAGTACATACGGCAGCTTATAAGGCACGTGAAATTGGTTGGCTCCTGCGGCCTGGCGTTGGCATCGAGAATGACTTAGATCTTGAGAATGCAGTTAATTCAAAATATGCTACTCTAGGCTCAGTTTTCGATGAAGCGATTCGACAGTACACTAGGATCGTCGACTTCACGCCTCTTGATCTTCGGCTCATCAATTGGCATGTGGCAAACTTGGAATACAGTAATGCAATCACTTGTAATAAGCTGAGTTTAGGAGGCTGGGATCTTGATGCTGGAAATGAATGGGAGGGTAAACATACCATGGTAGTTGGGGGGTACCAGCAGGTCCCAAGAGGACTTCTCAAATCCCCTCAACCTTTGAATGTGCGACGAAGCAGTAAGGTAAAAACCGTTGTATATGACCCGGATACCTCCGCATCAGCCTCGAAGATTCATTGCGAAGACGGAAGTATCATTGAAGCCGATTACATTGTGTCATCGATACCATTGGGCGTCCTAAAACGCCAAAGCATAGACTTCCAACCCCCTTTGCCAGAATGGAAAACTGGTGCAATTCAACGCATCGGTTATGGGGTTTTGAACAAGGTGGTGCTGGTGTACAGTGAGGCCTTCTGGGACGAAAGCAGAGATATCTTTGGCACTCTTCGGAACCCCCAAGATCGATTTAGTTTGGATCAAACGCACTATTTCTCTCAGAGAGGTCGCTTCTTCCAATGGTTCAATTGCAGCAAGACAACCGGACTCCCAACTCTGCTTGCTCTAATGGCGGGCGATGCAGCGTTTGAGACTGAGAAAGCCGATGATGGCGCAATAGTTGCGGAAGCTACATCTGTATTGAAGACTGTGTTCGGGCCGCATGTACCTATGCCGTTGGAAGCAGTTGTCACACGCTGGGGCTTAGATGAATTCTCTCGGGGTAGCTACTCATACACAGGTCCAAATTTCCAACCTCAAGATTACGAGGTTATGGCTCGACCTATCGGCAACCTGTTTTTCGCGGGAGAGCATACCTGTGGCACTCACCCAGCAACTGTCCATGGTGCATACATCTCTGGACTAAGAGCGGCTTCAGAGGTATTAGATGCCATGATCGGGCCAATAAAAATACCTGAACCCTTAGTTCTTCCAAAAGATTCTGCGTCGAAACGAAAGTCTGAAGTTTTGCAGAGCGCTAAAGACCCCAGAGAGACACGCCTCGAAGCTTATCAGATAGAGATGTGGAACGAAATTTTGCCCAAGTTTGGGGACCGCCCATGGAAACCGGAGAACAAATATGCCAATCCATATCATATGTACAGCAAAGATAATTGGAATGAGGCCAAGCGCCGGTGCGAGGAAGGTCGAAGACCTGGCAAAGGCAAACCTATACAAAATGAGGTTAAGAAAATGGCGGCAAAGATGTGGAAAGAAGCTTCAGAAGAAGAAAAGAAGCCGTATAATCAGAGAGCAAACGAGCAGAAAGCTGCTCATGCTGCCGCAATGGCAGAGTTCGCTGTCAAGTCTGCGGCCTGGGATACTGAGGTCGCGGCTTTCAAAGCGCAATATGAAAAGGAACATCCATTTACTCCTGGGCCAGAAGAGGCATCTGATACACCAACACGGAAACAAAGACGAGCGAAACTTGTGAGCGGATATGCAGAGGCGTCCTCTGACGTCGAGATATAGTGCATCTGGAGTTTGGCATTGTAAACTTTTTTGGGAAAGCATTGGAGTCTCCGGTCAACAGGGATGCATACCTCGGAGCATGGTTTCTTGTATTGTAACGTATATGGCATAGCTATTTAATCGACTATGACTTCTTAATTCGAATAAATGATCTACTCTCTAATTGTATCTTCAACCATAATGCCGTGAATCTATATTAACCAGTTGTTTTACGGTGGAGTTGCAAGTTGATGATATCTGGGTCTCATTCGCTTGTTGCGGCCTCCCATCTCAACCCCTCGAGCCCATCGCACCCCTCCATCGTCGGGCTAACAACAAACGGCCTCGCAACTCCAACCACAACGCCCATCATCTTAAGAACCACAGCAAGATGGCAGAACCAGACCAATTTGATAGTGCTCTGTAGGTCTAGCTTCTGTTTTTGTCTTTTGCCTAGTGGGGAATAACAAGCTTACGCACGCCATCAGTGACCTCCTCCGCCGTCTAGATCCTAAACATACTACGACGCACTTGAACTCGCTCATCTCCCTCGTACCATCCTTGACGGAAGACCTTCTTTCCTCTGTAGATCAGCCACTTACGATCGCTCGGTGCCGGAAAACAGGTCGCGATTACCTCCTCTGCGATTACAACCGTGACGGGGACAGCTACCGGTCTCCCTGGTCGGGCGAATTCGAAACACCTTCGGGAGGCACTGGAGCTGGCGGCGCCGACGATCTGGGCAACAATGAAGGTGCGGGTGATGGCGCGGTTCCGAGCGAGAGAGTGAGAAAGATGGAGGTCAGAGCAAATGAGGCATTCGATGTTTATAGAGAGCTATATTATGAGGGTGGTGTGAGCAGTGTGTATTTCTGGAATCTGGACGACGGATTTGCGGGAGTTGTCCTGTTAAAGAAAGGTAATGCTAAGTCGCGCACTCTTGTGAATATGGCACATTGCTAATATTTTGGGACAGTCGCAACACCATCAGGGAAGAGTGAAGGAACATGGGACTCAATCCACGTCTTCGAAGCCGTCGATCGCGCCCGTACCGCCCACTACAAACTCACATCCACGGTTATCTTACATCTCTCCACAAACAGCGAACCTCTCGGTGACATGGATCTTTCCGGAAACATGACACGTCAAATCGAATCTGATCTCCCGGTTGATGATGATACCAGCCATATTGCGAATATTGGAAAGCTTGTTGAGGACATGGAGTTGAAGATGAGGAATTTGTTGCAAGAGGTGTACTTTGGAAAGGCGAAGGATGTGGTAGGCGATTTGAGAAGTATCGCTCCGTTGACAGAAGCCAATAGGGATAAGGCTACGCATCAGGAGATGATCAACTCTATGAAGCGGTGATGTGCTTCAAGCGTAAAAGAATGAGAAACGAGAGGCAAAACGAGACTGACGTTTTTGCATTCTGAAGCTGCTCTTATTCCAGTCATCCTCGAGTTCGGATTCCATAGCTGTTTTCATGTCCTTCACAGTTGTTTGGCGTTCAGATTAATTATTTCACAGGTAAGTGGTATCTAAGCTAGATTATGTGTCAAAATGTCTTAGTGGATATTTGCGACCAGAACATTTGCGTAGCATAGCTATGATTGCAATTCGCTGTCCACACAATGAAGTATTGTACAAATGTTACCATATTTTTGCGGAACTTCAAGATCATCTCGGTATGCTTGAAACTCTAAGATATTGCTATTCTAACTACCAGACAATGCAAAATTCTACGCAGCAAATATAAGAAATTCCTGTCAATACTCTGAAACAATCTATTCTTTAAGATCCTCCTCTACATCCGACTTATTTTCAGAGTTTTTCTCGTTGTCTTTACGCATCTTTACATATTCTTGCTCCCTTCTTTTCCTCCAACCTGGTCCCAGTTTGTTAACATGTTCAAACCATTCGGCCACTGCTATTTCGGCGTTCGCCTTTCCTTTTCCCCTCAAGATATTACCTTCACTATCTAAGTCCTGTGTTCTCACCCATAGGGAAATATAACGCCCTCTTCCAGACCTTCCGGTTTTACTGTCGTCTGGCGAAATTGGATATTCATCCCACAGTGGCACGCGCTTATACTTGGCAAACATAGTGTCCAACTCTTCAGTGTGGTAATCTATAATATCACTGCTGTCAATGATATCGACGTTGCCTGGGATCTCCTGTGACTGCTCTGTTGACTTGTTTTCCCCAAGTTCATTGGGTTTCTCTGTGACAGACTCTTTGGTCTCCTTTTTCTCGTGAGCTGCCGGAATCTCGCGATAGTCCGCATCTTGTGCGACCCAATCATAGCCGATGACAGCACTAGGCCATATGCCATCAGCTATCCACTGACCCATGTATTTGTACACAGGATCAAGATTTAGCAGAATGGTCGAATCGTTGGTCAGAGAGAAAGCATCGGGATCGTCAACCACTTCGGCTCCAATGTACGTTGTCAGGAACTTTTTATCAAGTTTTGAATAGCAAGGATCTTGGAAGTATAAAGGGAGACGTTTGTCACATTCTGTTGCCGTTAGCTCGAAAATTACATAACTGACACCAAAATTGGTGTACTGAAAATGGGAGGTGATCAAATGAAACATACCTCCGAGTGTCGTTGCGACAAGGATTGCGTCCAGGATATCATATACCATCGTAGGTGGCATCCAACGGTCTCCTTTCACGTACGCTGCTCGGTGTAGGCTTCCAACTCCGACAACAACAACCTTGGAAAAGACTTTTCCCGAATCTCTGAGATTCTGGATACCCGTCGAGAACTCTTTGTAATGAACAGTCTCTGCGTACTGTTTGCGGTTCCTTTCAAATTCTTCTATTAGGTGCTCCATGCTCTTACGGACATAGGCCTCAAAGTGTACGTGGTACGGCTGGGGTGGCTCTGAATATTGGAAGCCGCTCATGGTGTCCATTATATCAGTCGTCCAATGGTCTCTATTAATTACAACTCTATTTGTGTTATTGGACAATACTCTGGCAAGGATTGGAACACGTACTCATAATACTTGTCAATGTTTTTGTAATATTCATTATGAAATTTCAAACTAGCATTCCAAGTTTCCGCATCTTCATATTTCTCGATTACTTTGTCGTTGAAAGAAATGGTAAAGATACCGCTTTCTTGGTCATAGGCAGCTGAGAAACCCATGATGATAATCTGGATGATGAAAATTTAAAAGCAGGAAGAGATCTTGTTGTAGTTGTAGAAAGTTGCAACTCAAGTCGAGATCAAGAAGTTGGTTTAGGCTGACTCTAGGCAGTCACTACCAACTTCAAACACAAACATAAAATGAACCAACAAGTTAAATTGGAGAAAGATGGAACTTTTGGTTCCTTCGTGGGAACAGTAAACAGACAGAAATTTTCTTCTTCAGATTATTAATGAGGTCAATTTGACGTCGTTTCTTATTGTCATGAGGCTCATTAACAAAATTACATCCCGCAAGTCACAATGTTCGAGTATCGGATCGTGCTGTTGGTTGGCTGTGATTCTGACCAATAAACAAAGTACCCTAGGAAGCCCATGAACACTAATCAAAAATTTGAGCGTCTGAAAAAATAGAATCACTTACTTTCTCCCTCTACTAGATGTCATCTGCAACCTGGATATTGCCTTCTGGCGTCTCGAATTCTCAGAAAAATATTCTGTGTTGATGGTAAAAACCTCCCAAAGCCTTGGAACAAATCTTTGCTTAATTGACAATACTTAGATCATATGTTTTTATGACAGGTCTTACCATTATAATGAATTGAAGTAGAAGACAAATCTAAACTTCTTGTATCATTGTAATATGCCGACCACTTAGTGCAGTGTGACACTATTTCACTATTTTACCGAAACGCCTGGGATCTAAGTGAGAGATAAAGTGCAGTAAAGACCTTGAGAAAAAATGCAACATTAGTCTAGTGTTAATAACTTGATGATGCTTGAACATGTCGCATAAATTGATGAGCTTCACATAACTCTACAGTTTCCAGAGTCCCAGACTCATCCTTTCACACTTTGACACTGACTTCGCACTTGACCACACTTATCTGAATGATTCTAACATCATCTCAGCTACCAAGGGATCATGGTCAGAGAAGTTCAATTGAGTTTTCAGCCTGTGTCACTTGCCTAAATCTTGAACATTGCGCAGGAAATGTCCTCCAACATCAGATCATCGGCTCGAACCGGAGATATATCGCTTGATCTTGCAAACCTCGAAGTAAATACTACAAAGTTTGAAGCTAACTAAAAACCAAGGAAATCCTCAAGCTTGCGAAGACTCCTTGAGTAGATTAAAGTTCTTCATGTACTTTGGAATAATGAGAGGTTGCTATTCTTCAAGATTGAATCATCTACTGACTTATCGCATGTAATACTGAGGTTCAGAGTACTTGCCACTGATGATATCTCATCTCTGAGAGTCACAGTCTCCTATTGGATTTACTCAATCTTTGCTTCAGTGGCCTGATATCCCGATATCGGAGGATTGAAGAGCATAGTTGTGGATGATTCACAACCACTTATTGTTTATTCGCTACTTAAGTCAACATATCTCGACTTGCCCTACTCCGAACCACAACTTATTCATTAATTCACAACCTATTCTTATCAGCTACAGCACTGTGTTAAATTCACCTCGTTCGTGGGAGTTAGTATCAGTAATGATTACTATTTATATCACTTCTTTTCCTCCTCAGCAATCAGTTCTCCAACTTCACAGTCAACCTTTGACACTTCCACAACCACCAACCAACAATATTCACAGAGAGACAATAGCACTTTCTGTAGTCACTCTTTACATTCGTTCGTTGAAATACATCAATCACTGCAGTTGTTTATGAATCACTGAGGTGGGAGGTCATTGCCCACTTTCACCATCAAGCAACGTCAGCTTCCACATCCCGAAGCAAACTGCACAGAGAAGTCGCTATCCTCTTCCTTCACCAAGAGAAGTATCATCACAAAAAGTTCCAAAACTACATCTCAGTCGCCTCGCAATCAGTTTCAAGATGTGTATCAAATCCTTCTACGCATTTACCTGCGGTCACTGCAGTTTCCCGGACATAGAACCATGTCCGCTTGTCCACTACAATCCTACATATCCACTCTGCTCCATCATGGGCCAGCATATTAAGGAGACACTGCCATATTGCCCGGGTTGTGACAGGGAGATTTGGAAGCATATGGTCATTTCCCAAGAAAATGAGCATCGCGAGCGTCATTTGTCCGGAGATATTTGCTGTAGCGTGATTTTTCCGGGCGAACAGCGGGAAACAAAGAGGGAGAGGGGGTCTAAGGGTGAGGTAATGGAGGCTAAGGACAGTAAGAGTATGAATGAGTTTATCCATTTGAGTTATTGGTAATGTTTTGCTGATGTGTACAATTTTAGGTGTAAGCGAGGCAGGAACGGCCAGACGTGGACGTGACCAGGTTGCTATTCGGCCACATCAACGAAATGATGGGTTCAAGCGAGGTCCAAGTACTGGCCAGAGATTCGAGTCTGTCGAAGAAACGATGAAGAGTGGAAGAATTGATCTAAGAGACCATTGGACGGAGGAAGCTAGGGCTGTGGCTTATAATTATCATAGATATCAGACTGGTGCTCGTAAGGGACAGGCTTCCGGGCAAGGACCGAACCCAGGAGTATTTGGACCACGATCAAGAGGACGTAGTCCTGCTCAACCAGGTGGTAATTTGGAAGAACATGGTGCTGATCCAATGCCAATGGCAAGTCACCATCAACATCACTCTCGACAGTCCACAGGAACTGCTCGAATCCCACAAGGACCTAAAGCTATGGGCTATCAGCAACATCAGCACAGCTCAACTGCCTCACTTCCTTCAATGTCATCCCGAGGACCAAAGCATCCAATGTACGAACCACCACCATATCACTGGACACCGCCCATGAACGAGAATCCGTCCAACCTGCAATCACCAATTCTCTTCAACCAAAACATCTTCGTCCAACCAAAATCTACCGGATATTCTTCAAGTGGCCTTCCTCCGGCTGCACCGCACGACCTCTCTCATTTGACCCCCTTCCAATTCCATCAATACATCACATCGGGCGCCGTTGGTTATCTACCTCCACCACCGCCTCCTCTCTCTTCCCTTACCGATCCTAACGCAGTTTTGGCTTGTCAAACTAATTATTCGCCTGAAACTCCCTTCCGAGTTATGACAGAAGCACCTCCTCCATCGCCAGCCACGGCCAAAACACCATCGGCTTACAGTCCAAAGGATACTGCGCCATCCACTGCAGTCCCAAGTCCAACACTCCAGCCAATTCTGACCGGTAGACGATTCAAGATTTCGGATCAAGAGTTCCATGGACATCCCGTCGGAGTGGGTAGCCATGGGCTAAGAATTCGATCTTCACAATCCGAGCCACCGTGCAAGACCGACTTGAAAGCTATGGCGGACTTGCTTGACAATGACTCGGCCGATGAGCATTGGGCCTGCGATACTCTTGATGAGGCCACCCACAATGGAAACGCCACGAGTAATAAAAAGCACAACGAGCCTGTTATCGTCAGCAGCAATATGGCTTGAAGGTCTTGAGAGACCGAATTCGTGATGATGCAGAAATGCACGCGAAATCACGTTAGCCGAAACGCCCGAGTATGGATGCTACCTAGGTATTGCAGTCATATCTTCTGAACTCTCTTGGTATTTTCTAGTCTGGCTGTCCAGCTCTAATGCAGACTGTACATAAAGGAAAAAAATTGCGCCCGACCACTTTCGCCAACCCATCTCCATGTAAAACTTTGTACAACTAATCGGCACTAATAATCACCACTCTTCGGCGTTTCAACTTTTTATCGGTCGACTTCTCCGAACACTATAATTATCGGTTAGCATCCATGCATTTCAATCATTTTTATCATGATGGGAAAAAGAAAACGGCGTACCCAGATCCATTGTACCAATAATAGCAACCGCGTCAGCAAGCAAATGGCCTCTCGAAATCTGATCGAAACCTCCAAGATGTGCGAAACCTGGTGCGCGGATCTTGCAGCGATATGGTCTCTCGCTACCATCACTCACGACATATACTCCCATCTCTCCCTTTGGAGCCTCGATGGCCGAGTATGTCTCTCCTGGGGGCACGGTGTAACCTTTGGTGAACAGCAAGAAGTGGTGGATCAGGGCTTCCATGTTCTCTTTCATGGCGGCTCTTGGCGGTGGTGAGACCTTGTAGTCTTCAACTCTGATGGGTCCTGGAGGCATTTTGTTCAGGCATTGGTGGATGATACGGAGAGACTGTCGGAATTCCTCCATACGGCAGAGATATCTGTCATAGCAATCACCATTGACACCGACTGGGACGTCGAATTCGACCTGGTCATAGGCATCATAAGGCTGGCTCTTTCGGATATCCCATGGGACTCCGGAGCCACGAAGCATGACACCTGTGAAGGAAAGGTTCAACGCATCAGCAGCAGACACGACTCCGATACCTTTGGTACGGCCGATCCAGATACGGTTGTCAGTTAAGAGTTCCTCGGTTTCGTCGATACGGTCTCCAAATTGGGTAGCCCACTGGTAGATATCATCCAGGAGTCCAACTGGCATATCTTGGTGAACACCTCCGGGACGGACATAGGCAGCGTGAAGACGAGCGCCTGATACACGCTCATAAAATTCCTGATTTCCATAGCATTAGCATTATTTCGATGAAGTTGCGATAGCATATAGACAAAATAGCATAGCGTAGCATACCATGAGCTTCTCACGTTCCTCGAAACCCCACAAGAAAGGCGTCAAAGCTCCGACATCCATCGCGTGGGATAGAACCGACATCAAATGGTTCAGGATTCTGGTGATCTCGCCAAACAATGTTCTAATCCATTTCGCACGCTCCGGAATCTCAATGTTTAATAACTTTTCCACGGCCAACGAGAAACACTGCTCGTTGGTCATCATAGATACGTAATCCAATCTGTCGAAATATGGTAGAGCCTGAAGATATGTCTTATATTCAATCAACTTTTCCGTCCCTCGATGCAGCAGTCCGACGTGCGGATCTGAGCGTACGATTTCCTCTCCATTGAGCTCCAAAATCAACCGTAACACGCCGTGTGCGGCCGGATGCTGAGGGCCAAAATTTACAGTGTAATGCCTAATCTTCCTGTCTTCTTCGGTAGTGTGTTCAAGGTTCGAATCTGGGACTTTGTTGACGTTTTGGCCATCTTGCGTGGGGTGTGCGAAGTCCTCGTTGACGGGAATCAGCTTCGTGCCTTCGTACGGTGCCGCGTATCTTCGAGATGAGACAGCTGAAAATGATCGCGACGTTCGTGGGAGTGTGGTTTGCGAAAGTGCGGGTCGCAAGCAGACACGTTTGGCACTGTGGCCGGCCAGCCGGGCGAGACAAGCTGCCATTTTGAAAGAAACCAAGGAGCGATGAGCTGTGTGTTGTCACCAGAATCGAAGGCTCTTCAATTGATGCCAGTCGGGGTTGGCATAGGGCGGGACTCCTTAAGAATTGAGGGGATTCACGTTGTCGCCTCTTCCCATGATGTCCTCGATTCGAATTAAGCTCCCACGCTAAGTCAGCGAAGCGTCTAGCTTCTCATTGGCTCAAGCACTTTCGGTGACCGGACCGGCTCCGAAACAGTCTGCAGAGAACGCCGGGGGATGTTCGGTACATATCCGAGCTTCATAAAATTATTTTTTGCGACTCGATTATGAGACCCCGCCATACGTTGATTCTGGTAATTTGAGATGGCGCCCGCAAAAGTTGTAGCAAGTCAGGCAGAGCTTGACCGGCGGAAAGCAAGTATATCCCAATATACATCTGTCCATACTACAAAATAAAACTAACAACGTCCTCCAGATCGTCGGAGTAAACTCAGAAACAGTAACAGATGTAACATCCACCGACTTTCCCGGTCACTGGCCAGGCGAAGACCACGCCTGGGACATTTCCAAATTCGCAAGCACTTTTAAAGTCAAAGTTTACAAAAATGAACACGAAGAAACCTCTTTTTCGTTAATCGGCATCGACGCCTCGGTCGCGAATGCTTATCGTCGAATTCTGATCGCAGAGATCCCATCACTGGCAATTGAGCGCGTGTACATATATAACAATACATCCATCATTCAAGACGAAGTCCTCGCGGCAAGATTGGGATTAATACCCTTAAAAGGCGGAGAGAAAGGATTGAAGGAATTCTTGAAATGGTATAGAAAGACTAAGGAAGGCGAGGAACCAGATATCGCGACCGACTACAACACGATACGATTACATTTGAAAGTCGAATGCACTCGAAACGAGAATGCGGCACCCGGAGAGAGGGATCCATTGAAGTTATATCACAACGCCCATGTTTACGCGAAAGACCTCGAGTTTGTGCCATTTGGTCAGCAGGCGAAGCATTTCTCTGGAGAAGATGCGATTATGTCTACGAACCCAGATATATTGATTGCAAAACTACGGCCGGGTCAGATTCTCGACATTGAGATGGATGCGATTAAAGGACAGGGTAGTGATCATGCGAAATTCTCGCCTGTTGCGCCTGCGAGTTATCGATTGTTACCAACTATTACAATTACGAAGCCGATTCTTGGCAAAGACGCAGAAAAGTTTGCCAGATGCTTTCCAAAAGGTGTCATCGGGTTTGAAACAGTTACGAAGAAGGAGGCTGCAACAAAAGGCAGTGGATATGAGGGCCATGAGGGAGAGAAGAAGGCTGTCGTTTTGGATGCCATGAAAGATACAGTTAGTCGAGAATGCCTACGCCATGCTGAATTCGAGGGCAAAGTCAAGCTGGGGAGAATACGAGATCACTTCATATTTTCGATTGAGAGTGTAGGCCAGTGGGGAAGCGGAGAGCTATTCCTGGAATCCGTTAAAATGTTGAGGCAGAAGTGTGAAGGGTTGTTAAGCAACTTGCGAGACATGCCAAATTAAAGAGAAGCCAACGAGGGCATGATGTTGCATGGTGGTACTTTGACATCACAACTTCGTGGCTTACATGGTTGATTAAGGCCAGATGGAAACAACTAGGACTACTCTCGATGTCCTCGAAAATGATGTGTTGTAAAAGGAAAAGGCATTGTCGGTGTTAGATGGCGCAGGCGTATGGTACAGACAGGTGTTGGCTATGTAGCAAATTTATTCCTGCTATTCCTCAAAGAAAATAGCACTCCTATCTATTCGTGATGTCGTGACCCGGAACTCCAGATGCTCCATTGCACGCCCAACAAATGCATTTTAAATATTTCACCCTCAGGATCTAATGACAAAGTCCACCCAGTGAGGCCCAACCAGGCAAAGCCACCCAGCAAACAATTCTTCGTCTACGAAGCAGATGCGGTTTCAATCGCATTCCCTCTATACTCTTTAGAGAATTTGAGTCTGTATTTGAAATTTACAGCTCCGAGCGAAGGATCTGTGACACCAATTTCGTCGCCATTACCCACTAATTCTCCAATTTTCTTTATTAGGTTCGGTCTGGTTTGCTCTTCTAGGCTGGGTGGGCTTTGCATGTACAATGTCTTTTCTGCCCTGATTGACGGCTTTTTTAATTGTGCTTCTGCCCGTTCCGCTAACGACGCAATAAACTCCTCAAGGGTAAGATTCGGATCTACCTCAAGATCACGGGCGAGATTGCCGCAGACTGGACAATCATCCTTCTTTTCGTGTTTGAAAGTGTATGTATAAACTCCAGCATCTCCAGTGTACATCATATAATTCTCCTCGAATCCCAGACATGGGTTGGTCTGCGTAGCGATCTTGAAGGCTTCATTGCAGCAACTTGCGGCTATGATGGCGTTGGTCGATGCAATAGCTGGAATGATATTCTTCACAACTCCTTGAGTCAGGGAATACGTTACTCCCGAAATATTGAACTCCTTGGCTCGGGCGAGCGCTTTCTGAAACAGCCAAGTAATGTGTTCTGGGTCGTCGTTGTCTAATGCGGGAAATGGCTTCTCGTTCTCCCAAGCTATGATATGCGCCCATTCGATACAATGTTCTGGCTGCCGTGGTATAGAGGCAAGAGTACACAATGGAACAGCTGCGCGTGGCGCATGCATATCTAGCTGACACTCGATACAAGAGGTCATTGTCGGGAAGATCACTCTTGCTTGACCTTTGAAACCTAGAAATATGGTCAACTTGTATATCTTGTGACACTGTAGAGATTTCCTTACCCTCAGTTCCTCCGTCGATCAGCGGCTTCAAGCTGTCCTCGTTCTCGGGGTCAACTAGATTGACAAGTGTTGAGTTGATCCATCTCCGAGCCTCAATGCTGTCTAGTCCACAAATGATTATGTTGAACTGCATATAAAAGTCATCGTCCTTGTCCTGGATTTTGCAATTATGTGGCGTGATTGAGCATCCCTTCACCCTCTTTTCCACAAATCGTGCCGCGCATTCTGCCTTGGAGCTTCCAACGTCACTGGCGCGAAACAGAAATTGGCGATTGAGATTGGAGACATCGATAGTATCTAAAATCCATCAGAAGCGGTTCGAGGTTTCTGCTCGGATTCCTTACCCATATCAATCACATGGATGTCCTGGAAACCAGAGAGCGCCAGATTCTTCAGTATCTCACAACCAAGACCTCCTGCACCGCTGCACTGATGTCAGCTTTCTGATAGCATCTTCTCTTGAGTTAGGCAACCAACATGACTCTGCCAAATGGTTAGCAGACTGCTCCCGGAGAGAGATGTTCCAACTGACAAAACTTTGACTCTTTCGGATGCAGTCACTGCTTCCTCGCTGCCAGTGAACTCCTCGGAGACGAATGGGCCTGGATTTCTACGGACATTGTCCAGGTAGGTCCTAGAAACGGCGTGAGCTGGGAATCTTCGACAATGAGCAATTGGTGTTGCAACGTACCATCTACCCTTCTTCATGGCTGAGCCACCTGGCGTTGTTAACTTACCCGAGACCATGACCGGTTGCGACATGTTGAGAAAGGTTGAGCTCTACGACAGCATAGCAGACGTTCGGAGGGGTGGTGCTTGCTGCGAAATGTGCCTGCAGGTGAACCTTATCGCTTATCGACCTGCATATGAATCTCGGGCAGTGGTCCGTGCGGCTCTCGACCTCCTCCACGGTCATCACGTGCCATGTGCCTATTTTCCTTACACTTGGAATTGCGCGCTTTGCGTAGCAGTATTTCTTGATGCAATATAATTCCGACTCGATCCAATGTAGCCATGGATACAATACTCACCCCTGTGAGTACCACCTATAGAAAACAGGAAAGAAGAGATGATGCTCTCATCGAGGTCGTCAAGCAGAAAGAGCCTCTCATCAAGCCCTCTCTTCAAGCAACAACACCAGAAGAAGCATTGGAGATTTTGAAAAACGAACCTGATCACGAGGCCTTAGTACAAACTTTGCGTTTTCTGGTTAGCAGTCGTTCAGGATTTGACATTACTTCGATAAGCTCCATAACGTCCCAACTTATCCATGTTCTTGTCACAGAAATATTGCCGAGTTATTGGGGTGTACTCTCAGAGGAATGCAGGAGCGGGACCACTAAAAAGTCAAAGCAAACAACTGAGCTGGAGCTTCTTATAACATGCCTGAGAAGTGTACCAGGCTTGAATGCTCTCTTTTTGGGCTTCAAAAGAAATATTCAGCTCTCTAAAGACTCCAAGAAGACGGCAAGCACAAATCCCCATGAAATTCTCGCCATCTTATTGCAGGCCTTAGAGGCAATTCTCGAAGGACTAACCACAATTGAAAAAGTCTGGACTATAATCTGGGAGTCCACGGACTCAGGTGCTCGCAAGAAGGCCATTTGGGCCGACTTTCTTGGGCTTGTTGTAGGTGGAAAACTGCTTGGTAGTGCTGCTGAGGCCGATGATATCGTAAATACATCCAGTGCAACTATTCGTGCTAAAAGCTGGGTAGCAGATAGTAATCTTTATGGTACCTGGCTTGCTAAGAATATACGGCACTGGGCCAAACGGATCCCGTTGGAATCTGACATTGGCTGGAAATGTTGCGCTGAGCTTCTTAGTAGAAGTTTCCGTGTTGGAAAGACAGGTGAGTAACAAGCTTTGACATCAACCTATATGCTAAGATACGTACAGAAAAAATAGTTGCCGCACTTTTGGATTCAATGGTCGTGCAAAGTCGTGACAATGGCGCTCAGTTCCTCCGTTTACTCAATCAACTATCTGGACTTGAACAACGCAATGTACTATTTAATGCCCTTCAGATTCTCTCTAAGGAGCACTTGTCTTCCACGATCACAACTGACGGTGACTCTTCGTGGTGGGAGGCAGACTCGAAACTGGTCTCAGGAGCGGCAGGTATGGTGAAGATTCTAGTCGCCAATTCCGATTCCAGGAAAAATCAGTTAATGGCGTGGGCTATGAGTTCCTCAGGAGCGGGTGCTGGCGAAGGAATGGGAATCCGTCGCGCTGTAGTTGCCATTCTTGCAGAGGACAAAAACGATATCGAAACAGTGCTTGAGAAGAGTATTGCACAATTTGGTGATCAGTTGTATATCAGACACACGCCCACAATACAACAAGAAGGTACTCACTCAGTCCCATTCCTCTCAAAATTAAGCTAATGTTGAAAGCCCATAGTCAGATTCTGCTGTTGAGTGCAGGTTGGGTCTACAGAAAAGCTCCGCTTCGTCTCAGTATGATGATGCGTTCAGGATTGCATCTCAACGCTGTATCTAACCGGCTTGCAGCGTCATCAACACGAGCAAGATTTCTGGGAATGGTTGTTGGCGAGGCTTTGTCCAGCTTAGTTGATAAAGGAGAAAATAAGATGGATTTCAAGGTCGACGAAATGCAAACCACGGAGGCTAAATGGTACAAGAGTATGGTCAATGTAGCTGACAAGGCCGGAGAACTGGAGCTCCTGAGATCAAGAGTAACAACAGTCATACAGAAATCTAAGACTCAACCACCACCAGCAAAGAAGCCGAGTACGCTCAATAGTTCGAGTAAAATAAGCTCTATTGAGGAGATAGAGTCGGATGAAGAAGAAGGAACGGACAACTCAGAAGACGACGACGACGATCTGGTGCCATATGGAAAACCAGAATCTGATGCCGAAGATTCCGACGAAGACGCTACAAATGTTGTTCGCAACAAGCCAACGGCACCGGTGTACATTCGAAATCTAATCACATATTTACGAAACACAGAAAGCTATGATCACCAGAAGCTTGGTCTGTCTACAGCTGCTTCACTCATTAGAAGGAAAGCCAACTTTGGCACCGAAGTTAGTGCACACGCCGAAGAATTAGCTACACTGCTTGTAGGGATTCAAGATAAATACGACATTGAAGAGTTCCAGGAACTGAGGCTACAAGGAATGATAGCTGTTCTTATAGCCCTACCCTCGAAAATGGGACCATGGTTTGCAAGGACGTTTTTCGAAGGAGACTACTCTATGTCTCAGAGAGCAGCAGTCTTAACCACACTTGGCCTTGGAGCTCGAGAAATAGGTGGCTTTGGAAAAGAAGACGCAGGACTCACTAAAGTTGACAAACTACCCAACACTTCATTCCCATCAAAAACCCTACCACCAGCAATGCACAAACTCTACATCTCCAATCCACCCACTCCAAACCAAAAACAACCAACCATACCCTTCTCCGCAATAACAACCCTCACCACGACCCTCACCAAATCCCTCACCCAACCCATCGCCGCCTCAGCCCTAGCATCCACCTCGGGTCCAGCCCTCATGAACATCACCCCCCTCTCAACCCGCCGCATCACCACTCCCCGCACCCGCCCCAAACCTACCACAAACGCCCTCTCCACCCTCATCCCCACCTCCTTCTTCTTTCCCCTGACCGGCCGCTTCTTCATCCACCTCCGCGCCTACGGCACCTCCACCTCAAAAAACATCACCTTCTCCCCGTCCCTCCTAACCCTCTACCTCAAGACCCTCGCGCTGATCCTCGACGCCGCGGGTCCTAACACACCCTCTCTCCCGCAAATCACAAGCGAGTTCTGGGACTTGCTGCTTACGTTACGGACGCAGGCGACGGATATTTCCGTGCTCGAGGCGTTGCTTTTTGCGTTCCTGGTGTTGTTTGAGGTTAATGGGGATAAGAGGGCGATGGTGGAGGTGCATGGACGACAGTTGTTGGAGACGCAGGAGTGGGTGGAAGGTGTGTTTAATAGACTGGGTGATGCGGTTGGGGTGAGACTTACTGGGGGGCCGGGGGGAGGCGCGGAGGAAGAGAAGGTTAGGGCGTTGGCTGCTAGTGTGTTGGTTAGGATAAGGGAGTGTGTGGAGAAGTATCAGGTGTTGTTGATGGGTGATATGGCTACTTTTTCGTGATGAGGTTTGTGATGGTATAGCGAGTTCGATAGAGGATCAAAGCGACGAAGTTTCCTAAGGTAGCTGTTTGTGTAAGTAATCAATAAAGCAAAGACGGTGATTGAAGGCAATATCAACACTATAATAACTAAGTCGTTTGGAATCAGGGGCGTACACAAAAGCCCGAAAGGGACCATAGAAGGTTCATTATTAGACATTTTCAATATTGTCTATCAAATCTGTGTTATCACCATTTCGCACTTGGCTGGGTGACCAGATTACCGCGAGCTGAGCGTCTTACTATATAACTCTGTAGAAGGGGATTCCACCCTTCCTAGCGTCATACTACTATATCTCAGTAGAAGGGGAGTCCACCCTTCTTCTCAAAATGAAACCCACCGATTCCGTTTTCCATGCGCTTCAAAACCATTTTGTATGCCCGGACTCCATCGCTTCCATGCCAGTTCCAAATCGCTGCAATATTAATGACTGTACGCTAATTTTCAGCTTCACCTCTCGAACGCCCTAATTACTTCCAATACAATCACACTACTTAACAGTATTTCAGAAAATGCAGTTCTTATAGTGACAGCCTATTTTCGACGGCTGTGAGATCGAGTCACCGCGGGTGACTCGTATACGTCTCTGAAGGCCTCGAGTTGTGCTGTCATGCTTCCAAGTGATCTTGAAAGCTCGTCACTCATCTCCTCTCGCGATGCTGTGCCTGCGAGTGCTGCCGCCGATGGTGGATTCGGAAGGACAGGAAAGTGAGACATCGTGAAGATGGTGTTCAAATTTAAACCCTTTGATGGAGGCATAGAGATGTAATCCGAGTCCGAAAATCCATGAGAATCGTATCGGGATGCCTCATTAGGATCCGAGCCAGGACCATTGGGACCTGACTCCACTTCAGAGAAATCAGAGATATCGTTGATATCCCGAGGTGGTGTCATCGCCGCATCCATATCAATACGTGGAATGCTAGCTTCATCAAGGTCGATGCGAGACTCTCTTGCCTTCTCATAGTCAAAACGAGGTGGTCTCGGGTCGTCATCGATTCGTGACACAATAGCATCATCGAGATTTATTCGCGATACCCTTGCATCATCCAGATCTATTAGGGATGACCTAGAGCCGCCAAGGTCAATTCTAGTGTCTTCAACATAGAGTGTTGGCTCATATTCATTGCTTGGAGCCTGGTAGGAGACATGTCGTTCGAACTCAAAGGGATTGCCTGAGGGCATTTGCTCAGAAGTTGCAGAGCCTGCTTCGGAGTTCGCAGTAGAGGGCCTAACGATCTCAGGGTACGAGTCCGGCATACTCATATCTAAGTCAATGAGGGACTCTGCCATTGAGCGGCGATCCATAGACGGCCCGTTCGATGAGAGTCCGCCGCCAAAAGCTCCTCCGAGAGGCTCAGTTGGATGATGTATGAGAGCTGGCCTACCTCCAACGCCGGGTGTGATGCCAGGGCGGGGAAGCTCGTAGCTACTAGGAGGAAATCTCGATATTTCTGGATCCGCTGAAGCCGGTGGTGCGAATGACGGAAATTTCCAGTCTTGTGTGCGACGATTTGGGTTTATATCGGCGGGGTCACTCAGTGGTGGCCTATGGAAATCTTGATTATTCGTCAGGTAGGTATCATCTTCAACAATCCGAGGGTTTCCGGCTTTGAGAGTGTCCATGTCAGGAAAACTCGAGAGACCAGTGTCCATATCATGCCCTCCGAGATCGATCATAGTGTCTTTGATCTGCATACGAGCAGAATCGTCGCGTAACGGCAGATCCGATGTAGGAGGCCCTTGTGATAAGTACTGTTCAGGCGCAACCCCATAATAAGTTTTACTATTTGGATAGTAATTTGAAACTGTGTTGGGGTCGAAGACTTTGACAAGGGGATTTGGTAGTGCTGCAAGAGCTTGCGGCGGAGGACGTCGTCGAGACACCTTTGGTCGAGCGGTATCAAACTCGACAACATTTTCCCCATATGCCTCAAATACATCTCGTGGATCGATATGTTTAGAAACTCGATTGTCGAAGGCCTGCGTAGTGCTGAAATTCCAGTCTTCGTTGCCAATGCCCGCAGGGTCAGACGTGAGATCGACTTCTTTCCGCTGAGCTCCTCCAGGTTGAAAGAGAGACTTTCGAGTTCCTCCATGATCAACCCATTGCTTGAATGCAACTACTAATTGCGACAGGCTGCTCGTCGGATATTGGCGCTCCGTGTTGGCGATGTATGAATGCTGTTGAACTTGCTCGATTTTAGGTCGCTGTTCGGGAAGCTCTTCGAGCAGGTATGCCACAATATTTCTCAATCCATCAGAGAAGTTTCCGCCTTCTAAGCGAGGTACATTGTGCGCCAGATACTCAGCGACGTCCTCGAAATGAAAATGGCCCTTTGCAACACTTGGCGGCAAGCCTGTGGCAAGTTCAAAAGCCATAGCTCCAAAAGCCCAGATGTCTACTTCTTTACCGTAGGCCGAAGTGGATTTAAGAAGCTCTGGAGCCATCCAATGGGGGGTTCCGACAATGGTCGACCTCTTATCGAACCTGTCCTCTATGACACCCGCAACTCCGAAGTCGCAGAGTTGAACGCCACCATCTTCCTGGATGAGGACGTTTGCACCTAATTAGTGTCAGAGAGAGAAGGATTGAGTAAATTGACTAGGGCCCTACATTTGATATCTCTATGGATAAGGCCTGCCTGGTGCACCCATTTGATGCCTTCGGCAGCTTCTCTCAGGATTGGGATAATCCATTTCTCTAACAGCCCACCTGGAGCTGTTGGTTTCATCTAAAATACAGTCAGTAAATATTTGATACAAGTCAACACTGCCGTCTACTCACAAGTGTCTGAACACTACCTCCAGCGCAGTGTTCAGTTACCAGCCACATTACCGTTCCGACAGGTTCTGCTGCAATGACATGATTGACATTCTTTGCATTAATCTCTTTAAGACTCTTCAGTGCGTTAACCTCTTTCACCCAGTCCGTGAAGGAGTCCGCATGCCGTGGATTAATTTGATCTGATTCATCAATGTCGATGGTCTTGATAGCAACTACTTCTGCAGTAGACATATTTTTGCTATCTCCGATTAGTATAATAATGTGAAGTGTGTAGCGTGCAAGCCGCTGGTTGAACTCACCCCATATACACCCTCCCGTAAGTACCCTTGCCAATCAACTCGCACAAGGCCCAAATAGGAGGGGGTCTGCCGGCTAATCGACACATCTCATTCACCGCTGCTTGGGCCTGTCTCGCATCTTCAACGGCTTTCGCTTTGTGCAAGCTCATTTCTGGCTGCCTGACCTGTAGTCGTCCCTCCATTTGCTTAGGAGGTAAGTTAAATCTGACGTTTTGTCTTCTAGGTTTGGTTTCAGCCTCGAGTGCGATTCTCAGCTCGGGGATAAGAGGCTGTCCCGATTCCAGAACAGTACTTAAGAACTCGACTTGTCTACCAGGTGGTTCTTCAGCCTCGACGTCGACTTTCAGTTCAGGGATTAGGGGTTGCACCGGAGGCAGAACAGGGGCTAGGAGATCGGCTTTTTTCTCAGTTTTGACTTCAGCCTCAACTGCAGATTTCAATTCAGGAGTCAGAGGCACGCCCGAAGATAGAACAGTGCTTAAGAAAACTCGAGCAGGGTCTACCGTGAGTGGCGCAACTTGGTGAGAATTCTGGGAGATTTGATTCCCATCAGATGGACCACGCGCGCTAGTAATGCCCCGAGAAGCAGAGGAGGGAGTGCTTGTCGATCTTAAAAGTGAGTGAGACGAAACGTTCTCAAACGATCCTGTAGGGCTTACAGTAGTAGTGTTGAATCTCTTTGACGGTGTAAATTGTGCTTGACGTGGAGGATTCGAGAAAGCTCTCCTCGGCGGTGTTGTGTACTGCTGTTGTTGCCGGTAATCGTCCTCCTCAGGCCATGTACAAAGTGAGTGGCTGTCTACAGGTGCAGAGGCACCTAATAAATATGGTCGTGGAAGAAACTTCTTGGTGTTCGAGTCAGTATCTACTTGTGTTACAAAGGTCGACTGGTCACTGTTGTTTTCTGTCTTGATGCTCTGGTCCGAGACATCTGACAATCGTCGAGATTTAGATGGCTCGTGCACGCGGCTTCGTTCTTCGGCCCTTGCAGCAGTTGCAGCCAAGACAGCCGGTGAAGCAGCCAATTGATTGGCCAAAAGTTTATTCTAGAGGGGATCAGCACACACCCTTGCGGCGATAAACCGACACTCGAGGTTCGGTAAACATTCAACGTCAACTCACACTTGGTTCACTTGGAGCTTCGCCATGCTCAACAAGAGGTACCTCTACTGCCTTTTCAACGGCATCTTTCCAGCTGGGGTCTATATAGACTTTGTCACGAGCACCGGCTTGCTGTATCCTTGATGGAGTCTCTAGTTTGCCCAGTTTGCCCAGTTTGCATTGGTCTCCTCCTACTTCCAAGCTTTCCACGTTTGCGAGCCCTTGCCGACGTATGGGGTCAACATCTTCCAGCTCTTCACTAATTTGACCAGCACTTAAGTCACCAGTGAGATGAGAGGATTCATCGTTTGTCTCAGGCTTGAGGCCCTTTCTCTCACGACGCCTGTTCAGAGCTATCTGACTTGGACTTTCCATCAAAGGGGATGAATGACGCATTCCACCGCTCACGACTCTCTGATGCAACCTGAAGTAAATCTCCACTGCCTCGGATCCTGAGCTCTTCTCTGGCATTCTCCTGCCAATGGAAAAGTTGCGGATCAAAGGCCTGTGGAAATTACTAGGCGAGACGGTTTCCGTCGAACGATTACTAGAAGCACTCATTACTGTAGTTGAGCGTGTCCTGGGCCATGGCTCCGTTGAGTGACTACTGGAGCCACTTCTTACTGTAGTTGAGCGTGTTCTAGTCGCCCATGGGAAGCTTTCTTGAACCTCAGATGGTGTACTTGGCATTGATGGCGAAGGGATCGTGGGGCTGGGTATAACTGGAAATCGAGCCTTCAAAGAATTTTTCCGCGATTGGCTGTGGCACTTTGATAGATTCGAGCAAACTTCTAGGCCCGAGTCGGAGCCAGCTGTGTCTAGACTGCGAGTCGTGCAGGTTGATGGCTTTCGTGAATTGGCGGCTGATGAGAATATTTTCTTGTCTATGGGATCATCCTTATCGAGGCTTCCTTTATTGGTGTTGTCATCGCCTGTGAACTGCGGAAACGCTTCTGTGTCTGGAGAGTTGTCGATATTGGTTCTTTCTTCCTCGGCCCTGAGTAATGCACTTTCACACGTTTGTCGATACTGTAGCAACTGGCTTTCCAATTTGCCTGCTAGGTCTGCAGCTGCATTGTGGCATTCGTCTTCTGCACTTCTTGCTGTTGCAGTGAGAGCCAGCTTCTTGTGCAGTTGAATCATTACTTCGCCGACATCTATACCTTCATCGTCTCTTGGGGTGAGATCCGTAGGAAGGCTAAAGCTTGTTCCGTAAATAGAAGGAAGCGGCACAATTATGCTTTCTGTCGGCTTCGATTGGATCTCTGGAAGTGAATGTGGCCTAACAGAGTGCAGACGGTGTTTTGAACGGAATAGCATAGACTGCTTAGTTTTGTTATGATTGACCTCACCGCTTGAGATCTGGGTCGCTTGATCGTCACCTTCATGGCTGGACCAGAGCGGATCCGTTTCAGAGAGATTATCGCGAACATTCTTTCCTTTTTCGGCTACTGCTTTTGATGTTTTTGTGACGCGTGGTTCGTAATTGGAGATAGCTATACGATGTTTGAGTAGAACTCTTTTTGGAATCGGTGGCGCTCTACCGATGCACTCGTCGTTCACTTGGGACCGACCTTTTGATGCTAGGTAGCGGTCACTTTCTGACCTCCAATCTTCCAACTTTTTTGTTTTTGCTGCACGTTCAAGTCGAACATTCGGGTCTTCGTAGAAGATCCGCCATGAAAAAGGGTCACAATCTGCTCCCGTTTTGTCTTTACCAGGTAGACTTCGAGTTGGTAGAATTTTAGGGGCTCGTCGGCTTCGCACTGGCTTTGAATTTGGCTTATAAACCAGATCTGGTATAGTAGTCGTTGATCGTTGTCGTCGCTCTGAAAACGGACGTGGAACATATGGAACCAACGCAACATCACCTTGTTTATTGCTGGTATTGTTGGCTGTCTTCTGGCTCTTTGGGCTGCTTCTCCGATTCTCAATTCCCGCATTTTTGCGCCGAACCTTTCTGCTGAATGGCCACCTGAGACTCGGGTAGTCCCGATCTCCATCTTTGCCCATTATTCTCTGCCAGATTCTCCAGAGCCATCGCTTTACGCCTCGTAAAGGCTTTCCCGGCTGGTTCGCTTTGATTCGCTTTTCACCTTTGCCGAAGTCGATCATCTCAATGCATTCTTGTAGTCTGTCTTCGGGGTTTGCCAAGTCGGGGCCAGGTACGTGAAATCCGCTGGAACGTCTTTTGGAGCTAAAAGTTCGCGAACGCCTATGAATGGATTCACGACTTATGACACGACGTAGAGTGTTCTTCCTGTGTAAAGTGGCAACATTTTTATTTTCGTATTTGGAGCGTGTTGTTGATTTTCGTTCGCGTGAATTGGTCCTAGTCCTACTGTCGTGATTCAGCAACAGTTCCACATTTGCATTTTTCAGCCGTTTCTGATTCAGTGAGGAATCTTGGAATTTCCACCATATTTCAGCATTATGACTCCCCTCAATTGGCGGTAGCGTCGGATCATTTGACGGCATACTGCATCGACAGTGCCGTGGCCATCCTCCGAGTTGGTGGGCTGGTTCATCTGAACTCCTGTGTGTTTGAAGGAGACGATGGGTTGATGTGCGACTATTCGATGGTGTGGGCGTTGAAGCTCATAAAAGGGCCGAATAAGGTGTGTGGAAGATACACATACCTCTGGTGAACCTCTGGGCATGTGTCCATAGCGGCTGTGATGTTGATATGCTTTCGACTCGTCTCAACTCCCTTCCCAAAATTAGTTTCAATTTACCTCAAGTTTACACGTGTGATTTTACCTCGAAACAATCCTAAAATAGATTTCGCTTCCATCTCTATGGATTCTATCATAACGAAAATTCTTTATGCTCAGGTGGAGATTGTATTAATCCAAGTCTAGCTATAGGACGTTCGCATTCAATCGCATGTATATATCGATCCGTAGGTTGTCATGGCAGCTGAATCCTAAGTAGGAACCAGATTGGAGTCGAATTCACTTCCAGGATTCTCAAATGCTTTGTGGTGCCTCTTCACCTTGGCCGTTGAAGTTTGGTTTGTTTACTGATGGTTCGGCTAAGGTCCTCGGCTTAAGGATTCCAGTTCACAAGAAGCAGCATTAAGCGAGTTCAACAATTGCCCTCGACAAGAAATTGGTCCCTCTTCTGAGCCAACTACCTATATCTATTGATAACTCACTTGCTTCCGACAATATACTTAAGGTCAGTTTACATTTGAGTAAGAAGGAAACAAAACATGTGACGGGATATCCCTAATGAACAACCACTGTTGGCGGACTACTTGAACCAGAAACCGGTAGAGTGACTTCAAGGCTACGGAAGGCATGGGAATAATTCCGCGATTCCGCTTTATGTTAATCACACTACGTAAGCCTCTAAAACGCCGATGAAAAGCGCTAGCATCGCAAAATGATTGGACGATCCCAACATGACGAGGCTCGCAAGGCTGCCGCCCATACTCTCATGCTGAAAATTATGAGGTTGCGATGTACAACAAGCATTGTGGACGTTTATTTATTCAACTCAACCTAAGTATTACAGCCAAGATAAGCTTCATCAACCAACTTGGGAAAGCCAGAAATTCCCAAAATTGCCGACAAAGACGTACATTTGAGATCTGATTCCAGCATATAAAATGGTAAGAATTACACAACCTCACTGAGGATTGCCGCTTGAGTCCTAGTGGTAGGTACGAGGTACTGCTTTGTTCTCATCGTACATCACAAGCCTTTATGAAACAATCATCGACGGGGTGACGCGGCGGCCGCCCGAGGATTGACAGGAAGGGCCTGGAATAATTCTTATGGTAGATAGATTGTTAGAATCGCGGAACTATTGGTTTGTGAATTGATGATGTTTATATATCTATGTAAGTTGGAAAATTAGGCAGGTGATTTTTGAATGTTAGCACACCCAAGGCAACTCCATTCAAGATTGATTTCGTGGTTTGAGTTTTCCAAAAATATTGTTTATATCAAAAAGCGAAGTCCCAAGTTGTGTGAATAAACAAATTGGTATATCCTAATCCAGAACGCCTCAATATACCCAATGCCATCTAGACCGTCACATGCCTTTCCGTACATTTTAATAAGAGCCAGCTTCATTTTCTTACTCCACACACACCACAAACGCCGGAATCGCCGGCGTTGATGTAGACTCCACCTTGGCAAGCTTCGCTGTCACAGCTCCATGATCCAGGTACAAAATCTAGCTTCAATACATGCGAACAGACGGTACAGGTGAGTGATGTTGGTGTATTAGTACTTGTGCAAATAGGGCAAGACGTGTCGGCTGGTGGTGACGAGGGACTTCGATGAGTCGATTGTGGCAGATTTTGAGATTTTGACTCAACACTGCTTGAGCTTTCGTTTCTCGTCGCAGTGGAGGACGAAATGTTTGTAGCCCTAAGCCTTGGTTTTGAAGTTACTGAAGCTTTCATAGTCGAGGATGTAGGCGGCACCGGAGGGTTGAACTCAGGAATGCTCATGAGAGTTGGCGAGCGAGGAGGTGGCGCTTTCATGCTTGCAAGTTCCCTCATCTCATTCTGAACTTCCTCATTGTCCTTATCTTCATCTTCACAAACCTTAACCATGCCTCGCCCCTTAGTATCAACCATCCGCTTACCGTTAATATCAACGGCGTCGCCTGGCTCCGGTTTAATCCAAGGATCATCATTGTCGCTTTCTGTGTCGCTGTCCGTGACTAGGTCCTCGTCCTTGATACTCGGCTCCTCTTTCACAACCTCAAATCTTTTCAAAGCAGCAGCAGCACGTAACTCTCTTCCTCGCTTACTTCCAGCTACCCTTGGCTTTCCCGCAGGCTTCTTACCATTTTCAAGCTCAACTTTGACCTGCTCATCAGCACCTAAAGCCATGCCATTTACACCAAACTTCTTCTTGATCCGGCGTTCTTTTTGCTCCTTGTAAGTTATCTTCGGTTTTGGTGCTTTTCGTTTTCTACCGCCTCTAGACTTGAATGTGCCGCCACACATGTGTTCCGGTAGCACCTCTCCGGCACCTAACTCTTCTTGCGAAAATGCTCCATTCTCAAGTAAGACGCCTCTGCCCCAAAGTCCATCACCTGTGTATCCTTTCTGCCACAACTCTTTCATGTCTGAGGCATACTCATTGCGAACTTTCCAGAACTCTACAGACAAACTGTCAGTAATGCCAAATCGCAACCTAGCGAAGAGGGGTTCTTTACTGGGTCCGTGGTTCATTTCTTTACAATGTGCAAGCTCGTGCATCATCACCATCTGGACAAATTTGAATGGCAGCCATTGACCCGTAGATGGCGAACGAAGAACCAGCTGAATGACTTCTCCATTGTTAAAGTTCCGGCCTGTCGCCACTTTTCAGTTATAACCCTAATTGATGACAATTTGCCAAAAGCATACCCCAGAACTCTAAATTTGGTTCATATTCTTCCAAAGATGCCACCGCGAGGTAGTGTTTGTTCGTTATAGGCAGACATTGCGCTGCGATCCGTTCTAGGTAGTCTTTTGCGGTATTCTCGGTCGCGCCAGGAAGAGGCTTGATGAAGACAATATTTTTATTTGGTTGGGAGCGCTTGCTGTTGATTCTTTCCCAGCCGAGGACCATTTTTTTCTTTACATAGGTAGGTACCTCAAGTATGAAGATATGAAAGCTACGAATGGCCGTTGATGGTGGCGGAAGGGAATGTCGTCGTTTGAAAAGCGGGGAGTGTCGCGTGAATGGCAAACACGAAGTCAGCTGACGTGAAACGCGAGTTCACGTGAATCAAAACTGGGTTGTGCTGGGAACTTACCATCTCCATCGAATCAACTTTATCAATTCCGATACCCAATCTGTTATCATCTACCTTACTCATTGCATGATCTCGACTAACTCCAACGTTTATGCTTAGTTTTAAGCAGCATTAAGCATTTCGTTGGCACGACCATCCATTCGAAATCTGCGATTTTCATCGGCACTACGATCCTGGTTCTAGACATAAGATACGGCTTCTACACTCGGGAGCACGAATGCCACCAAGACTTCTCCCGCATAAACTGGCTTCGGGGCGGGTTCGGAGGCTAAGGCTTCCTTGTATCGTGTCAACGAAAGTATCGGGTGGCCTGGCTTTAAAATAAACAGATGTGCTCCAACGGGAGTTGGCAATGAATCCTGTAGCAACATCAGTTTAGCTGGCTGGATATTACGCAAAAGGCGCTCAGTGTAATCAGAGTCATACTTGATTACATTGAAAATGGCTTCGGTGGTGGAGATCCAAAATTTGGGGGTTTGTGGAGATCCTTCTATACTCAAGAGCCTCGCACAGCACAGGAAATATTGTCCTGGCACAGCAGTGCGAGTTTAGAACTCCAAAACTGCCTTCTATTTTGGGAGAAAACTGAGTGCTGATCCGCTCGAATGGTGTCCAGTTTGCTGAGCATGCAATATTTCCACTAGCTCGACTTGATGAAGCGCGTGCGAGGATTTTACGCAGCTTATTAGCACACATTCCTTTACTGTCTGTTTTTGCTCTTCACATCCATTCTCTTTACCAGAGGGTTTTTTGGTTCCTTTTTCGTTCATTTAGTTACGTCTGCCTTAGGCGGCTCTTCCTCGCCTAAAAGTCTTACCTGCTTCCAAGCAGTATATGTTATGACTTGTCTCTTAAATCACTACTACATATTGCTTAATATCTACGCTTCTAGCTTCGAGTCACTTCTCCTTCACTATTTATAAGGAAAGAAGAACATGTTGGATAGCACCCCGATCATTTAATATCTATCTTTCCACGAGGACTAGGTCAATCCACCTGCATGGTGGAATTCGGTATTGCTTGGTTGCGTACCAACTGACCTCCTTCTCACTCGTTTGTCATCAACATAGTGTTTATTCTTTTAGTTCTTCAAGTATCACAAAATATGTAAGAAATTGTTTCATGATATTTATTCTCCAACCAGCCAGATATTGGACTTGCAAGTCTTATTACCGTGCCCTGCAAAAGACATTCTTTCAGTACGACCAGGCAAAGAAATGTTCGACTAAGATACGTCTTAGTAACTACTGTTCTTGAAGAAGATGACCAAACGTGCCTCCTCACTTACTTTACCGATTAGTCTTCCCGGAGCTATCCCCTGGCAAGTCCCCGCTTCCGTCACATGCACACCATTATAGTACCCCGCGATCAACGTCTAATTTGAGTTGCGCATTCATCATCACTGATCCACTTCTTGTCATGAGTTCCAGGATGAGTGAGATGAATTTTTTATAACTTCCCTTCAATACCTTACATTTCGTTTTTTGCATAAGACACAACTATAGTAATCAATATGCCGCCAACAAATGATCCCAAGAAGCCATTCCATATCGCAGTATGCGGTTAGTCCTGCCTTTCCCTTCACATTATAGCCATATCTCTTACGTCCATCTAACGAGCTACTTAGGTGGAGGAATTGGGGGTCTTGCCTTAACTATTGGACTTCTACATCAACATATCTCATGCACTGTTTACGAGGCAGCCCATGAGTTTGCGGAGATAGGCGCAGGCGTCTCCTTCGGTCCTAATTCGATCCGTGCAATGTCCCTCCTCGACCCATCGATAGAAGAAGGTTACAGAAGTATCGAAACTCGAAACGCCTGGGATTCCAAAAAACCAATTTGGTTCGACTTCCGACTAGGAATGAAGCCAGAGACTTGGGATGAATCTTTTGGAAACCCAGTTGGAGAGGATGGCCAATGGATAGCTGCTCCCGAAGCCGGGCATGATGTAGGCCAGTGTAGTGTTCATCGTGCACATTTCTTGGATGTTTTGGTGAAAATGGTCCCTGATGGGGTTGCCAAGTTTGGAAAGCGCGTCGAGGAGGTTGTAGAGTTACCGAGTGGGAAAATGGAACTTACATTTCATGATGGCTCAAAGGCGGAGGCAGACGCAGTAATAGGCTGTGACGGTGTAAAATCTCGTACCCGCCAAATCATTCTTGGTAAAGACCATCCTAGTACGAACGCTTCCTTTACGGGCAAGTACGCTTATAGAGGCTTGATCCCAATGGAAAAGGCTATTGAGGCTGTAGGAGAAGAGCTTGCGGTAAACAGTCAGATGTATCTTGGTCATCATGGTCATATTCTCACATTTCCTATTGAGAAAGGCAAGACGATGAATGTGGTCGCATTTAGATCTATGGATGGGGAATGGACAGACGAGAAATGGGTTTTGCCTATGAAGAGAGAGGATATGGTCAAGGATTATGAGGGTTGGGGAGCCCATGTCTCCAAGATATTGCCTGTAGGTCCAGCATTTACACACTGGCAGTTATACAGAGGAAAGGCTAATTCAGATATCAGTTGATGGAAAAGCCAGACATTTGGGCTCTCTTCGATCACCCAGCAGCACCTACATATTACAAAAAGAGATTCGCAATGCTTGGCGACGCAGCTCACGCATCTACACCCCATCAAGGCGCTGGCGCCGGTCAAGCAATCGAAGACGCCTACGTTCTTTCGTCTCTTCTTGGTGAGATCAACAGCGTTGATGATATTGAAAAGGCATTCAAAGCATATGATACTATCAGAAGGCCGAGAAGCCAAAGGGTAGTGACTACAAGTCGAGATGCAGCGAGGATATACGAGTTTGAGGATGAAAATCTGGGAAGCGATTTAGAGAAGATTCGGGAGACACTGGGAGAGCGATTTAAATGGATATGGGATGAGGATATGGTAGCGCAGAAGGACAAGGCTTTGCAATTGCTTAGGGATGAAGGTGTAAAGGTGGAATTATGAAAGTGGAAAATTTATATTAATTATCATAGGTGCTTCGTTCCTTATAAAATCTCGCTTGGTCATAATTCTAAGTTAGAGACACTACCGCCGTTCATCGAGCCTAGCTGCCTCATACTCTTTATCTCTCTTATATCGAAAAAAATGGAATTTCCACCACTTGCAGTCTTCTAAAATCTCTGCACTCCTTTGGATTGAATTAAGAACCTTGAATTTCGGCATCATAAGTGCATTTCCACTCTGATTTTGCCACTTGACGCCTATACCGTTAAAATACCTAGATCCCGCTCAATCAATTGAATCATCCCTCAACGCAAAGAGAGCTTCGAGCACATCATCCGTCTTACTACGAATAGCATCATGATACATTGTATTCGTGATGACTTGTCGACAATTCTGTACCAACTTCACCGTTTCCTGCGCTAAACCGTAATCCACATACATATCGTCGATATAAGTAGCCGCATAAAGGGTCACTTGATTCCTGGCCAGTTGCCACTCATCATAGAGATCTGGCCAATCTCCAAATTTAGCGACGATATCTGCAGCAGGACCTATCTTTTGAAGCTCGGGGAACACGTCAAAAAGAAATGGGTATATCATTTCTCCCGAGAAGAATAGAGGGCCGTCTCGGACTGCTGAAGCTGATTGCGGTGATCCAGTGAGCCATTGAAATTCCCTGAAGCTTCTCCCTACCCGATCAGCAGACCAGTTCGAAGAAACACCTTGACAGTAAATGGCTTCGTGAAGAATAGCATAGATGACGTTGTCATCGAATGTCAACGCTCGTTCTATAGCAGCGAGAGTAGGTCGAGAGATAAATTGAAACTGGGCGAGGTCGATTTTGGCACGGAGAATCAGATCGTGTACGAAGTCGAGGCCGCCGTGAACACCGAAGTTCCGGCCAAGAGTTAAGAGTCCGCGGACAGTGAGGACGCCTCCGGAGGGAAGAGGTACGCCGGATTTTGATTTTATGTGAAAGCATAGAGACTGTACTGCCTCTACATCTTCTGGGTATTTCTGAGACGTTTGATTAGCTGCTCTGTATAATCTTGTAAAAGAGGTTTAACCACGTCTGATCGGGTCATACTTTCGTTACGTAGGACTAGTGTAACGTGTGGTATGCTAAAGGGGCAAGGGGATCTTCTCTTGCTTACCAAATAGTATGCCTTGTTTCTCTCAATGACTTTCTGATATGTAGCTTTGTACACTTGATCGGGTGTCCGGCCAATGGGTGCTAAACCTCCACTGGTAAAAGCTTCACGGAGGCCTTGAGGGTGAAATGACAAGTAAGTGAGTACGCAGAACCCGCCAAAACTCTGGCCGAAAATGGACCATTTCTGTGTAACCGCGTCTTAGCTAACTCTCACAAGATCAGGTATGAGATGGTGTTGTACCTTCAACTCGGCGGGATACTCAAGTGTCAGCGTCTTCCTGATAGCCTCACAATCCTTAACAATACTGTCAGCTCTGAAGAGCTTTAGATAATCCGCTTGGCGGTGAGCGTCGCCTTGCAACGCCAATGTTGCTGCTGTAATAGGACTACTTAGACCTGTACCTCTCTGATCCAAATACAGCAATTGATATCCTTTGTCAAGGATAAAGTTCGTTATAGGAGCGTTCTGAGGTGCCGCGCAGCCGAATCCTGGACCACCCTGCAGATAGACAAACCTGAAGAATAGTGAATATTTGAAATCAGAGCGCAAGAACATATGTCACAACCACATATCGTAATTGTGTGAACGTACCATGGTTTTTGTGCTCTCTTGCGGCGGTCTTCCTCGGTAGGAACGGCGGCTGGTTTTTCATGACGGCCGACAGAACGTGCAAAAAGTTGAATAGTGCCTCGTTCAGGATTGGTATAGTCTTTAGGTACTTCAAAGAGAAGTTCCGAGACACGAAGTTTCCCTGGAGTCGCGTGAGCTGATGTTCGAGATAAAGGTGGGGTCATGAAAATGAGGTTTAGGACAATTGCTTATATGTGATGAATAACGCTTTAGAACCGCCCAAGAGCTTTTCCTGAGTGGTAGGAACGTATTGGGCCAAGAAAACTCGAGAGTCAAAAAAGTAGACCACGCTGTCGGCAGCCTTACCTGGAATCAGATGAGTTTTCGTCTCAACCAGCCTTGCGAAGGCCATCTCTAAAGTTTGTTTTTAGTTCAGAGTGTGCGGTGGAATATGTCTAAGATATGAGCGATGAAGTGGTAGATAATTGTTAGCAGATCAATGATGAGGGTGCAAATGAATGTGGTTGAAGTGAAGATCTCGCGAGCCGAAGAAATCACCTCGAGGCACTTTGTGTGTCCTCGCACATTTCTTCATCAACACATCATCATCAATTTTCGCCCGGTTTCTGTGAAAAGCACATAACTGCATGTAAGTCTCATTCATTCAGAACTTGTCCTTCTCTGAGAGGCGCACGACGCTCAAGCTTTTCTTTCGCCCGACTCATTAGGAGCCCAGTCGCACAAGAATGTCTGTGTCGATTTCAAGGGTGGACGAGATGTGCCCATCAGAGCCTCGAAGGCGACGTTTATTATGCAACACAGCAAGGCTTGTTTTTTGCAACAATGTCGCCTTTCCCATAGTCTGTTTGTCCTTGTGTACACGGACTGATAATTCTTTTAGAAAATTGGTTTAAACATCTATCACGTGACTCGCCTCGTTTTTTATCAGATTCTTCATCCATATCAGGATGGCGAAAGACAAGAAGAAAGGGAAATCAGATGGCAAAGCTGCCGCTAAAGCAGAGAAGAAAGCCAAGCAAGAAAAGAAGTCTGAAAAGAAGGAGAAAGTAAAAGCATCCAAGTCGGCTGATTCAGATGCCGAAGATATTGATTTGGACGCTGTCCTTGCAGAATATGCGAAGAAACAAGAACAATTTCTCAAAGTCACCGAGGTTACTTGCGAAGCCCCAAAGGCGCGAGCTAGTTCTACGTTAATTGCATCGCCTGCGAACGACAATGAGCTGTTCTTGTTTGGAGGGGAGTATTTCAATGGAGCTTTAGCCACTTTCTTCAATGACCTCTATGTTTATATGATCAACAAGGATGAGTGGAGATTAATCACTTCCCCTAACAGTCCGCTCCCTAGAAGCGGACATGCTTGGTGCAGGGGCGGCAATGCGGGTGGAATATATCTCTTTGGTGGAGAGTTTAGTTCTCCTAAACAGGGGACTTTCTACCATTACAACGATGTATGCTCACTTCCTTCACTTACTCACAAAACTACTGATAACACATCTATAGTTCTGGAGACTGGAGCCATCAAGCAGAGAATGGACCCGTATAGAGACTAAAGGCAAAACACCTCCAGCTCGATCAGGTCATCGAATGACTTATTTCAAAAATTACATCATTCTATTTGGTGGATTTCAAGATACTTCTCAGCAAACAAAGTACCTCGCTGATATTTGGGTATATGATACCCAAAACTTCATATGGCACAATCCGACCCTACCTCTTGCCACGCAAAAGCCAGACGCAAGATCTTCCTTCACATTCTTACCTCACGAGTCTGGAGCTGTCCTTTATGGCGGGTACTCACGAGTCAAAGCTACAGTAACAGGAAAGCAGATGAAGGGCGGAGGTCAAGCTCAGCGAAATGTCCTCAAGCCAATGGTTCATCAAGACTGTTTCTACCTAAAGATCGTTCAACCTGCTTCCGACGCGGCACCGAACACTCCTCCAACGATACGTTGGGAAAGGCGTAAGCGAGCTGCAAACGCGCCCAATCCAGCGAGAGCTGGAGCCACCATGGCCTACCATAAAGGGCGTGGTATTCAATTTGGTGGAGTGCATGATGTAGAAGAGAGTGAAGAAGGAATCGACTCCGAGTTCTTCAACACACTTTACACCTGGAATATAGAAAGGAATCGATACTTCCCACTTGCTCTTCGCAAAGCTCGCGCTAACCAAAAGAAAGCTGACAATGTGCGTAGTGGACGGAGAGGAAGAGGTCAAGCTAATGAGGATGAACTTCTGCGAAACTTGGCTGCTTTGCAAACTGGCAAAAGTCTAGCAGATGCGGACGACATGGACATCGATCGACCAAGAGAGGAGTTTGATGAACCTGATCTTCCAGCCAAGGAAGTCCTCATGGAATTTCCACATCCTCGCTTTAACGCTCAACTCACTGTCCAAGATGATGTTCTCTATATTTATGGAGGAACCTTCGAAAAGGGTGATAGAGAATACACTTTTGACGAGATGTACGCCATTGACCTCGGCAAACTCGATGGAGTAAAACAAATCTTCCGTCGCGAGCCTGAGAACTGGCTCGGGTCGGAGGATGGCTCAGACGATGAGGACGACGATGATGAGTACGACACCGAAGATGACGAAGACGAAGAAGGTGACGTTGCAATGTCTGACGCTAAACCTCTCTTCACCGAATCCAAACGGAAATCAAAGCAGCAAGCATCAACCGCCGATGTTTCCGACCTCGCCAGTCCGATTTCAAGTACCTTTGATGATACACCCGAAGAGGTCGCTGAGGGTAAAGAAGCTGATAATCTACCATATCCACGACCATTTGAGAGCCGCAGGGAATTCTTTGTTAGGACTACAAATGAGTGGCAAGAGCTTCTTATGCAGGCGCTTAGGTGGAAGGGTATTCAGCCGGAGGGGTTGAGCGTGAAGGAGATTAAGACTAAGGCTTTTGAGATGAGTGGTAAGATCTTCTAGCCCGTATACATGTGAAATGTTGCTAACTGTCATATAGAAGAGAGATGGTGGGATTGTAGGGAGGAGATTACGGCACTGGAGGATGAGCAAGAAGCAGCTGGTATCGGAGAAGTTGTCAGATTGGAGGATAGAGAAGGTGGTGGTGCTGGAGGCGGTGCTGGAAGGAGAAGGTAGGATAATAGGTGGGAAACCGACAACTTTGTAAATACGTTGTCAAAGCTTTTTGGATACCAGAAGAAATCAATCACACCTGTCTTGTTTTTTGAACGGAGCAATATGGTGTATGGAATGTGTCCAAGTATGAGCAAATACAACGTCACAGCAGCTGCTTTTGACGAGTACAAGACAATGAAACCCCATACTTGCCATGTGCCCTTCACATCATCCACACATAAAGTATATTGAGACCCCTATTCGGTTTCCCCGATCTCTGACACCTCATAACTTGCCACCTGTGTATATTTTCACGCCAGTTCATATAAGACTCAGTGCGCCAAAGAAAAGCTCATTTAGATATGCAAAACATTCTGCCAAGACTTTAGACACTGCACCACATATAGCAAACTCGAATCAGAAATACACTTTCTATGTATTGACCGGAAGATGCCACGAAATTTGCTATGTGATTCATCACAAAAGGCAGTATAAGCATGAAGTATCTTGAAGAAAACCCTCAGGAGTCATGTATCATGGGCTTTTCGGTGACAAGTATATCACTCCAACTAGAAAAGGTGCTGTACGACGGGTTAACGGGCTTTTTACCGTGATCCAAGAAGATAACAGATGCGACAAGTTGCTTAAATTTTTTTGGTTTTGAGATAAGAACCAAGACAACACATTTGCTGAATTAACATGGCACCCATCCGTGTTGTAAAAGTTGAAAGAAGAGTTCGTCAGCTTCGAACGGAAGTATTTAAATGATTAATATCTCAATCAGCACTCAATAATGTTCTGCCTCGAGTACAGCTTCACTCATTCTGAAATTTCTCAATTCCCTATCCCTCAATATGGTATACCTAACGCCTATCCCGATGCCCTGTAGCAGACCTAACACTCTACGCACCATACCTAGCAAAGCACTCCTCCCCATGAACCTGCAAACACTCCAGCGCACAACACCTAACACCACACCTCATACACTTAACCCTCCCCCAATACCCACAAACCTCACAGAACTTCCGAACCGGTTTCCCTGTCCCTTCTCCCTCTAGATACCCCCCCTTAGCCTCCACATAACTCAGTGGCGGAATTCGCATAAGCGCATCCAGCTCTTCTTGAGTAGGCAACTGTGGGATATAACTGACAAGTAACTTCTCTCCGTCGCGCTCGTGGGGTTTGGGACCGGGTTCGGAATCGTCGAGGATGACTTGTCGACTGGGGACTGGTGGTGGTGGGGGTGGCATTACTATGGTACTGGCTTTTCGGACGGATGTAGCGACGGGATCGGTGGGATTGGGTTTCTTTTTGTGACTTCTTTTGCCAGTGCTCGTGAGATGTAGTGTGGAAGGGGCTCGGGGAGCGGGTGTGAGAGGCGCTGGGGTTGGAGGAGCCTGCGTTGCGGATGAGGACGGTTGGGAAGGGGCGAGAGCTTTGAGAGCGTGGTAGTCTTCGAGGTGGTTCTGGAAGGTCTTTTGGGAAGTTAGGATCTTGCGGACTGCTGAAGAACTTTTACTGGTTCCTGTAGAATATATTAGCATTTTTGTTCCATCTTGAATAGCTTGGGTTGCGACGCACCTCGAGCATTATCTTTGGATTTCGCAGGTATCGGGATAAAGGCATCTCTCATGTTCTCCCGTTGTAGCTCTTCTATCTCTCGCAGAATCTTCGCATCTTGTTTCGCAGTTGTCTCATGGGAAGAGGTCGTCAGTTGGTTACGGGCGCGTTTGCGACCCGGCTGCAAGGCTGTGACATTTGGGCCGGTATCTGGGACATAAGCCCATCCGGGAGCTGCTATGGATTTGCCCGTTGGTACGCATTCGATTACGCCGAAATTCATTGTTATGTATACGGATGGGAAGGCATTAGGTGTTGTTGCATTAAGCTTGATGGTTCAGGTTGAGATATCTCGCATGTGGAGTTCTCGGAGGCAAGGCTACATGCAAACTTATACTCGGATCCAAAAGGAAGGCGAATTTGAAAGCATCGGACTATAGGTGAACATGGTCGCAAGATGGTATCATAATGTACACTGTAGTATCTGGTATCCATTCTCCATGCTGCAGCGCAAATGCAATTAATAAACGCGCACTCTTTTTGTACAGATGTAACCTCCCTGGCGAAGCATTTTAACTAGTCCAACGACACAACCCCCAGCCATCCTTCACCTTATGCATGTATATCTTCCAGTCCGTAATTCAGCTCTCATATTGCTCCCAATTTGATCTCCTCAAACCTTCTCCAATCAATCGATCATTTCTTCTTGAGCTCAGCAAGCTGTTCCTCCAAGGTTTGCACGTAGCTATGGACGCGTTGAACCGAAGCTTGCAAGCTCTGCCAGAATACAAAGTTAGCATGGCTTCCTCAAACTCTCAGGTATATCGGGAGACCCCGTGTTTCGCTCTGGTATCATTTTCCTACTGTAGAGAATTCATGCGAGTAGCGACGAGTAAATCAAATGCAAAGACGCACATAAATATCCTCCGTCAACAACTCATTCGACACCCGGTATTCCTCGAGGATATAATAGTAGACACCTGCACCAGCCAGCGTGCTACCGAGTAAGAAGCCGAAGAGTCTGTTATGCCATACCGTATTAGCAGGTGTTTTTTGTAGTGTCCGATTCCTCTATCATTGCATTCCTAGCAATTACAGTACGCATTCGAAATCAACCGCATGTAGTAGCAACTTACCCTCCTCTGAAAGCTCCTACTGGCTTCCTTACAGGTAATGGTGTAGCTATCTCTGCGAGAGTTCTTCTTGTGGTATGAAAGCTTCTAAAGGCAGGTGTGGGGTTGACGGAGGCGCGCGCGCGCAACGTTGGTGAGAGGAAGCGCGATGCCATTGCTGTGTAAGATTCGTCAATATAACGTATGGTTTCTGATGGGAGAATTCGATCCGTACCTCGAAGTGTGAAAGTGAGTACGTTGGAAGTTATGACAAAGAGCTCTGGGGGCTTGTTGTGATTGTGAAGTTTATAAGCTCGGTTCCCCGGATCTTAGGTTGCTGGGGATGAAGCCACTGAGGCTACAAGGCTTAAACACATGGCCAAATAAGGTCACATATCGCGTGGGCTTTTGCATTCAGCAAGATGAATAGGCACTTAATTTACTTTCCTCATTATATTTCATATGCGTCAAATTTAAAAAGGATCCAATTTCATTATCATTGACCAAGGGGTATAGTCAACCAGAGGCCACGAACTAAGAAGTCCAAACGCTTCTCAGGGTCGCTATCGCAGGAACTACTTAGTACAGGTTAAAGAGAGAATTTTACGCAAAGCCGAAATACCCATTTTACAACTCATCGTGAATCTCGGCATCAGCAGCCTCAGTGGCTTCACTTGCAGCGCTCTTCACGCTCTCGGTGGCCTCCTCAGCGGCGTCCTTTGCGGCCTCAGTAGCGGCTTGAGCTTGCTCAGCCATAGATTCAACAATTGGCTTCTGTGCCTCATCCTCAGATGGCTCCTCGTAGCTAACTTCAGCGGCATATTTACCATTCTCCTTGACGAACTTGATGAGATCCTCGATGGAGCGGCTTCCGCTGTATGTGATTGGGTTGGTCTTGTCTCCAGCCTTGAAAAGCTTGATGGTTGGGAAACCTTGAATCTCATCAGGTACGTCGTTAAGAGTAGCATCGACCTTGGCGATAGTGACCTTGCTGTCAAGGCCAGCATCAACGTAGAGACCGGCGAGGATATCGTATTTTGGTGCAAGAGCCTTGCAGTGACCACACCATGGAGCGTAAAACTCAACCAACACATCCTTGGTGTTATCCAAGACGATGTCGTCGTAGTTCTTTGCGACAATGATCTGGACTGGACCTTCTTGAGTCTCTGGGATTGGCTCAGACTTCACGCTTGGCTCAACCTTGCCAGCAACGAAGTCATCAACAAATTTTCCAATAGTCTCGGCAGTGATCTTGGCCTCTTGGTCGTATGGGAACTTCTTGTTGTTGACGGTGTCCTGAATGGCAAAGGCTGGGAAGACGTCGGCCTTCAAGTTCAAGTTACCAGCGTGAGCACCGAATGCCTTGGCGTCGATGGTTGCGAAGCTGATAGCCCCACGGTGCTTCTCAGCAACGTCCTTGAGCTCGGCGGAGAAGCTGTCACGCTCCTCAGCGGTCTCTGCGAAGATGTATGCCAAAGGAATTCCAGTTGCCATGTAACCGGCATAGGTGTCTGGGCCAACCTCACCAATTAGTGGTATCGATGCTGTCTTCGCGAATTTCTCAATAGCCTCCCCACTGAAAGTCTCAGTGAAGATGCTCTTGCCCTCATCGAAGGATTTGTAGAGAACCAAAGAAGGGAATTCAACGCCCTCGGCCTTGGCCAATTCGGCATCATTGCTGGCACCGAAGAGATAGCTGTCACGGAGTTTCTCCGCAACTTCTGTGTATGTGGTATTGGAGGTCTTGTCATCTGCGGCAAAATATCCAACGAGAACGACCTTATCCTGGATCTTGAAGTCCTCGATCGTGTCTTTTGTAAGGAGGGAAACGGCTGGAAGTGACTGCTTGGTCATGTATGACACAATCCTAAAATATCAATTAGCAAGGCTTTGTTGGTTTATAGAAAAATTGGAACTACGTACGCTGGCGCTTTGCGAGCACCTGAGTAGGCATTGACGTTGTCTGGGCCGCGGAAGACCTTTAATGTTGGGTACCCCTCAACCCCATAGCTCTGGCAGAGATCTGCCTCTTCTGTGCAATCAACCTTGGCAAGCTTGATGTTCTTCTCCTTCAACGTTGTCGCGGCCTCCTCGTACTCTGGTGCAAGGGCTTTGCAGTGTCCACTGGTGAAATAATTAGTAATCTCCTTAAGGACAACTGTCATGAGGGGTAGACTTACCACCATGGCTATAGCAAAGGCAGTACATTAGTAAAACTCATATCTGCGAATTGGACGGAAACTTACTGCATAAACTATAGTCTAGTTAGCTTCAGATCTATATAAGTGGCGACTTGCGCATGGCAGTGAGGAGACAGGACTTACACTCTGCTAACACCAAATCATTGCCCTTGACGAAGTCTGGGAATGTGTCTTTGGTAAGAACCTCGACATCTGAAGCTGACGCGACAGCTGCAAATGCCGCACTGAGTGCGATAGCTTTAAAGTTGCGCATTGTCGTGTCTTATGATGTTGAAGGTCTGCAGGTAATCTGTTAGATGCTTTTATAGTGGTGGACAGACAGATTGCGACAGGAATGCAGAGAAAAAGAGATGGACGAAGTCGCAGGAGGGATTGAGAAGTATATTTATAACCACATACCTTCGAACTAGGAGCCGGAATGAAAGTGAATTGTTGTAGGAAAACGTAGCCGTGAATTGATGGGTTTGAGGCGATGTGGTCCCTTTATTCGAGGCTGATCAACCAAGCCGACCGGTTCGCTAATTTTAGCCGGGGAGGACAGGGCAATTTGATAAGCTGGGGGGCAATAGAACAGGTGTCTTCAACAAATGAACCTTTCCTGGTGGGGAAGAGGCAACGAGCTGTGGAAGATGGATGAAATATGACCCGATAGTGAAGAGGAATTCACACAATATTACCAAGCTAATGCAACATTCACCGATATTGGACAAAGACAGAAGCTGTTACGATGTCACCTGGGATACAAAAAACTATCGATGTGGCCATTGCCTGGAGCTATTCGACATCGAGATTGACCTTTGGCAGCAAGCGCTATAATTCTGGATGATCAAAGGACACAACCCCTGCTGCTCTTCGCTCTCTACATTATCCCAAGGAAAAAATAACTCCTCAATGAAAAGAGGCTATTCGCCAATCTTCCGGTAGGAGTCTGATTGAGAATTTGTGGAGTTCAAGCTCTTCGTTGTAGGAAATGTGTCTTCAATAGACGGTGTCGGGCCCTCCACTCCGAGGATCTTATGGATCATCAGCCTCACCCCGCAAACGCCTTTCCATTGTTATCACTTCAATACCATTGTCAAATACTACCTCCGATTTCTATAAGTAGAACCAAAATCCTTCCCAGAGAATCCAGGAAATACTCTATCTTCTCTGGAAGTGATATAAGTAACTGGAAAATCAACTTGATTTCCAATCATTCTTTCCATCGAGGCTATGTTTCGTCTAAACTAGTTTCCTAAGTTTGAGCCTCTGATGGATTTGGAGGATTGTCTGACTGTAACCATATTTGACGTAGTTCGTCCAGATACTCGAGTACTCGTAACAATGTTGAGCCATGTCCAGTTGTAGAATTCTTCTATGACTTGACAAGGGCCTTGGGAGGGGAGTTCCAAACACCGAGGAAGCTTGTGAAGCCAGTGGCAATTATTGCTCATACTTCTCCTTTCGTTATTCCTTCCAACTTTTTGTCAATTGGAATACCTCATATGTGGAAGCAGTCCAGCTCAAGTTCGAACGAAACTGAGCACGACTGCTTAATACTTCAAGTTTAAGACGCTAGCCATTGAACTTCGTCTGTGAGTAATGAGCAGTTAGTTGAAAAAACAGAAATATCCTTATCGTGCTAAGCTGCCATTCAGTTAGTATCGAACGGAAAAGAGTCGATTGCGGTGGTTGTCATTTCAAAACTGGTGCGAAGCTGATCGGCTTCTCCTGTAATGCAATTCACGGACAGAACAAATATAGCTGATCAGCACAGTTCGTACAGTATATGTCTACTTCGCTTTTTTCTTTACTTATAAATCGATCTCGGAATTCTAGTTAACACAGTGTCCCTTAGATATTTCCATGTCGTCGGGTGTTCGCGATGCGACGGTTGCGGCCTGTAGATCGAGTTATGGGAGTCGTGATGGGGGAGTGTTTGTTGTCGCTCCTTCCTCGCGAACCAAACAACAACAAGTCATATCGCTCCTCCTCATCAGAATGTAGCCACGGACGAATTCTCGGGACTTTGAGTCTCTTCTTATCTCGATTCTTGTCAGAAAAAATTCAACCGTCTCATGCCTTCGCTCAGCTAGGTCTCGACCTGCTCATGTTGATTATGGTCTTCATCTTCGTCAAACGCATTGTCTGATTAACGTCTTCTCGCACCATCACCGACATCTGATCTCGCGATTCAGCGCCCAACGATACTACCGTTTTGTCCTCCTGGGAATGGATCATGGACAATCTTCCTACACCGAGCAGTGCTATCTTGCGAGATCGTGGTTTCAGTGCCAGCCATGGGGGCAACCACTCGACGCCTGCTCGACATGGCGTCGAAAGAGCAGGATCGCGAAATGGAGCCAATGCTCGTAGGCCGGAGGAAGGCCGTTCTCCATCAAACCTACCAAAAGCTTTCGAGAGCATGCTGAAAACGACAACGGAGACTGGAGACATTGGCATGTTTTCCATCAAGCCTTCTCGAGTACCTCCACCTGTCAACAGTCCTCGCAGGATGGGACCTTACAATGAAAACGGTCCTGTGAAACAACAGCATCACCATCAGCAGCAGTATCAATCCTTTCAGCCGTATGGAGTGCCCGCTGTTGACGATAGGAGACGTTTACCTTCTTATGCTAGAGACACTACCTCGGAATTGATATCTATGTACGAGAGCCCAAGTCAGAAATCCAGCAGAGTTTTCGACGACAACACAGATTACAGGTCTTACTCGATGACCCATACAACTGCCTATAGTTTAACGAACCATCGGTCATACACCAGCCTTCGTAGCCAGCCTGACGGCGGTGCCATTTTACAACGACCAAGGTCCCCATTTGCATATCCAACCCGATTGAGACGGCCAGGATTCCGTCCCTCATCCCCAGCGTTGACAGATGGAGGTGCAGTTGACTATCGTCGACGCGCGGAGATTGATCGTCAGCCATATGTAAGCATCCTGCTTCGGTCTTGTTTTGATACACTTCGCATGCCACTCAACACACTCCAAAAACTTGTGATCTTACATTAGTATACTAGCTAAATTTGAACATCTAGGGGCCGGGACACAGCACATCCTCTCCGTCCTCTTTGTATGCTCACAAGCGGATGCCACCAATGCTACGCCCAGAGGGCAACAGATCTACGCCATCTTTGCTGAGCCAACCGTCCCCTCCAAGACGCTGCTCAAGTCCTTTGGCTGTACATAGCGGCAATACTAGTCACGACTGGGCAAGACGGATGGGTCCAACTTCTGTCAATACGTCTCCTGCTCGAAGCACGTTTAGTCTGGCATCGACAGCGAACCATTTTGTTAACAACCTACCGCCCTCCAACACAACTACTCCTGGAAAGCTCCAATCACAAACTCCCATGTATTATGACTATACCGAGGAATTTGATGAGACATATAGCCAATCAGCAGGACGAGAGCCTCCTCCTCAGTTCCGGATGGCCGAGACTATCCCAGAAGATCGCCCCATGAATGCCGGGAGACCATCTTTGGTAGATGCCAATGCTCGAAGTGTCACGCCCAATCTCAAGAATGGCGTTCGCGTATCGTCTTCTTCTGCATCAATACACCAAGTCCCTACGCAAGATAATTCAGAGCCCAACATTCATGACTCTTATAATGTCTGGGTAGCCCCTGAACCAGTCGTCGCAACGCCAGGAGTCGGACATACCAGCTCGGAAAGTTCATGGAATGGTCAGAAAACTCCGGAATTGAACGACGAGGCTCTTGATTCAGGAAGGAGAGCGGACATATCTTTTGGGCTTGCTAGAAAAGAATCAATTGCCCGCCGCTGCCAGATGGAACAAGTCTCTACCACAAATCTGCAATATGGCCAATCGCAATCCACTGATGGACTACAACCCGCTCGCCAGAAAATCAAACTAGACCTTTCAATTCGCCAAACTTCAAATAATCCCAATTCACAAGAGCAAACTGGACAGGAGATACTGACTACTCCACAGAGGTCCAAAAAAGTCATCTATGCGTCCTTTTCGCCTGCTTCCGCGAGCAAGAAGATGAAATGTGACCCCAAAAGGTCATCCTCTTTAGACTTTGATATGGGCCGTAAAAGGGTACGATCGAGTGGCTTTAACTCAATCGACACCGGCATTACGGACTTGGCAGACCTTTTGTCTTCCCTGGATAGCGCAAATGAAACTCAGCACTCAGATGATACCGAAAACCCTACACTTCCACCGGAACGGGTCAGGATGAATTCTCCAACAATACCCGAAGAGATTGTCAAGAAGACAGAGGTTTTAGAGCATACGCCTCTGCTACCGCTTTCAACATTCAATTCACATAGCAAACAGAGAGAAGGCGATCCTTCGATCATCCAACCATCACGATATCGACGTCAGAGACCACAACACATAGAGCCAGCAACTATACAGAAAGCCGGAGACTTCAAAGACTTGAGTTTCGATTTTCCTAGGAAGTCTGTTTCTCGCTCGGGTTCACCAATGCTCGCTCCTAAACCGATTTCTCCTGCAAGACAGCTAAAGTTGAAAAATAGTGTCCCGCAGTTGATGAAGGCTCTTCCTCCGCTTCCACCACATCTGTTAAGGCTATGTGATTCGCCGTCCAATGACACCGCCTTGGATGAAAACACTCCACCTCAAGACATCGTCGTCGCAAATTTCCCGTCAACAAGTAGAATCATCCAACCTCCACCAAAGGTTTTCCAGCCCAACGGGACACAAGGCACTGGGGTTTCCGAAACCTTGGTCGAAATACCCGAGAATAATGAAGTATCTCTCACGACAAACTCTTTAGATCGGAAGACTGTGAATGATGAAACGGCTCCGATTGCAAGTCCTCCTAAGCTGAAACTTAAATTGCGGTCTTCTGCGGCAGCAACGAAAGTGTCGCCGCACGATTCTCGTCCATGGAATTCAGAAGAAAATTATCCATGGTCAGAACAAAACCCGAACATAAGGCTACCTTCAATGATTACGAAAGACAAACCTAGTGATTCAAAGCCGGCAAGGTTCAAGCTGAAGTCTTCGAGGGCTTCAAATTCGCTATCGGACACAGTCAAGATTACTCGTGATATACCAGATTCGAAGACAGCCGCTGGTTTACATTTGCCACATGCTAAAGATTTGTTCACGGCTCCTTTAGCTGTGGATAATCTTTTCCATCAATTAGGTAAACATCTGCATTCAAGAAGATCCAGTGCAACAAGTAGTCAACCCGAGACAGAAAGTAGTCAGGCCGCTGGTTCCTCTGCCCATACTGTTCAGCGCAGTACCGGGCAGGCATCGCGACTTGCTGATGAGCCTTTGACTCCAGTAATATCTCAAAGTGGTTGTGCGGAGGACAGCTCTGATGAACACGCCCATCATTCTTTGCGCAAAAAGTTCACTAATCTAAAGGCTCGGCTTACGGCTCCGTATCTACTGCGAGGTGGTTCCCATTCGTATGATGATGTCACTCTACGAGCGATGAGAACTGGAAACAGCACCATTCCGCCAGCAATTCGGTCGGTTCCCAATCTTCATGCGAGTATTGGACTGAGTGTCGAGGTTGAGGATACAACCCTTCGCACTGAGCGTGTTAAACGAGTTCGGTTGAAAGACAAGCTTTCAAAATGGTTAAAGGGCGCAAAGATGGCAATTTCGGCTCGTGTTAGGTCTCTGAGCTCATCTGGCTGAGTTTGTTATGTTCTATTTTGGTGTTATGGTTGGTTCAATTGTGGGTTTCGTTTCGAATCGTGTTTGGCTTGGGGGCCCATTTGATGTTAGCCCAAAGTGCAGTATCGTCTTGCTATCTCTGTTTTGTTCATCGTAATACTTAGTCTAATCAGAGGTGTTCTGTGGTGCTTACTTGTTCGGAGGAGAAGGAGGAAGTAAACTCGGAGAGGATATCACTCAGTGTGCATAGCAACTCATATACCATTAATTTAATGTCATTCAAACATATCAAGACGGTCCTATAAACATGCGAAGTGGTAAATTCTTGGGAAACACACATAAAGTCCTTCTTTTCAAATTCAGTGACTGAACAAAGACCATCGGCAGCTCTTGTTGAGTCCCATGAACAGTAACAAACTCGTTATATATAAGTTGCATTTATCTGAGGTTCGGAAAGGAGCGTTTTCCATCCATATGAGGTAACTGACGTTTTCTAGCACGCAGCAGAGTTTGTTTACTCGGTGGTTACATTATCTACCATGATTTAGATATTTGTATTGAATGTCTCCCTCCTGGGCTTCACCGCGTCGCTTGAAACTTTCACCTTGCTGACGTATCTTCGAAGGGAGCACCAAGTACGCCTTGCTGGGCTTGTGAATTCTCTCAAATTTGCTGTCCAAGCGTTCACAAAGTTATCTGGGGTTCTGCGTCCATGAAGCTATGTCATACCAGTCCGTCTATCCGTAGAGCAGATGACTTCTCTTCAACCTTGCAGACCTTGGGCTCCCTCTCATGTTTGGAGACCCCAGATGCTCAATAATCGGTAAGTTTAAAGCGAGTTACGTATGTCTCTGCGGGGCAACTTGGCTGCCATCATACTGCATAAAATCCAGGGGTAAATATTTACTTCCATAAAATTAAAAGGTTGTGTAGGTGTTCGTGTAGCGTTGAAGTGTAGTGTGGACTGATGGTGACGGTAACGGGATCTGGCCCCCTAGAGTTAAGCGAGTGGACCTCCTATGATCTCACTTGGAGTCCAGTGCTTGTGGCAGTTGAAAGCGAAACAAGGGTTTGTGATTGTAAATAGCCATGATGTTCTTGGACTTCATGTAATTGGTGCATCCATACTTTGGGTCCTTGGTTGTACGCTGTTTCACTCTTAAACGGTTCATACGCCGTGGGAGGGTGGAGTATGCGATCGCAGATCTATTGGTGGTTGGTCTAGCCCTAAAGATAAATGATTGGGTGTTGTTCGTCAGGAACATTCGGATATTCGTATGGTATTGAGGTTCTAACAAAGGCTCACCTAGGCCTTCAACGGGCGTGGCTGGTGTCGAGAAGATCGAAGATTTAAGCTCATGTGCCCGTGGTTAAGCGTGGCCAAGGAGGTACGTCGAAGCGAGGAAATTGCTTAAATCACTTGGCTTATGTAAAGATCAGTTAGGTTTGAATGGTACTGTACGTCGTTGGAGGATTGCCTATGCGCCATTGGTTAAAGCTTCTTTGAGCTGCGAATGCTTAGAGGTTGAGCCACAACAGCTGTATGGCCAGAGAGCGGATTGAAAGTTGTTCCGATTTTAGGAAAGAGTGTCTCACATTGTCCAGAGTGATTGGACAGATGTGTTGCAATGCTCTATGGTGACCGTTATCTAAACATTGTCTCCTTCAGTAGGACATTTTATTGGGTCGTGTGCTTAGTTGTAATGCTTGGAAGTCTAGGAGATACACCGAGGAGCCTGTTGTAGCATGTAAAATGGATAGTAAGAGTCCCATCACGATGGAAAATTGTAGGCAAGCCTATCTAGTGTTCAACCCCCAGACTTTGATGACGGAGTCGCAACTCATCCTACTGCCAGCTCTCGTGATACTGCTAGTCCGCGCTGGAAATTTTATAAATCTGAGTGCCACCCACAGCAAACCTCCCCCCTTTACCGCATCCAAAAAGTTAGTTTGCATCAACACTAGAACTTTACTACCTCCAAAAAAATCGATCCACTTCAAACCAAACCCCACCTCATCTAATCACATGCATCCGCACCTCCAACACCAAACCACTCTCACAAATACCACAACTCACTCCAAAAAACCCAAGATGCGTCGCCCATCAATGGTATCATTCATCTCCTTCCCACGACGCAGCAGATCCGCCGACAACGTCCTATGTGTGCCGTCTCCCTCATCTCCATCCGAGGACCGGCCGACCTTCCTTGAGTTAGAATACGCGCCTGAGACGGAGCCGTATACGAACTGCAGGATCACGTCTCAGGAGGTAGAAGCGGATCCTGTCAGACCAAAGATTCGGAAACTGTCGTTGCGCTGGGAGAAGAAGGTTCTCTGGAGAGATTCATCGCCGGAAAAGCGGTGGAACTTGTTTAGGAGGCAGAGATTCGCGTCATGCAGAGATCGCGTTGCGACGCCGTATCCCAGGGACAGAGTTCCTTTGCCTGCGGACTTCTTTCAAGTAGAATAGGATTTGCGTTTCAATGTAAGAGATTATCCAGTCGTGTGAACCAGCTGTTAAGGATCATTCTGTACGCAGATTTGGTCGATGGCTAGATGCAATCCATATAAATGTTGGTACATTTCCTGACGATGAGCTAACCTGATGACTAGCTCTGGAGATTTGCCTTTTTCAAACAGCAATGCGCCAATTTATGAATTACTGTACAGCCGCTATTGCTTAAAAGACAGCGCCGCCAATTATAAACACGCGCTCCTCCTCCCGCTTAACCCATTGAATCACTTGATTTGCACCTTGAGCGAGAGCCGCCCGGGAGGCATTTGGACCGGCCACACAGTAGAATTCGAACAGAGGGGTCGTCCAGGCTAGAGAGACGGAGTCACGAGAAACGCAATGGAGAACCTTAACGTGGGAGTGCTTGGCATGTGTAGATGCGTGGAGATTATGGTAAAGACTCATGAGTCTATTTTGTCTTGTTAGCTTGTATACCCAGAACAATACTGAACATTCGAAGTATAGCCAATAAAAATAGTTCAATCTTACCTTCGCTTAGCAATAAGAGTCTCAAAGTGTGGCGAGAAAGATGGCATCATAAATTGTACATTCGAACGTGACTTGTATAGGAAATGTCGTAGTATCGTTCCTGGTACGATTTCTGATGCCTTAGGACGGCCCTGACGAACGGCTGCTTTGATGAGACTCATACTTCCGTTCTGTTCAAGCTGCTCCACAACGTCGTCGCGCATTTGCTTCAATTCGAAAAAGCTTTCCTTGTCGGCGCTGATCAGCAGAATAGCAATTTCATCTTCCCGGCCTCGACTAGCTGTCGAAGGTCGCTCGCCGGATGTGTTAACATCGTCGTGAGCGTTGATAAAGCTTACATACATGTACAGGTAGCCCTTGTTGTTGAAGCCTGGAAGGCACACTGGAATCCAATTCTCGCCGCCTCCAGCTTTGACACTGCCAGCCTCGAAGAGCATGTTAAAGATTAACTGCAGGTCGCTGGGATGAAGGGAATGCCTCTTCGGTCTTACCACGCTCACTAGTCGACCGCCTGCGACAATCAACCCGTAAAGAAGTTTATCGGTTCGGGTTTTCAAAAGTGTGTTGTTGATCAAGTGCCTTTGCGATTTACGGATTTTCAGACACTCGAGCGCGGAGAGAAGGGCTGAAGCTGAGCCCTTCGTAAAAGTATCAGCTAAAGAGGACAACAAAGTCTCTGTGCCTTCGAGTGGCCTACTCAAGTCCGTGTTTGGGCGATTTTTGAATAGCTGAGTTAGAGTTGGCAATGTTAAGGTTGACAGAATCTGCATATACAATGCTTCGAGTTGGGTTCGGAGTTGCGAGTCACTCTCACCAAGTCGGCTAATCGCAACGAAATAGAGGGGCCCGTCTGTCGATATCACAAACCTCGTACCGCCGGCCGTAAAGCCCAATAGTGGATCCTTTGCTTCTTCGTAGAACGAAATTATGGTCTGAATAATGCCAATATACCCATTGATTAAATTCTGGTCGCCATGTCTGCTATAAATAGGTTTACCGGCAGAGGAGAGTATCAGATAGTGCTTGAGTTTTGCTTTCCACTGTGACAAGACCTCCTCTAGAGAGTATGATTAGAGATGCCACTGATCCCGCGAAACAAATGCATACCTTCATTGCCTTCCTGTGCACCTACCGCCTCGATCTGGTCGAACTCTTGGCCAAAGTTGATGAGTGAGATATTCTCATAGTCGACAGATTCAAAAGGGTTAACACTCTCCGATTGAGTGCTAAGAAGCTTCCAGGCTGGGCTCTGACTATTTAATCCCTCGTCTAACAGACTTGCTAAATCTCCGTTGGCCCTTAACGTTGGAGCATAACTCCTCAAACTTGTGTTGTCGTCAAATTCGCTTCCATTTTGACTGACCTTTCGATGGGGTGTACTTTGTCCGGTTGACAATCCTGACACTGATAAGGAATCTGACACGGTTCGATGAGCGGGCGTCGAGAATGTCCCTCGCGAACCGTCTGGGAACGAAAGTGTTTGTATGTCTACGGACGACAATGCCGTTGTGGGTTTCGAGGCTAGTCCAGGCCGCTTGGAAGTCGAATGGGTAGCAAACGGTTGTTCCGCATTCTGGAGTAGGGACGGTCTTGGAGGAAGAGGAGGCCTTTCTTCCAGACCAGAGTCTTGCGTCTCTGTTCCTTCTTCGATATCTACATTTTGCGTCTCCGGTCCCGCTTCGTCCATTCTCGCCTCCTGCTTGTCTTGTGGTCTTTCTATCCCAGTTTCCAGCTGGTCTTTTTGTGAATCCCGTTCCTTGGGGCCATCGCCAACCTGAATTTTCCCATCCTGCTTGTCGTCTTCCGTATCATCTTGCGACCGGTTCGAGGCACCGTCTTTCTGATTGTCGAGGCTCATGGCTGAAGCTCCATTCTCCTGGTTCGCGGTCTCCGCAGGCTGAATACCAGTATTGTGTTGTGCGTGTGCATCAGGAGAAAGACTTCCTTGGCCCGAAGTGCGACCCATAAAGTCCCAAGAGGGATCGGGTTGAGCGTTTCAATGATACGACTTGCGTCATTGATTCTTTTGGAGATACCTGCGTATCGACGCGGGAGCAACCTCTCTGCCGCTGCGATGGACAGGGGTGCCCGCAGACAAGGTATGTCCCCAGGAACACAACGCGTAGACGAGCCGAGTAACGAACATCAAATCCTTTTGTTGCGTACTCCGTAAAGGACACTCTTTTGCGTAGGCAACAATGTTTGGTTGGGAATATCATCACTCACATACAAATCCGATATGCTTTGTATAAGCATTTGCATGCCGCTTTGCAAGAATAATGGCCCATCTTGAGCCAGGTTCTGGCCAGTCCATCTCACCTACCAGCTCTGGCAGAGCTTCTCCCATTACCAGAAAATGGACAACTGGTACCGTCGTAGCATGTCAGCTCTGTTCGGTCTAGGGGCTAATTTTATGTGACACAGAAGAAACCCCCAGCAAAGATAAAGCATACCGCAGATATGCCTCTGGTGTTGAGAGATCTCTTTCCCTGTTCGATACGGCGTTGCAGGAATGGGCCGATTATATTTCATTTTTAGGGAGGCTCTTGAAAGTTTGTGATGCGGTATCTTCTCTAGAAGGAAGCTGCTGAAATTCAATCTAGTCCCTGCAAGCACATCCCTCTACGATTACCACAGTCCCGTCGAGAGCAATTGTCGCAAAACGATTAGCACAATGCCTCAACCCCTCCTTACCCTCAGGGGTGCACCAGAAGGCCCTCGAAGTCTACGCATATATCTTCACGTTGATAGGAAAAGATTCCCTGTCCAGAGATCTACCTCTGTACTTCCCTGGTCTGGCATCTACACTTTCATTCGCTTCGCTCTCGGTTCGGACGCCTTTCCTTGATCTTCTGGAGAAACATATGCTCAAGCTCGATGCGGGCGCTCTCCGACCTGCACTCAAGGCTATCATACTCTCAGTTCTCCCGGGCTTGGAGGAAGAGACAAGTGAGGAGTTTGAAAGGACGTTGAAACTGCTAGACGAATTCAAGCATTCGGTCAGGTCAACTCGTGGAGACGATTTGGGTCATGACCACAATAGTGCCGATGAGTACTTCTGGCAATGCTTTTTTCTTGCAGCAATAACAAGCAATACACGGAGACTGGGTGCCTTAGCCTATTTGACACGGAATCTTCCAAAATTAGGCAAAGCCGTAGCTTTGGATTCAACAAAAAGTGCTGGTGATGAATCAAGCCCCGAGGAGGACAAAGACTCTAGCACTAGTCGTCTAGCGGATTTAGTGACCTCCCCTGAACCTGGACTCCTACTACGGTGCTTCGCTGCGGGTCTGGCGGACGAACAATTGCTGATTCAGAGAGGCTTCTTGGATCTACTAGTAACACATCTGCCACTTCAATCGCATGTCTTGCAGAACCGCGTAAAGGCTGAGGACCTAGAGCTTTTGATAACTGCTGCAGCTGGGGTCGTGGCAAGAAGAGATATGAGCCTTAACCGACGGCTATGGACATGGTTACTAGGCCCGGAACCAGTACATGTCGACGGCGAGGATGGCTCAGAATCCCCCATGTCTCTGGCAGCAGACCCTTTGACAGCCCAGGCGTCTTTGCGCACACGTTACTTTGAAGAGTATGGGATACAGCCTTTGACACAAGCTTTATTGAGAATGATAACACGTGAATCTACGAATCCAGTAGAGAGGGCGAGGCCCTTCCGAATTTGTCTGTCCCTCATGGATCGATGGGAAATAGGAGGCCTCGTTGTCCCGGAGATCTTTCTCCCGGTGGTAGACAGCGTTCGTAAATACAAAGACATTGCGTCTACGAAAGATGACTTCTCGGAAGTGCTCAGAAGCGCCAGTGTCTTCTTTGACGGGGTCGAAAGCGGTCTAATTTGGGGTGAGATTGTTGGTTTGATTGCGCAAGCTATCGAGCCCGGAAGCGCTACAGTTTTGGAGCGCAAAGATAAACTCTCGCTGGTCAAGTTTATCCTTGCCCACTTCAATGTACGCGAGGAAGAGATGCTAGTCATCCACGCTCCATTAGCAACCCTTACAATTTTGGCTATGTTAAAGGAAGCGGTGGAAAGACCTGGAAGCCATTCAGACGGTGCTAGTCTGTCAGATGATGTGACCCAGATGGCACTAAATACTGCTATAGATCTTTTCGACTTTATTCCTGAGCGAGCCTTCCAAGACCGTCCTTCTACGACTGAACCCCCTATCGCTAAGAAGACAGAGGAGACCGAATCTTTGAAACATACCGCTGAGTCATTACGGATCATTCAAACATTCTATGTGCAGGATCAAGGAAATCTTGATGCTATTCCTCCGCCATTCTCAATTCGTGTCGTCAGCGGGCTTCTTTTCAGGGAAATTGCAGTCATCACTAGTCAAAGCATCTCAAAATCAGTTTCAAGTGCTGACGCTGGTTTGAAGAGTAAACTTTTAGTGACGATGCTCAACAAATTACCAACAAGCAAGAATCTAGATGTGGAGCAAATCTTATTATCCGTAGAGAGTCGACTTTCAACCCTCGATGACCTTCCATTCGCAACTTTTACTTCAATTGTTTCTCTTATGACAACGCTCTTCTCTGCACAATACATCTCAGCTGAAGATCTGTCGAAATTCGTTGAACCTTTAGTACGCATAGCTTGGTCGTACCTTTCCCCGGCCCATCCCAAGTATCACGTTGAGACAGTGCGATGTCTTTGGCAGCTCCAATCAGGCCTGACACTTTCTAATCGAGAGATCGAATCTACTATTTGCTCTCTCATGCTAGAACGAAACATCGAGGGCACTTTCATCGTGCGTGATGCCGACGCAGGTCGCAGATTTAGTATTCTCTGGACACACACGCTACAAGATAACTCTGTTTCTACTCAGCGACGAACTTCAAAATCTAATGCAGCGGATTCCCGCGGAGTTGGAAGAGTTTTGGGAGCCGGGTACTATGAAGTGATGCTTTCCAGGCCTTTGTTCTTGCTCCTTGATGCGTTATTGGACGAGCAAACACAGCTATTTATGACTGCAAAGATGTGGCTTCAAGGCCTGACTGGGCTTGATAAGTATGCGGAATGGTTAAACGTGTGGTCACATATTCTAACTCAGTTATAGGCTTTTCAACCTAATCATAAGGAAATTGGGAAACTTTGAGTGCCTGCAAAGATCCTCGCTAACTGAAACCAATTCAACTACTGTGTCGTCCCACATATATACTCAAGAGGATGATCTAGATCAGTGTTTCTATTATCTCCAGACATTTTCCAACATTCTACGATGGTCTTCTGACAGCATGTGGGCTGCTTTAGCTCAGAACACCATTACTGCAGAATCCGGTTATCTTCCCTTGAAAGGCACCAGTGAGTTCATCCCTGTCCTTTACTGTGCATATATTCTGACTATCCAGTTGGCCATAAGACCGAAGTTTCTTTTCTGGAGTTTTTCGTACAGGTTTGTTCACACGCAATGGCTGGACGAAATGATCGTACAGATGGATTTTTGAATAGAAGAATAAGCCAGTTACATCGTACGGCACTTACGGTGCTTCATCAAATAATGCTGAGCCCCTATTCCAGTCAGCTTGCAGATCTACATCTAGAAGACCAGCTCATCGATCGCTTGATCCGATCTTTAGGAGAGCCGGATCCATTAGTCCAAGTCTTGCTTCTCGATGTCGTGTATGACTCGTTAAAGATCCGTGCTATCTCTGCGGCGCTCAACCCTTCTACACTGCCCACCACGGAAATCAAACGAACAAGCACCCAGGACGTGACTCAGAACCAGACCACCCCATCTACTGTAGACCGCGATCAGCAGCCTTCATCACGAGTCCCGCCGCCACCTCAGTTATTGATCAAAGCTCTTCAGGAAGGGTTAGCCTCGCCAAATAGTAGGCCGGTACTCGACAGTTGGGTGGGCTTTTTGACTGAATGCCTACCTCTATATTCCGAGAGTATATTTCAAGTTCTCATACCACTGGTTGAAACTCTTTGCGCTCAAGTTGGTGGTACCTTTGAAGACCTGCAGAATACATTCAAGGACTCCACTGTGCCAGCTGGTACTGCAGCGCCCGAATCGACACTTATCTCTTTGATTAACGCACTGGAACAAGTGCTCGCATGGGGTCATGACAGGTTACTTCAAGACGAGTCGAAGGCGCCAGCCGTTAAAAGTCCGGAATTACCGCAAGGATTCTTTGGCAATATGGTGTCCAACGTTTTCACATCCGAAGCTCCACAATCCAGGAGTGCAACTGCAAACAACCGCCTGACAGTTCTTTTAACCTTCCAAGATGCGGTTAGAATCTGCTTTCTGATATGGTCCTGGGGTGGACGAGGAGCCAGCTCCCAAGACCTTGATTCTGCAGCTTCATTCAACTACACATCGCTAAGGATGAGAAATCGGGCTCGAAGACTACTAGAACATTTGTTCGCAGCAGAGGCTTTGGAGTGTCTGGAAACTGTAGTAGAAGTCTGGCTAAAGTCGACAAAGATGGAAGTGGGCTCTAGTCCTGCAATGGTATTTAACCTTCTCCATGTATTAGACGGCTCAAGGCCAAAACACACGATACCGGCGATATTCAACGCTATCTACAGCCGCACAAACCCATTGGCCCTGGATCCTGCTCGAAAATCCACGATGACTTCTTCGTTGAACGACACAGATTTGGTGATTTTTCTGGTGGAATATGCACGCTCCCTTGACGACGACGCTATGGACGAGATCTGGACAGACTGTATGACGTTTTTGAGGGATCTCTTGACGAACCCCTTTCCTCACAGGCAAACCTTGCCAAGCCTTCTTGAGTTTGCTGCTATACTTGGCGAGAAGGTAGATAACACTAACTTTGGGGAGCAGCGGAAAATGAGAAGGGATCTAGGAGTAAGTTTTCCCTGCAGTAATTTATTAAGGCCACTCATTTATATTTCAGGATCTTTTCTTGCGCCTCCTTACCGCAACATTCACTACTCGACCCATGGGCTTCTCTGAAAACACGAATGACACCGATTCGGCAGGGAGCCCAGTAGCTAGATCTGATGATGTAGTTGGCATACTGGCGTCAATCGCACCAAACCTCCCCAAGATCCTGGTTGAATCCGATCGAGTTCTCTCTGCATCCAGCACCATCTCAACAAGTGTCATTGGACCGACCTTCAAGTCTAAAGCCTTCCCGGAAAACGTCAACAAGAGTACGCTTGTTCTCTTGTATCAATTGAGTCGGCTGCCGAATAATCAGAAGGCATGGAAAAGGGACCTAGGAGACGCCTTCAATGACCCAAAGTTCTTTCAGAGCCAAGTCTCGCTGGTCGAGAGTGATTGGCTTCCACTACTGAAGCAGTGGACTCTTAATGACAAGGAAAGGATGCCAGAGATACTACTTCGACTTGTACCTCCTGCTACAGCCGGTATTGTTTTCGGTGTAGGAGCAACTTCGGCAAGGTTAGAAGCTGATCGAAAGACACAACTTAACCTTCGGCGCGCAGCCACATTAGTTCTTGCAACTGCAAATGACAGTTTTGTGACCGATTTGCCCCTCATACAAGACAAGATTGTAGAGCTGCTTCCGGCGACCACGACTTCTTCTCCATCTTCCACCACTAGAGCTGACATATACATGCTCCTGCGGGCGTTGGTGCTCAAGACTTCTGCGATACACTTTGCAACTCTCTGGCCTATCATCAATGCCGAGCTACATACAGCCATCTCTTCCGTTGTCGCAGCGGACCACAGTGCCGTCGCTGACACATACAACAACACGTCTGTTCTCCAAGCTTGCAAGCTCTTAGATACCCTTATTTGTATTGCACCAGATGATTTTCAACTCCACGAATGGTTATTTATTACGGACACTATAGATGCTGTCTACCGACCTGCCCATATACAGCCAGCTGCTCTTGCCGACGAACTTTCTGAAGAACTTTCGGCCGCAAATATTAATTCGGAAGGCATGCATCACCAAGCTTCGAGTTCTCTCACCAGAAAACCGCTTATCGGGCCAGGCGGAATTAACGATGAAGGTAATTGGGAACGGAGAGATGATCTGGTTGCCAAAGTGCTCAGACCATTCTTTGGACAGCTGAGCATTTATGCATTTGAAAGCACTTATACCATGGCCCCCACAGACTGGAGTGCATGTCGATCGGGTTTATTGGAGGATTTGTTTGACGAGAGGACCATCGTTAAGGCGCTGTAACAACATAGATAACCCGTAAGGATCGATTCTGAAAGGCAATGCATCACGCCCCAATTCAATGGTAGAACAAATTCGATTGACATTTCTGGACTAACAGACCGAATGAATGTTGTGTAACGATTCAAACATGTGATCTTGTACCAACTTCGCTTATTGACCCAACCCCGTGAAGAATAGCGACACGGATTCGATCATCATCGCCAAACTTGGCCTCGAAGAAGAAGGCTGTCACTCAAACTAAACCTCAAGGACCGACTGAGAGATGGTTGCCCTCATCGCGGCCTCAACTACGATCGAGCAAGGCCCTGTTAGTCTTGCGAAGACAACAAAATTGGTCGATACTGTCGAGTCAGCGCCATGCCACCTCTAGACTTCGTCACGTCGAAAGCATCCGCTCGTAGAGTCCAGGATAGCATGAATACGGCAGTTGGAAACTGTTACTGGTTACCACAAGACGCAAGATGGAGAACCCTTCTTGTACTGACCTTCGTTACTTGTCAAGACTTGTGCTGATGAGATTCAGGAGGCTCGAAACGCCTTCGTTCGAGAGTGCTTCCAGACCGAGGGACTGACGATCCAGAAGTTCAAAGATCTAGAAAAGCCTCAGAAGCGTTACCGAATTGCACAGCTCGAGCGTGTCTTCGCAGCACAATTCTTTCAGTATACTCGTGATGGCGGTTGGATGGAAGAGGCCGTGGGACCAAATGGTTGCTTGTTTACCTAGATCTTCTGCAAGGCTAACATGTTATCTAGGATGCTGGGTCTTTATCCACGGAATGAGTGCCTGGCATGTCCGGTCTGCTTTGCATTCTATGCAGTATTACGACGCTAGCTCCGGTGAGACCTCCTGAACGCTCCCCAAGATGATCTGTGTTGATCGTGCTTTTAGACTTACAACCAGCGTCTGTGAACTCGACTTTGCCAAACGAAGAAACCGCTCAAGAACAAATCCTTACTTTAGAACATCAACCATAAAGCACGAGATTCCGAGAAAGAATATAATCTTGACCATCTGTACGACTCGCCCTTTGAAGAGTGATGACTACTTCACTTCAGCAATTTCAACATTCAAGAGGCGTCTCCTGACTTCGCTTACCACAACTACACAGCAAGAAGACATAAGAACTCTTTACCTACACTACGACTACTGGAATGTGCAATAAGCTTTGACTATTGCCGCATTGGAAAATGGGACACAATCACAAGGCAGCTAGCGATGGATGATGGATGATGGAGGGAAGCTGGGTTTAGACAGTGGTCTAGTTGATATTTTCAGAAAGCCCGCACATTAAGCCCAGTGGCCTCGATGGCCCGTACACCCAAGAATTTTGAATTAGAGAGGTGGAGAGTTGTCTTTCACACGATTCATTTCCTTGCGGGCTTCTCCTCCTGTCTATGCAGCAGTCATCTACCGATAGCGGGTTGTTGACTCTGGTTGGGATGAAACGAAGGACATAACCAGAGAAAGAAAGATCTCGCTGCGTCGCAGTGTTACCTGTAGTATGTACAATTCAGTTAAACGCAAGTGTCAGCGAAGAATAACCTAGTACGGAATGTTATGATAAAAACATGTACTATGCATTCCCACTACTAGCGCATCCGCATTGGTTAGAAAACAGTTTATTCGTGTTGGTTTTCGCACTTAAATACCCACTTTCTTTTAAAAATGAAGAGGAAGGTACTGAATGCTTCATACCAACCAGCACTTCAGTTTCCATCATTTTCTAGGCTTGGAACGGCAAAGTTCATTGACGCTCCATGCAGCTTAAGTTACCAAAGTGTCTCAACATGATTCTAATATGAAGGTAATAAATAAAGGATTTCATCACTTACTAAGATTTGTGAAATGGGCGGATCTGTATACTAGCTATCAGCAATCACTTCGACTATTTGCAGAATATTATAGAACTTGACATTGACTTAACAACATGAAAGGTCAGCAGTGCGTTGGCTCCAAAGATAGACATTATGCGCATATTCTTGCAGTAGTTGGAACTACTTACACGGCAGACCTTTTGGAACTATCCTGCGGCGTTAATAGTGTGTGAGTAAAAAGATTACAGACCAGAATCCATAATTTCACACATGATGGAGTATGGACAAGCCTGACTTCGTGGACTCAAGTGACTAAATTCAAACCTTTCTGTGTATAACACGGCCGCTATGCCTTGAAGTTTAACAAATAGCGTTACAAGTAACGTAAGCAGTTCGTCAATTAACAGAAAAAGCAATGGATGGAAAACTATTATTATATTTTTAAAATTGGAAAGTATTTGGGATACTGTATGACGGGAATACTCAAACGGAACTGCATGCTCATTCTGGAATATGGCCAATAAAACCAAGTTGTGACAAAAGATGATAATTGAGAGACTTCAGATTGACTGAATTAAAAACAGTACCGTAAGAATTATTTGTTAATTGCAATTAGATTTCAGATAATAAACCTCTTGAAGCATGGCCACTTTGGGTCGAGACATAAGCGAAAGTGTTGCGCAGAGCGATAGGATCAATAAACTCAATTCGCCTATAAATTACTTATGCCACAAGTATTTACGACGAACACTTTTCCCTCTCACAATATTGTATATCCGGAGGATATCGCGGATGTGACCAAAACAGCTGCATACTTCTAGCTAGTTATGCATCCCATTTAGTACTAGCATACGTGATGCCCAAAGACGCCTGCTTGCCTGATACTTGAGGCTATTGAATTTCACGATTTGCAACAAAACTCTTGCCAGCGTGTTTTCCTCAGGCCAAACACTGCTATGGAGTCGTCTTCCTCAGGCTTCCAGGCACAATTCAGCCATTCCACTCTTGAAATACTTCGAGAGCCAATACTTCGATGCATAATTGACCAATCCGTTCGTCCTAGATCATGTACTTGAAGCGGGAACATAAGCCACAAGTGCCTTGCTAGCTCCTTTCATGCAATACTGTACGATATCGATTTTCTTGTCTTTTGGTGCCAATTTGGCGACTTGCCTGAGGTCGCTATGTCTGGGTAGATACAGCACCGAATACATGTCGGTACAAGCTTTGTGGATCTCTTGGATGGAGTATGGGTGCATCGTACTAAGGTCGAATATTTCTGTGTTTGAATAAGTAACGCCGCCCCAGGGAGGCGAGGCGAATATGACCGTAGATGATGCATCAATTGTCGATCGGTTTTCAGACAGGTAGCTGAAGCAGTCTGCGTTAACCCAGGTAATGAACTCGGAAACCCCATATATTGCTGCATTGTGCTGAGCGCATGCTAGAGTTGACGCATCTTTCTCTATTGCTATGATATTTGTCCACCTCTCAGACAGGGCAAAGGCAATAGCGTTACCGCCAGCCCCAGCGAATATGTCGATGATTGTTGTTTTCTCGTCAGGCGCGCGCAATGATAAATCTGTCGCGATCTGGCTACAACTTCGTTAATCAAAATTCAGGGTCAAGATTTTGGGAAGCTTACTTCGCAACTGGCTCAGGTGTTACCCCAAACCACGCGTCGTCAGTCATCTGGATACCAGCATCATACTCAGAGAATATACTATGTCTCTGATGCCAATATCTAGCTTCAGGTTAGCTGTTTGTAAAACCTATTGTGGACTTGAAACAACTAACTTTTGAATATCAAATGGTACCTCGCCTACCTTTCTGTAATGGTGGCATTGGCCTGTAAGAGGAAGGAAGGTGGTGTTCGCCGTGGCGCCGGGTTGATTTGACTTATTGTCATCATAGTCCAATGCGATATCTTCTTCTTGTGCGCGCTTCCGCTTTCCTGACTTTTTCTTTGCCATGACTTCGTCTTACGACTATAGAGCTTCCGGTATCAGGTTGTTTGACTTGTTCCGCCTAATTACCAGTTCAAAGTACCGATGTAGCCGTCAAAGTCTTTCTGTTTTTTCAAATCTCATGAGAGTGATTCGGTAATGACAGACTAGGATTTTTCAGTTTTTCGCTACTATCCGGCAAACAAGTTGTCTTTTTCCTTTAATGATATAAACGCACTCTTATAAAGAGCTCGGCGGGAGTATTGCGTAGCAAAACCGTGGTCAAAATGGAAGCCTTTGTTGGAAAGTTACACTCCAGATTACAAGCTTGTAGTGAACTTTAGAAGATACTTCTGTCGAGATGTGATACTCACGCACGGATTGATTACACTTCCGTGGTTTGAATAAGAGCGCGCGTTGATATCTGAAGTCTTGTTGGTAATAACTGAGTTCAGAATAATGACGAAAGTGCCTTTCTGAATTTAGACTTTTCGCACCCTGAGGTATGTTTAACAGTCGAGATAGAAGCGGTCTTCTCCGTCTAGACACACTCTACTGTTGGGTTCAAGCTGTACCAGCCAGATGAACGCAGAAGTTTCCTCAAAAGGTTAGTTAGCACAGCGTCTTGTGAGACTACAAAAGAGAGAGAAAGTACTTAGACGAAGACGATATTTTTCTCAAAGTAACGATCCATCAAAAGCTTTAGATGTCTCATACATTTCGGAATTGTTGCGCGAAGGCCTAGATGAAAAGGGACCAACGGGATCTAAAAATGGGCTTCGAGCACGGACCAACTAAATCATGGATAGGTCCAGCCACAAGGCTGAGAAGGGACCAGATTGCTGGGAGACGCAACAACATCACACATATTCCGTATAATAGTATACTGCTCGCAACAAAGATCCTAAGATAAATCGATAAAATCAAGCAGACCGCAATATGTTTAACGCGCTCAATCGATTCATATCTAGACTAGACTCTGACAGTCCGGCTCAGCAGTCAAACCATGGGCATTTTGGGTTCCAAGTACTTCGCAATAAGTCGCCTGAGCTAGGAATTGAGCCATGGTTTGACTTCATTGTTGGTATCAATGGAAGGATGATAGTAGGTTTCATGTAAATCTTTGTTCGAGTCTCGCTAATATGTGTAGGATGACTCGGATCCAATGCTCTTCAGCCAAGAAGTACGCAATTGTGCTGGAAGCTCTGTGACACTAGGTATTTGGAGCGCAAAGGTGACAATCCCATGATCTGATGACAACGTCTATTGTCTTACAGTTTGCAGGGTCAACGTACAAGAACTCTTCACATCCCAATACCCATCGACCAGCCAACCCTCGGCTTAACATTACAATGGACTTCCCTCTCAGCGGCCTCAAATATTTGGCATATCCTAGACGTTCCCGCCAATTCCCCAGCAGACGTCGCAGGTCTGCTACCTTATAGTGATTACATTCTCGGCACACCAGAAGGTGTTTTACATGGCGAAGCAGGCCTGGGCGAACTGGTCGAAGATCATATCGGTCGACCGTTGCGCTTGTATGTATACAACAATGAGTATAACGTCACTCGAGAAGTTACCATCCATCCAAGCAGGGATTGGGGAGGAGTAGGGGCTTTAGGGTGCGTGTTGGGTTATGGGGCTTTGCACCGATTGCCAGCACCGTTGAGCGAGCCCTTGGCAGGTCCAGGAGAAACGCTCTTCGAGACAGAAAATGCACGATTCTCCAATGAAGAGAACAGACCATTATCTGGGGCACCCGATAGTCAGTTCTTCGTACCTGCAGCAGCAGCCACTCCTTCTGGAGACTTTCTAGTGCCAGCCACCTTGGTTGGACCACCTCAAGGGGGAACACCAGCCAAGAAAAGGGATAAAAGGCACGGCCACAGCCCGAATAAGGTGATGTTGGATGACTATTTTATGGAAGGAGAAAAGAAGAGCAGAGAATTGGATTATGCACCCAGCGCGAAGAGTACGCCTCCACCACCACCACCAAAAGCGGGAGGTCCGCCTAGAGCTGGGCCTCCCTCAAGAACAGATACACCTACCGTTGAAAGCGTTCCGGATACCCAGGCCTCAGTTGATGGCAGTGTAGATTAAAGCAATAAATGCACATTGAAATCTTAAAAATTTCCTTGGACTAGGCATATTTGGTTTCCCAATTCATGCCATGGAGTTCATATATATTTTATTCATACATTTTGGCTGAATCATGGCCCCCCTCAGATGAATAGCCCGCGCCGATTTTTTGTAGTTCCCATGATATTCCCGCTCTAGTTAATGAAGTTGACGCAGAAGAAGTGTAAGATCAAGCTTCCAAAAACGTAATCCGCAAATGCTCTAGATTCATGTCAGTATAGAGCATATATAAGGAGACAAGAAGTTACCTTTCCTGAGAAACCGAAGTGAAGTCCGCCTTGTTTTCTACGTTTGTTTGTATCCGTAGAGAAGCTGTCAAAACGAATTGGCCAACTGTTGCTGAGAAACCAGATAGGAAAGCATTGAATGGCTTTTGTCAATGTTAGCATCATTTCACATGTACACCAATCCGTTCATGCCTATCTTGCATCTCATTTCTAGCTCTTTACTAGAATTTTGTAGCAATCCTGTTCGGAGGTTGAGTACTCACATAATTTCCAGCAATAACACAATATACAAACTGCAAAACGCCCACCACTACCAAAAAGGCCATAAACACATCAATCAACTTCGTCCTCTGTGGTGTCTTATCGAGGTAGTTTTCCCATATCCCTAACGCGATCTCGGCTGGGCTCTGGTTCTTGTTTGCTGTTCGAATTGGGGTCGAGGCTGGTACTGTCTGCGTAACGGTGGCAGATGGCGTCGATTCGCGGGATACCGCTGAGGCTTGTGATCTCTTGGGCGCCATCTTGAGGAATTTCGGGGAGACTTCTCGAGTATTGTTGAGGTCCTGGAGTGGGAAGTTCTGATGTTCTGAATTCGTGATCTGGGATACGTGAGGCCACGAAGCTTCACGATGTGCAGAAGGCTGCAGGGGAAAGTTGAGCGCCAAGCCGGACGTGCAAGGGTTGTGTTCCCCATTCGAATGAACCGAGGGGTAGCTGGTAGCACCACCATGGAATTGCACCACTACAAGATGACAACACTCCCCAATTCTCGTCGGACAACTATCAAACAAAGACTCAATAAACCAATTTGACACACTCGCAACAAACTCAATTCAAAATGGTAGGTGTCTCTCAATGATATAGAACACGATAATGCAGTTTGTACTAACGAATTATGCATAGGGGATCGAAACACCAGCATACATCATTGGCGCGCTCACAGCTGGCGGAGGCACTTTTGGATATGTCAAAACTGGATCTATCCCTTCCGTTGCTGCTGGTTTGACTGTTGGTACATTGGTATGTAATATGTTTTAACTACAAAATATGATGATTGCCTGGTGATTGCGCCAGTCTTTCTACTCAGTCGCATACTTGTCCACAGGGAATAGAAATCAAAGTACTAATCAGCACAGTACCTCCTCGGCGGATATCGCATCCAGAATCGCCAATCTTATGGAGTTGAGCTTGCTCTTCTCGCATCCATCATCCTCGCAGGAAGCTCAATTCCAAGAGCTCTTCGCAGCCAAAAGCCATTGCCTGCTGGATTGAGCGCATTGGCACTCTATGGTCTGTACACTTTCGGAACTGCTTGGAATTCGAAGAGGTATTGAAAGTAGATTGGTTGAGGTCTAGCGAATAGATTTGAGGGTCGGTTGGAGTCCGGATATACACCAAAATGTAAATCCGTCGGTCTTGATGAGACAACATGTATTATCAAAGTCATGCATCAGTTGGTATGCCGTGAACCGATCGAGCTTCCTGTTCTTGTCCATCTCGTGTGCTTATTGATGTAATATATACAGCCAATTCCAGATTTGTTTTTGTAACAATCTTGACTCCGTAAAACACCCCTTGTATCGCAATTTCGAAACAAGTACAGTCCCTGGACTCCTAAAGCTCCCATCACCGTAACTCCGGTAGAGAACTATTGTACAGCTAGTTGTGGTAGGTTCGCTTTTCGCCTCTTCGATGAACTTTGCACTTTCCCCCATTTTTTTTCAATACCAGAGGGCTTATGAGTTCGCATCGATCTCCTTCCATGTCTGCCGTATCTCTTCATTCTTCTTCTTCGCTACTTCGCGGTTGAGTTTCGTTCGCTCCAGTCTTTGCGCTCGCAGACACTTGTTAACAGCTGTTTTGGCGCCATTGCACATGCCCATTGATTTCCATAAGAACCCGCGCGCGTGACACTCGTCGAGTATAGACATTACTTCTTCGCATGCTAAGATCATGTATTAGCAACAGAACGGCATAATGAAATAATTAAACGACGGCTGGTCTGGGCAATGGTGGTGCAAGAAAGTTAATAGATAGTTGGGGCGGAATTACCTGTGTTATCTTTCGTATGAAGATGGGGATGCATTTTGAATTTGCGAGAGTCTCGACGGGCTCTACAGTGCTTTTGGCTGGGTCTGGTGGAATGAAGCTTCGAATGTCAAAAGTCGTTCCGGGATTTGGTCGCCTCTCACATCGTCGCCTAAACTTCGGCCCCGCGTTCTATATAGGCCAAAAACATTGTTAAGCTCACTCGCTCTATCCCCCAAACCAAGGACATTCTCAAAATGGCACAACAAGTATCGCAGCGGAAGCAGCAAGGTAAATATACGGAATCTTCGCGATTATGTTGATTCTAACAAAGTACACAGAGCTGCAGCAACAATACGAGCAATATAAAACGAACCTTCAACAAATAGCGTCGAAGATAGGTGATGTCGAGGCAGAAGCCGAAGAACACAGGTTCGTCATAGTCTTCATCTTTACTTACGATTCCCAGTCTAAAAATACAACCCTGCTCGTAAAGCATCGAACCTTGAAGCTTTCTTAGCTGCTTTCACCGCTCCCCCACTCACCGACATTTCTCTACTAGAACTCAAGCTAACAGAAATACTTGAAATAGACTTGTATTAGAAACACTCGAGCCGCTTGCGGGGGACCGGAAATGCTTCCGCATGATCAATGGCGTGTTGGTGGAGAGGACGGTGAAGGATGTGGTTCCGGCGTTGCAAACAAATAGCGAGGGGTTAAAGAAGGTGCTGGATGAGTTGATGAAGAGTTATAGGAGTAAAAACGTAGAAATGGAGAATTGGAAGGTAAGTGCCGTGTTGTGGAGAAACTACGGGAGACTGACTGGGATTATAGAAAAAGAACAATATTCAAGTTGTTTCTCAGTAAAGGCTACGGCCAAATCTAGACGCGGGAATAAGAAGATAACGTCAAAACTCAGGTCATCATAGGTGAACATAAATCTCATTAATTTTGCATGCCCAATACTATCTTCAACAAGAAAGAGTGCGATTTTGTAGTAAATTGTCATTGTATCGCCCAGTTAGGGTGTAGTACCCTTATGTCCAAATTTCTTTCCAGGCGTACTATAAATATACCCTACTGACACTAGCAGTCAAAACCCAAATTATCCATGCATGGCCTGTTTGAGCACCATCGCAAATTCTTGGATACTTGATATTAGCCTGTCAAGAGGCAGCCATACCAAGTCTAGGCGCTCAATGTCTTCTCCAAAAACATGCTTACGGCCTCAGTCATGATTTCGACAACCTCCTTTGGTTTGGACAACATTAGCGAATGACTGGAAAATAGCTCTTTAATAGTCACATCCCCACCAGCATCCTTCGCACTTTGCGCAAAGAATTTTTGGGCATCTACCGGGAACGATCTGTCGTCCGTTGAGATGACGGCGACCACAGGCACATCTTTCCATCCAGCATACACGTATTCTCCTCCTTCGAACATAGGCTTCAGAGATTGCTTCAAAAGCTTTTTCACCCAGAATGCACCCTCCTCAGCTGAGAGATCATGATAGAACAGTGGCAGAGGATCTACAACCAGAGTTGCAAATCCAGTCGTTGTATCCGCTACCCAGAATGGCGGTGGTTTATTGTCCAAACCGCTCATAAAGGTCTTTCCCGTTTGCGCAAACCCAGAAGCCAGCATGATGAGTCCGACGACTCGACCACTAGAATTATCTTGCTTGGCCGTGAGCCCTTTGATGGCGCTAGCTCCAACAATGCCACCAAATGAATGTACGGTCACTACGACGTCTCTTCCCTGGTTTGTCTCTCCGAGAATGGCGTCTCGGACTCCATCGATATCGTCTTTGGGGGTCGTGGAGCTGTCTCCAGATGTTGATTTGAGTGCTACAGCGATGGATTTGTAGCCTTGTTCGGAGAGGAGGGAGACGACTTGGTCATATACAGTTTCGCTGTGCCAGGCGCCTGGAACTAAAATGATTGTTGGCTTGGTCGACATGATGTGCTTGGATTGAATGTTTCAAGTTCTTTAAATTACTATCTTCTGTACACTTGATGGCAGGGTAATATGACTTCTTTTATAAGGACGAGCGTATACTGGCCCCTTTGCTATACCCGAGACCTATGTAAAGTTCTCCCTAATCAGCCTAGCAATACCCATAATCTCATACCATCGACATCCGTTTCATTCTCGTTCATCGAAGCTCATGACATGCAAAATTTCGGGGGGAGGCACGTGAATTGCAATTTGGCGAGGTTCTTGATATCCTAATTGGGATCTGGAGGACTGGGAATATGTTATTCCCGGAAGTTTGACTTTTCGGTTTCTGTTTCTGGGAATCGGATGGGCTGAGGAGATACGGATGTTGATGTGTGATATCGGGTTTGGGATTGAGGTGGGGGTGGTTGGCTATTGCGTGAGGCTTTGAGAATGGGGAGGGAAATGAGATGAGACATTGGATATGATGCTGGATGGAAGTTGCTGGACTGAGTAGATATTTGAGGTGTTTAAGAATTGAAATGTTTCTACGGGATTGGCGTCACCTTCGATGATATATCATTTTAGTCAATTGATACTCGCGTGCGAGCATATCACGTTAACCCCATAGAAACCAAACTGATACCCTTGGATTTGTTGAATTTGGTGTGTCGGGTTGACTGGCGATAGACATCAAGGACATCCATGGATCCATCTTAGTCTATGGAGTGTCTTCCTCGGTCGTAATTCCTGAGACATCGGTGATAGCGACGTGGAGAGATATTATCTGAAGTATAGCTCCATGCATACGCTCACGGCGCGCTCGGGTCCATTATCAAGTTAACAGCCACGATCGTGTGAGGCAATTCTTCAAATTCAGGGGATGCATAGATAGCCTATGCTCTAGCATTTATGAAGAGGTGGTCGGCTATTGCAAACTTCTCCAATTCCGACCATTCTCGTTCTATTCCACCTTATTCCACAATGCATGTGATCTCAAGGCTGTTGAAAGTTAGTATTCTTGCAAAGTTTTTGGTGCAATATTTGTGAGCCTAAGCAAGGCAACAACAAGTAACGCTCATTGCTGGCAATGAGGTTGAAATGAACCTAATTGTAGCGGACATGAAATATCGACCCAATCTCAAAAAAAGGAATATGACTTTAGATAGTGACAACACACGTTAAGAATCTGTGACAGCTATAGTCGACGCGTTATAGATGGCCCGCTCCACGCATCAGACTACAATGTCCCAAGTCCCGGGCTAGACTTACCAGATGCTGTAGGTAGTTGTCAATTTTCCCAGGTGACTTTAGCAGTGACATGATACTTAAAATCGAGCATCCGCATCTCCCACGTGTATGCACTTGGGGTATGGGTCGATTGAGTTACGTCAATGACAAGGAAGATTCAGACAAGTCGAGTGCTTAGAGCAATAAGGCGGTCAAAATCAGAGAATATGCACATCAATCTATCCCATACTCGATTTCCAGCGGGGAAGCGAGAGGTGACACCCGATTACAGCATCTCAGCCCGAACCTTGATCACAATGCAAGTCGGGTTGCGCAGTATTCCGAGTCATCTAGGCGATATTTTTCGAGTCCTTCGTTCGACGTCACACCTCTTTATGTGATCCGGCATTCTGGAAAGCAATGCGTTGTACAGACGAGCCACGATCCAGAAAATAAGGCGGTCCTTGATTCGAGGGCGGCTGCTGCGTTTCGACGCCCAACGAGAAATGCTGGTTCATGTACTGATGCCCTATCATGAAGGGGTTGTCGTAGAGGGGTGGTCGACCCCTCCTCTGTCCGCAGCTGAGGTTCGTGGTTTGAAGCGCGATGCGATGTGCTGGCCATTCCATCCATTAGGCGTCCGTCAACCTTGCATCTGCAGATGTGCTGGTGGGGGTTCAGAACGAGTTGCCGGAAACTTACACTTCCTGGTGATTGGCGACGGCGGCGGCGATGGAGGATGTCTTGTAGCGCA